TCCTGAAGGTGATTTGGAGAAGGGGAAAAGTGGCTGACCAGTGGAGGCAGGCTGAGGGAGTTTGGAGCCCCAAAGAGGAGAACTCACAAGACATCAGTCAGTTTCGATCCAAGGGAAGGTGTTTTTCAGCATCGTCTCACGAAGACTGACCGAGTTCCCCTTAAGAACAGCTTTATTGACCCATCAGTACAGAAGGGAGGGATCTCTGCTCCTGGCTGCTTGGAGCACACTGGGGTTGTCACGCAACTCATCAGAGAGGCCCATGAGAACAAAGGCGACCTAGCTATGTTGTGGTTGGACCTGGCCAATGCCTATGGGTCCATACCACACAAGCTGGTTGAGCTCGCTTCAGGATGAGAGTTACTTCAGGGTCAGAGACATCGAACTGGCATCGCATTGGGAAAGGGATAATTACAGGCTGCACCATCTCTGTTGTCCTCTTTTCCCTAGCCATGAACATGGTAGTCAAGTCAGCCGAGGTGGAGTGCAGAGGGCCCCTGACCAAGTCAGGCGTGTGACAACCCCCAATCAGAGCCTATATGGATGACCTCACCGTAACAACCACATCGGTCCCAGGGTGCAGGTGGATCCTGCAAGGGCTCGAAAAAGCTCATCACCTGGGCAAGAATGAGTTTTAAGCCCTCAAAATCACGATCCATGGTGCTGAAGAAGGGGAAGGTGATTGACAAGTTCCACTTTTCCATCTCAGGAACTGTCATCCCAACCATCACAGAGCAACCCGTGAAGAGCTTGGGGAAACTCTTTGACTCCACCCTGAAGGCCTCAGCAGCCATCCAGAAGGCCAGCTTAGAACTTGGAACCTGGCTCACCAAGGTAGACAAGTCTGGCCTGCCAGGTAGGTTTAAAGCCTGGATCTACCAGCATTCAATCCTGCCCCGCATCCTGTGGCCCCTGTTGATTTATGCAGTCCCAATGACAGCAGTTGAGTCCCTAGAGAGGAAGATCAGCTGCTTTCTTCGCAAGTGGCTGGGACTTTCTCACAGCCTTACCAGCGCTGCCCTGTATGGAACGAGTAACATCCTGCAGCTTCCTCTCAGTGGTCTCACAGAAGAGTTCATGGTGGCACGCACCAGAGAAGCTCTACAGTACAGGGACTCAAAGGACCGCAAAGTGTCAGCAGCCGGCATCAAGATGAGGACAGGAAGGAAGTGGAAGGCATGGGAAGCAGTGGAGCTGGCAGAGTCACGCCTAAGACAGAAGGCACCGGTGGGCACTGTGGCAACAGGAAGAGCAGGCCTGGGTTACTTCCCAAAGACCCTCATCAGCCAGACCCGTGGGAAGGAAAGGCACCACCTGATCCAGGAGGAAGTCAGAGCGGGTGTGGAGAAAGAGCGGGTGAGCAGGGCAGTAGGACTACGGCAACAGGGAGCATGGACAAGGTGGGAGGGCGCACTACAGTGCAGGATCACCTGGACAAACATCTTGCAGCCACATTTCCAGCGGGTCCGCTTCCTGGTGCAAGCTGTCTAAGATGCCCTGCCAAGCCCAGCGAATCTCCATGTGTGGGGGAAAAGTGAGACACCTTCCTGCCCGCTGTGCTCTGGTAGAGGCTCTTTAGAACACCTCCTGCCTCCAGCCATCAGCTCCAGCAAGAACCATCATGCTTCAAAGAAGACAATCTCCTTTGTTAAAGCTGGAGAAAAACCCAGAGCAAACCAACATGCAACAGCAGGCCTACTCCACACAGCATCTGACTGGCAGCTGCAGGTAAGCAGGATGTGCTGGGGCAACCTCAGCTGGGTAAGCAGCTGAGGTTCCCCCAGCACATCGCAACAACAACCCTCCACCCAGATATGATCATGACCTCTCAGTCTGAACAGCTGGTCATGCTGGAGTTGACAGTGCCCTGGGAAGAAAACATTGAGGAAGCCAATGAGAGGAAGAGGACCAAGTACCAGGAACTGGTGGAGGAGTGCAGGGGGGGATGCTGGAAGATGTTCTACAAGCCCATAGAGGTAGGCTGCAGGGGATTTGCAGGGCGGTCTCTGTGCAGGGTCCTCAGCCGCCTGGGCATCGTAGGAGCGGCAAAGAAGAGAGCCATTAAGTCCGCAAGCGAAGCCGCCGAAAAGGCTACCAGGTGGCTTTGGATTAAGAGGGCAGATCCATGGGCTGCTACTGGGACGCAAGTCGGGGCTTGATCACCCCCGGCTGGGTCGCCTGGGTGAGGATGTATGATGTTGCGAGACCCGAAACACCCGATGACCACAGGATACATCACTGAGGATGCGTCCCAGTGCATCCATGAGGTGTATCTTGTATAGCTCATGATGATAAATCAATATCTCATACATGCCTCATATTTTTTTATTGCCATGACAGGGTATGTTGCTCCTATTTTTGAAAGTATTTAGTTTTTAATTTGTTGCGTCTTTGTAATGTAGAGCAGACTGGAGAGTCTGACAGAGGCTCAACAAAAATAATTATTAACGTCACCAAACGGTGTGCTGCTGCCCCTGATGCACATTTTTATGGATTTCTATTGGATTTTTATCACTGAATAAATAGCAAGAGCACTTTCTAAACTTATACTTTACATGTCAGAATCCATGGATAAGGTCCTGTCTCCTCTGTACAGCACCTTTGTGGAGTCTCTCCTCGTTATTGTTCTCCGGGCATCGGGCCCTCACGTTGCACCGGCTGTTAGAATAATGTGCATAAATGTATATAGAAGTTATCATTATTCCTCATATTCTTATGTAAGAGTTGACTACAAGTATAAACTGTTTTGACCTCTTTTTATACATTATATAAGAGTATTTCCTAACTTCTCTCTCCAACAGATTTACTACACAGCACAACAATGTTCTTTCAGTTTTCTGTGACTGTGTCTTTCCTATCAGCAGGTGGGGGTGTGTGAGTGATGGATCCTCCGCTATAAATCGTGGGGAGTTTTTGAGGAGGTGCCGCTGTTATCAGAAGGAGCTCATTAGATGCCGCCTTGACCTTCACATATTCACAAGTGTTCATTATTATGCTTTATGAGAATGTTTACTTTGCTGCACCATCTACCACCCCTTTTAGAAACATTGTGTAACCAGGGACAAGACTAAATAAAAGAGACTGGGCGGAAATACCTTTCAGAGTGGTTTCGACATGGTACCTGAAGCTATCTCGGTCCATTCTCCTCGAGTATATACCATTGTCTTTCTCTTCTTTATATATTATCAGGTAAATGTTGCAGGTTTTAGACCTAACACCGGCACAGCCAAACGCAGCGCTCCACAGTGGCATGTGTGCATGTGTGCGTAACGTTAAAACAGCGCTCCTGCTCTGTGGCAGTGTTTCTGGGCAGAGTTATCAAATAGGCCTATTCACTAAGGACATAACAACTTTATTTTATTCTATTTATGTCTTAATCTTTAGTAAAATCTGGCTGATTGTGATTAATGACAGGTTTGAGGTTTGTTTATCAATTCATTTCAGACAGATATTTGCTGCACCGCAGATCCACACTGACTCTTGCGTACACGATGTCAGACCTGTCGTGAGATTTGGTCGTAGCGTACGCTCACGTGCAGATTGATAAATGCCCATCCTCTCGTCAAAATTGTCGTACGCAAGGTGTACGCAAGTTTTCTGCAGTAAGCAAGCTTGATAAATGAGGGCCAGTATAACCATTGGTAGGAAACTGACCTTGCAAGATCATGTTGATGCTGTTTGATCCTGCAGGAATGGTTGATACTCACATCCAACATGTGTCACTGCAATAAGAGGGTCCTGCAAGTGCTGCTTCAGATTTCACACTGAACCAACGCCCGGCAACTGCCCTCTCCTCTAAGTCTCCAGGGACTGTGTGTCCTGCTTCAAGTCTGAATCATCCCTGAAAAAGCATTTGTCCAGAAACCATCACAAAGCTTATTCAAAGCGGTTCACCTCAAAGTTAAATTGGAAATTGTGCAATTTCAAAGAGATTTGCAGTGTTACACATCACTTTGCACATCTAAAATTACACATAAGGCTTAAATCCTACTTGATAGATCATAATTTTTCCTTCAAATTATTTAACAAGTAAAATTGAGAGAAATGAATGAATTTTATTATGAAATTTCAAAGCGTTCTCATTTGTGACACTGCTGTGCCACTGTTCGACCCGGGTCAGGGGGCACTCCACAGCACAGGGTCCACTAGAAGCCATTTTTCATTAGAGATTCAGGATCCATGGGTGTCCTTCTCGCAAAGTCCAGGTGTTTGAAATCAAGGCAAAGTTTTTTTCCAAAAAGTATCTGTTTCTCAGTCAAGAGTTGTGCAAGCCGGCTAGATTTCCAGTTTGTTCTGAATCAAAAAATATAAAACATTCTTAACCCTAAGGTGACCGTGCACTCATGTTACCGCTCTGTTACCATGGCTGTTAGTGACATGCGAACGTGAGAGATAGTTGGTAGTCTATGCAGTAAATATGTGATCAAATGTTGAACTCATGGCAAACTAATTATTGCCATTTTGACGTTTATCATATTTTTTTCTGTATCATCGAAATTTAGCCTTTGAAGATGGAGATCAAGTTTATTTCAGTGAAAAATTTTTTTTATTCAACCGTTTGTTACTGGACCACATACCAGATATACAGAGAGTTCTTATAAACCTGAGCAAGATATACCTTTAGTACAAGGTAACTGAAGTCAGGCTCTCATGCGGAGACATTTTCTGTGTTCGTCCATTTTCTCCCTCTATGAATTTACTCTTGATCACGGCTCAGCATATTACATATTTCCTGCAGCATCTCCCTATATTCAGTTAAAACTGTTAGTAACAGATCCCACCCGTGATAGATTTCTTGTCAGATATTTCATATCCCCTCAGAGAGCTTTGACAGAAAACTCACAATAGTGTAAACTTATATTTAACAAGTTACTTGTGAGTACAAGATATGATCTGGTGGGAACCAGCTCATTATGTTTTGAGCTTTAAAATAATTCTCTTGTGGGAATAAGCGGCTATATTTTAATGCACAAAACATAAACTTGTGTGAATAAGTCATCAAAAGCCTCCTGTAGACAAGATAATGCACATGTAATGGTTTGAATTTATAATAAACGTTTTCAGATTAATGTTTGATCATTATCTTAAAATATGACATTTATACACTCGGATATAGGGCCACCACCCGGTTTTGATAAAAGGGAAATAAAAGAAACAAAAGTTTAATACCGAAATTTAGGTTACACTATACAATAACCATGACTTATAAATTGTAAATAGACCATTTATAAATGGTAAGCAGATAGTTTATTAAGTTTAATCATCATTTATAAATCGTATATAGACCATTAATAAATTGTAAATTTTACAATTTTAAAAATCTAACCCTACCCTAACCCTAAATTTACAATAACCATCTAAGTAAAGTTTATAGGTGGTTTATAAACCATTCATTAACCATTTACAAAGTGCTACTGCCACACATTTTAATCTAGATGTTTTACAACCAATATTTAAACCCTGTATAAAACTTTAATAAATAGTCTATAAATAATTGTTGAAAATTATTCATCATAATTTTATTGCTTGTGAATGGTAAAGTAACTATTATCTTACATTAATAAACCATCTATTTGCCATTTAGAATTGGTTTATATGCTGTTTTTACATGATGATTAAACATTAATAAAATATCTATTTACCATTTATAAATTATGGTTATTGTATAGTGTTACCAAAATTTAACATTAAGTCAATCTTAGATTCATTTTTAATCAATGTCATATCTCATATAAGGCAACAATCTGCATGCTTTTCTTAAAGTAGTCCCAATTAAGGAGTTTTTCAGTGAATCCTACAATTCTTTAATAGTTAAACTTACTTTATTAGTTCATTACAACCAACATGCCTTGTTTTGCCCTCTACAAGCTTAATTAAGTTGGACTAACTTCATTTTCAGTTAAAAGTTTTGGCGATATGTAATTGTCCTCACAACTAAAGGACTAGTGCTCGATACTGGATGTAACTCTTTACTCTTTTTATAAAAGAATATTAAACAAACAACAACTCGAAGTACAAAAGAAAACATTTTGTAACAACAAGTTGTGGGAAAATCATAAACACATCACATATTTTCCTGAGTAAAAGCATTTGGAAGTTGTGAGAGGCATATTTTCCAAAGACAAAAAAGGTCAGTAAAACTTGGTATGTTTCCTTTATATATGAAGATAAAGAGAAATTGAAAATGAGTTTTTGTTGAAAATGCTTCAGAAACTCGTGATGAAACTGATTTATGCTTGTTTTTAAGCCTTTCTGCTTTCTGCTTTTATCAATTAGTATGGACTTAATATCATTAAAGTCTGAGAACAAACACAAGGTTCATATAGGTATGATTGTTTGCAGGACTGTTGTAGCAATATTGGATTGTTTTTATCAAGGAGAACGAAATGAACTGGAAACTTTATCTGCATCAATAAAACAGCATATACCCCACAGTGCAACATTTCCCACACTTTTACTGCAGCAGTCTTTTTTTCAGAGACGTTACCTTGAACTGGCTTTCAGGTCATCTAGTTTAAGGAATATCTTTTGAACACCTCAAATGTTAACACCAGTTTTCTGGGCCACTGAGGTCGAGTACATACAGTTGAGGCCAAAATTATTAGCCCCCATATGAAATTTTTTTTTTTTTTTCCAAAATTTGGATGTGCTGTTAAACAGATTAATGATTTTTTTACACAGCTTTTCCAAATATCCTAGTTTTAATTTGGATCCTTACATTATTTTACTTTGCACACAGAAACAAAATTATTTCAGAAAATCCCAAAACTACCAGGGTCAAAATGATTAGCCCCCTCAAGAATTTACATTTTCATTGAGCCAAAACAAAAACCACTGTTGTGCAATCACGTGCTTTCACTTTCCAGTGCTCACAACTTTTAATAAACAAATAAGTTAAAACAAAGGGTTGTCCTACACTTTTCACACAGTATAAAAACCTTGTTACGCATTTGAGCCGTCACTTGAGAAAGAATCATGGCAAATACAAAAGAATTCAGTTTAGACTTGAGAAAAAGAATTGTTGATGCTCACAAAGCAGGAGAAGGATATAAAAATTTATCACAGTGTTTCCAAGTGTCAAGAGGTGGAGTGAGAAGTATCATCAAGAAATTCAAGGAGAGCCACACAGTACAGAACAACTCTGGGAGAGGTAGGAAGTGAAAATTTTCAAAGAAACTGGAAAGAAAACTGGTGGGAGATGTGTCTAAACAACCAAGAACAACCACCAAAACAGTAGTTGCTGACTTAGCCGAGTCAGGAATTGTGGTGTCAAACAAGACAGTCTCTGGAGGCCTGAACAGAAATGGACTGTGAGGATGCAGGCCAAGAAAAACTCCACTTCTACAAAAGAGACACCTTCAAATCAGACTGAGGTATGCTAAGGACAATCTGGAGAATGATTGTTCAAACTGGAGATGTGTTCTTTGGTCAGATGAGACCAAACTAGAGCTCTTTAGTCACAGAGACATTGCTTATGTTTGGAGAAAGAAGGGAGAGGTGTATAACCCCAAGAACACTGTCCCCACAGTTAAACACAGTGGTCGGAGTATCATGCTGTGGGGATGCATCTGGATCTGGGAATCTTGTCAAAATTGAAGGAATAATGAACAAAGAAGGATATGTGAAGAAAACCTCAAGCAGTCAGCAGCAAAATTGGGTCTGGGTCATCACTTTGTCTTCCAACATGACAATGACCCAAAATATACAGCGCTCCTGGTGAGGAGCTGCCTCCAGGAAACCAAAGTGAACGTTATTGACTGGCCTGCACAAAGCCCTGACTTGAATCCTATTGAAATCTGTGGGCTGCAATGAAGACCAGGGTCCATGCTAGAAGACCATCACTGGAACATCTCTCCCTGTCATTAAGACCATCTATGACAGTCGGTGCCTGAGGAAGGCTCACAGCATCATCAAAGACCCCTCTCATCCCAACCACGGACTGCTCACCCTCCCTATTTATTATTTATCACTATAATACACATAATTATTTATTAAATTCCCACTACTTCCTTACCTTTGAAATAATGTATCACTAGCACTGACATGTTTACTTTGCACTCTGGTGAGATGCGAAAATACTTTTCGCTGTACTGTACTTGTACTTGTACTGTACATTGACAATAAATTGAATCTCATCTCATCTCTCATCTGGAGGAGCTTGGAAGATTTGCCAAAGAGGAATGGGCTGGGATTCCTCGGGAGAGCCTTGTTACAAACTACAGCAAACGACTGCATGCTGTTATCCAGCAAAAAGGACACACAGTTGACTATAAGCCTGAGGGGGGCTAATATTTTTGACCCTGGTAGTTTTTGGTTTTTGTGAAATAATTTTGTTTCTGTGTGCAAAGTAAAATAATGTAAGGATCCAAATTAAAACTAGGATGTTTGGAAAAGCTGTGTAAAAAAATCATTAATCTGTTGAACAGCACTTAAGAAATTTTGGAAAAAAACTTTTCATAGGGGGGCTAATAATTTTGGCCTCAACTGTATGTCAGCCCCATCAGCAATTATGCACAGGCTCTGTCTGCATCCAGGTTTTCCAGAACAACAGTTCTTTTCAGCACAATCTGATCACAGGATAAAAGCTCAGAGCATCCAAGCCCTCTGAGTTTAGATCTATAGTTGCCCATTTTATATTTCAGTCTTTGTTTCCATCCATAACATCTGTTTCTAAGGTCATGTTATTTACAGTACCCAAAGTGTATGCCTTTAAGAATGCATGTGTGAACGTTAAACAAAAGGAAACAAAAGGAAGTGGCCCCTGTATGGGATGTTATTTCTCATCAGCTCCTTGTAGTTGATTGCGTCCTCACGTTGCTCTTAAATGCTTATATATCTTGCAGCAGAGTGCCCTCTAGTGCTCTCTGCTGCTCCGTTGATCAGGTCCCAGCAAAGCCAGTGCAGCCTGTTTGAGACTTTACAGTCAGCAGCAGGCAGTACGCACTGTGCCAAGCAATGATATTATATAGATGTAGGTGTGTCATTTGGGGTCATGCACTAGGAAAGAGACACTGTTTTTTTTTGGAAGACGATGGGAGAGGCAGAAAATTTTTTGTTTTGTTAAATTGCCTGAATTAATTTATCAAAAGAACAGGTCTCAAATGGAACTTTCTTATTACCTGAGTACAACCCAACTGGATCAGTGCATCGTCAGCCATTTGTTGAAGTCTAGTCCAGTTTGGCTTGTTTTTTTTTGTGTGTGTGTTTGTTTTTTTAACAAATAGCCACTGTACAATGTGCACGGGGAAAAAAGGTTGCTTGGGGGCCTTTGGGTGTTGGTTTTCTTACAGCCTATTATGGAAACAGAGGTGAGCTATTTTTTAAGCTCCTGTAAGAAACCTTTGGTTTGTGCCAGTTTTGGCAGTTCCTGTAGACAAATGAGTCTTTGCTAATGTACCAATTGTATCTTTTAATATGGATAATTTATTGGGAAATTGTAAAACAGGGATGTTGCTGATAGTCTTCAACAATGCTTCAACCTCTAAACAACCCAACTTTTAGGTTCTACATTTGGTTCCCATTTTTCAAACTGAGTGTGTTCTGCTCCACCCAGCTCTTTCAGCCTTTGTCTCTCAGGTTCAAACTGAATTTTTCAGTCACTCCTTTGTTTAATTTCTCACACAAGCACAAAGACATACATTGTGAATGTATAGTGTTTCAAGAGTGTATGCTGTTGCAGGCCCTGGCAATTTATGTGCTTTATGTGGGCCTGAGATTCTTTCCCTTTAATTCCAGGAGGAAGTGAAAAGGGGAATCTTCCAAAGCTTTTACACTGATTCTGTAGCTGTTTTGTCTGCTAAAGGTTAACTCTGTGGTGATCAAATAAAATGTTTGACTCATCCTCTTAACAAATACCACAGTTTTATCCACAAGTGATGTAAGTTTAGTAGCAAAACCTACACTTTTCTCTGTTTGTACTTTTGTTTTTATTCTTCTTGAGCCATGGTGACAGAGTTTTATGAAACAGGTTTAATGAATGCTCTGAGATGCATTTTTGCATTTATAGAATGGCTTTTGACATTCTGTAAAAAACCACGGAGGTTGTCAATAATACTTTATTTATCAGTCTTGATGCATGTAGTTTGTCTGGGGAAAAAAAAAACTAATCTAAGTAGCCCTTCATATAGGCCTACAAGCCTCTGTCTGCCTACACATATGTATACATTTGTTAATCCATATATTTCAGCAGTGAGTTTGTGGAGAGGATCTCAGATTGCTAGTTCCTGGGTGTGCTCACAGAGGAGGACGTGACTTAATGAGTTCAGGCTAATACTACAGGACTGGTGAAGAAGGCACAGCAGAGACTTTGTTTCATGAGGATCCTTAAGGAGGAATCTACACTTCAAATCTGCTCCACAGAAAGCATACTGACTTACTGAATCTTGTGTGAGGTTTGCCAGCTGCACAGCAGCAGTAAAGAAAGTGCTCCATGGGGTCGTCACCGCAGCTCAGAGGACCACAGGGTCCCTCTACCCTCCCTGGAAGATCTTGACAGTCCCTGCTGTCTCTACAAAGCTCAGGGTCTTTTATAAGATCCCACCCACCCCGGACACTGTCTGTTTGAACTGCTGCTGTTAGGCAGATGTTTCAGGCCAACGAAAACAAGAACAAACAGACTGAGAGACAGTTTCCATCCCAGATCCAAAGCTGCACTTACTGCTGCCAAAACTTGAACTGTGCAAAATAAAAAACATTTAACCCTGCAACCTCTACTCGCAGAATAAAGCAGCTGCCTTAAATGTATAGTATGTTCTGTTTTTCTTTTAGTTTTTCTTTCCTTTTATGAATCCAACCCCTTTTATTTGTTTGTGTAGCCAACCCTTATCTTGACATTTGCACTTGACCATTTGCACCTGATTGCATCCAATGTTGTTGCGCATAGACAGTGATAATACTGATATTTTTCTGTTCTATTCTATACTGCCCACAGCTAATAGGCCTTAAATTTAAAGCTTTTACAAACTTAATGAAGCCCTTTGAGTCTGGGTTTGTATAGTATCGACTTCTCAATTTTTCCAAATTTTTTTTTCATCAGAAGTTTCTTTTGGGTACTTGCTTTTGTTTGTTGCCTTTAGACCAATTACAGCAGACTTCAACGGTTACAGTTGAAATCTAAAAAAAAATAAATAAATAAATTCGGTCACTTGTTCTGTAGATTTAGTAGACTGCATAATTTTTAATGTTTTGTTTGGAGTACTTGATTATTAACAGAAGTGTCTTAAAACGTGTTTTTTGGTCGTGCACTCGCATAAGGATAGGTGCAATGAAAGTAAAATGAGCTGTGTTAGTGACTGTACACGATGAAGTGATGTTCTATGATCAGTCGATGTTTCGATCACAGCTTTATTTTGAAAGTATAACAGGAAGTGCACAGTTTGCTGTGTATGACTTGACAGTGGATAACGGAAGTGTCGCGTGACTGACTGGCGTCTAGAACACATCTGGTAACGACCACTTTTCCCCTACATATTTGTTTCAAATTTAGAGCAGCATCAATTTCTTCATTTCCCTATGTTGCAGTGTCAACGTTGACTGGACTTCTGAGTTACTGATTTTTTACTAGACTTAAGGTTGTTACCGTTTACTTTATGTTAACGGTCCCGGTTGGGTTGTCCCCCCCTGTGAAAACAGGGTGTAGCAGACGAGAAACCACAAAGTTCGGACACACACGTTTTTCCACGTATTTCACAAGTTAATTCTCGTATTGTGAGGGCGTTGAGTAGTAAATTAGATCAAAATTAGGTGAAATGAACCGTTGAAGCCGGAGGCATGGAACTGCAGGTGGTTTGGTGTTTGGTGTACGTTGCTGTTTTAACAAGTTATCGTTCTGTAGTGAAGTGTTTTTGGATAATGACTGAGCCGGTCTATTTTCAGTCTTTTAGAGCAATATGTTGACTTGAATTTACTTTAAATAGGGGGTTTAATGTTTGAAGGCGTGTGGCTGTTTGTGGACTTAAGGAGTCATCGGCGAGGCTCGTCCGTTACCGGTGTTCTGCCCAAGAGTGCTTCCTGTCGAGATTTTCTACAGACCATCCTGAGGCTGAAAAAAAGAAGAAATCCATCAGAGAGACAGCAGAAATGTTAGGAGTGGCCAAATCAACAGTTTGGTACATTCTGAGAAAAAAAAAAGAGTGCACCGGTGAGCTTGGGAACTCAAAAAGGCCTGGACGTCCACAGGAGTCAGCAGTGGTGGATGATCGCAGAATCCTTCCCATGGTGAAGAAAAACCCTTCACAACATCCACTCAAGTGAAGAATACTCTCCAGGAATTAGGTGTATCAGTATCGAAGTCTACCATAGAGAGAAGACTTCAGGTGCAAACCATCAATCAGCCTCAGAAATAGAAAAGCCAGAATTGACTTTGCCAAAAAAACACCCGAAGAAGCCATCCCAGTTCTGGAACAGCAATCTTTGGACAGATGAGACTAAGATCAACCTGTACCAGAATGATGGGAAGAAGAAAAGTTTGGAGAAGAATTGGAACAGCTCATGATCCACAGCACACCACATCTTCTGTAAAACATGGTGGAGGCAGTGTGATGGCATCGGCATGCATGGCTTCCAATGGCACAGGGTCACTTGTGTTTATTGATGATGTGACAAAAGACTGAAGCAACCAGATAATTTCTAAAGTGTACAGCGATAAACTTTCTGCTCAGATTCCGCCAAATGCAGCAAAGTTGATTGGATGGCACTTCACAGTACAGGTGGACAGTGATCCAAAACATACTGCAAAAGCAACCCAGGATTTTTTTTTCAAAGCAAAGAAGTGAAATATTCTGCAATGACCGAGTCAATCACCAGATCTCAACCCAGTCGAGCATGCATTTCACTTGTTCAAGACAAAACTCAAGGCAGAAAGACTAACAAACAAGCCGCAACTGAAGACAGCTGCAGTAAAGGCCTGTCAAAGCATCACAAAGGAGGAAACCCAGCATTTGGTGAAGTCTATGGGTTCCAGACTTCAGGCAGTCATTGCCTGCAAAGGATTCTTAACAAAATATTATAAAGTAACATTTTACTTAGGGTTATGTTTATTTGTCCAATTACTTTTGAGCCACTGAAATGAGGAGCGTTAGTAGAAAAATATTTTCAATTCCTGCACGTTTAATCATACATTTTTGTCCAACCCCATGAATTAAATCTTAAAGTCTGCATTTCAATTCTGTTGTGGTTGTTTCATTTCAATTCCAGTGTGGTGGCATGCAGAGCCCAAATCATGAGGATTGTGTCACTGTCCAAATATTTCTGGGCTTAACTGTATAAAACTACAAAGGAAAAGAAAAGGGGTTGCCCCTGTGCTCCCTAATCAGTACACAACTACTCCTTCCCTTCAGATCTTGAAAAAAGTACGAAGTCATGCCGTTTTTATTGTTATTGTATTGTTTATTGTTATCCCCACTTGTATCCAAACAAACAGGAAAAAATTGTGCAATCGCCTCAACTATAGATTCATGCTGTGGGAGTTTTTTGATAAAGACGCACAACTTGACGAAACACCGGTTCCTTTGGTTCCTCTGTATTGCTTACGTTTGCAGCATGCATATTTTAAAGTGACCAGATTAAATGCAACGCCGTTATAGCCACAGTAATGTACCTTTTAAAAATCAGTTTCGTTAAATGTAGCGATACAATAATCAATTTCTGCCTGTGGTGTGTGACAGACGAGTCGGTCGGTGCTTTTATTTTGTAGCACTGCCACAAAGAGGAAATGCGGATGCTGCTCGCTTCGTTACGCTCTACACAGGAGGACAGAGTGGATCCAGTCGGGAGGCTGTAGATCATCGCCAGGCGGCTCTTTGTGGATTTCACTCGGTTGAACGTGTTTGTTAACGGTGTCACTTCTGGGATGAATCCTCGAAGGTATGTCGTTCGCGTATAGCGTCTTGTATGGAGGTGTTACGGCGGAAAATGTCTGGAAATCGGGATGAATATGCTCCTTTCCTGCCGCTGCTGCCCCTAGTTTGCCCGACAAATTAGCTGGCTAGCCCCTTTTTTCACATGCAGATAGCATATGTTTACTCAGTCATATCCACCAGCTGCTGCACTATCTGACTTCATTTACATTTCTCCTCTCCTTTCCAGCTGCAACACCTCAGAGGATTTAAACCTGCTAGGACTATGAGCAGGAGAAGAAGATAAGCAGCAGCAGCGGCGGTGGCTGGCTTCCTGCAGGATTTCTCCCTGGCTTTTTGTTTTCCCTTGGACATGGCTGGTCTATGGAGCAAAGCTGAGCGGAGCTAGCTGGCCGTCAGTCCGGCTAGCGCTACATTTTCAGGCTTTTGGATGATTGTTCAGCCCAAGAGCTGATTTATTTTGGATCAGCGCTACCTCCTCTCTTCCTGTGCAAGGAGTCAGCATGGGGGAGCCCAGCTTGGACGACGCCAATGTCAAGGTGGCTGTTCGTGTACGGCCCATGAACAGGAGAGGTGAGAGGGCACCAGTCAGATCTTGATTGTTAAAAGAGCTACCCTCAGGATGTGGTGTAAACTAAACCTGCATTTATCTTTAATTGGATTGAATGTTATAAAGATGTATCCATAATGGTAAAATCATGCTTTAACTCAAGTCTGGGTTATGAATATGAACAGGCTTCAATCAGGTTCACATCATTGCCAAAAGATGATGCAGGAACTACCTTAGGTCTGTGTGGCCCAATTCCAATCCTTTCCTTAGAGCCTGAGCTCTAAACCCTCACAGACTTAACCTGTGTCAGGTGTGCAGTCCCTAAGGGTGTGAGTCCATGTCCTTCACTGACTTGAAATTTAGTGTAAGTTAGGAATAGGACACTTTACTGACATCACATGTTACCTGTAGACTAGCCTCACGCTGAACAGGACTGGGACCAATAGCTATGGAGCAGTCCATTGTTGCTTTGACTTGTGTGATACAGTTATTGTGTCACTGGCTTCCAACCTTTGTATTTTGATTTAGAAATAACACATGGCTTCAGGCAGATTTGCAGTCTGAGTCACTACATCACTGCTTCATGACTCCTCCCACTGGCACCAACTACATCAATCCTGCACTTTACCTTTTAGGGGCATTTTGTGTAGTAAAGTTAACAGATATGGGATTTATGAAAATTATTGTGCAGTTTTTCAGCTGCCACAGGATTGCTGCGTCATGATAATAATAATAATAATAATAATAATAATGTATTATTATTATTATTATTATTATTATTATTATCACCAGCCCTGTGTAGTGAGTTAGCCTGCCATCCCAATCCCTTGTACTATTAATAAGAAAAAAGCCACACCTCCAGAATGACTGTGTGATTGTGACATTGTGTTGGATAAAGACCACAAGTCAGGTAGGACACTTATTTAAATTGATGCAAATGTTTTAGGGGGTGGTACGGACAACTCTTCAGAGGTACAGTAAGTAACCAGAACAGAAAATAGACAGATAGTGTGACTCATAGATACACCTGTTTTAGGCGTTCTTCCCTTGATAGCGTGGTCGCTTTGTTCACAGGTAATGGGCGGCTGAAAATACAGCTCGCAGGCATTGCTGATTTTGCAGTGAACTAAAGACAAGTCCTACAGGAGAGTGTGTCGATACATGGACTCACTTCATTTTGAATTTTCAACCTGCTCACAGTGCTAGTCTGTAAAAAGTCACTGAACACAGGCCAGCATTTGACTTATTGTCAATGGTAATGAGGAGTCAAATACATATGATTGTTCTGAACATCATGAAGGAATGTAATGGTGCAAAAAAAAAAAATCCTCTTCCATTAGTTAAGTTCCCTGTGGTGTGCTTTAGTTCTCTTTGGTTCAGTTCTTGGTTTTGAAGTCTCACTTTGGTATATTTTTAGTACAGTAAGTGAAACTAATTCAGCGCATCTCCTTTTATAGGAACTTGAAGTTCACACATTGTCTATAGTGCAGTATTGACAGTGTAGACCTCCTCAGATGTCCTTTTTTCCCTCTGCTGTCAGCATGTTGGAGCTCTACAGGGACTGACACACACAAACATACTGTATGCAGCCAAATGCACACAGGGGAGCACCACATGCCACTATTTATTATGCTTATGAGACATCAAATTGCAACTGAGTTTTCAGGATCAGGACTGTATGACAGGGATACTAACTAGAAGCCTATTATACATGACTAACTATGAGCCTTTTATAATTATAATTTCTGTAAACACAAAAGAGATGTGATCATCACTCGCTCTGCCCTTCCCACTCCTCACTATAATGGACCCACACAGACGTTTAGATGGTAAAGGACATAACAAAGAGGCTCAAAAGGACTTATCAAATGTCAGCAATGTAAATTTCACTGCTGTCTACCAGAGCTCTCTCTCTCTCTCTCTCGCTCTCTCTCTTCAGGTTATCTCTATGTTGATCGATGCTGCTGCTCGCTCTCCGTCTGTCATGTGCTTGTGGCAGCTTCTGGTTTCATATATGGGTGTGGATCTTTTGACTTCCATAGTTGTTGAGGATTTTATTTTGATACTATGGGATGTAAATAAAACAGATATTGTATTTTCATAAAAAATGTGGAGACTTTGGACAAGCTTAGTCAGCACCAGCACCCTTATGAGCTCAGTGACATGTTCTTAGTGGGACCAGCCTGCAAAATTCAAGAATCAGTTCTGTGTGTTGATTGAAATGGGGGTCGGGCCTGAAAACAAACCGCAGGTTGCACTAGCAGTGGAGTAAAGCTTCACTAAAGACTCCCTGTATAATATCCTGGGAACTGGGTGCCAGTGAGAAATCAACAGCCATTAGTGAAATGAGCTTCTGCAGATTAAAGGGAGGCTGGTCTGGATGGCACATGTTCGTACAGTGCTGCCATAGGGCTTCCCTCATGGCTGCCTGCCATCCAGCTAGATTTAAAGCTGAACTGCTGCTGCTCTGTCAGATCTATTGCTAGAAAGACTGAACACTGTCTCCTTCACTGGTTGATACAGATGCCAATAGTGTCTTGACTTCAGCTAGCCTTCGCTGTCAGAGTGGAGTAAATCAGTGCCGACCAGTAAAGCCTTTGACAGCAGTATGTCAGAAAACCTGCTCTCCAGGCCGTCAGTGCACATCACATAAAGCTCGACAGTGATGTTTTCAGTGTTAGAATTTTCCTGTGGCTGCAACTTGTCTACTGAGTGTTGCATCCACATCTCTAATTTTAGCTTAACCAGGCTAACAATGACATAGTGTTAGAAAAATGTGTGTGCAAATGCTCTGTTCAGTTATGCTGCAGATTTTCAGTGCCACATGCAGGGAGGCATAGATGACATTTCCTGGTCCTTTGCCCAGTGGTGTTTTGCCGTGGGAGGCCATGTGTCCCATGGAAGCGGGAGGAGGAGAAGGAAAGCTGCTAAGTCAGAGCGGTTGACAGACAAGTGGCAGAGTGAATCACGTGTAATACTCTCTCTCCCTGCTCTGAGTTGAAGAAGTCGGTCACAAGACCAAGGCGGTGGATTTCTGCTCTGCTCCCATAGGCAGGGATTTACGGTGATGTAAAGAAACTCAGCAGTCAGGGTGACACTGTCAGTGTGAGGACAGTGAGGTCAGGCTTTTGTTATGAATCCTCCAAAAGTGTGTGCATGTGTTTTTTAACCACCATCAGTCAGTGGACACGTAGATGTGAAGGTTGTGGGTATGTAGGCTAATGTCCCCTCCCTATTGTCAGGGTCAGAGTTCATCAGGAGATGTCCCTCTTTCACTGATTAAACAGGTACATGTGAGGGTTGCTGTGTCACTCCCTCTTTGTCTCAGTATTTTCTCATAACACTCTTCATGAAGAACCACACATTTTCCCTCTTCCACTATTCAATACCAGGAAGTTGCATCCTTTTAGCGAATAACAAGTATTTCTGTTACAAATTCCAGTCATACATCATGTCCGTATTGTACAGGATCCCCCACTACTAGCCTGAGACATTGTAATAACGCCATTACGCTCCTCCTAGATGTAAACAAAGGCAGATGACAGATGGTGTCTTGTTGTGATGCATTTGGGCAGTTTGTAGAAATGGGAGCTCAAGATGAATGTATAATAACCGTGGTACGTAAAGTCTTTAAAGTTCTTCAGATAGAGCACCGTGATGGCGGCAGTGTTGTATAGCATGCTGGCAGATATATCCCAAGTAAATATCTGAATCAAAAAGCTTCCTCCGGATTTGTAAACAACACAATCAGAAAAGCATCTTGGTTGGATTATTTACAACAGTTTTTCAACACATGGCCCTCAGCTGTTTAGAGTCAACTCTTTGCTTTGTAAACAAACAAGGCTTTGGGATGTAAACAAACCAAGCTACGATGTGTTGTCTTTGTTTGTTTTTTTCCCTTTCCACTGTTTTAACACTGTCAAGTCTTTTTCAGACATCATTGTAACAAATGCCTGTGTTTGCCGTCTGTCGCTCAGCAGAAAATGGCATCTGTGAAGGAGTCGCATGGGAATTTGATGACTTACTGGAGGCAGTGGGACTGTTTTTGAATGTGCCACCACATTTGCAGTCGTGTCCTCCTCATCTCACAACTAACAGCTGTCTAGTAGGGCTGCACGATTAATCGATTTTAAATTGTCATCGGATTATTTCATTATGACGATGTTAAAAAATTGAAATCATCAAATCCAGGGCTGTTGGCTGGTCAGTTGCCACTCGCCAAATGTGACTAAAATACTTCCCTGGCGACTTAATTTTGGAAGGCTACATGCAATGGGGCGGGTAGATGTTTGTCCAGATAGTCATGCAACAAAATATGCACAATGTGTCACAAAGTGTAGCTATGAAATTATAAATAACGACGGTAGCTAGCGTCAGCGGCTACTGATTTGTTGTGTGTCACACTGAAGAGGGCGGCTCTGAGCAGAACTGATGAGACGCCGTATAATAGTGAAAACACAACTCATACCTGCCAACACTCCTGTTTTTCCCGGGACTCTCCCGTATTTCAGACCTATCTCCCGCCCACCTCCCGTAATGTCATTTCTCCCGGGAATCTCTCGTAGTTTGCATGATCCATGTTCATTCATGAATCGGATCACGATATTTGTCCAAAGTTTCCAGGTTTCCAGACAACCAAAGATTGTCCTGTGTTTCTGCTGAGACTCACAGACACTGGATTGATACTTTTACTTTACAATTTGGGATGATTTCAGTCGGTTTAAGCTGTAAACTAAATTTAAGCAGTGTTTGTTGGAAAATGAAAACTTCAATGAAAGGGAAACAAACGTGAGATATAATATTTATGTTGATTGTCTTGCACCGTCACGGAGTGATGCGTTCAGGGCAGCCTCAGACAAAGAGTGCTGTATTGCACACACATATGTTCAAAGATCCTCATATGGGAGAGCATGTGAAACATATGAGGACTTTAACACTTATAATAGTGGACTAAATAAGTTCAAGGCATATCGTAGCTATCATTTTATTATTACCATTTTTATTGTTAAAATTAAAAAAGTGTGCAGCTTCACTTATACTCATTTGGATGAGCACTTTAATTACAAATACTCTCAAAATTAGCTCATAACCACCATACAAGGTCACCCCAAAACTGCCTGTTGTGTGCTGCAAAAATCTCCCAGATTTAAAACCCAAATGTTGGCAGGTATGAAACACGTGTGAATATGAGTGCGTGTGTGGCTACTGAGTATTAGTGTGTGGATGCCAGACAGCAGGTTGTTCTGTGCGTTAAACATCCCATCAGAACATGTTGTTATTGATAAGACATCTTAAATATGTAATGTGTTTTGAGACAAAGAGCCTGAGCCAATCGTGATGTTTTACATCATGTAAAACATCACGATTGGCTCAGACTGTTTGATAGGGCTCTGCTGTTAGGCTGTAGCTCAGGGAGGGACTCAGAACACTTAAGTGACACTAAAATAATGTGCTGGCTCCTTAAAGCACGTGCTCACTCTCACTGTGTATCCCAGGTTGAGGAGGAGAGGTGGTGGAGCTGCCTAGCAGGACAAAGGCAGGAAGGGAGTGAGGCTGAATGAATATTTGCTAATGTTGCGTAATGCTCCATGTTCCCATGGCTGTGTCCTTCGAAGAACACAGCAACCCCAGGCGTAGCAACAGCAACGCTATGACCAATCAGCTTCCTGGCTAATGTGAGCCCTGTGGTGCCAAACCTCAGCACCGGTAGACCAGAGGACGACCGGAGACAGGGCCAGTGGAAAGAGAGAGCAGGAGAGGTAGAAAAAAACAATGGGAACATTTATCCTTGCAACTACACTGCATCAAACTTTCCCTTCAGGAAGTACAGTTGGAACATGGGCACTTGGGTAATGTAGGCTGGCAGGCAGGCAGGCAGCAGTAGAAGATGGGGAGCTAGAATAGAGAGCTGAAGTCCACTTCTCCCTGCCTACACCACCGCCCTGTTGAACATTACCTCTTCTTTTGCTCTTGCTGTCTTGAAGTCACTCAGTGTCTTCTGGCTCACCCTGCCTTTTTGGCTTTGTGAGGTCCTTGACAGCAGAAGAATCGTAGTGTGATTCAGGTCCTCTGACCTTTGACACCAAGTTTCCATGGCTCTTCCTCTGTGTTCCGACCAACACCAGCAGGGTTGAGGTTTTTGGAAACAGACATCTTAGCCTCAGAACCTTAAAACAGTACTTACGGTTTGAGCATTAGTCATCATCTGAACTCTGTAGTTCCTTAAAAATTGTGCACAGGCAACATGAGGGGCATGTTTACTCCTGCTGGCATCACCTCACCTTTTGAAGGGTGGACGCTGATTTCACGAGTTTAAGTGGTAAAAAGTTGTACCATTCTTGCCTATAATAGTTATGGGTTTTCTTGAAGTTGAAGAAAAAGGCTTTGTCTGGATGTATAAACTTGTTCAGGATAACTGCTGCCTTCCCAGATGTAAAAACTATCCATGACATGGGCACATATGCATCCCTATACCATCGCAAAAGATGGCTTTTGAACTGTGGGCTGATAATACACCACCCCTCCAGAGAGCAGAGGAGGGAGTGCTCATGATTTCCAAAAAGAGAGCCAGATTTGCCAGATTAGAGAGTCCCTTTCAGTTCTCTCTGGTTTAAGTGATTTGGAAACAATCATAATCTGTTTTTATCCGTTTAACATCCAACCGTTTTGGATCCGAGGATAATTGGTAAATATTTTTTTTAATTCTGTGTCCTAACAGTAAAAGTCGGCAGTCTGTGGTTTATAACTTTGACAGTAGATTTGATTACTTTATCACTGATTAGATCCACATCATTGGAAAATATAAAATGACAATAGTTAGATTCTTGGGTGGTGGATTCAGTTTGCAGTCATCAGAGAAACAGGCTGAGCTAAAGTTATCAGGAGCTCAGTCCAGATTATAGATTATTCTGTTAGTCCGGAATTTACAGTCATTTGCATGTGTAAAACTGACCGTTGTCAAATGAATAGGCAGAGACACACCTGGTATATGATATATGTTGCATCAGATCTGTCAGTTATGCACTAAAATCAACCCTTGGGAGTGATCTATTTGCTCATGGTATCATAAAAAAATGACACATGCTTTACTGCTGCTGCTGACTTGTTCTTCTTTCTGCACATGCCCCTCCCTCCTGCCGCTGAAGTGTCAACCTTATGTCAAGACATGCGACTGGAAGTGTATCCCTGAATGACGCTGCAGTTTAGCTTTAGTCCGTTCTTGTTGTAGAGGGAATTGAAACCGCAGAATGTTTCTCTTGTGCTGACACATATGCTGAAGGGAATAATCCCTACTTGCTGATGCATGCTGGCTGTATAAAAAAGGAAAACCATTACTGACAGTCACCTGTGGCATGATAATAGTGTATTTAAAATCCCAGCAGTGAGAGTGTGAGTACTCTGCTGTGATTAGAAGGTTAATGGAGTGCCAGTCAAGCCCAGGCTGCAGCAGAGGTTCAGCTCTGGAAAACTCCGGATTCAGTCTGACGAGGAAGGCTTATTTACATGTGGGGTTTGAACCTGGTCTGACAGGTGAAGGACGTTTTTTACTACCAGTAGATGATTCAGGTTTGAAGGAGTGTTGCTCTAGCCCTGACCTCTGACCTCCCTGTGGAGGAAAAAAAGAGGATATCCTTACTAGGAGCAACACAAAGCTGAGTCCTGCCTTTATCTTATCAACCAGAATACACACTAACAATGATGGAGAGTTGTTACCTGTTTTGATCAACAAATGTGGAGGAATCATGTGAGTTTGTTCTTTTGATTGACTAATCATTGAACATGCAAAGATACAGAGAAATGTTCTCCATGCCAAGCTCTTTTACGAACATTTTTATACCAGTTTGCTCTGCAATAAAGTCTAATAGTGTTAGAGTAAATTGCTGCAAATCTTCCCTTAAAATGTGAAGTATTTTTGTTTCTGTTGCACAAGCCTCAAGATTGTATTAGTGCTCCTGACAGGTTTGTCATGCTTGTAAGGAACTGTTTGTAAAATGCTTTTTTTTTTTCTTTTGTAAATGCACAACCACTTCTGCCAAAACTGGATGCCCAGGACATGCTGGCAGCAACTAGCCTGTGCTTAGACAACCATCAGTGGGTCTCACTGGCAAGACAGATGAATGGAGAAACTTACCAGCCTCATGAGTTTCCAGTGCGGTTCATGTCATTATTTTTCCGACGCTTTTACAGCGGGACATCTATTAGCAGCCTCTTTGACTGACCCAGCAATGAAAGCAAACACGTAGCACTTCACAGAGAAATATTTCAGACTTTTATATATCAGAGACATTACGGTTTTTGCATTGAAGTATTCCCTGCATATGAAGGAGATGTACTATGAGTATTTTTGAGGTTTTCTTGCTGAAATTGTCTCGTAGTAATAACTCATATAGACTTGTGCATCCATCAACATTGGAAAAAATACTACAAGCACCCCCTATGCTGAGTTGGAAATGGCCAGTTGGTGTTTCAAAGGCCACTTGTTGCATCATGACACAAACTGGTCAAAGTCGGTATGAGGGAGATGTCATTTGTGTGCATGTGTGTGTGAGAGGGAGGGAGGGAGGGAGACTGCCTGAAAAAAAATCCTGTTTTATTGATTTATGCTTACTCTAAGGTTAAAGAGCATTTTCAGAGTCAGTGCTCACACAATTGTGTAAACTTCACATTCCACAGGAAGTGACAGTATATCACTGTTATGTTATTAAACTTATCTACCTGAATTGGGTCAATCTTTACAGGGTAGTTGAACAGTTGTGAGGTTTTCTTACCACTATGCAGAATGTAGAAAAAGGTCAATTCTTGGAATGATTGTGAAGGTTACAGTGTAAAAAAGATGAAATATCCTCTGCTCTGCCCCTCTATGTAGTGAAATTGTGCATAAAGATGAACATGTACAATGTAGGAGACAGCAGTAGACTTATCCACATTAGGCATGTGCCGATATGAAAAATTTGATATCACGATATTTGTGGCCCAAAATATTCAGATTTACGACATTATCACGATATTAGCGCATTGCTTTTCACGTTATTACACCCAAGTTTGACAAGGTGCCGACTAAGGATCATTTGAATAAAATAAAGAGAGTTGCACACTCTTATCTCCTCTGCTCTTTTATTACCTTACCGTTTCAGATACTGTACCCCTGAAATAAACTTTGCAACAACATACACAAAATTCAACATTGAGGCATGCTGCTGCAGTGTTCGAGCTGTGAGCTGCACAGAAGCAAGCTAACAGCATACGGTACAGGTGCTTCTCAACAAATAAGAATAAATATATTCTCATTTATTGAGATGGGATACTTGAATACATTGTGCAACAGAAGCCTGCAGATGACTTAGAAATTAGAATATTTTTAGTCCACTGAAGATAAAATGTGGAGAGTCCACGTCTCCATGCTGAACATGAGTGAGTAAAAGGATCAGCACACTGACACACCGCTGACATCTGCATACAGTCACAGGTTAACCCGGACAGAGACTGCAGTGATTCTGCCTCCGTGCCATGTATTTTTAAGGCATCTCTATGACCATTTTGTCTGTTTCTCACTGTGTTTATGGCCCTTTATTTGCAAAATATCCCAAATCCATCCATCATTGATGAGAACAATGAGGAGTATAAAGTCTGTTAGTCCGCTAAAACGGATAACCACGATCCGCGGTTTGATTTCATTCACGCTGACTGCGATCAGTACGAGTGGTGACAGCGGACGCTTTTCCACATTAAAGGAGGAAATATTTGTAATATATCTTTGTTAACACCAAGTGTTTTGTTTCTACTTATTTGAAGCGTGGATCATAGTTGTGGAGACGTCCACACAAACATTGAATACAACCAACAGGCGAGGTGTACAGGCTGTGTTAATTACATTGAATATCAATTGAACAAATGATACACAGATTCACTGCCCCCTATCGGCCAGAAGGGGCCAGAACGAGTGGGGTCCGTGACGTCACTTTCCTGCGCCACTTGAGATTGCGAATCAGATTAAATTATGAGACACTTTTTGCGGGGCGAGCACGAATACGTAAAAGCATTTTTGAGCTTGGTTTTTCTTTTTAATTTAGTCACAGAATGGGCAGGCCTGAAGAAGAAAATGAAAATGCATTTTGGAATATTGCTTTTGATTTTTATTTTTTGAATCAAATAGTGCAGCCTTGACTTTAAAATGAAGAAGCATTTCTGCTAATGCTTTTGAATTTGAGATATGAGTCACAAACGCTTCCATACTTAGCAAAGCTGCCACTCGTCTTTAAATTATAATTGTGGAACGATTATTACAGTACCTTACGATTTCATCATCGCGGCCGTTTAATATCGCATATCACGATTAAATCGTATATCGGTACATCCCTAATCCACATAGAGTTTTTCAGTTGTGGTGCCTTGGCAGTAACCCTGTTTGCTCTCTTATCCACAGAAAAGGAATTAAACACGAAATGTGTGGTGGAGATGGTGAAGAACCAGACCATCCTCCATCCTGGTGGAGCTAACCTGGGCAAAGGAGACTCCAGGTATGTTTGTCTGTAGTTTTCATTCACCCTGCTGCTACAACAATGATTCATCCTGTAGTGCCTTCCACTTGGCAACACACAGGTCATGGGAACCCTTTTCTGTTTGTGGATCTCAGTGACTTTATCTCAGAGTCAGTACCTGTTCTAACTTTAACATCATTCACATATTACAAATGATCTTTTATAGGGATGGGAATCGAGAACTGGTTCTTGTTGAGAGCCTGTTCCAAATGGTTCAATCCATCGACATCATTTACATTTTATCTTAACAATTCCCTTAACAATTCCTTTCTTCCTGGTGCCTTGAAAAACGGTCTCGCGAGTGCCAGTCTATGCTAACGGGCACGGAGACAGAGGAAAAAACATGACAATCCCAATGAGACAATGAGAGAAGTAGGCAGAAACGAGCTAAAGTGTGGCTTAATTTTACTAAGGAAGATGACAACAGTGCAACATTTGTCGAGCAGTGATAACATGCAAAGGTGGGAACACCAGCAACATGCTTCAACATTTGTCAACGGAGCACAGCATCAAATATAAGGAGTCACATGTATTCTATGCAACCTCCGGAAAACTTGGATTATTTCGCCAAGTACTTTCAACCTGCATTCTACGGCACAACACCTGTTGAACACCGGCCGTCAGCCGCTGCTGCCCCGTCTCAGCACGGCATTGAAGGTACATATGATAGGGTGACCATATGTCCTCTTTTACCCGGACATGTCCTCTTTTGGGGGGCTGGTCAGAGGAGTTTATAAGATCCTTCAAATGTCCGGAATGTGTATCCATTGATTATGGATACACAAAAACAGTGCAGCGCTCCCTGCAGCTCTGCCCCTTTGCTTACTTCTAAGCAAAGCCACTGACGTGACGCACACATACACTGTCTTTGGGAATTCAGAATATGCTTTTGAATGAGTTAGAAGTGCATAAAAACTCTCGACCCAACCAGAGAAAAGAAAAAGACAAAAACCTTCAAAATTGCACACACAAGTCTGCCAGAGATTCACAATGATTTGAATGAAGAAATACTCAGAAATGCAATTTTGCTCTTAGATTTCTCATGATATGTCCTGTAGCATCAGACAAATGCCATATGAACATGGAGACAACAAGAAAAACATGATTTTCATCAGAGTGGGTCTTTAAAGAGGTATCAGTGAGGACATATAGTCTGGAAAAAAGGCACAATCCCCCCTCTTTTACTAATCTTGTACAGAAACAGTGTTTCCTTTTTTTTTTTCCAATGTGAAAAATATCCTATTGAAGTTGGTTGTACATGATAAGTTAACTGTTAACTGGAGCTCGCGTAAGCTTGCATGACAAACTTGTAACAGTGCCAGTGTCACTGAGGGTAATGAGTGATGCTAATGGGAGTAGCTCATTCTGAATTGAGCCTCTTTTTGCAGTTACCTACAATACCTCCCATATTTTTCCTCCCCTCTCTGTGCTCTTAAATGTGCTTCAGTGCCTGGTCATTTTTCCTGTACCCTCCCCCTGATTGCTGCTTTAAAAAAAGCTTCTCACAGATTTGTCAGGAATGTTTCTTCGTAATCATGATGGTGTTTTTGGCATGAAGCTGGCTACCCAGCTGTTGGGCCTCATGAAGACAGGTGTATTTCAACTCTTATCACTTGTCATCTGTTTCCCTCCCCTTGCTTTTCCTTCACTCCCATTCTTTATAACCAGCTGCTATTGGTGGATAACCCTGAAGAGTCATCATAGCCTCGGTGCTTGCACCGTAAGAGGCATTAGGACGAGTTAGTTGCAGTCCCAGTGGGCAGAACAGAAATATGTGACAACATGTAATCTGGTCAATGTCTGAGTGAAGGAATTTGTCATGAATGGACAGACCAAGCAGGCTTTAGCAAATACAACATTGTGAAGAAAAACTCATTTAACCACATCATATTAAAACAAAGTCTAAAATAAATACAGTTTGTCCTTGAATAATGTGAGCGATCATTCGGAATCCTCCAGTGTGAGTCATGCTTGAAATCTGATCCTCCATCTTGGAGGAAGCCAGCTGTGTCGGAAGAAAGATCTCGTTGTGACTGGTGGAGCTGACTGCTGATCAAGAGTGGTGAATGCTGAACGCTGGCTTTAGACCGAGGTGCAGGAGCAGACAACAGTAGCAGCGTGTGTGAGTGTGTGTGTGTGTGTATGTCTGGGAGAAGGACAGGAGTGAAAGAGACAGAGGCAGACAGAGACAATTAAACATGAAAAAGACAGACTCCGCTCCGCTCCTCTCTTTCCTAACTCCGTCAGGTCGTAACTCCCCACCGGCTGGCTTCCTCCCTTTTTCTTAGCTCTTCCGTTTCCGTGGCAACACAGGGGGAGGTTAACTCTGGGTCGCTGCCGGTGACCGTGAAGCCCCTTCCTTGAGTGAGAAGTCATTATAAGAGGGGGAGAAACCCTCATTTTCTTGAGCATCTGTCGCCCATAAACTTTCTCTGGTGACTTTTATGGAGCAGCAAACAAGAGCAGAGCTGTAGTTTCTCTCTCTGCCACTCTGGAACAAAAGAGCGAGCAAGCAGCAGGAGGATGGGCTGACTGACTGCTGCCCTCAGCAGATGCTATTTTATTTTCATTTGTTTTCTGCTTTTCATTCACATTCTGTTAAAGTAAGAATTATCTTTTACTCAACGTAGACCAACATTAGTGTTAATACAGGGGAGACTGAAGCGAATGTATGCTGTGATTTCAGGATGCAGCAGCAGGTTCACTGGGTTTTGCTGGCCAAGTGTGTTATGGGGATGTCCTATGCTCAAAACTAGGGCAAGTTATCTGCAGTGGATGCATAAAAAAATCAGCTTCCTGACTGAATGCTCCTTCTGTGCATCTGCTGAAGACTGAGCTACAAACACTGCAGCAGAAGATGTCTTCAGCAAACCACTTACCATAGTTACTTAAAAAATAATGCTCAAGTCATTGATCAATGGTCTGAACAGACATTTTAAGGATAGATTCATGTCAAAAATATGTTTTCAGAGCTCCAAGGCAGCTGTCTATATGTTACACTCCCATATATAAATCTAAAGGAACAAGGATTTGATGAACAGAGATTTCTCTGGATGTGTGTTTGAGTTCTGGTAGTTCTGGCAGTATTTGTTTCACACGGTGCAATGCAAGAGAAGCAGTACGACAGGCTGTAAACTTTGCAAACCACATAATGATTTGGATGCATAATTGTACTCCCTCTGACTGTGAAAAACTCTGATGCTTTCACAACACAAATAACGAGGAGGACAGGTATTAAAACGTGAGTCACCTTTAAAAGACAAGACTCAGTTACATGTCTTTTATTAAAATGTGATACCAAAGGCCATTTCCCAGGACTCTCTGTCATGTTAAATACTCCAGGTTTCAGGGTATTCATTCAATTTCACTACACCTTCAAAGAATCCAAAGCAGGGTAGAGCTGTATCTTTTAGTTTCCAGGGTAGCCCTCGGATGCAATGACCTGGATAGTTTTTTTTTTTTCATTTACTTGGACAGGTACAGTGCATCTGGAAAGTATTCATACCACTTCACTTTTTCCACATTTATGTGTTATGTTGCAGCCTTATTCCAAAATGGATTAAATTCCCCTTTTCCCTCAAAAATTCTACACAAAATACTAGTGATGCACGATATGAAAAATTTCAACCGATACCGATAACCGATAATTTTCTTCTTCTCATGGCCGATACCGATACCGATAAATTCATATTTTTACATTTATTATAATCTTCATATAATCTGCAGTTTGTGCAGGATGCAGCGATTGAAAACTGATGTTTTTGTTGCTCTGGCCTATCTAGAACAACAAACAAAAGTTTTTGGCTCTTCAAATGTGGTCATTTGCTATAAATAACAATAACAGAGCAAAAAGCAGAACTTCATTTGATCCCCTGAACTGTTCAACAGAACTGTAAACTGTAAAGGAGCTATTATGAGACGTTAGGCTTAGCATGCTGACCGGACTAACATCTGACGTCCATATGTCTGTGGTAAAACTCACGTGTAGTCCGTTCTTGTCGATCAGGTTGTGAATGTATGTGGGGACAATATCATAGAGTGCAGGAAGAGACACATCCGAGAAGAAGCGGCGGCTTGGGAGAGTGTAACGTGGCTCCAAGTGTGCTAATAACTTGCGAAAACCCAGGTTCTCAACGACAGAAAAAGGCTGGTCGTCGACCGCTATGAACTCCATCACTTTGTCGTTAATGGCTTTAGCCTTTTCGCTGTCTCTTGAGAAGCTTTTGCAGTTTTTAAATGCCCGCTGAATGGGGACATCGATCCTCCGTAGTGTTGTTGTCTTAGCTTTAGTACCGCTAGCAGCTTCGGCGGCTGTCTCATATTCTTTTACTACCGCTTCGCCGCGATGGCGACTTTTCAGATGAGCTATCAGATTCGTTGTGTTAATACTTGACGTCTTCTTTCCTCCTCTCGGAATCCTCGCTGAACAGGTTTTGCATATAGCAATGCTGTTGTCATCCTCTGCCACTGAGAGAAACGACCATGCTGGTGAAGACATTTTATTATCTGTCAGGTAGTGACGGGGTCAGGCTTGGGACCTGCGAGTAAGGCGCGATAGATGACGTAACCAGCGCGTCTCGGACAGGCGGCTACTCCGCCTGCAAACGTTACTCGTAATTTCATTAATATATCGGATCTTTCTATCGGAAAAATGCACCTATCGGACCGATAAAAAATGACGTAATTTCCCCCCAAATCGGCCGATATTTTATCGGTCCGATAAATATCGTGCATCCCTACAAAATACCCCATAATGACAAAGTGAAAAACTTTTTTAGAACATTTTGCAAATTTATTAAAAATAAGACACTCAAATGTTGCATATACATAAGTATTCACACCCTTTACTCAATACTTGGTTGAAGCACCTTTGGCAGCGATTACAGCCTCCAGTCTGCTTGTGTATGATGCAACAAGCTTAGCACACCTGGATTTGGGGAGTTTTCCCCATTCTTCCTTGCACATCCTCTCAAGCTCAGTGAGGTTGGATGGGCAGCATCGGTGCACAGCTACTTTTAGGTCTTTCCAAAGATGTTCAATCGGGTTCAAGTCTTGGCTCTGGCTGGGCCACTCAAGGACATTCAGAGACTTGTCCTGAAGCCGCTCCTTTGTCTTCTTGGCTGTGTGCTTAGGGTCATTGTCATGCTGGAAGATGAAGCGTCACCCCAGTCGAAGGTCTCGAGTGCTCTGGAGCAGGTTTTCATCAAGGATTTTGATGTACCTAGCTGCATTCATTTTTCCCCCGAGCCTGACAAGTCTCCCAGTTCCTGCCGCTGAAAAACATCCCCACGGCATGATGCTGCCACCACCATGCTTCACTGTAGGGATGGTATTGGCGAGGTGGTGAGCGGTGCCTGGTTTCCTCCAGACATGACGCTTGGCATTGAGGCCAAAGAGTTCGATCTTCATTTCATCAGACCAGAGAATTTTGTTTCTCCTGGTCTGTGAGTCCTTCAGGTGCCTTCTAGCAAAGTCCAAGCAGGCTGTCATGTGCTTTTTACTGAGGAGTGGCTTCTGTCTGGCCACTCTACCATAAATGCCTGACTGGTGGAGCTCACATGGAGGAAGGAAGCTTGGATTCACTCACCTCAATAGTAGCCTCCTTTTCTCTGCAGTTGAACAAAACTGATCATTTCTACACGGGTGTTACTCAGGAGGCTGTTACCGAAGTTAAGGATTAGTTTTGTTGAAATGTAAAATAAGGGTTTTCTATTTCTGTCAGACAGCCAAAAACTGATTTCTAGCATAGTGATGAGTAGGGGTAGGAGAAAGAATCGATACAGCATAGTATTGCAATTTTTTTTCTGGTGATATTGTATCGTCTCATTGACCAATTATCGATTTTTCAAATTAATAGTTGATATGAAGTCAAATCTATGATAATGGAAAAATAAAATGAATTGTTTGTCCAGTGAGTTTGGCAGAGGTGACATGATAGAGCAGCTGAAAGTTAGTACAACAAATGTAGATATAAGGTTTGCAAGATGTGCCAAATGAAAATAAAATATTAATAAAGAAAAGACAAATGCTAAATTCGCTAAACAGTTGAAAAATTTGTATTAATCACAATGACATTGTATCGTGAGTCCACTGGTGATTCCCACCCCTAGTAATTGGTAGAGGTGTTTATTGGTAAGGACCTTATGATACATATAACAACACTTTGTAATAATCCAGATAAATTACCGAACATTTACACAGGTAGACCAAGTTACGGCTGGATTATGACTCAGGTTTGATGCTCTACAAACAATACTTAAGCACAAGTTTTTCAGAGTGTAGGACATGCAGTCCTCCATTCTAGGGTTAGATATTTTCTTCAGAGAGCCAAGTGATGCCTGATGGTTGTAAAAGACTAAAAAAAACATGTTTTTCTGTTAAACAGAGTTTGCCTGATGGATTATGCAAGTCCATCAGGACTTAATGCAGGTCAATACCGCAAAAACTAAATGTTTGGAAAAGGAACTAGTTTTTTATATCAGTATCCATGTGTAGTAAATCTTGAGTCAGGGGTCCATATGTTTCCTAGCTCCTCTGGCTGTCTTGCTATGTAAACTCCTGTTCTCTTGCTATACTTAGAAAATGACTGTCCTTTCCACTCAGGCGTGGGAGTGAGAAGGCCACCAATCACTGAAACAAGGAAGGTCATGTTCAGGATTGGTTAAACACTGAGCCGTGAACAAGCCTGACACACAAAGGACCCTGTCTACCCACTGTGCAGACGCACTCATTGCCTCTCAGACACATGCTGTTTCATCAAAATAAAGCCTGAGTTAGAGGACAAGGATTAAGCTGATGATAAGTTCGAGTTGAATGATTAGATAGTTAAGAAGAGTCAGGAAATAAGACAAAGAGTTCCAGGCTCTCCAGTTTTCACTCCTACATGTTCTTAAGTGTCATCATAGCTCTGAATGTAGGATTATGTATACATTATGTGCCTCACGTCATCAAAACATCCACCTCCACTAAATAAAATAATAAAATGACCTTGCTTTAGGGTCAAGTCCTTTTTTAAAATTTTTCGGCCATTTGTAAGTGTTGCTGTGCTCTACTTGTGTGTCTGATTCAGTTTTTCCACTTGCAGCCTTTACTGGGCAGCCAGTATTGAGTTCCTCATACAACCAGTCCTGCTGACTCAGTGCAGTGGTGGTGATGTTTTTTTGTTAATCTGAATGTTTTGCTTTCTTTAAACTCTGCTTTTAGAGGATCATAACTGACATCAATGCTTCAATGTGCTTGCACCCTGTGTTCTCTGACTGCTGAGGTTTACATAGATTTCATCTGTTAATCTGTTCTTACATCGACACACAGAACATTTTGTGTCCTCTCTGCTTTTGCACCTGAATCCCTTTCCAGCCCCCTGGAAACCTCCAGGGTTTGAACTGGAGTGCCCGGGCACTCTGCACTAGTCTGTCTGATAAGCAGACAGCAGACCTTCCTGCAGCCATGTGGTCAGACACCACAGTTTGCATGCTGACCCGAGGCTGTTTGCATTGGACTGGTGAATCTGGATGTTGACACACTCTGACAACGATCTGTCTGCCTTTGGATACCAGCGAGGCAAACATAAACGGCTCGGTTTCCAAGACGATTAACAAAAGAAACTGTGTGGTCCTGTATCTTGGAATAATGTTGGACATTTTTGTAGCATGGCAGTGTGCCTATGGGACTTTTATAGTATGCCAGGTGAAGCTGTTTTTGCTTCTACCTGTTGTTAAGAGTAAGGGATCTGCAGTGCAATTGCCATTATAGCAAAGTGGTATCTGTAAGCATGGTAGAGCATGGCAAAGTGCTCAAACAGTGCTGCTGGAACCAAACATGTAGAGGTGGGAGTTTCTAAAAGTCCACAAATGGTGGCTAAGACATCAAAGCAAGAGGACATCTGAAGGAAAACCTCACTTCCCTTAAAGTAGTCAGCAACTTTACCCATGCATGCCAAAGTCCAAGTTTGTACAGTTTTCAGATGGGCCCTGATATAATTTAGTTCAGAGAACATCTATCAATTCACATAATGAATTCAGGACAGCACATCCTTTGAACAGTTGCGGCCGACTGGATAACTGATTTTTATCATTAAACATTCCCAGTGTGCAGAAGTGGAGTGGAAAATGACAGTATCATCACGTGCCACTCATTCTGCAAAAATCCAAACTTCAGAGTCCACACAACATTCACTGAATATGATGAAACCTTATAGGACAGAGCAGAGTGCGTGCACATAGAGGACAGATGTAATGTTCACACACCACAAAAAAATAAGCAAGAATATAATACAACACAATATCATACAAAACAGTACAAGAACTTTATTGATCCCCTAAAGGAAATTCTTTTATCTGGAGTCTCATGTCTCGAGTCATCTACTATTTACAGAATATTGTATGTTATCACTATGTTTCAAGTTGTAAGTGATACAGTCATACAGTTCTTAAACATTGTGTCGTTGGCTAGCCACTGTGATTTGAAATTAGACGCTGACTTAGACATTAGCACTGCCAAAGTATCCATCTATGAAATAATCATATTGTAGGAGCCAAATATGTTGACGTGTAGCACTAAATGCCGGCATTTTTTCGTTGGTTAGTCAGTGTTGCTTGATGTCAATTGAAGAACGGATTTTGGTCATGTTAATCACAATAGGTTTTTGTTCGCTGCATCTGAGGAACAGCTTCTGGACATTCACTGATCATCAAAGACTCATGGTAGTGTAAGAAACCAGTAGCATGGCATGTCAACCAGGTTGCTCTGGGTCAAGAATCTCAGTAGTTTAAAGTATAGACTTAGCTCCTACACATACCATTTATGTAAACATTTCTTTTTGCCCATGGTGTCTGATTTTTAGATGTAGCTAAAAACCAGAAAGTGACTGAATGCTTCCATTAGCTGTGTTCTCATGTTAGTTAATGGGCTGTCTGTTAATATGATTTTTAACTTGAAATATGGTCATATCTCTTAAGTGATCTTTACTGTCTGTTGTCTTTGTGGCTGCCTCTCAATCAGAGACCAGTGAGATGTCCACAGTTTTTCACATTAAGTTCTTTTACTACTTGCTGCCAGGAACACAGTAGTAATGCCCGAGGAATATGGTCTACTGATGGATGCAGATCATCCCCATTTGTATGGAGGTGGTTTGTCTTTAGAGTGCTGAATGTTGCTTAAAGGCGGATAATCTGCAGACTACATCAGGAAGCAGTTTCAGTTAAAGACAACTTTACATCGAACTTGTTTGACCATCTAAGGATTAAAACAACCCTCACGAAATCAGCAAACTTTGGCAGAATCACAAATACTGGAATAAGACAAGAGGAAAAGAGCTTTATTGACCCCTGAAAGGTAATTCAACACACCTGAAGAAGCTTGTATTTACAAGCAACAGTTGTTTTTATTTCACACATTACTGAGAGATGCAAAATATTGTCAATTATAGTTATTTGGAGTAGCAAACAGCTGCAGATATACGCACTGACTGACCCCATGGTGGGGCCGAGCCTTGACTTGTGCTAGATTGTATTATTGAATAAATTTGGCATAATGATCAACAAAGCGACCTCAACATCCAGAGTTGGGACCAGACTGAAGTGGAATGTAAGTCTGTTTTAGATTAATTTAGTGCCCATGTATTAAAAACAAAGCTAGGAGAAAGCCCTCACTCGCACTCATGAGGCACTCAGTGTGGCATCCTGAAAATGTCTCGCTAACATGTGGACAGATTTACTGTTCACATTAAGGGCCAAATGGAAGACGCTATTTCTGCAAACGTTTCAGTGAAGAGTGTGGAAGATAGTGTGAGAAGACATGACTGTCCTCTGGTCCATGGTCATGCATATATCACAGTTCATTTGTCATGGTTTCTGTGTGATGCAAGAGCTCGTCGGTGAACACAGCTGCTGATTGAAATGGTGTGTGTGGTCATGCTCCTTTTTCTGATAGCCAGCATGATTAACTTCAGTTAGTGCAAGGGTTATAAATTCATACATGCCTGTCTTAGCAGCTTTTTCAGGTGGATTATTAAGTGCCAGTTTTACTCCAAGTAAATAGGATTTCACATGTATAAGCCAGCACCTGATATTTGCAATTATCCATTTGATAATATACTTGTTTATACAGTCTTCAGGTTCCTGCCTTGGTACTATTGAGTGAACAAAAGTGGAAGCAGAAGTCAAATATTGATCTGTTTGACTGAATTTTATGGCTGTAGAAATCAAAACGACTAAATTCAGGTGTCTTACATTTCCTTGCATTTCTTTGTGGAACAATAGAACGTCAGTTTGATACCAAAAAGGCAAGAAGGCGGGGGAAAGCAGCAGCAGCAGCAGCTGCACATGCTCAGTTCACAGAGTAAATGACATTAATTAAGCCCATCTCCTCCTCAGGCAGTGTGAATCAAAGCAGCCTCAGACTGGGTGGTGGTGCTGTGTGACACTAAACCTGAAACGTATTGATGTAAACATTTTACATCTGTGTTTTATCAGCGAGTAAAACTTGACTTATCACAAGTCTAGCTAACAGTGACTTCAGTGATCAACTTTGCCTTTGCAGTGTACCCTAAAGTCATTTTCCCGGTACGTGTGGAGCAAGTGTCAACACTAGTCAGTGTTTGCCGAACCTGGGTATTAGCCTGTTACATGTCCTGTTGTTCTGTGCCATCAGTATGTGCTGTGTTACAAGCTGATGCTGTTTCTGCTTCAGCTTAACATTCCAGTCTCAGGCCCAGCCTCTTTGCTCTCTAACCCCCCTGGCTACCTTCAGCCTCCTTTCCATCCTCCACTCCTCATTCCACCCCGCACAGCCGTGGATGGTACTGTTCCAGAGAGAAAAAAGAGAATGCAAGAACAGTAGAGAGAGATGGGGCGGGGGGAAGCAGCCATGCATTAAGTTATTTTTTAAATGACGGTGATCAAAGCAGAGGAGCAGGCCGAAGGGAGGAGGGACAAATACAAGTCTACGAGGGCTAAGGGAGGCGGGTTCACAGCTCTCCTGACCGCCTCATTCTTTCCTCTCATTGGTCAGGGGGGCCCCTAGCTTCATTAATGGGTGTTTGAGCGCAAGACATGGGTGACCCTTCTCGCCTGCAGCCTCTGAAGCAACTATGACAGCTGTCATCACTGTGTATGTCAAAACCTTCACCACTGTAATGTGTTTGGAGATATGACTGCTGAGGGGGAGTGGGCATGAAGGATGGAATCCCCCAGGAGGAGCATTTAGAGAAATAAAGACATTCTCAAACAAGGGACTCAAAAACACACAAATCACACAGCTGGTTAATTGATGACTGTTGAAACTGTGATTTCAAAGATTCTACCGCCAGCAGCCCAACCACTATCTCAATGTCAAAGTATTTTTAGACCAAATACCCTTTGATCATTTTTTCTTCCAAATTACATGTTCAATAGGCGCTTCAGACCCACATGCAGTCATCCACTGTTGTGCTAGATGTCCTGTTGACTCTGCATAAACACAAATACTGCATCCAGGAGATCCTAATTGTCTCCTGGTTCGAAGAGCTCCTGGAATCAATAAGCCTTCAGCCGTGAATTACTTGGCATGCTTTTACTGTCTGAATGCAGCATGTCAGCAAAGGAACGTCAGTGAAATATGAAGTGTTACAGATCGGACTGTATGCTGGCTGCTCTGTGGTTTTGGAGGCTGTAAAGAATGTGCATGGGTAAAAGGAAACAGGTGTGTGAGTGTGTGTGTGTCTGTGTGCATATGACTGTGTGTGGGATGTCTTTTTTGTTATGTTTAGTTTTCAGCGTTCATGTCAAGTGATTTTTTTGTGCTGTGGTTTATTGGTCTGCCAAACATTTTTATTTTTAACACTTTGACATTCTGAACGCTGCTCTGCCTGACATTTGTGAGCTTATTGATCCCTGTTGACACTCATTAGCCTCTGCCTAGTCATGCTCAGTGTGTCCCTCTGCTTTACAAACACACACCTTCCCCCTTGCTCCTCTCCCATGATAGTTTGTATTGCTGTAGCACAACATATTGAAAGTAGTTCCAACATCGAGTAGTTCCAGTTCCAACATCGAACGTTTTCAGACATGCACGACTTTTTTGTGCTCCCAAACAGTGTTGCATATTGATCTAAGCTCCTAATGATGATGTTTTATAGCCAACTGGCTCATAGGTGAGTCAGCCCTCTGGGAAAATGTCCAGTTTTTTAGATTCCCAGCCCTGGCCAAGGCTTCCTCTCCTCTCCTCTCCTCTCCTCTCCTCTCCTCTCCTCTCCTCTCCTCTCCTCTCCTCTTCGCTCCCCTCCCCTCCTCTCCCCTCCTCTCCATGGGGCATGCACCACATAGGACAAAATGAGCAGAACATGGCAGGTAGCACATGTTGTTGTTGTTTTGCATCTTGTTTATCTTGATTATCTCACTCTCATGATCATGTGAATATTAAAATTGTGTGATGTGTGATAAGTTAAATTGAAATGTGATTATTCGCCAAACCTCACAATATGACTTCACACATTTCTCCCACCCCATGGGTGGAGCCGGCACTGCAGAGATGGAGGTGTAGGAAGATAGGGAAGGAGTCATCAGCAGCAAGGAAGAAAAACAAGTTGATTTGTTCAAATAACCTGAGTGGAGATGATTTAATGAATTTTAGCAATTTATGAGAGCGCTGCAGATTGTGTTGAGATAATGGGATGAACAGGCCTGCTTGTAATTCTGATTCTGTCCCCTCAGGAAATGCCAGTCCTAAAGTTGCCATGTTGCAGTAAGCCTATTTGATTGAAGTGCCTACCAAATGGCTGCTTTAATGCCCTTAAGTTCTTCTAAAACTGGGACACAGCATTTCACTGAGTGCTGCTGTGGCAACATACATTTTCACAAAAGAACTCTTGGACTCCTCCTTAATAAATTTGAATTGACAGTAATCATATAAGTGTCTACAGTGTGATAATCACCTATAAAATTTCCCTCTATTGCAATTGTTAAGAGTAGTTTTCTTGACTCCTCCCATATCATCTTCTCCCACGTCCATGTACAAAACCCAATTCCATTGAAGTTGGGAAATTGTGATAAACGTAAATAAAAACAGGATACAATGATTTGCAAATCCTTTTCAACCTTTATTCAATTGAATACACTACAAAGACAAGATATTTAATGTCCAAAGTAATTTTTTTTTGCAAATGATTATTAACTCAGAATTCAAAGTAGTTGGGACAGGTGCATGTTTACCACTGTGTTACATAACCTTTCCTTTCAGTAACACTCAATAAATGTTTGGGAACTGAGGAGACTAATTGTTGAAGCTTTGAAGGTGGAATTCTTTCCCATTCTTGCTTGATGTACAGCTTCAGTTGTTCAACAGTCCGGGGTCTCCGTTGTCGTATTTTACGCTTCATAATGCACCACACATTTTCAATGAGAGACAGGTCTGGACTGCAGGCAGGCCAGTCGAGTACCCGCACTCTTTTACTATGAAGCCACGCTGTTGTAACACGTGCAGAATGTGGCTTGGCACTGTCTTGCTGAAATAAGCAGGGGCGTCCATGAAAAAGACGTTGCTTGGATGGCAGCATATATTGCTGAAATCCCTAAATTCCTTGCAATTGTACTTTGAGAAACGTTGTTCTTAAACTGTTCAACTGTTTGCTCATGCAGTTGTTCACAAAGTCCTTGCTTGTGAATGACTGAGAATTTTTGGGGACGCTGCTTTTATACCCAATCATGGCACCCACCTGTTCCCAATTAGCCCGCTCACCTGTGGGATGTTCCAAAAGGTGATTTATCAGCATTCCTCAAAATTCTCAGTATTTTTTGCCACCTTTCCCAGCTTCTTTGTCATGTGTTGTTGTCATGAAATTCTAAAGTTAATGATTAAAAAAATAAAGTTTATGAGTTTGGACATTAAATATCTTGTTGTTGTAATGTATTCACTTGAATATAAGTTGAAAAGGATTTGCAAATCATTGTATCCTTTTTATTTACGTTTATCACAATTTCCCAACTTCAATGGAACTGGGTTTTGTATGTCAGCATTCTGCAGGGTCTTGCTTGGCTCAAATGACACAGCACTTGGAAGCAACAAAACTGACATATGGCTGGTGCTTCACTTTCATATTTTCTACCTTCTTTTTTTTTTTTTGCCCCTAATTCAAATTATTTAGTTCTTTATTTTTGTATTATAAAATGGCCCCTATCTCACCTGTCATTAAATCCAAACTTAAGCTGTGTTTAAAGTGAGACATGTGGTGACCCTGGCAGCTGAAATGTGACAGCTTTAAGAAGAACTTCATGGCAAATACATGAATGCCTGTACAGGATTGCATCCCGTGATCTTGAAGTTCACTCTGAAAAAAAAGATGTTTTAGATGTTATATTATTTTAATGAGATGCTAGATCTTATTATCTGAAGTCAGTGCAATTTCACCTTCTGACTTTCTGAAAAAGCTCTCAAAATGTTGTTGTCTTTGTGACAGCGTTTACCTTGTGTTTGGTTGGGGCCCGACGTGTGCCTGATGCCTGAAAAGCAGTGACTGATGTTTCACAAAGTTTTTCTTTTCCATACTTGCCCCCAGCTGCATTTCTGCAGAAACATTTGCATTGCTGCTGTGTGCATACTAAGTAGGACAGACATGCAGGGTTAACAACATTGTTATAAGGACGTGTGACCTGAGCGATGACTGACAGGCAATGACTGTATATCGAACATTAAATATGTCAGTTAGATTTAGTCTGTCAAAGGGTCATATTTTTCAGTATTGGTTGCTTTTGCTTTTATTCCAGACCCCTACTGTCCGTCTACATCTATACATAATATATTATTTAACATGCAGTTATGTTTAATTAAGCCCTCCAAGCTGCAGCCTTCAAAAGCACACCATTCAGCATGCCTATTAAAGGAGTAAAACCTTCAAGTGTTGGACTCTTGATTATTCAGTACCAGTAAATGCAAGTAAGGGCTGTGCTTTGTGATTTTCTTGAGGCACATTTTTCTGTCTTACAGAAAAGCACTCAGACAACAGGACATGCCTGTCAGCCAAGTGCTCAAAACTGACAAATGTAGGCACGTGTTTCTTGCACACGTTTCTTCTCATTTGTCTGTGAAGATTTTTGTAGATATTGAAATGACCCCCCCTATTGTTAAATGTCACTTCTATTTCATTAGATGAGGCATTTCCTCTACATGTCCCCATTCATTTCTGAGTCTGACCTTAACCCAGTAACCCCTCCACGCAGCCATCTGATTCCACCACACTCTGCTTCAGCCCTCTGCCAACTTCAGCACCAACCCCCTCCCTCATTCAGGCCCACACACACACACACACACACACACACACACACACACACACACACACACACACACACACACACACACACACAGCCCGACACAGACACTGATTTTTTTCTGTTTCCCTAGGCCCTTAGATATGAATGTAATGTCTTCACACACCCTCACCAAAACCCCTGGAGAAGTTGATTTGACAAATAAACAAGCTCTAGCCTGTAAATAAGCCACACAGAGTACATTTGAATTTAATGCGTTCCTGAGTGAGATGTGAAATCACTGAAAGCTGTAAGCCAGGTTCTAGGCTTTCCTTGTTTTCTATCCTTGTCCATCTATCTGCCACCTTTGTTGACTTGTCTTTATTTGACTTGTTTTCTTTACCAATAGAGAGACATGTACAGATTACTGAATACTTGATGATTAAATGTGCACACCACATCCTCCCTCACATGTGCATCCAATGTCATCTCTCTATCTGTCCACATGCTGCTGTGAACCTTGACCATCCCAATCTCATCAGGAGTCAGTCCAAGGTAGCAACACACACAAACGCACCCCCCCCCCCCCCCACACACACACACACAAAAAAAAACACGAGCTAATACCATGTTACCACAAAGTGATGTCTGTACGACACTTTTTGCCAGAGGAGTTTAAAACATTCAGGAAATACGTAGAAAATGTTAGTGATTTTACCCCTTGGTGACTCACTCAAGTGTGTGTCTTCAAAGGAAGTCTTTAAATTTCATTTGAAAAAAAAAAAAAAACATTGTAGTACACAAACCACATGACACTTTATCACACTATTAATTGCACACTACTGTTGATAGACAAAATTGAAGTATAATTGATTTACAGGAATACATATCTTCAAATTGATGAACTTTTCTTTCAGTAGTAACTTTTGTTAAATCCCTTTCTCTCTTCATCTGTATGATTAATCAAGATGAAATGAAAAAAAAGAAATTTAAAAAATGAAAATTGCTGTGTTCCAACTAAGACATACAGACAGCCATTATTAGTATTTTTCATGCTGCTGCTTATAACTTCCAGGTCTTTGCCTATGATTACTGTTTTTGGTCCATGGATGAAACAGATAAGGAGAAGTTTGCAGGTATGTTCACTTTAAGATCAGTTCACATCATTAAGCTTGAATGGCAACTCATTGTTATTGAAAGACCAAGTCCAGCTAGAAAAAACTCAATTGTGTGTGTCTTTTCAGGTCAGGAGGTGGTCTTCCAGTGCCTTGGGGAAAGTCTTCTTCACAACGCCTTCCAGGGCTATAATGCCTGTATATTTGCCTATGGACAAACTGGTAATTTCCCATCAGACACTCACTGTTACATGGTTGACCTCATATGAAAGTATTTTTCCTAACGAGAACTGCAGGAGTCTAAACAACATGTGAACAACATAGTTTTCAGTGCCCTCAAGCTTTTTGTTGAACTATGAAGAAGGGAGTGTCAGTGTGGATGTGTTACGACAGGGCCTCCTCTTCTCTCCCTCCAGCCCAAAAAAGGGAAATACAAAGTAGGGAATTTATATAAAAGAGGTATAATGGCCCCTCTCAGTGCTACTAGAACCCAAACAGAAGTGAGGCATGATGTAGAGACAGTGTCTACTCTGGTTGAAATGTAAACATTCCTGTTCAATCGGACAAGCATCAGACAGAGTCCTACCAAGAGACAGTGCTGAAACATGCTCTGCGCAGCAGGCACACAGTCAAGAGATAATCTCTCTGTTCTCTTTGTTTACGCAGAATTTCAATGCAACTGATCTCTCAACAAACATGTCAGAGCTGATTAGACTGTTGAGTGTCAACACAAAAACCAGGATATGTTTTATTACAGCAGGTTCAACTCAACCTTCATTATGTCGCTCTTTTTTATCACATTATACATTTTGTTTTAGGGTCATAGCAAGTGATGATACTATACCGAGGTCCAATTTATTCAAGAGTGTTTCTGTGTTTTTGCGTATGACCCATGCACTTAGTATCATATGAACATCTAATGTTCTTTAATTTGCATCATAAATATTGTTGAAAATAGATCAGGGCTTGTCTAATACCTTTGACAACCACAATACATGGTGCAGCCAGGTGAAAAATCTAATTAAAGCTGTGACATATTCTTGTAAACTTAAAGGGGACCTGCCATCAAAATTTCATACCCATTTTTATCAATTTTTCATAATCCTTGATGTCCTCTGATCATGTTTGCAACATAATTTTAGCTGAAAAGTTATTTGATGGTTTGTTTTAGTATGCCTAAAAAACCTTACAGGAAAACCAACTGGTTTTGGCTCATTAACATTTATGGTAATGAGCTTTGCTCTGATTGGATCGCTGCTGTGAAGACTGCTGTGCTCTGATTGGCTCAGCAGTGGAGGTTCGGATTTCGGTTTATCCATTGTTATTATGCTAATGCTAATAGCATATGCTAATGTGTGATAAAGTAAGGTGCCCAGATGTCTGTAATGATATCCGGGGATATTTGATGCGGCGGGGGAGGGTGCAGGGGCTGCAGGGGCTGTGTGATCACAGACAACATCTTGGTACTATTTAGTAGCAGCGCATGCCCCTTATAATAACCCCCTTAAAAACTGTTGTTCACGACTGCTAACTTGTGCTTCCTACCCATTCGGCTACTGTAATAACCGTTGTTCGAGCCCACACGCAACATTTTTGCTCTCATTCATGAAACGCTTAAATTGGGGACATATTCGGGGACAGCTTTTGCCGGGGACAGGTCATCCAATACGGGGACTGTCCCCAGAAATCGGGGACGTCTGGTCACCTTATGCTAAAGGCTAAAAACGGCAGGTATTAAACCATATATTTTAGACCCCGAGTCCGAAGAGGAGGTGGAAGTTGAGGAAGAAGCCGGAGATCTCCAGCGGTGTTTTCTCATTCATTCTGTCCAGCTTTAAGTTCATTTTCCCGCCAGTGAACCCAAGAAAACACCGGTCGTTTGGAAGAGACCCATAGCGGATACAGTGGTAGCTGGGTCTCGCTCTGGCTGGAGAGTGATGTTGACTGTGAATGAGTACGAGAACGAGAGAGTGGGCGCGGCTCACCGAGGACGCGCTCGTGAATAATAATGAGCAAGGTCAGCGCGACATCAGAGGGACCTGCTTTTTCAATTGGCCTGGTTTACCCGTTCCTTTATTTTAAACCTTTACAGAATGCAAACGACGTAACATTTTTCTTTTCCACATTTACAACAAAAGACGAACATAATATGGACCTTATCTGACACAAAAAACACACAAAATTACATTTTGATGGCAGGTCCCCTTTTAACAGCAAGGGTTACCAAAGACTATAAACTTGACATCAGCAGGGTTTATTATAGAGCTGCTGTAATGGACTGCATAGCTGCACTCTTTTAAATATTCTTTAAAGGGAATTTATCAGTTTACAGGGACGGCCAGCTCAGTCTTTTTTGTGAAACCTTTTCTCATCTGGTTGACATTTGACCTGTTTGTTGTTCCAGGTTCGGGAAAGTCGTACACCATGATGGGCTCAGGGGACCAGCCCGGTCTGATCCCCCGGCTGTGCAGTGCTTTGTTTGACCGAACTCAGAAAGAAGGGCGGGAGGAGGAGAGTTTCACTGTTGAGGTGTCCTACATGGAGATCTACAACGAGAAAGTCCGAGATCTGCTCGACCCCAAAGGGTATGACCTCAACCCTTTTTTATAACAAGACAGATCACTTTCCCTCCCTGTGTATCTCATAATGTCTCTGATTAGACCTCTAGAAACAGAAATTATAACAGGAACAGTACAAGGCAAAAAAACACACATTTTTGACTTTGACATCTTTGAATCTGTTCACAGAAGATAAAACTTTGTAGCTTTTATTGTAATAAATTTGCTGAGGTTCGATTCTTTCACAGATGCAGATCACAGGGTCTCTGATCTGTAGAAACAGTAGTCATGGCCTGGCACGTCAACTTTAAATCCTATTAAAAGATTTCAAGTCTATAGTAATTTAGTCGATCTTATGGACAAACAAAAAACTCTGCTGATCAGAAACAGTGTCTGATGGATCCTGGCGACTCCAGCTGCTGCGGTCCGTGGATAAAAAGATCATTCCACGCAGTCGCTGATGGAGTCCAGTTCATGTCCAGCAGGTCAGCAGTAAATCAGGAGCACAGGCCTGCATCTGCCGCCCCAGACACCATAACCTCTGACCGTCTCTCACTTTGTAACCTTTGACCTCAGTAAAAAGGGCCAAATTCAAGCAGACCATCTGACAGCCATATGGGCTTCACTGAGCTGCTGAGAATGATGAAGTTCTCTGACCTGGAGAAAGTTTGAATCAGGGTCAGAGAGCCAAGTGCTCACCAAGTCTCTATTAAATGTTACAGCAGTGGACAGATCCAGCTGAGCCCACACTGCCACTTCAAATTCATATCAGGAATCTAAATTTACCAACAGTGACCATGTTTGCCTCTGTTTTTTAAAACTTTCTGTTATTTCCTCTCCAGGGGACGTCAAACCCTGAGGGTTAGGGAACACAAAGTTTTGGGTCCCTATGTGGATGGCCTGTCTCGACTCGCTGTGGCCAGTTACAAGGTAAACTTTTTCTTGAATAGTCACTTTTGTTTGTTTTCATACTTTGATGTCAGGTTTATTTACACCATGACTGTCTTATATTTGATGCTGTGTTACATTCTGTCAAATGGCAGCTTAACAATGGAGCTGAATCTCTAAACTTAGGATAATCAATGGTGGTAGATTTCTTGTCAGTATTTCTCCGTGATTACACCAAAACTTTTCTAAAATGTCACCATGGATGACATGCTTCAAGGAGACCAACAAACACTGAAACCCTTAATCCAATTTTACAAAGAATATGAAGATTCTATGAAGTTCATCACTCTCTTATAGACTACCTGGAAAATAGTTCGGCAATTCCAGAATCCTGTTCGCCAAAGTAAAATTGTGAAGAATCAGCTGATTTCAACTTCTACATTACATAAGATCATGAAAAGATTCAGAGAATCTGGAGAAATCCATTTAATCTATTTACAAATAGGGACAAGGCTAAGAAAACAATACTAGATGGTCACATTTTTCAGGCTCTTAGCAGCACTGTATAAAAACAGACTCAGACTCAGCAGTGGAAATCACTTCATAGGCTCCAGATCACATCCACTGTCTACTGTCGGTCTTTGTGAAATATCCACTAAGGCAGGTTAGAACTGTATCATGCAAAGAGGAAACCTAATATAGATATGAGCCCAATGAACTGAGGCAAAGTAGAAAACTGTCTTTTGGTCCAAAAAAGTGTGAAGTTCCATTTTTTTTTTTTTTTTGGAAGGCATGGACTTAGCTCTTTTTAATTTTAGGAGGACAGGCTCCACCTGGCTCTTTATCAGCTCACAGTAAAAAAAAAACTGTGGGGATGCTCATGTGCCCCTGACATTGCTAGTTTATATATCTGGAAAGACACCCTTACAGAGGAAAAAATATACAGAAACAATACCTTTTTGAGGAAGACCTCGCATTATACAGGAAGAAAATACCAAACTACAATTCACACTACCTTCAAGAGGCCTGGCTCCATAAAAGAGGAGTCCATAAAAAGTGAGGAGTCCATCACTTTCAGAACTGAAGGCACTGGTCTCCTCTTTTCCCCAAAGTGCTGTTCAAAAACGAGATGATGATGATAAAACAGAACAGTAAACATGCCTCTGTCACAACTTAGTTTGAAAAGTGTTGCTGGTATCAACTTTAAAATGAGCACATATGTTTCAATACACTGCAAAATATTTCAGCTTTAACCTCTGATGTGTGGTCTCACACTAATTTTGATGACATATTTGAGGTGTCACTGATTTGGAAACCACCAGTCTTTCTTCTGAACATTTCACACATTGTCCAAACTCTTGTGAGACTCTACAAGATTCTCTTTGCAGCAAGTGTCGTATTGGCAGAATATCAGTATAGTTTATTAATAAACTATTGTTTGTTTGATGACAGGACATTGAGTCTCTGATGTCAGAGGGTAATAAGTCTCGGACTGTAGCAGCCACCAACATGAATGAGGAGAGCAGTCGATCACATGCTGTCTTTAACATCATCCTTACGCACACACTCAAAGACCTGCAGTCTGGGGTAAGATATAACGCACACACACACACACACACACACACACACACACACACACACACACACACACACACACACACACACACACACACACACACACACACACACACACTTTGTTGGTGCATAATTTTAAAGAATTGAATATCTGAATTGTTATAATGATGGATTGTGAAAGTACTTGTGTTTACTACTGACGGAGAAGAGATGCAGATGGCTTTGGTGTGATGGTGTAGTGCTCTAAACATGCCAACCCTCTAGTCCAACAGATAATTAGTGTCCACTTCTGTGGTAGGGGACGGTGCCAGAAAGGCTGCTGGGAGCTGAGCCAGGTCCCAGCAGCCTCTCTGGCATACTATTTTTGAGCAGAAGTTGTTTGGCATGTTGGAGGAGTCAATCCTTCTTGATTGTGTCCATTCAGCCTGAGCACACACTGTGAGGTTATCCTGGTTCACTCATCATTAGTTATTGATCATCTTGACATTTGGTGATGTAATATTATGGCGCAGCTTCTGTCCAGACATTTTTGTTGGTACCAGAGCAGAAGTGTCTGTGTCACTTGCATGACTAAGCAATGGTTGTCTGGCAACTTTTAGATCAATCTCTCGCCGGGTGAAAAGTTGGGAACAAAATGGGATGATGTCAGCTCAGCTGTCTGACCTAACACTCCAAGAAAAGAGCTCATTCCCCTTCCTCGCTGACCTACTTAGCCTATCCTGCTCCATGCTCTTGTTTGTAGAAAAACTTAACCACCAGCAAATCTTGTTAATAATTCACAGGCATGACTTTCAGTTTGTCAGCTGATATGGTGCGCTCTGTTTTCAAGCCACACCTACAGTCAGTCTTCAGCCTGGTCAGTCAGTCAGTAGGTTCATCAAGCACACAGCGGAAGTGCAGACTGTAAAGTCAGTGAATCACTCAGCTGACATGTTCACAATCTGGCCCAGGCGGTCCTTTGTTTGGTGAATTTGTTGTTTTATTTAATTGTGTCCTCATTTGATGAATAAAATGAAATGACCTGAAAAGTCTACATGATTTCGCACTCTGAAGGGGAACTCCTCTTTGACCACGAAAAGCCCCACTAGATTAGATCGAAGCTCACTTCATTGAAATAATCTGTGTTACAGCTTTTTTTGTTTATTTTGTCTACACTGCAGTTTTTGGCATTATTGTGTGATCATGTTTTCATGTTTCACACTGTATGGCTTTGTGTGCAAGGTGGGTATTAAGTTAAAAAAACTTAAAACAAAAATGAAGGGATTATCACAGCCTTAAAATGACACAGTGGAAATGTTTCCGATGAGAAATTACTCCACCAGTTGTAGACCTCTGCACTGGTTTGAAATGCATCCTTTGTCAGCCCCCCTTCCTCCACCCCCGCCCTCCTCAGGCTCACTTTACAATAGTTTTGCTGATGTTAATGAAAGAACAAATAAAGCTGCAGGTGTTAAAAAGTGTATTGTCCTAATATTTACAGGAAGACTGACAGTAGGCAGCATTTAAGCTAATCTGTGCCCCCGGATGACTCAGGTAACGTTGTTGAATAGAGGAACAGTGTTGAACCAGCCAACATTAACACTGAGTGAAATCATCAAGTGCTGGGTGAGTCATTCTGACTCTCCCTCAGCTTATTACAGGATTTCCTCTGAGTTACATGCACATGCTCTGCTCTGACATGTCAGTCAGACACAGTGCAGACGAGTTGACTGAACTTCAGCCCCTCTTTGTGACCAACTCAGGCCTTTACTCTTGTTTTCTTCTGTTGTTCTACACCCAAGTTACAACCAGCTGTTATTGACGGATCAGATTTTGTGGAGAGAAAGAGACAGCCGCTTGAGATTCATTTTTTATGATTTGTTTTCCAGTTTACTCAATGATTTACATTTTAAGTACTTGCTGATTTTCTGACTCTTGCTCTCTCCTGGAACTTTAATGCTGCTGCCAAGTGGTCGAAATAGATCTGGTTACTGACTGTGGTATCATGTGTCCTAGTTTACAGACTAGTAATGCCTTATGCATACAGTGCACACACAGTGGTGAACAACACTGAAAAAGACAGAACAAAAAGATAGACTGATGTGACTTTCAGAGTCTGACATGATCAGCTACCAGAGCTCTGTGTCAGATTACAGTCATTGATTATTACATCCAGGGGTTCTGATTCTGATTTCAAACTCTTCTAACTTCCCACTAGGTCTATTGTTGATGTGAACAGCTATTTTCTAGCTCTGTCTAAATTTCCATCCTTAAGGCCTTATTTGAAGAAAAAAAAGGCTTGGGTTTATTTTTGGGTCATATTGGCTCAGTGTTTCTGATAAAAATCTTATGTTTGTTTTTACAACTCTGGGGGATTTTAAGAACCACAATCTGAGGCTGTCTACTATTAGTGGAGCTGGGGTTGATTTTAATCACTAAATTGAATGAATTGGTCTTTTCATTATTCGGGCTTAGAGTTGCTCTACCTAAGATTTTAATGTGAAATGAGATACAGGATGAAAACCCTCAAGATGCCTGGAAAGAAAAGACTAAATCATGTCTTGAGTACCTGTTACATGGGTAGCTCACACAGCACAGCTCCACAGTGAATGAGTTTACTGCAAAACTCACATGGCTGTAATCCCAACCAGTCACATTTTGACGACATTTAATGCATCATGTCAGAAAAAATATCTGACAAAGGAGAGCCTGAGCTGCTGAGTGGTTGAAATATGTGAGGCAAGAATGGGACTAATTTAATTTGTAAAACCCCAGATTAAACTCCTCAGTCCCCCAATGTTGACAGTCCTGTTTAAAGACAAGGTTGTGCAACACAATAATAGCAAACATGCACCAGCTGTTTTAAAACACATTGCTTTCATCAAATTCACAGTAGTCATATATATTTTTTATAAACCAGTAACAGTTTTCACTTTCAGAATTCATATATTGTATTTTTACTTTTTGCAGTTGTATAAATGATTCACAAACCATCAAACTATGTTTTTATAAACATTTTAGGCAGTGTCACCACTGTTTTGGAATTGGGGGTGTACTTCAGTACATATGACAGATATACTGTGGCTCTGAAGGTCAATGGCTCAAATATTTGGGAAAACAAAAACATTTTGGAAACATGAACAAATTTTGAAAAAATAGAAATGATTCTGTGCCCACAAAATGTATTCGCAATTCCAGAATGTTTCTGTTTTATAATTTTAATTGTGATTTTGTTTATATGAAATGTTTTTTTTGGGGGGGGGTTGTTTTGTAAAGTGTTTGTGTGATTGTGGGTTATTTTTTGGCATTGAATGAAATGTATTTGGATTTATGAACTTAGATTTTTGGCCTACTGAAAATATTTGTCTCATTGACCTTCAGGGCCACTGTACGGACAGTTAAAAACTGCTTGTGCTAAAGAGAAACCAAATGTGCAGAATAACAGCATCAAAAGGCAGCATCATTGTCAACCAGCAGAGTTTCAACATTGTGGATCTGACCTGATGGGGGAGTCAACAGGCACACCACTGAAGACGCCACAGGAGTAGGCATGTGCCGATATGAAAAATTTGATATCACGATATTGGTGGCCCAAAATATCACGATTCACAATATGATCACAATATTAGCGCATTGCTTTTAATGTTATTAAAAATGGCAAAAAACACTGCGAAATCACTCCTCTGTGCACAGCATGACACGCACAAACAATATGAGCAAGAGGCAGCTAATGCAACGTTGGGAGCATTAGCTTTTTGGAGCTAAAGTTAGCAGAAACGTCACTAACGTTGTCAATAATAAGCAGTAGAGTAGACCGAACTTGTTGCAGTCATGTTGTTTTTACCTTGATTTGGGCGAACGATGCTGGATGGTGTTCACGGAGGTGGGCACGTAGGTTTGAAGTGTTCGAAAATGGCGCTGCAACTTCCTTATGGCATAACCTGCAGATTGGTGTCAGGTTTACCTGCTCTGTCTGTTTTGTGAAGCCGTAAAACGTCCATACTGCAGACGAAACCTTTTTAATAGGAGGATACAGCCAAGGTGTTTCGTCATTCTCAGTCTCTGACTGTTCTTGGTCCGGTGTTATGCTGTACAGTCCCTGACAAAAGTCTTCATCGCTTGGGTACAGGTTGACCTTAAGTGCCCCTCAAATATATGTGCAATCAATTTTTTTTACAAGAAATGTCTAATTTCAATCCCAACAGCGTTTGAAATAATGTTTTGGTGCCTTCAGTGAAGGAAATTTATTTTAGATTTTAAACATAATTTGGGAGGGTTTTAGCTTTCATATGAGCCATTTCTAAAACCAATGGATTAATGACAAGTCAGGTTATAAGCTGTTGTTTCTACAAAATGGATAAGCGACAAGACTTTTGTCAGGCACTGTAGAATGCACCCCTGCCGCTGAATGCACCCCTGACGGGAGCGCGGTTGAGAGTACATAACAAGGTGAAATAATCCAAGTTTTCTTACAGTTGGGTGGATTCAAAAGCGTGTGCCTCTAATGATTTCATTCAGACTGTTCAGATAAGCTGAAAACAATAGCGCGCTCTGAATCGTAATATTTGCTGTCCCGAAAATATAATGTTCTCTACCTTGACAACTTACTGTACAGTTTATGTACCCAAGTACACCTCTGTGTGCATTTTTGGGACACATTAAAACAGAACGAAAGTTTGCTGCTCCATTTGACATGTTGTCATGATCCAATTCTCGTGTTTTTTAAAATATCAGATCATATCTCCTCCACTTTAAGAAGCTAATGAGTGGATGGGATGCATTGTCGACACGCTCCAACAGTGCGTTGAGTGGCTGCAATGCATTGTGGGTGGCCATGCGTTTTGTTGTAAAATTTCTTCATTCTCTCTTTTAATGTTCCCGTTTTTGTTAGGCTGGCATTAATGTACTTATTTCGAGAGTTTTTTTGGATTTGGAACTACTTATGTGGTGGTTTGTTTGTACATTTTGCTACCGAGGCTTTGACACCGTGGGTAAGACTACAAGCGGGTTAAGTTGGTAAGTACTCGGCTTCGCTCGCCACCGCCGAGTGTCGCTGCCACTCAAATTATAATTGTTGAACGATTTTTACAGTACCTTACGATTTCATTATCGTGACCGTTTAATGTCGCATATCACGCTTAAATCGTATATAGACACATCCCTACACAGGAGAGGTGTAAACATAGAAAGATGTATGGAGGCCTGAGGGTTTAGAGTAAATAACAAGAGGGGCAGTATCACAGGATCTTGGCAGTACCAGGTGCCTCATTGTTTGACCTTTGTTACCAGGAAACCGTTTGTTCTCAGAGTCTTGCTATGAAGACACATAATGGATTGAGTCTTTACACTGAACATGTTATACCAGTGATATACAGCTGGCAGTGTTGGACTGTTCTTTGCAAAGGCTTGTTTAAATATGAGTTAGCCAAAGGACTTCTTGTATCTCAGAGGGACTGTAGCTGAACAGTTCTGCTTACTGACAGGCTATCTCATCTGCTGATGTGCTGCTTTAGCTGTGCAGCAGGTGAAGAACAGGTGTTACATTCAGCCTCCTCAGCAACAGACCTGAGAGGCTCTGTCAGTAAAGATGGCTATGTGATGCCAACATCCTCAACTGCCTCAGCAAGAAAACTGAGGCAAGCTGTCCACAAATGGCTGAAAGATGCCAAACTGACTCATCACAGAGTACTATGAAGCTCAGAAGAGTCACAAGAATCAAAATCAAGATCCTCTGAGCTAAACAGAGACATTCAGCAGAACAACTTCCACAAGAATGTTTCAAATAAAGCAAACGTGTGGTAGTTTACTTTTGGCCTCTTTTGCTGCCATTGTTGAAAACCAAAGTAGTGTTTATCATTAAGGTGCTGAAAACCCAGGAGGGATCGTTCTGTTGAAGCGTCTCCTCGCTGACTCTTGATTTGTCACTTTTGTCAGATCTCATGTAGACGTGTAAATGTCTTTTTAAGAATCTCATCGACCCACCAGTTAGAAGACAGACAGGGGAGACACAAAGACTGGTGGCATTTGGCTATTAAAAGAAATAAACAAGTTGGTGTCATGACAGTAAATGATGCCTGATCGCTGTAGCAATTACAAATGCAGGTATGGTACAGTTAAGTCCATGCATGCTTTATGTCTGTCTTCAGTTTGTTGACGTAATTTTGTCTGGTCTGTTAAAGTACATTGAATGCTGCCATTCAGAGCCCATTTAAAAGGCAACACAAAAGAGAGACTGAATTACCCGATCAGACTCTTTGGAACTTTTAAAGGGAGATGCTTTGCATTGATTTTCACTGTGTCTTATTATTACTGTTATCTTAGCCTTTGTAATTTTTTTTAAATCAAACTACTTTTGTTTTCTCCACCACTTGTGGTTTAAATTAAAGATATACAAAGACCCTAAACAAAACAAAAACAAGATTTCCTTTTTCTCCATCTTTTTCGGCAGACGAGTGGGGAGAAGGTGAGTCGCTTGAGTCTGGTAGACCTGGCTGGAAGTGAGCGAGCAGCAAAAACCGGAGCAGCAGGAGAACGACTCAAGGAGGGAAGCAACATCAACAAGTATGAAGAAGTAGTTCAACACAGATACACGCTTGACACACCAACACACACGCATGCACACACTTAAAGCCATGATGAAGTGTTTGCCTAGACTCAGACCTTTACTTCTCTGAAGAAGCTTATTTCTTTTAAGACTGACTCTTGTCAGTTCAGTCTCTCTTATACTTGAAGTGGATAAGTCTGGAAAACTGAGACATTCTATGAAGCTACATTTTAATGCTAGTAAGAGGAGGAGAAACACAATAACACTGACTACAAGAGGACAAGGTGATGCCAGTGATCTGAGCAGATAGATGTAATGACCTGGAAACCACCTGACTTTGCATCATCGTGTGTTTGTTTTCAGGTCACTCACTACACTGGGGCTGGTGATCTCGGCACTAGCTGAACAGGGAACAGCCAAAAACAAAAACAAGTTTGTTCCTTACAGAGACTCTGTTCTGACATGGCTGCTGAAGGTACATACGTGCAAATGACTGAACAGTGGTTCATTATAACGCTCTTTGTTGCCATTAGAAAGCATGTTAATTATATTTACACTTCTCTCTCCTTGCCTTCCCCCTTCTCCTCTCTCTCTTGCCACATTTGACCTCTTTTCAGGACTGTCTGGGCGGCAACAGTCGCACAGCAATGGTTGCAACTGTGAGTCCAGCAGCAGACAACTATGAAGAGACACTATCAACGCTCCGCTATGCTGACCGAGCAAAGAACATAGTTAACCATGCCGTGGTTAATGAAGACCCCAATGCCCGTATTATCAGGGAGCTCAGAGAAGAAGTGGAAAAACTACGAGTGCAGCTGACTCAGGCAGAGGTGAGTTGTCTTTATGATCTTTGAAACCAGAATTAGTAGTCCTTTGTGTTTACTACACTCTCATCTCATTTGTTCTCCAGTCTTTGAAGGCTCCAGAGCTGAAAGACCGCCTGGAAGAGTCTGAAAAGTTGATCCAAGAGATGACCGTCACCTGGGAGGAAAAGCTGCGCAAAACTGAGGAGATTGCACAAGTCAGACTCACTGTAGTTCATTTTGTGTTTGGTTGTTCTAAAACTGTGAACACTGTCCTCATTGTTGTTTGTGTTTGCAGGAGCGTCAGAAGCAGTTGGAGAGCCTGGGTATTTCTCTACAGTCTTCAGGGATTAAAGTCGGTGATGACAAGAGTTTTCTTGTCAACCTTAATGCTGATCCTGCCCTCAATGAACTGCTGGTGTACTACCTAAAGGTACACAGACAGAGCCTCACACACACACACCTATGAACATTGTGAACATGTACACAGAGTACCACTCCAGCCAAGTTTAGTGAGTGGGTTTGAAAAGGCTGACCAGGTGGAAATCCTTTCTGAATGACTGTGGGTGCATGAAGAAAAACTTTATTTATCCCTGAAGAGAAATTCAATGATAAAAGCAATGCCTGAAATTTTTCATAGGATCAATATAGCTTGCATCCATCCATCTACCCCCCCCTTCCTCCCTCCCTTCCTTCCTTCCTTCCTTCCTTCCTTCCCTTCTTCTATCCTCCCTTCTTTTCTTCCTTCCTTCCCCCTTCCTTCCTTCCTTTCTTCATCCCCATTCTTTCCTTTCTTCTTCCCCTATTCCTTTCTTCCTTCCATCCTTCCTTCCTTCCTTTATCCCCCATTCCTTCCTTCCTTCCTTCCTTTTTTATTTCTGCCTTTCTTTCTTTTTCTTGAGTTGGAAAGTACCAAAAAAAAAACTTCATACGAACCACGACTACAAATCTTTCCAAAAGACTCATTTGATGTTCAGGTTAATTCAAAACAGACTAAGACAGTCAGGAAAGGGTGAAATAAAATTCAATGCATTTGTGATTTCCAACAAAAGTGTAAACACTAGATGGCCCTGCTTTGTTTTTTCCCTGTTCTTCAAACTCTCAGCTGTTAAATAATCTCTTGACTTTTCTTTTTCAGCAACACACAAAGGTGGGCTCAGCAGACTCTCAGGACATTCAGTTGTGTGGGATGGGCATCCAGGCAGAGCACTGTGTCATCGACATTACAACAGAAGCTGCTGTCATCCTCAGTCCTTATAGAAATGCTCGGTAAGTAACCCCGGCAGCATCACACTCTCTGCAGTGTGTCACTGAAAGATGTTTTTATCCTGAGAGACATTAAGCCATGTTTCCTTCAACCTCTGTTTTTCTCATAGGACCTGTGTCAATGGTTCTCCAGTTACAAGTGCTCTCCAGCTTCATCATGGTGACCGAATCCTCTGGGGAAACAACCACTTCTTTAGGTTGGTTTACATACCTCCACATCTGCAAAAATGTGGGATTTCAAAAATTTTAATCAATAATTCTCTGGACAGTTTCATTTTACACGTGTAATGACGGCTCTAAATATACTTAAATATTGTTTTAAATCATTTTGTCTTAATTTGCTGTTCTTTTTGTTCAAACGCACCACTGTAATTCATCTCACATTTCAAATACTGCCTATTATCAACCTTTTTCATATGCACACTCCTGAAAATGCTTGGACATTTTAAATTCTCCTTAAATTGTCTTATTTTTTTACGTACACATTTCCTAAATAGATGAAAAAGACTGACTGTGAAAGCAGCCTCATTAAATGCTCCTAGATTGTATCTGTCATATACTGTTCACAATATAGAAACCTCACCACTTCTCACCATTTTATCACAGTGCATTTTCCTCAATTATACTCAGACCTCTTACAAAAAAACTGTGTCCTGGAGGGTTGAAGATTTTGAAGAAAAAGTTAGAAGTGAAGTTCAGGAGAGAAAAAAATCATGTTTGTTTTGCCCATCCATGAAAATTCCTAAAATGTTCATGAGTTTAGTGCATCGCTTAGGACACCTGATGTCTTTTGTAGAAGTTCACAGAAAAGGCTAAAGAACACCTGACTTTTGCTTTGAAGTGAATTTTATCATTAAATTAAAAACAATGCCAAAAACTCACAGTCGTTAACTGGACCTCCTGCCTGCAGGATCAACCTGCCTAAACGACGCAATCGAGGAGCTGAGGATGAGGAAGGTGAGGGTGGGCTGATGAAGAGCAGTGGCAGCAGTGAGCAGCTGGATGCAGATGGTGACACAGCCAGTGAAGTGTCCAGTGAAGTCAGCTTCTCCTATGAGTTTGCCCAAACAGAGGTCATGATGAAGGCCCTTGGCAGTAATGGTAAGATTTGTTTTGAAGGAGAGAATCTGTGCCTTGCTCAAGAACACATCAGTATGTCTGACTCCTAACTCTTGTGTTTTTTTTTTTGTCTTGATAGATCCCATGCAAGCTGTTCTCCAGTCTTTAGAAAGACAACATGAAGAGGAGAAGCGCTCTGCTCTGGAGCGACAGAGGCAAATGTATGAGCAGGAACTCCAGCAGCTCCGTAAGAAGCTGAACCCGGATCGTCTGTCCACTGGTAACTCTGGAGGGCCAACATCTGGTCAGCAAGTTCAGGGACAGCAGTCTCACTACCGCAGCCTGGAGAGGCTCAGTATGGGAGGGATGAGCCATTCAACCAGCGCCCAGAGCAGACTCAGGCAGTGGAGTGAGGACAGGTGAGAGAGCCCGTCTGTGTACAAGGATTTGTAGATGATCACTCAATGACGGTAGACTAAAACAAACACCCCTTCCTTTTTCATCATCTCGTCTTCCACATCAGGGAGGCTGTGTTGGTGAGGAGTCTGCGGCGGCTGAGGGAGCAGATAGTGAGGGCTAACCTCCTGGTTCAAGAAGCCTGTTTTATTTCCGATGAGCTGGAGCGACACACAGAGTACAGAGTAACTCTGCAGATCCCATCAGACAACCTCAACGCAAACCGCAAGGTCTCCCAGGCGCTCAGACATCTTAACAGACATTTCTTTATGGTCAAAGTTTTAGCACTAGTGTTCTTGTAATTTATCTCTGTGTTCTTTTCTTCATAAAGAGGGACGCAGTGCTGAGTGAGCCAGCTATTCAGGTTCGACGCCGCTGTCGGGGAAAGCAGATCTGGAGTCTGGAGAAGATGGAGAACCGTCTGGTTGACATGAGAGAGTTGTACCAGGAGTGGCAGGACTACAGCCAACATAACCAAGACAACCCTGTGAGTAAGCTTGACAAAGCAGTAATATGAATTTAAGACAATAGATACAGTATACTTAAAGAGAAACTGAGAGTGCTAAATGCTCAGACTTGCACTTTGATGTTTCATGCTCCTCTCCTTTTCCCTGGACAGATGATGCGCTCATATTTTCGACGGGCAGACCCTTTCTTTGACGAACAGGAAAACCACAGTCTGATCGGTGTTGCCAATGTCTTCTTGTCCTGTCTGTTTTATGATGTCAAGCTGCAGTATGCTGTTCCCATCATCAACCAGAAGGGGGAGGTGGGTAGTCACAGGATTGATGTTCACAGATTTATTCCCCTATTCCTCTTTCACAGCTTTCATTGCGGACCGTTGTCATAATTCATCATAAATGTTTACCTTTCTGCGAGTGTTGCGCGTTAACATTTGGTGACATTTTTTATCTTGTGAATTTTTTTCCCTTCGGTTTGACTCGCACTTTATTTTTCATTGTGATTAAGTTAGTGATTGTCAGGGTAGCATGTTAAAGTCGCCACCAAGTACACTTTCAAAATCTTCAAAAAGATGTTGAATGGCAACGCTGTGCAGTTCAATGGTCACCAAATCAATAAATCATGGATCAATAAATCTGGACTGAACTGACACTGATTGACACACGCACTATTTATTGAGATATTTGCCTCTTGTGTTCAGGTGGCAGGGCGTCTACATGTAGAGGTGGTGAGGGTTGGAGGGGCATTGGAGGACAACATGGCTGGAGGAGATGAATCCGACAACAATCAAGACACTGAGGTCCAGGACCGCAAACTGGTCTGCATGGTAAGACATGTCGACCCTCTCTGAGGAGTAAAATACTCCTTTAACTTAATCCTGCTTCAAGTTGAGGTGTTGTTATTTTACTTCGGTGAGGGTTTTGGCTCGGTGCGCCTTAAAGAAACTGTATGTTTTTGAGTGTTTCAGTAACCTTTTACTTGTGTATCCTCAACAGATTAAGATCCTACAGGCAACCGGTCTTCCTCAGTACCTGTCCAACTTCGTCTTCTGTCAGTATGCCTTCTGGGATCAGCCTGAGCCTATCATAGTGGCTCCTGAGGTCGACCCATCATCCACATCGCCCAGCAGCAAGGACCCACACTGCATGGTGGTGTTTGACAGCTGCAAGGTGAGAAATTTAAAGCTCAGGTAAACTGTACTGGTCGAATGTTTTAGTTTAGTTTAGTTTTAAACTGAAATGCAGGACATATTAAGGGAAGATAATCATGTCAAAGATGGTGAACTGGATTGGTTACTTTAACAGTATTGTTCTCTTGTTCTGTAGGAGCTGGCAGTGTCTGTATCAGAGGATTTCATTGAATACCTGACTGAAGGGGCTGTTGCAATCGAGGTGTTTGGGCACAGACAGACTGATGCAGGAAGAAACCCGGCCCTGTGGGACCTGAGCATTATTCAGGCCAAGACACGCACACTAAGAGACAGGTAGACACAAAAAGTCACCGGTGACACAGTAACTTAGCCTAGTTTTAACAGCTAGCACAAGTTAATCAAACTGCAAACCAATCAATCCCCCAGTATGTTGCAGAGTTTTCATGTCAGTGTTTTTATTTTCTTCTGTAGGTGGAGTGAGGTAACACGACGCCTGGAGCTGTGGATTCAGATCCTGGAGATCAACGAGAACGGAGACTTTGTCCCCGTGGAGGTAGTTCCTGCGAGAGATGTACGGACTGGGGGAATCTTTCAGTTACGGCAGGTAGGGATAAGCATGAACACAAAAGGGGGAGCTGCCTTCCTCAAAGAAAAATTCTGCAGTAACCAATTTCCTGTCTTTTAAACTTCTCTGCCTTTCTCCTGTGCTCCTTTCCCTTACCTCCAGGGTCAGTCAAGGCGGATCCAGGTGGATGTGCGTTCAGTCCAGGACTCTGGCACAATGCCTCTGATATCAGAAATAGTGCTTGCTGTATCAGTGGGTTGTGTGGAGATCAGAAACACAACTTCAAATCAGGAAGGAGACGAGATGGACAGTTATCAGGTAGACCAATTTGGTAGAACTTCTAAAATTTAGACTGAAAACAGTACTTGGAGGAAACCGAGGAAAGATTTGATTAACTTATCGTTTTGTCATGAAGGAAAGAGATCTGGAGCGTTTGCGGCGGCAGTGGTTAGCTGCTCTCACCAAGAGACAAGAATACTTGGATCAACACCTGCAGAGCCTGGTCAGCAAAGCAGGTACAGCACAAAAGCAAACACCAGAACTCAAACAGTCATTACCAAGAAAAATGTAAAATCCTGCATCATGTGTCTCCTGCAGACTGCTGCAAACAATCAGCAGCTTGTTGGCATCATTTGTCAGTCATTGATTTTTATTTTCATATTTCTAGTTAAGTTTTATTGATCTCATGCTCATAGAACTAGTAATATAAAGTTGGGTCAAGTACAAAGACAAAATGAAGAAGATGATGGTTGGATAGACCTAGAATAGTTTATGTCCTGGAAAAGAGGAAGAAGAAAAAGAAACATGTCTGGTCATGTGCAAATAAATGGAGAAGTCGGCCGTTAAATGTTACTCTGCAGACAAACGTCTGCTCATACGTACACACACAGTTTCATAATGAATGATAAAAAAACAAGTTAGTACATTTGTACATAGAGGAAAAGTAAGCAGGTGTCTTAACAAAGACAAACAAATCAAATAAAAAAGATGCTTGTTTTCTTTGTGCTTAGGGCAGGTAAGTAAATCAGTGTCCAGGTTTTGAAGACAGAAGTTTAATCCACATAATCCAGAATATGTAATGTGGGATTTAAAGAGATGTTCTCTTGAATGACTGTGGATTGTTGATCAATTTTACCTCCAGATTGTTGCAATTTAAGGCATTTCTTTATTATTGGATAAAACAAGTCTTTCCCTTTGTCACAGTGCAAACATGTCTCATTATTGCTCAAATGGATACATTTTTGAGGGCAGCCACATGTGCTCATGAACTTCAGTTAGAGACTTTTGTTTCTTTTTTAAGTGGATTTCATGCTCAGTTAAAGACTCTTGAATTCACCTGAGGTTTCAAATGTTTTTGTTGTTGTTGGGAACACAGAGAAGACTGAGGATGATGTGGAGAGGGAGGCTCAGCTGCTGGAGTGGCGCTTGACTCTGACAGAGGAGAGGAATGCTGTCATGGTGCCCTCTGCTGGCAGCGGTATTCCGGGAGCTCCTGCTGAATGGTACTGCTGCACATGGAGACATTTGTGTTTTTGTCTCTGACTTTTGATTGCCTTTACTAATACTGCACAGACCTGCTGATAACAGTGAGTATTACATGTTTGTTTGTTTGCAGGGTTCCTCTGCCAGGCATGGAGACTCATATTCCTGTCCTCTTCCTGAACCTCAAACGTATGTCAGCTATTCTTTAAAGGACACAGATTTTGCTCTTCTCCTTCTTCTTGTGGGATAATGTGAAGGGTTTTGTTTGTGTTTTCCTAGCTGATGACCTCAGTTCTCAAGACCAGTTTGAGGTTCCTGAGGCGGGAGGCTGGGATGCCACCCTGAGTGGGGAGGATGAGGACGACTTCTTTGACCTGCAGATCGTCAAACACTACGATGGAGAGGTGAGGGTGGACCTGTGTGAAAGTCTGTCTTTCTTCACCCATTTGTTAAACCTGATTATGAACTTGTCTATTATTGTCAACCCTGCAGGTTAAAGCTGAGGCATCATGGGATTCCACTGTCCACGAGTGTCCACAGCTCAGTCGAGGGGGGACCTGGCCAGAGCAGCGGGTTTATCTGACAATTCGGGTTGTGGTCCAGCTCAGTCATCCTGCAGATATGCAGCTGGTCCTCAGAAAGAGGATCTGTGTCAACGTGAATCCAGGCCGCCAGGGCTTTGCACACAACTTCCTGAGGAGGATGTCCACACGCAGCACCATCCCCGGCTGTGGAGTCACTTTTGAGGTGGTCTCCAACATCCCCGGGGTGAGAGTGGAGTTAATATCTGACGTTTTTAGTGAAAATGATCACAGCAGGATGGATGGGTCATTTTATACCTACCTTTTTTGTTTTGCTCTGATAGGATGCCCCCGGATCAGAGGACAGGGAGATGCTGGCCCGTCTTGCTGCCAGTGCACATAACAGTCAGTCCGGTGATGATGAGGCTGCTATTGAGAAATACCTCCGCAGTGTCCTCAGTCTTGAAAACATCCTGACCCTGGATCGACTCAGACAGGTAGACGGAGAAAGTAACAAAAAGATCTACTGATCAATGAAACACGTTAAATTTAAACCAAGTGTCAGCTGAGGAGATCCAGAATGTTTTAAAAATCCAAATTTATCAAAGTAGTGATTTTCTTTTATTTCTTATTTTCATTTTTATTTCATTATCGAATTTCCCCTTGGGGGTAAATCAAGTTCTTCTTACCTTATATTGTGTGGTGTCTTACATGTTGGGAATACTTTGTGTTTAGGAGGTGGCTGTGAAGGAGCAGCTGACTAGCAGAGGGAGAGGCAACAGACGGAGCATAAGTTCTCCTTCAGTCCACCGGGTAAACACTCTATATTACTGCTATTACTCTATAATCTATCCAAACAAACATTCCCTCATGAGTTTCCTCGCTGTTGTTCCATCCTCAGCTGTCTGGAAGTAGACAAGATCTGTCCACAACCTGCCTGCTGGATGACAAGGTAAAGGAGGTTTTACTTCTCACATCCACACGTTTGTGACCAACAATCAGGGTCGTGTCCAGAGAGGTGATCATGGGTGCTGTTGGCCCTGCTTGAAATCTGATTTGCTATCCCAGGTTCCAAACTCCAAATCCTAAACATTTGTTAGCTAATTGCCTTGTCAGAGGCAGAACTTGGACTAAAACCAACTGTTTGGTCTGTGATACCCTGTCATGATAAGATCATCATGAAGTTGTGAAAAAAGGAAAAACAACTGTGTGATGCTTAAATGATGAAAGTAGAAAGTGAGGACAGATACTGTTGAGACTCTGGCCACCCCTTCTTTTGTCAGTACCCTGGTTGGGACACCCCAGTTAAAAATGTCTGGACACAGCCCTGCCTACAATACACATCTGTCCTTTCCTCTGTTTTATTTCTCAGTCTTTTCTCCTCTCTGTTTCTCAGGGTCGATGGGAAAGTCAGCAGGACATCTTCATGCCCTCCCAGTTTCAACGCACCCTCCCCCGGCCCGCCTCCTCCCCCTCCACCTACTCCACCTCCCCTTCTCAGTCTCCAACTCCCTTTGGCATGACGCCTCCTCAAGCCCAGGAACCTGAGCAAGGTAAAACCTCTCATCCTTGACCCCCTCACTCTCTTCTTCTCTCTTCCATAACATCACTCCACTTCTCCTCCATACACTCACTTCTTACTCTAAAGCGCTTACATTCACTCGAATGTCGTTTTCTTTCCAACTATGTCATTCATGTCTGCTGTGTTTCTGTCTCATGAACTTTGAGCTCAATCATGTGACTCTGTCCTTCTTGCCTTGCTTCCCCTTCTCTTCCATCATGTCTCCTTGTGTTTGTTGTTTCCAGAGTGTAGTAGTTTACTCCACAATCCCAAACGTCATTGTGTATTTGATTTTTAAATTCTGGGTCTCCACTTTGACCTTGGCCTCTCCAGCAGAGGTGAAGTCTCTCTTCATACTGTATGCTGTTAGTGTTTCCTAAATCCATGTCTGTGACCTGCTATTTTAGAGACCATGTGCACTTCTCTGTTTTTTCTCCTCCTCCTCCTCCTCCTCATCTTCATCATCAGAACTTTTCAGTGTGTGGTGGTGAACTGATCTGAGCTGATCTGATCAATCGGAGTTCTTCACTGTGTCATTGTGATTTCTTTCTCATGTGAATTTGAACGTCCTTTAAGATTAATTCTGTCTAATGAGCAGAATTAATGATTTTTGTTTTACACTCAGTGATTAGAGTGTTTTGTTGTGATCATTGTGTCTTAGCTCAAACAAACATCTGTGTGTCATGGCACCCTAGGCTGCTTGATATCTTCCTCTGTCAGTCTCTCGCTGCGTTGGTTTTTAGGCCATTTTCTGGACTCGCTCTCAACTTCCTGCCTTAATCTTTCGCAACTCCTCTACCTCCCACACCTGCTCCTCCTTCCTTGCTTTCTTCCTTTCTCCTGCCTCTTCTTCCTCCTCACCTCCCCCACCCCTCCCTCCCTCCCCCCCAGGTCGTTCAGGACTTGCTGCCTCTTATCTTTCAGTTAAAGCGCTGGTCCCTCAGATGCCCAAACTGCTCAAGTCTCTGTTTCCAGCACGGGACGACAAGAAGGAACTGAGACCTTCACCACACAGCCAGCAGGTGAGCAGAGCAGAGAGTGGGAGAAGCTGAGTGATCCCTGAATGACTCTTTAAAAAGCTTCTTTAAATGTGTGAGTGTGGAGCAGGGAGGGCTTCAGTCAGCCAAGCTGCAGGATTTAAGATGTTAAGAATAGTTTTAGTGTTTAACATTGGCTGTAACAAAGATGGATGACAGCCCTCCAACTTTTCCAAACCTCCAAGAGATCTTGACATGATTTGGAGATCTTGCTGTCATAGCCTTGATTTCACACCACACCTCCTCTGCAACTGAAACACACTTGTTCACTCATGAAAGCTCCCTCAGGCCAGCATGCACAGAACTTCCTGTCTGCATGTTTAGGATGAAGGTGGTGGTGTATTTTAGTTTTAGAGTTAAACTCATTTTCTATTTGCTATCATGGAGGAGGAACGCTCTAAGACAGTCACTGAAGCCAGTCAGCAGAGGATTATGTTATCCATATTTCATACAGATGATGCTGGTTCACATCATGAGCAAGTGTTTTTGTTTCCATGTCATCACTGTGTGTTTGTGGTCACTCAGCAGCATGTCCCTCGAATCATGACGTCTGGAGGAGACGACAACAGAGTCAAGACTGAAACGGTGAGATTTGACCTTAGTCCACCTTCCCTCATACATTGGATTTGACCAGTATGGTTCTGCTAAACCTGAAAAAAGCCATATGGTGACATATCATTAGTATTTCTAAAGTTTAAGGAAGGTTGGTCAAAAAAATTTACAACAAACTCTCAGCAGCCAATCATGAAGATATAAAACATGATACAAGGCTGAAATCAACAAAATGATGTAATGTTGTGATCCTCTTCAGTCTTCAAGATATCAGACAGAAAATTAACAGCCTGAAATGTTTGCCTCCAAGTTATTTCAAATCCAAACAGCGTGCAGCTTTGGTTCTGATACACTAACAGAGTTTTACTGAGTGGTCCTTTAGAGCGAGCATTATTCAGGCTTTACCTGTGGGGATTGGGTGGGGGTGCAAACTCCTGCTGCTGCACATGACTCCACCAGGATTGAGATTCGTCCTGGAGTTCTTCCTGTCCTGTTTTCCAGCCTGTAAATGATTGCAGAATGACTGTGCTCTTCTTCAAAAACTGATGATTGTTGTTTGTTGTTCTGCCTTGTCTGCATGCTCTTGTCTGTTCATCTGTTGCTGTGGCAACTGTTGGTAGACTGCTCTACGGCCCCCGACCAAAGACAGACGGTCAGAGTTCCCAGAAGTCCCTCCTCTTCCTGTGCATGACCCGCATGACACCACCCCTCTCAGCCCCCTCAGCCAATCATCGAGCGGCTACTTCTCCAGTAGTGTTTCGACAGTCACCCTGTCTGATGTCCTCCAACCCTCGTCCTCATCGTCCTCCCTCCTCGCCACTGAGACCACATTACCGGCAAACCCTCAGCAGCAGGGATATGACAGGAACGATGTTGTGACCTCTTCTTCTCAGTTTGGTGCCAAGATGGCCGCCATCACTACACCTGCTCCCAACAACTCTGCTAACCACAACAACGCCACGGCAGAAAACAACTTATCTGAACACAAACTGGTAAACTCAGGGGGAGGAGGAGGAGGTGAGGGCTTCGAGAGGCTGGAGATCTTTGTGGACGACGAAGAACGCAGCCAAGACAGCGCTCTACCTGATTGGCTGACAGAGGGGGCGTATGTTACAGTAGGAAGCAATAAAGCCGGGACGGTGCGCTATGTGGGAGTGACACAGTTTGCTGAAGGAGTGTGGGTGGGGGTGGAGCTGGACACTCCTGTAGGTAAGTACACCATCGGTAGATCAGTTCACTAAAGTTGTACCTGTATCACACAGATTTCAGTAAACACCACTTTCTCAAGTGTCGAGTTTTATCAATCAGCCTCATCAACTTTTATCTGTCTACCACTCAATCATGGCAAGAGTTATCAGAAATGTTGCATGCATTACACAGGGCCTAGAATTGGAACATGCTGATCGATGGAAACAAACTGGACGAGCAATAGTGCACAGAGTAAGCAAACTCTGACCCCTGCTTACTATGAAAATGTCTGCATGGGTCCTGTAAACATTAAAAAACGCTACAGTCACACTGATGCCTAATGATAAATGATGGATGCAGCGGCACTACTCAGGATACGTGAATACTGCAGCAATGTGCCGCTCTCACTCCCTGATTTTTATTGTTTCTAGTTTATAGCTTCTGCTCTCTGACTTCTGCATCAGGTTTTTGTGTAAGATACTTTATATTCTGTTTTGTCTTTTCTGTTGCTATGGTGATTCACCAAAAGAAATCTGCTATGGGGCTAATTTAAATGTGTTTTCATTCATGAGATGCTTAGTATTGACCATCTATGGATGGATGTGGGCTATTAGGTTGAACCACGTGGAAATGTCACTGGGATTGTAATTTCTGGAAGGAGCAGTGTATGAAAGTGAGCTTTGCCAGGGTTTTATAAATCAGAATAACTTAAGATGTGTGCCATTTCTGTTGTTGCATGATGAAGCTTCTCCTGATAAGTTTGGATGCATTTCTGTAAATTGCTAGACAAAATGGTTTTATAGACATCAGAATTCATTCTGCTGCTACCATCATGAGTTACATCATCAATAAAGACTAGTGAGCCAGTTCCAGAAGCAGCCGTGCAAGCCCAAGCCATGACTCTACCTCCACCATGTTTCACAGATGAGCTTGTATGTTCTGGATCAGAAGCAGACCCTTGCTTTCTTCATACTTTGGCCTTTCCATCACTTTGCTAGAGGTTAATCTTGGTCTCATCAGTCCATAAAACTTTGTTCCAAAACTTTTGTGGCTGATCTCTTTACTTCTTTGCAAAATCCAATCTGGCCCTCCGATTCTTTTTGCTGATGAATAGTAGTGAATAGTGACTGTTGTTTTTGGGTTTTTCTTCACAGCTCTCACAATGTTTCTGTCATCAACTGCTGTTGTTACCCTGGGCCGACCTGTTTGAAGTTTGTTGCTCAGTACACCAGTAGTTTCTGTCTTTTTCAAAACATTCCAAATTGTTGTAGTGGCTATGCCCAATGTTTGTGCAATAGCTCTGATAGATTTTCCCTCTTCTCTCAGGACCAAAATGGTTTGTTTTTCTCCCATAGACAGATCTCTGGTCTTCATGTTTGCTTAACAGAAAATGCAGTTGTCACGGGTGAAACCCAAAGCCAAAAACAAGAACTGTTTAATGTCTCTGCAATCGATCTAAAAGGCAACACCTGAGCAACTAGAAACACCCATCAGTCACATGTTCCAATACTTTTGCTCACTTGAAAAGTGGTAGGGTTCAAAGAAAAGGTAATCTTTCCTGGGTTGTTTAACACATTTAGATGTAAAAACCACGAAATAAAAGCTGGAATTCTGAAGTTTAGTTACCAATCAATTAGAGTGAAGCAAGAGTGGGACTCTGATAAAAACATCATCAATAATAACAGCAGCGGCTCTCAGGGAGGTGTTTCTATCAAGGCTTTTAGTTCTGGAGCTGTCCCTGTGACACAGGTAACGGTAAAATTGAAAAATATAGTTTATTAACTTGCAAGTTGCCTGGCGTTTAAAGGATGATCTAACATGAATTTCATGTTTATTTTCGGCCATAAAAACGTAGGTCTAGTTTTAACTATGACTCACAAAATGTAGATACTTTAGTTAGTTTCATTTGCATTTAATTTGTGTTTTTGAGTTCATGTACTTAGAGGAGAAAACACCTTTGTCATCATTTTAAAATGATCAACATCTATATCAGAGAATTTGTTCCCTGAAAAATGGTCTAAGCTAATTGGAATTACAGACCCAGCAATACAAATGATTTTTTCTCACGTTTCATCTCTTATTATGGAGTTAATATATTCACTCTTCACATATTTCATTTCTTATTGTCGCAGATAAATGTTTTCCAATCAGTAGGTTTGTCTTATTTTGAAGTGACACATACAGCACAAATTTCACTTCAGGTCTTTATTTAAAGTCAGCTAAAGTTTTGGTGACTGATTTGTGCTTCTTATTTTTCTCCCTTCAGGTAAAAATGACGGTTCAGTCGGAGGTCACAGGTATTTCCACTGTAAACCTGGTTATGGAGTGCTGGTCCGCCCAGACCGCCTGTCTTCCCGTGATCGGACCAGTCGACGCACAGGAGACTTTCCTGGACATGCCCCTGTTCTGCGAGGAGAAGCCATTGTTGCCCGCCGGACAGAGAACCGCAAGTCTTGGAGCAGTTGAGAGAGGGTTACCAGGAGCTGAAAGGGAGAGACCAGCTCCCCACAGTCCTCGGTCTTATCCTCTCCTCTTCTCCTCCCAGCTATGCAACAGGCTCACGCATTCAAACGGACAGACTGCCTGCCTGCCCTCCTTTAGTTTAAACTACACTCAACACATCCATTCTCAGCTAATGGATATAAAATAAAGACAGTAAGGAGACCATTCAGGAAGAATGAAAGTAGGTCCATGACAGACTATGCACAGTTTCTTCAGGTCTGTGGAAAGAAGGACTCTATCATGTGGGGAAATGATGTTCAATGAAAGGCGGTCAATGAAACACTGCTGAAAGTGAAGGGAAGTCAATGGATGGTGAGTGGGAGCTTGAAGGAGGGTTTGGATTGGATGCTGCTGACTAAATGAGGTGCTTTCTGGGTAATGTACAGGAATGCAAACAAGTCACAGAGAAGAATCAGCAGCTTTTGATTCTTATGCAGTACATATATATATATATAAGTATATTTATCAAGCCCAGTAAAGTCATGGTTTCAGGGTGAAACTTTTTGGAACCCGATCTTCTGTGGCCCCCTCTGTGAACTTGCTGATTAATTAGTTTGCCACATTTATTCAGAGTGATAAATCTTTTTTATTTATTATTTCTAAGATCAAAGAAATGATGGAGTTATACTTCTCAGCCAGATTAATAATCTGGTCCTTGTAGGTAAAATTTACTCGCTTTTATATTCTCAGTAAGGTATCACTATCAAAGGAAAAGAAAATCAAATTTGAGCTTTTTAGACCGTATTTGAAAAACTTCAACTGAGACCAAGGAGCCTAAAGCTCCAAGCAGACATGGATTCTCACCTGTGGTGTCTTTGCATCCCTGGATGTACCTCTGAACTCTGCATCCATGAGACTCAACACCCCTCCGCTGGCTTCAGCTCTCCTGAGCGCTCTCGGTCTCATCTGCAGACTGACTGACACTTGGACTGGCCATATCAGGCTGATTCTCCTCCTCTTGGACTTCTTCTCTTTTCTCTTGAAGATGATAATTCCTCCAGAATGTGCCTTCACCATGGCTAGATTTGTGTTTGTGTATATTTAATTTGTGTGAGTCGTGTTTGTGTTAAAGAGAATGCCTTGAGCTAAGTGTGAGGTGATCTCAGGGACTGCAGAGGGGGAAGGAGTGTGTCTGTGTGTATGTGTGTGTGCGCGCATGTGTAAATGTTGTACAGTGTTGCCTTTTGTGCACAGAAAAGTCCATATTGTTGTAGTCGTGTTGGTGTTCAAGATTTTAAATGTGTAACGTAGGAAAAGTTGTGTTCTTGTTGGACAAAGCCACTATGGGAGCAAGTTTCTTTAAACTGGGAGGCTTTAAAAGTTGATTTTGCACAGGGGGACACCGGAGGAGAATCTGTACGTGAGCAGACTGTGTCTGTGGTTAGTTATGGTGCAGGAGGCAGAGAGGGAGACAGACCATCTAGTGTGATGTGAAGAATATCCTCCATCTGAGTGGGCCATCTATGATGTCTGATTGACGGATATGTGGACACCCGGAGGTGCTGTTTAGAGTAGAACTTTCGAATGTTGAGTTTGTGGGTTGGTATGTGTTTGTGAGAGGAAGAGAAAGTGAAAAGGACGTGCAGAAGTGACTCTGGTTATTTCAGGCTTGAGCTGAGAATTGATTTACTTCTATGCATTTGAATAGATTTTTTAAAGTTTCTCATCTTTTTTTAATGACTGACATCAGCTAAAGGAGATCTCTGTGAGAGTATTGATCACAAAAACAATTGAACATCCCTGGCATATCTTTTAAAAAAGAAACAAGATGAACTGGCAGACTATTGGACTTTTTAATTGGGTTTTTAATTGAACATCACATTTCCAGAGGGGCTCACACACTTTACATCAACCTCAGTCTTTGTATATTGATGATTACATAACCAGCCCAGAATAAAAACAGTGTGAAGGAGTTCAGTTTGAGGGTGTCCTGAAGGGAAAATGTCTGAGAGGACTAACATTCCCTTCAATTAAATCCACACCCTTCGGTTTTAGTGTAACTGAGAGGGCTTTTCTTGTACCATCACAGTCGCTATTGGAACAGTAGTTGAACTCAGTAGTAGTTACGTTGATAGCTGTACAGGTACATTAAGACCCACCTTTGCTGGCCACCAGTGGACTCATATTAGGAGTCTTTTCAATCATACCGGCACTCCACAGGCAGGGTGTAATTACTAAACAGTATACATGTTGTATTTCATGGTCTTTTAATGCATAGTTATGACCTAACAAGGGAGAAAAGCTGCTGTGAAGGGGTGTTGTATCCAGCATGCCTTGTACAGTAACGCTGCTGACTTCTTCAAGCGCCCTCTTCTGACTAAAATATTGAAATGTGCAATAAAATGCATTTTTACTTTATTGGCAAAGAGCAATAGTGCAGCTTCATACTAGATGAGGATCATCAAGGTATGAATAACGTGACAAATGTGTCCTGCCACAGCAATGTACGAGTGTCATTAACCAAGCAGTTTAAACGTGACGCCAATGTGCTAACTAGAGGGAGCATTTTGAATCCGGCTACATGTAATTATGAGTGTGGGGGTTAGATTGATGAAAAACATTTGCCATAATTTTGATTGAAATACATCACACTTAGAGGGTCTTGCAGCCAAGAGATGCATTATGGGATATGAAGGCTCGAGTGCCTCTGGAGCCTGACCCACAATAAGAAATGCTTAAAGATTGCTATAATTCTAACCTTTTTATAGGGGAAAAATAGCCCGAGGTGTGTCCCTTAAAATGCACAGACAGAGGTTGGTGTTAAAGTGTGTGTTTGCTTCTGTAGTTGTCTCTCCCTCTGAGGTGTGAGCTTGTTTTCATGATGTTCACTGACTCGACTGTCTCATCTACAAGAGCTTCGCTATATTTATATCCTGATGATGACAGAAGTGAATGCTTAAAGTTGACATGTTATTAATGTCTCTATACTCATGATTTTATCCTTCAATACTGAGTAGTCTGTGTGCACAGATGTGTGATAAGATCGTTTAAAAACTGTATGAAGACATGATCAGGAAACCTGTGTGCATATGAGTGCACTCAGTCTGCCCAAACACTGTCATCTTTCTGGATTACAGGATTTGTCACTCTTCTATCATTTGTCTTGTTCATCGTAGAGGTGTGAATTAGCTATTTATATTTAAATACTTGTAAACATGCATTTATGGAATGAAAATTGAAAAGCCTTTTTATTTTGATAAATATTGCACATATGATTCAATGAAAATTGCTGCTATAAGCATTGTGAATTAACCTGTAAAATATTCAATTGATTGATATCTTTTTCTCTAAATTTATGCTAGATTGGACTCTAATGTTCTCTTTTTTAATCTCAGATTAAAGTGTTGTAAGCGCTTTGGTGAAAGGGGCCAATGTATTCCATATGAAGCAGTACAATAGGTGTAAGAGAGGCACTTAGTGGTGTAAGCCTTGAGGAAAGTGTAGAAGGAAAGATGGGATGATTCCTCCTGTACTGATATTCAAAAGGAGAAAACTAATGGAGGAGAAAATACGCACATATCCGAGTTTATCTGTGTATTTATTATTTGGACTTAAGCCGGGACCCTGGAGTCCTCTGATTGGTTGGTTGGTTATTGTATGAGGCTGTCTGGAATGTGATTGGTTGGCAGGTTGGATTAGTTGTCCTTGACAGTGTAGTGGTTCATAATGACGGTTTAGTGGTAATGAAGGAAGGGAGTTATGTTTTTTCATGAGTGTTTGTGTGTGTGTGTGTGTGTGTGTGTGTGCGTGCGTGTGTGTGTGTGTGTGTGTGTGTGTGTGTGTGTGTGTGTGTGTGTGTTGGGTTGGGTTTGTTTGTGCGTGTGAATGTGGGGTGGACTTTGGTTCAGTTGTGTCTGTGAGCTCCTGCTCAGATGGGAATAACATACAGCTGCCTTTTCTTTCTTCTTCTGTAAAGTGGGAGGAGCTGAAAACCTCTCCTGATGTCTGGTAACTTGCAGTATTTGTGGCCGCTATACTTTCCCATCCTTGTCGGGGCTCAGGACACGGTTCACAGGTTTGAGATCACTTCAGGCTTCTGGATGTCCCGTTGTGTTGTTGTGCCTCAGAAACGATATGACCATGTATCCTCCACACACTGTTTTCATATCTACGCTTCTATTCATTTGCACAAAAGTCTCCAGAGGGAACTGAAGTTTGTTTCTGGACAGCTTGTATATTTAGGACAAAAATACACCCATGTTTTTTTTTTAATAATCACCTGTGTTCTCAAGTTTCCTGCTGTTGTTTAAACTGTACCTGAAATATTTCATTTCTGCTTTCATTTAGAGAAAGTTTTTTGTATTAATATCCGTGTCCTTAAGAGGCATTGCTCAACTAGCTTTGGATAAACAGACGAAAAGTTGCTAAATATGAAGCTGTTACTCGGTCTAACAGCAGAGCTAAGCTTAGGAGAGTGTATTTTCTTGGGATGTCCCAGTCAGCTTTCTTGACCACCATACCCAATCTGATTTTCTCAAAAATGAGTCCCTGCCAAATACCCAGCTGATGTTTGTGTTTGCCTGTATAATAGAGGTGCATCCTAGGACTTCTAGGACAATATACCAGCAATGGCAGAAACTGTCTTTGTAATAATGTTAGGATATTACAGTAAGACAGGGCCTTTAACCTTAATTAAAGGCCCTGTCTTACTGACCTTACCAACCTTAATTCTGAGTGGGGGAAAGATGAAGAAGTAGCAGACAGTTAGCAAGCCAGCTGTAGCAGCCCACTAAGAGATGATTGACCCTCCAAAAACAACATTTCCATCAGTTATTTTAATTCGACATGCAACATCAGAGGGTGTGCCTCTTCAGCTTACTAAGTAATTGGAGGTTTAGACTTTGTAATTGCTGATTTGACTGATGACTTTCTATTTATTGGAAGTAGCTTATACTCCTTTAATACAAGCATAGGATTGAAAAGTAAGGAAGAAGGCAACCTAAATGCAAGACAGAAAAAATATAAAAATTAAAGCATTACAAGCAGTTGTTTTCTGAGGCCATGTCTTCTCTAAAGAAGTTTGTACTACACAGCTAGTAATGTGGATAAATCATCCATTCAAACATTATTAGGAAAAGGTGATAACATGTTAGTTCACTGTTTATTTGTCAAATTTATGGACCAGTACTATTTATGAAGATAAATACCCTCCTCCTTTTTCTCAGTTTCACTCACTGTTTTATTTTTAATTTCATGTTTTTCATAAATCTTGAGAAAATATATCCTTATTGTGATATTTTTTTAATAACTGCAAGGTTTTTTTGTTTGTTTGTTTGTTTTTTCAAGAAAAGCCGTTGGAATCAGGACTGGGACATCCCTAGTGTATTTCTTAATATATCCACCTTCTGAAGCTCCACAATCTCATCTGTATATGTGTCTTCATTATATTAGGTGTGTCAAACTACAGAAAAAAATGTACCTTGTGGGAGAAGTGTGAGAGGCATTTTAATAAGAAACTGTAACAAAAAGCCACAGTGGTTCCTGTTGTGCTCAGAATGGATTAAGTGTGGTAACTGTGTTTCATTCCAGCCAGCAGTCTTTTTAATGTGACTGTATCAACCATTAGAGAATATTTACTGGTGTGATGTGTGTCCAAACATATTCAAACTGCATATTGATCTGTCTAAGTTAGTTTCCCCAGAGGATTTCTTTTTTTTTGTTTGTTTCTTCTTATTAAGTGCTTCGGCTCAGAAATGGTCTCATATCTTTGTTGTATTTCTTGAGGATCCGTGCTAACTATCTGAATCTGGAGCAACATGTCCCCCCCGCCTTTACGTGGCCTTCAGCCTGGAGTTGGACAGGTTTTAGCAGAGGTATTTAAATCTGTACACATCTGTTTAGGTTTACAGACCCCCTTCTTTTATATCAGGGTAAATGTAACCTCTGAGTATATCAGCTGACAGATGCTACCAGGTGTTACAGGCATCGTAGAAATCTGACTTAATATCACTGATTGGAGGCAATGTCGCCCCCCGGTGGCTGCTGGAAGTCTGGCATCCAACACAGGGATTTTTATACTATCTGAAATCCAAGCCTCTGTGAACCTGCAGCTTCACACCTGTGCTATCACATGCAGATCTTTGATGGTGAAACATGAAGTAACCTTTAGACTGACCAACAGCTGGCTCACTTTTTGTATCTGCCTGGCATGACTCCACATTTCCAGCCACAGTAGTGTGCGTTCACCTCTTTTACTACCTCTCTCTCTCTCGCCTGTCCAGAGTGTTCTGCCAACTTCTCCCCTGAGGCCTTTTTTTGCTGACACATTTGTAACTCGCTTCACTAATGAGCCAACTCCCTCTTCCTGTGTGTTCTCTAATATCAGAATCAAACACACATATGAGCAATACCAGGTCGTCAGGATAAGTGTTGCAGGTGATGTTTTTCTCAGCATGACAAACCTTTTCTTGGTCTGCTGTCCAGGAAAATCCAGATACAGCTTCTCTGCTTGCTGCATTTTAAGGGCAGTTGGTGTTACTACAATATTATCACATGACACTTTTATAGGTACCAACAGGCATTTTTTGCTGAGCTGTGTAATAACGAAAGGAGCTAAAGAAGAGGCTTTGGTGCTTGCTAAGGCATGGAGTTTAAGTCAAACCAAGTTACTCCTTCCAAATAAAAGCCCCCTCAGTCCCTGTTTCCTTTCTCCCATGGAGCTGAAGAGAGCTTGTATTAACTGAACAGATTTAATAAGGTCAACAGTATTACTTCATCATCGTGACTAATTGTTATCAGTTTTTTTTTTTGCTACAGTTGATTCTGTGGAGCGGGTTTGTCTTGACGTGTTGTTTGTGCGTGTGAGTGCACCATTGGAGTGGTTGTTCTTTGTATGTATGTGTATATATGCGCATATTAAGACTTATAAAAGACAAATCTGAGCACAAGTTTGGGTTTTGGTTAATTTAATTGTTTTATGTAATTCTATGCTGCAATCCAAAGAATAAACATGTATTATAATACATTTATAATTTTCATTTTTTTATCATCTGAACAGTAATCTGGTAAGAAGAAATAAAAGAGAGGAAGATTAACAGAGTATTTGTTCTTTTCTTTTTCTTTTTTTTTAACCTGACTATATAGGAATAAAAGGGTGGACTAATGTGGAATTTCCCTTACTGATTATTAGCAGTTCATGAGACAATGACTGAGATTTGGGACTGATACTTATTTGCAGTAAAGGGGAAATTCTGTCAAAATTTAGGAGACTTTTACCAACGTCAACACAAAACTTTGCTTAAATACCTATAACAAATGTTAAATCCAAACTTAAACATTCCTAAGCCTTGTTAGGAGAGTGCAGGTTTCTGTTATTTTTCTCAGACCTCTTCCAAAAATGTGGTTTCAACCTTTGATATGTTGTCTTGGCACCGTTTTCTATCTGATCCAGGGTTTTTGTCAAGTTGCACTGATTTTCAAACCATCAAATCTTCTTTAAAACAGATGTTTCACAAAGCCTTAACTTTTTTGTACTTGGTATTTGCTGGTGAAAACACGTCAGAGTAAAACATGAGGTTGAACTGATGGCTAACATGCAGGAGAAATTAACAGAAGACACGCAGTGCATGGATCAGTTTTTATTCTCTTGTAAATAGAATATCAATAAAAACACGCCTTAAAAATAACAAATAAGGTTTATCCAACAGATGAAAAAGTAACAAAAGGCATATGTAGAGTTTCTACACAGCGATTACAGAACAGTCTACTGTCCAAAAAAGGCACTAAATTTTGAAATTGAGGAAATCAAGAGGGTAGAAATCATTTCAGACTGAGAAAACAAATGTCCGGTGTAGAATTGTAAAAGAGCTTTTTGCCAAATTTGATCTTAACCACCTAAAATGTTTTTTGAAATCAAATGTTTGAACTGGATTTTCTTTGAGGAAGTATTTACAGTCTATCAGATTACAGAGAATGGAGCATTTACATTTTATGCTGAGTGGTGATTGATGTCATGAACAGAAAGAGAAAACTTTGGAATCAAACTCTTCAGATGTCGAACTGCATCATCATCCTCACACCACACCAGAGCCCCTGTGCTTTCATCACACAGCACACCTTCGATTCAAATCAGATCCTCTACAAACCTCTTATCACCCTGATACTGTGACAGCGACAGCAATAAAAAATACATGTGGATTACTTTAAAGGAGGAGACTGTTTGAATTGGCAAAGTCACTGTGCTATACAGGAGAGTAAAACCGGATCTGATCCGAATCACGGTCTGCTGTGTTGCAGACCATGATTCCAGCAGAGGATCCTTTTAAAACCAGAGGAATGAAGGCGGGTGGAAAAACTGCATTTCATACAATAAGAGACAAAACAACATGCTGCCAGAAACACAGAGCAGGAGTCAGACTGTTACTGAAGCCCCGAGCAGACATGCTTTCATAGGTCTTATCATACCCGGTTACAAAAGCACTAAAACTAACTCAACCCACATATGCTTTATTGATTAGTGTGGACCCCCTTAGTACAACTTGACAAGTTAACTATCTAAAGATCATCGGAAAGTTTTCCCAGAACAAGCTTTGTTATGTTTAGGTAATGAGAGAGATCAAACAGCTTTGCTATCAAGATGATGAACAAGAAAAAAACAAAAAAAAGTCAATTCCTGACAAGAGAACCAGAAATGAGTCATTATCCTGTTAAAACAGAGTAAATAAAGCGTAAGGATGCATATTAACTCAGGGCTTCTGTAGAACAGACATGACTGAGCTAAGTCTTTGTGAATAACCCAAGAAAATATCTTTAGTCGACATTTTATTGACAAATGTCGTTCAAGTTGATCATGAAATGAACTCACACTCGCTGGCACTCTGATTCTTTACAGTACGGAGTTAAATTGGGGTCAAAAAAGTTAAAGCAAATGAGTGTTAATCAAGGAAGGCAGACCAATTTGAAAACCAATCCTTTGAATAAGACACAGCATGAAAGACTGCAGGGCTGCTGTTAAACTGCTTCTCCTGTGAAGAAGATATTTGGTTTCTTCGTGACCTCTGACCTCTCACATCTGGGTATTCTGGCTCTTTTTTACCCTCTGTGGTCAATGTTTAGAAATGTTTGACAGTTCTCAGATTCATCAGAGACAAGGGCTTTTTAGAGCTCCAAGTCTGAATGAGTCCTGTGTCTGACATGCTGATGATGAATCCCTCTTCACCAAACATTCACATCTCTTCTTTTTATGGTTTTATCACCACAGGAAATATTCACGCTCAATCAAACTTGGTGACAGCCCTACTGAAGAAGACTACATCTTATTGTACTCTATCAGCTTGACTTCTTCCTTAATGAGGTCAGTCAACTTTGTGTTCAGGAGGTCCAAAACAGAGTGAGTGACAGTGGTGGGAGAGAAACCATAAAGAACGAGTGTTTCATACATTAAGCTGAAACAGAAACCTCATATTTAACGTTTACACTTTGTTTTTGTTTGTTTGCTCTTGTGATTGATTTTTCATCCCTTTTATTTTGGGTGTTTTGGCTCTAAATTAAATAAACTACTCTCTTTGACCTCTAATCTTCTTGCTGCTTCAGAAACACGTTTATCACAAAACCATGAAGGCAGCATCTGAAAGAATTTAAAATCCTGAAATAATCTCAAAACAGCACATTGTCTTTAATGAATCCAGAGATTCACTTCAGAAAGGCTTCTGCTTGGCAGAATGGATAAAAAAAAACAAGAAAAGAAACATTTTCTAACCCGCAGCGGGAAAGAACACTTTGATATTTTGGTGTAAATAATTCACACAGGAAACAAAAAGCTTCAAAATGGACTAATAATACCTCAGAGTTTGACAAATGCTTAAAGCAAAGACACTGAAGACAGCTCTGCTGCCGTACAATATAAGAGACATTCCCCCCAAAACCCTCGATACGCTCTCACACATTCAGCCTGAAACAACACTGAGCAGTTGTGTTAATTTTTCCACCAGGATGAACAAAAACTAAAGTGTGTTATTTTTCTCGTAAGGACTGTGGTGGAGACGGGAGCAAACAGATGAATGAATTTTTATTCTGTGGAATTTCCCTTTACTTCCAATCTTATATTCTTTATCGGCTTGACTCGGAGAAGGAATTTCCCTTTAAATAAACACCACTGGCATCTCTGTGAGTCCCAGATCAGCCAGTGAAGTGTCTTTCCAGCCTCGTCACAGTGTGCTCTCTGTCTCCTCTGAATAAAAGTAGTTATTTGAACTCGAGTGATTTAACTCTTTTGGATTCACATTGAAGCAGCAGTGGAGGAACCTGCGGCTGTAGCTTATATCTGCGGGGCTTCCGTGAGGTATTTGTGTTGAGTTGAAACTCTGAACTAGTAGCTTAGCCTGTAAAGCACCGAGTGAGGAAGAACAATGAACAATCTGAATGAAGCCGCGTTACAGCTGGCTATCCTGTGTTTAGCTTATTGAATTAGGTTTAATACAGTGATGATGAGGGTACAGCCATTGTAGAAGTCCACCAAAGAAAAGGCACTTGAACTTAAACCATACAGTACAGTATTTGTTTTAAACTGAAAATACTTGAATCCATTTCAGATACATGAATCCATCAGTGTTCATTTAAAGTCCCTAAATTGCAATGAAAAGGCGTCACTACAGAAGAGCTGTGTGAAAATCAAAATTAACATAAAGAGGTATGTGTAACTTCTCTGAGTATAACAGTACTGCAAGACTGCCCTTCTTACGAGGAATGCCAAAGCCTGAGGCAGGTGAAGGACACCTCTCCTCTCTTTCACATCTGAGAATCTGAGGCAGGAAGAGCAGCAGCAAAGACCCCCAGGGTTCAAAACAGAGCAGGTATGTGTGACCATGCACATGTCTAGGAGCTGGGTTCTTACACTAACTGTCTGAGCTTACAGCTGATACCGGTACGCAGGTAGTCAGATCAGCTTCATCAAGTTTTGATACCTGTATAAGTTTACAGTACTAAGTCTCTGCTGTGTTTATGGCTTACTGAAAAGAAATAAGAACAAACATTTGAGTATTTAACATCATCAGCTTCATCCAATCAACAAAGCATTTTGAAAATCAACTTAGGCTGATATTTGGCAAAAACCTGATGATGATGTCGTGTTTGTTTTGAAGCAAAGCAGATTTGTGAATAAGGAGACGAAAGTCTTGTCCCACCCGTTTTCAGGCTGTAGAGGTATTCTGTGCATAAAAGGCTTAAAGATTCAAACAGTTAACCATTATCATGATGGTGGAGATGGATGTAAATGTAGAAAAGAACTCCTACAAGGGCTGTACTTGCAGATTATTCTCTTAATTGGATTAGTGCAGTCAAATATTACTCGCTTAGCTTAAAACACTCTTCACTAAATACTGAACTTTACTTTAATTCTCATCGTTCGGCCTCTCTGGTCTGTTTTAGTCCTGGTCAATAAAATGTTTTAACAGTTTGGACTAAAAGCACCACTGACCCAAGAAAGTGTCATTCGTTTAAATATGGACAGTGTGTTTCAAACACATGGTATATCCGGCACAGATATACCTTTCAAAGGAAATGCATTTTGTTTACAATAACCAGACACATCTGATGTGCCTCAGATTAGCATCTCTCTGAAACAGGAGTCTACCCATGACTATTACACACTCAGAAAACACAACTGATTGAAACTCAATACTTTGGCTGATACGTTGTTCGCCTTATACCAACAGAACACACTCATACTCATCTCTCATGTGAAGCTAATATGTCTATATACTGTAGATAGAAATGGATCAGGGTACATATACGTACATACCCACAGAGTTTATATAATATACTGTATATATACTTATATATATATAGATGTATGTATGTCTGTTTGTGTGTATATGCATACATAAATGTGTGGTCTGTGAGTATGTTTTCATTGAACTCTTACACCTCTATGAACAGTTCTGTTGAACTGTTAGATAACACCTCCCAAATAACTGATCTGTATTGATTATTAATCATCTCACAGTGATTATCCACGATCACCCACTGATCACCCAGTGGCTGAACAGTCACATTAATACTCAGTCACATGGAAATCAGGTTTTATACAGATATGTTGACCGTTTCAGGTCCCTTTCAAATCTTAGAGTAACTTTTTTCCTGTTTTTTTTTTTTTCATGGAAGCTTAAAGACGCTGTTTAGGATTTGGATTTTATACACAACTGAATACCTAATTATGACATTACATCACCATAGATGGAGCGCGCTGATGTCACTTCCCCTCTGAGTTAGGCATCACAACAGGGCATGGCTGTTTCAAAGGTTTGTGTCTGATACTATTTTAAGCTGAGGATCCAAACTGCCCACAGAGAACACTGCCATACAATAATGATTAAAATCAGTCTGCTCTGTGACACTTAATAAATAAATGGATATGAGCTTCATCTTCACTATTGCTGTGTAGTTAATCACTCTGCTCTATACTGAGGGTAAATTCTCTTAATTCTCCCAGTATTCAGGACAAACACTGATGCTGTGCTCAGTGCTTTTAACCAGACACAACAGTTTCAGATTAGCCGTGGCTACAAACCTGTAGGCACGGCATCTACTTTGAACACACTATGAAGTCATGTTTCATGCATTTGTCCCTATAAAATAAACAACCAAATACAGAACAATACGTTTCATTTAAGTACTACACTCTTTTTGCCAGAGATTTGCAGAAAACTGATTCACAGGCCTGATTCAGGAGAGATATTCAGGGGGGTGAAAATGTTGCACGGTTCATTGAAAACACAGACCCTAACCTTAAAATTTGATTCTAAAGATGATGAAAACTCAAAAGGTAGAAAAAAAGAGGGTCTGAATTTATCGCTCCAAAGCTATCGGTTCACTTCAAGTTCAACTGATTTCAGTTTTAAATGTCATTATTAGGTATTCGGTTGTTCACAGAATGCAAAATGACTGATGGTCTCTCTTTGCTTCCATATCCAGAGAAGTCTAGATCTGCTGGTTAAAATATACCAAACCAGCATAGATTATGGAGACCTCTGTTTTTATGATTCAGATATAAATATTTGAAAACTATAGCAGGCTCAGAGAAATTTCCCATAAGAGCTGTGACCTCTCTGACTCCAAGCTCATTCTGCTGTTCCTCTCACTGGAAGGAATTAACAGCAAACATCGAAAAATATAATCGGATGTGAGGATATGCGCTACATCAGTTAACATGAACTTAACTTTGAAATTCATATATTTCTCTTTTGAGGCTGTTCAGTTGTGTTGTGATCACAGTGCACGACCCTGAAACTGGTTGAGTCCCGTTTCATGTACAGTTTTGTCCTGCTGTGAAAACGAGGTTACTGAAGAAATCTGTACAATGCATCATGTCCAGCAGACAGTGCTGTGAGGGAAGATTTAAAAGGCATCAACCAGAACATAAAGGGAAAAAAATACATGTAGTATTACTTTAACGAAAACGTTCACCAAGTCATGATTAAATCACTATAATTGATCTCTTTGATTCGTTGATGCTCGAGCGCTTTAAATCTTCCGCTCCAAAGATAAAATGAGCGTTTATCATCAGTATAAGCATTATTTGAATATACTAGTTATCCCTCTAAGAGTGTAGCAGAGCAGGTTGGTGGTTGGAGGTAGGGTTGGGAGGTATCTCAGGGTTGGAGTTTACACGACTTTTGGTCATTTTTTTTCACTCATCACATTCCTATAAAATTGGCTTGCATATAAACACACCTCTGATCCTCTTCCATTCATTACCCTGACAATCACAACATCCACCGCCCCTTTTAGTCGTCCTCCAGCGTCTCCGTCTTGATGTCATTTCCCATGCTGCACCTTGCTCCCTCTACCTGATTGGAAGCAGCCTTCTCCACACTGATTGGGTCCTGGGACTCGGACAGCTCGCTGTGGATGGTGGGTTCCTCCTGGAGGGCAAGTGAGGGAGGAGACCAGGACACACCTGTCAATCTAGATCCCTCCGCCTGGGGGCCCGCCCCTGAGACAAGGGAGCGACCAATCAGAGAGGCACCTCTCTGTCCTGACAAGGCCCCTCTACTCAGAGCAGAGAACCAGCTGGGGAGCAGAGTGGGAACCTGAGTGAGAAATGACAGGGACTGTCAGGAGCAGTTTTTGAACTTCAGATTTATTTCTCTTCTCTTTAAAAGGGACAGTTCAAGGTTTTTTTTTGTTTTGTTTTTTTTGGAATTGGAGTTATTCATGGTACTTATCAAGTGGACATGTATTGTGATATTTCTTTGCTTTTGACATGTAGCCTTTTGAGGTCTTTGGATGTAAAGGGCACAACAAATAAAATGTATTATCATTATTATTATCATACTACTATTATTACCCCCAGAGGGCACCAATCAGCTCAGTCTCTCAATCAAGAAACTAGACAGTAAGGCAGCAAAGAAGCTATCAACCACTGCAGACGAGGCTAACTCTTACCCCATACACAGGGTAAGTTGACCATAGGAGACCCCTTTTTTTTTGCATGCTATAATATCAAGACAGTTATTTTTACACTAATTCTGTTGGTTTGCAGGGATGCACAACATCCTGATATATATGCAGATAGACAAATCGGATCACTACATCAAGGCAATCACAGACAAAAGTATGATTGCATTGATGTAGTGATCCCAAATATGAAAAATGGCACATCTTACCCCACTCTCCCCTACTATGTGTGTTCCTCGTCTGCTGTACACTGATCAGCTGTTGGGGTCAGGGATCTCTAAAAAGACTAAACTAAAGCCAAACTAAAAGGAATGATTCTGACAGTGAGGACCATACATTACTTCATGTGGACCCTGATGAACTAAAGCAAAGAAAGGACTGGAGCTGTGAGCTGAGATCCTGACAGTGAGAGAACTGTTTCTTCTGTAAGTAGGACTTAGTAGGTAACAAATGTGTTTTAGGACTTCTCTGGACCAGAGAATACAAACAGCTGCAGTCTGCATTACGAATCATCAACCACAGTTCCTGCCTCACTGAATGATGCTGTTTTAGTTGGCTTGTCCGTGTAAATTCTCATTCATCCAGGTCATGGTTATCTTGAAGACTTGAAAAACAGGCAACTGGACTGTGTAGAGTTGAGAAGACGTTTCGCCTCTTATCCAAGAAGCTTCTTCAATTCTAAATTGCTAGTGTGAGGAGCACATATTTATCTTACTGGAGAAGGGGACAGACAACAACTGGGAGGGGTTGGAAAGAATGGGTCGTAGAAATTCATCTCCGGGTGTGGGAATGTTCTCAGCCTGGCGGTTGAGTGTTCTGATGACACCCAGTTTGTGCTGTAGAGGATGGTGGGAATCAAAAAGTAGATATTGATCCGTGTGTGTGGGTTTCCTGTACACTTCAACGTTGAGCCACCCATCTGCCTCCAAGTGTACAGCACAGTCCAAAAAGGCCAACACTTTGTCCTTGACATCTTCACGGGTGAACTTGATGTTGCTGTCCACTGTGTTGATATGGTCAGTGAAGGCCTCTACTTCATGTGTTTTGATCTTAACCCAGGTGTCATCCACATATCTGAACCAGCGGCTAGGTGCTGCTCCTTTGAAGGAGGTTAGGGCCTTCCTCTATACCTCTTCCATGTACAGGTTTCGAGAAACCGGGGAGCCCACAGCGCATCCGTGTTTCTGTCTGTAATGGCGCTCTCTGAACTGGAAATAGGTGGTGCTGAGGCAGATGTCCAATAAGGAGCAGATGTGGTCGGGGGTTAAGTTGGTTCTGACTTCCAGTGTGCTGTCCTGTAAGAAGCGTTGTCTTACTGCTTGGACTGCCTCTGTTGTCGGAATACTCGTGAAAAGTGATGCGACATCGTAGGAAACCATGGTTTCATCTGGGTCCAGCCTGATGTCTTTGATTTTCTCGGCAAAGTCCTGTGAGTTTCTGACGTGGTGAGGGGTGTGGCCGACAAGAGGAGCTAGGATGGTGGCCAAATGTTTTGCCACTTTGTATGTGACTGAGTTAATGCTGCTGATGATGGGTCTACACCCTTGATGGGTCTGTCCCCTTCTCCAGTGAGATAAATATCTGCTCCTCACACTAGCAATTTAGAACTGAAGAAGCTTCTTGGATAAGAGGCGAAACATCTTCTCAACTCTACACAGTCCAGTTGGTTTTAGTTGGCTTTCTAAAATTTTCTTTTGTTGTAATAATTTTGTTCAAGGCTTTTTGCCTTTATTTGAAGAACAGTAAACGGAGTAAGAAATGAGGTGAGAGCAGGGACTGACACGTAGCAAGGAAGCCACAGGCTGGAAGCATTATCCTCCAGACATAACCTCTGTGTATGTGAGGTGTACACCCAAACTTTCTACAACTACAGAGGTTAAATCAGAAACCCAGGAAAACTGAACAGAAGTGCATCTTAAAAGAAAGTTAATGACTCTCCCTGTTTCCATGCTGTTTAACATCCAAGCTCACAGTCTGCATAATGTGTTTATCTTATCAGAGTACACCTTGTTAGCTGCTGAAGGGGAAGATTGAGCTGAAAACCTCAGGCAGATAGTGTTCAGCATTTTTTGTCTAAAATGCTCTCTCAATGGTGTTTGGGTCAGACCTTCTTAAAATCAGCTATGATGCATGGTAAAATCAGACCTTTATGTAAGGGTTCATAACTATCTTATGTTCAATTTTATGTCTGGTTCCTCAATAAAAAGGCTGAGCTGACCAGGATCCCCTGTGGTAATACACTTACTATTTAAGGGATATTCCGGCATAAAATTAAGTTATGGTCAAACACACCATAACACAAAGTAAAGAGACCAAACACAACTCACCCACTCTCTTCTAGCAGCTGTTTGTTTGTGGGGGAGCCCTGATGAGTCGATCACCAAGTGCAGTAGAGTTTTGCAGCTCAAGGAAGAACATTTATGATCATTTCTTCATAGAAATGCAATAAGACTGAGACGCTAACGCAGGAGAACTTCTGCGTCTGCAGTGTAAAATAATTGATAAGATGATTATTACTTCATGGAAATGATCTGCTGCACTCTGTGATCGACTCGTCAGGGCTCCACCACAAGCAAGTGGCTGCTGGAGGAGAGTGGGTGAGTTGTGCTAGGTCTCTTTGCTAAAGAAATAAGGCAAAGCTGAAAAGATGTTTGGTGGCTAGTACTTTGGCTGGGACCCTATTTGTACTGTTGATGAAGTTAGGTGCCGTTCTGAGCATTATTTGTGGCTACAGAGTGGCTTTTTGGTTGAGGTCTGCGAGTGGATCCATAGACCGCTGTGTATTGCTATCCTGCGGCCGTTACTTAAGTTAGTATAACGAGAGAAGCAAGCGGTCGGCAAAATTCATCTCTCAAGAGGGTGTCTAACTCGGTGTCACAGTGTGTTTGACCCTTAACCCTCAGCGTCTCAGTATGATTGCATTTCTATGAAGAAATGATCATAAATGTTCTTACTTGAGCTGCAAAAATGATGCGCTTAAACCAAGAGGTTACTGCAAGTCTGGTCTCTCTGTATTATCTGTAATTTATGCTAGATTTTTTTTTCATATCTTTGTTGTCATTTTGTTGGCTGCTGATGGATACTTCTGCTGGGAGAAGAGTTTACTCAAGAGAAGAGCTCCTTTTATTGAGGAAAAGCAAATCTTGGGAACAACACACAATTCCAGAGGACATCAGGAGGTGTTATCGTGGTTGTTGCGCTGGTGCAAAGGTGAAGGCAAAGCTGAATGCTAGGAGGTGGCGATATAAACCCTTTCTTCCATCAGTCATCATGGGAAACGTCAACTCTCTGCCCAACAAAAGCAATGAGCTGGAGATATTGGTGAAGACTGAGAAAGCATGCCTTGAGTGCAGTTTCCTGTGTTTTACTGAAACCTGGTGAAATCAAAACAACTCGGACTCCAGTGTGGATCTACCTGGCTTCACTCATAAGGTCAGACAGAGATGCTAAAGCTAGTGGCAAGAAGAAAGGAGGAGGTCTGGCTTTATTTGTCAACCAGAGATGGTGTAACCCTTCACACATAACTGTCAAGGAGAAGTTGTGTTGTCCAGATATTGAACTGTTGGCAGTTGCTCTTCGGCCATATTATGTTCCAAGAGAATTCAGTCATAATAACAATAGCTGTTTACATCCCACCCAAATCAACTGAGGAATGTTGCGATTTTTGCAAAATAGTGTTGCCAGGCTACAGACTCAACATCCGGAGGCACTAATAATAATATTATGAAGAGACTTCAACCATGTCACCCTCTCCTCTCACCTGACTGGATTCACACAGTTTGTGAACTGTCCTACCAGAGAAAACAAAACCCTGGATCTGCTGTATGCCAACGTTAAAGAAGCCTACAGAGCCACTGCCTTACCACCACTGGGCAAGTCAGATCATAACTTGGTCTATCTGCAAACCTGTTACAGACCTTGTGTACTGAGGCAGCCTGTGACCAAAGTCAAAATAAGAAGATGGACACCTCAAACCAGTGAAGCTCTAAGGGACTGTTCTAAATCAAAAGACTGGAATGTGCTGCTGGAAACAGATGTGGATAGTATGAACATTGACAAACAGGTTGACTGCTTTATTGAATATGTCAACTTCAAGACTGTTCGCTGTTTCCCCAACAACAAACCCTGGATCACAAGTGACATAAAAGCAATCCTTGACCAGAAAAAGAAAGCTTTTAAAGATGGTGACAGAGAACGACTCAAACAAGTGCAACAAGAGTTGAAGAGGAGACTGAAGATGGCAAAGCTGGAGTACAAAAAGATCAAGAAGAATCTACAAAACAGCAACATCCGTGAAGTGTGGAGAGGAATCAGTACCATCTCTGGACACAGCAGACAAAAGAAAAGACAGCCAGTGGTGGGTGATCTGGAAAGAGCTGATGAACTCAACCTGTTCTTCAACAGATTTGACACTGATGTCACTCCCACTTCCACTGCTACTCCACCTTCCTCCCCGCAACAAATCTCCACTACAACTTCCCCCTTTCCTCTTCCATCTCATTCAAATATCTCAACCACTTCAACTGCCTCCCTCCCAGAACACCAGTCCTTGTCTGTCACCGAAACAGGGGTGAGGATGGAGCTTGGAAGACTTTGTCCTGGGAAGGCAGCTGGTCCAGATGGTGTGTGTCCAAAGCTTCTTAGAGACTGTGCTGCAGAACTGTGTCAACCTCTCCACAAGATCTTCAACCTGAGTCTACAGCTGTGGCGGGTACCTGCTCTGTGGAAAACATCCTGCATTGTGCCAGTACCAAAAACAAAATGTCCTGCTGAACTCAATGACTACAGACCAGTGGCCCTCACTTCACACATCATGAAAACCCTGCAGCAGCTGATTCTACACCTTCTGAGGTCTGAGGTCAAAAACAAACTGGATTCCCTGCAGTTTGCATACAAAGAACACATTGGAGTGGATGATGCTGTCCTCTACATGCTTCACCGTGCCCTGTCTCATCTGGAGGAACCTGGGGTTTATGTGAGGATCATGTTCTTCGACTTTTCAAGTGCATTCAACACCATCCAACCCATCATACTCAAAGACAAGCTCACAGAGATGGGAATGGATCCTTCCTGTGTTTCCTGGATCACAGATTACCTGACAGGAAGGCCACAGTTTGTCAGGCTGGGGAACTGTGTTTCTAGGACATTAATGAGCAGTACAGGGGCTCCACAAGGGACAGTGCTGGGGCCATTCCTGTTCACACTGTATACGTCAGACTTCAAATACAGTACTGAGTCCTGCCACATCCAGAAATATTCGGATGACATCACTATTGTGACATGTATCAGAAATGAACAAGAAGCTGAATACAGAGATCTGATAAGAGCCTTCAGTGACTGGAGTCACAAAAACTGCCTCCTCCTCAACACCTCAAAGACAAAGGAGATGGTCATAGACTTCCGTAGATCCAAACCCCCTCTTCAGCCAGTGAACACCAGTGGAGTGGACATCGAAGTGGTGACATCATATAAGTAACTAGGTGTACATCTGGATTATAAGTTGGATTGATCTAAGAATATAGACTACATCCACAGAAAGGGGCAGAGCCGCCTCTTTTGCCTGAGAAGACTCCGATCAATAGACATCTGTAGTAAGACGCTGCAGATGTTTTATCAGTCTGTGGTGTCTACAGTGTTCTGTTCTGACTGCAGTCTGCTGGGGAGGAAGCATCAAACACAAAGATGCAAGACATCTTAACAAACTGGTGAAAAAGGCTGGACTCAGTGGTAGGACTCAAGCTGGGCTCAGTGGAGGATGTGGTGGAGAGATCTACACTGAGGAAGGTGGAGACTATTCTAAAGAACATTGATCACCCACTTCACAACACCTTGATGGACCAAAGGGCCAATGGTGGTGGACGGCTCCTCTCTCTTCGCTGCAGGACAGAAAGATTCAGAAGATCTTTTGTACCAACAGCCATCAGGCTCTATAACTCTTATGTAAATAATAGATAACTTTTATAGACATATTACATGAGACAACAGACAATTGAATTTCCCTTCGGGGATCAATAAAGTTCTTATTCTTATTCTTATTTTAAGCCGGAATATTTCTTGAACAAGTGTCTCATACAACCCTGCTTAAAACCAACAACAGCAAAGATTCCTTTAAATCATCTTCAAGCTTTTTTCTGATGCAATGATTGAATCAAGTCAGAAGTGTCCAATCGGCTGTACCTGGGTAGGAGAGGACAGGTCAGCTCGGCTGAAACCAAACTGTCTGGCTGAAGCTCTTTTGTCAAACAAGGACACCTCGCAACCCTGTGACAGAGGGTGGGTTAGTGGGCACAGGTTAGACAAATCAAAGTATCAAGAGCAGAGTCACAATCATCTGAGCTGAAATGTTCATCTTTCTAAATTCTTGGAAAGTTTTAACATCATAATCAGCATCTGAGGAGAAAGATTTAGATGCTGATTGCCTTAGTAAATATCATCACTGCATCACTGTTCGGGGTTGCTTTTTTATTATTTCAGCCAAACGGATTCACGGTCAGTAACATATTTCACAGTTTAAGTACAGCAGGACTTTCTTTTTGTTTTTTGTTGTAATTTTGTATTCTTTATTCAACTCTATAGATACTGCTGCACTCATTTGTGTGCCTAAACCATTCAGGTAGACCCAGTTGTTCATTGTGCAGCACGATAAAGATGCTGTATATAGAGGACCTGCACATTTACAGTCATCAGCTGGTTTACCTGGTCTGGGAAGTCGTTGCCATCCACCTCGTCGCTGTTGGATTGACCTCCAGGACTCTGAACCTCGATGCCATGACTCTCCAAGATGGCTGCTTCTTCAAAAACACAAACCTTATCATAGCATATCGAACACATACAGCAGCGTGGTAATAAGTTGACAAACAGGAATGCAAAGTAAGACGGGTGGATTTAAAGCGACAGGACCGCATTCTGTTACTGACAAAAATCACATAACTGATATGAACTGTGCTGCATCTGTGTGAGCGATGTCAGGCTAAAACTCTCCAGAGATCATAACAACTCTTAGATTACCTCAATATATACAGATAGTTTTATATAATATCTGCACATATAATCTATTCATATGACTTTAACATGTCTGCTATTGTGGTAATCCACCACACTTTGTTCAGAGGTAGTGAACATGTTTCACAAGTCACAACATGTCTTTTTGTTTTTGTGTGCTGATCACTCCAGAAGGAAGCTACAGCACAATCAACAGTGAGATGATCTGTATCAAACCTCACAATCAATGTCACAGTAAAGTGATTCGAGGAATCCCTTCCTCAGCCAGCTCAGCATCTTTATGTGCACAGGTCTTCAGTATCATTACTCCATTATGTTTAATCATAATGTATAAAGAATGTATCATTTATAAAGAAAACCCTCAGACAGAGCTGTTAGCATAAGAAAATGATGCACAATTTTCAGTGCTAATAGTGACCACGGTCCACCCTCACTGAATTTTCTCCTTGAGTTTTCCACTACCCACTCACTCACTCACTCACTCACTCACTCACTCACACACTCACTCACACACTCACTCACACACTCACACACTCACACACTCACACACTCACACACTCACACTGTATTTATAACTCTAATAACACCCACTTATTTGAACAGAAATGCACACACAACCCTACAGCTAGAGGAAGACATTACCAATGTTAGCACGCCTCTTGATGTCTTTGCGACGGTTGGCAAACCAGTTGTAGACCTTAAGAGATGTAACCCTCTCCAGGTCAGAAAGCTTCTTTCCTGTAACACACAGAAAAGGATCAAATCCAAAATCTCAAAATGGGAATTAAGAAACTGTATTTTCTTTAAAGGGATCCCACATGGCATTAGAATGACTAAAATGAATATGTAAAAAAAAAACATGTAACTCTGACTGTGAACACAGAGTGGAGCTTTGGCTGAAGATTTACATAAAGCAGGAGCTCCAGGTGATTGCAGGCAGGTGTGAAGGGAGCAAAGGTTTCTGACCGTGTCAGTCAAGAATAATAATAATAAGAAGAAGAAGAACTTAATTAATCGAATTTCCCCGAAGGGAAATTCAATTGTCTGTTGTCTCACATAATATGTCTCCAAAAAAGTTATCTACTATTTACACGAGCGTTATAAAGTCTAATGGCTGTTGGTACAAAAGATCTGAATCTTTCTGTCCTGCAGCGAAGACAGAGGAGCCGTCCACCACCATTGGCCCTTTGGTCCATCAAGGTGTTGTGAAGTGGATGATTCATGTTCTTTAGAACAGTCTCCACCTTCCTCAGTGTAGATCTCTCCACCACATCCTCCACTGAGCCCAGCTTGAGTCCTACCACAGAGCCAGCCTTTTTCACCAGTTTATTTAGACGTCTTGCATCTTTGTGTTTGATGCTTCCTCCCCAGCAGACTGCAGCATAGAACAGAACACTGTAGACACAACAGACTGATAAAACATCTGTAGCATCTTACTACAGATGTCTATTGATCGGACTCTTCTCAGGCAAAGATGTAGATGTAGATGTAGTCTATATTCTTAGACCAATCCAACTTATTATTCAGATGTACACCTAGGTATTTATATGATGTCACCACTTCGATGTCCACTCCACAGGTGTTCACTGGCTGAAGAGGGGGTTTGGATCTACGGAAGTCTATGACCATCTCCTTTGTCTTTGAGGTGTTGAGGAGGAGGCAGTTTTTGAGACTCCAGTCACTGAAGGCTTTTATCAGAAATCTGTATTCAGCTTCTTGTCCATTTCTGATACATGTCACAATAGCAGTGTCATCCTAGTATTTCTGGATGTGGCAGGACTCAGTACTGTATTTGAAGTCTGACGTGTACAGTGTGAACAGGAATGGCCCCAGCACTGTCCCTTGTGGAGCCCCTGTACTGCTCATTAATGTCCCAGAAACACAGTTCCCCAGCCTGACAAACTGTGGTCTTCCTGTCAGGTAATATGTGATCCAGGAAACACAGGAAGGGTCCACTCCCATCTCTGTGAGCTTGTCTTTGAGTATGGTGGGTTGGATGGTGTTGAATGCACTTGAAAAGAACATGATCCTCACATAAACCCCAGGCTCCTCTAGATGAGACAGGGCACGGTGAAGCATGTAGAGGACAGCATCATCCACTCCAATGTGTTCTTTGTATGCAAACTGCAGGGAATCCAGTTTGTCTTTGACCTCAGACCTCAGAAGGCATAGAATCAGCCGCTCCAAGGTTTTCATGATGTGTGAAGTGAGGGCCACTGGTCTGTAGTCATTGAGTTCAGCAGGACATTTTGTTTAGAATAGAATAGAAAAATCCAGTTTTATTACTGTTCATTGTAAAGTCTTATTGCAGAGGGGAGGAATGATCTGCGGTAGCGCTCCGTCCTGCAGGGTGGGAGTCTTTGGTACTGGCACAATGCAGGACCCGCCACAGCTGTAGACTCAAGTTGAAGATCTTGTGGAGAGGTTGACACAGTCTCTGAGCAGCCTTGGACACACACCATCTGGACCAGCTGCCTTCCCAGGACAAAGTCTTCCAAGCTCCATCCTCACCCCTGTTTTGGTGACAGACAAGGACTGGTGTTCTAGGAGGGAGGCAGTTGAAGTGGTTGAGACATTTGAACAAGATGGAGGAGGAAGGGGAGAAGTTGTAGTGGAGATTTGTTGTGGAGAGGAAGGTGGAGTAGCAGTGGAAGTGGGAGTGACATCAGTGTCAAATCTGTTGAAGAATAGGTTGAGTTCATCAGCTCTTTCCAGATCACCCACCACTGGCTGTCTTTTCTTTTTACTGCTGTGTCCAGAGATGGTACTGATTTTTCTCCACACTTCACGGATGTTGCTGTGATGTAGATTATTCTCTATCTTCTTTTTGTACTCCAGCTTTGCCATCTTCAGTCTCCTCTTCAACTCTTGTTGCACTTGTTTGAGTCGTTCTCTGTCACCATCTTTAAAAGCTTTCTTTTTCTGGTTAAGGATTGCTTTTATGTCACTTGTGATCCAGGGTTTGTTGTTGGGGAAACAGCGAACAGTCTTGAAATTGACATATTCAATAAAGCAGTCAACCTGTTTGTCAATGTTCATACTATCCACATCTGTTTCCAGCAGCACATTCCAGTCTGTTGATTTAAAACAGTCCCTTAGAGCTTCACTGGTTTGAGGTGTCCATCTTCCTATTTTGACTTTGGTCACAGGCTGCCTCAGTACACAAGGTCTGTAACAGGTTTGCAGATAGACCAAGTTATGATCTGACTTGCCCAGTGGTGGTAAGGCAGTGGCTCTGTAGGCTTCTTTAACGTTGGCATACAGCAGATCCAGGGTTTTGTTTTCTCTGGCAGGACAGTTCACAAACTGTGTGAATCCAGTCAGGTGAGAGGAGAGGGTGACATGGTTGAAGTCTCTTCATAATATTATTATTAGTGCCTCAGGGTGTTGAGTCTGTAGCCTGGCAACACTTTTTTGCAAAACATTGCAACATTCCTCAGTTGATTTGGGTGGAATGTAAACAACTACTGTGATGATATGACTGAATTCTCTTTGAACATAATATGGCCGAAGAGCAACTGCCAACAGTTCAATATCTGGACAACACAACTTCTCCTTGACAGTTATGTGTGAAGGGTTACACCATCTCTGGTTGACAAATAAAGCCAGACCTCCTCCTTTCTTCTTGCCACTAGCTTTAGCATCTCTGTCTGACCTTATGAGTGAAGCCAGGTAGATCCACACTGGAGTCCGAGTTGTTTTGATTCAACCAGGTTTCAGTAAAACACAGGAAACTGCACTCACGGTATGCTTTCTCAGTCTTCACCAATATCTCCAGCTCATTGCTTTTGTTGGGCAGAGAGTTGACGTTTCCCATGATGACTGATGGAAGAAAGGGTTTATATCGCCACCTCCTAGCATTCAGCTTTGCCTTCACCTTTGCACCAGCGCAACAACCACGATAAAACCTCTTGATGTCCTCTGAAATTGTATGTTGTTGCCCAGATTTGCTTTTCCTCAATGAAAGGAGCTCTTCTCTTGAGTAAACTCTTCGCCCAGCAGAAGTATCCATCAGCAGCCAACAAAATTACAACAAAAATATGAAAAAAATCTAGCATAAATTACAAAAATTACAGATAATACAGAGAGAAACTTGACCTAAATATTTCCTTGAGGAAATAATGTCATTATATATTTATGATCATACTTATTATTTTTACTATTGCCCTCCTCTCAGCTTTTTCTATCTGTACCACTTCTCTTTTTTAGTAACACTGTCTTATGTAGGCCCTTTTTTTACAGCCACCTTCTTGTTACAACAGGGTAACCAACAAGAAAAGTGCAGGTGAAGAGTGTCCAACTGGACTGTGTGTGGCTAGCATTAGCAGAGCCTTAGTTCACCTTGCAGATTAAAGGAATATTCCAGCGTAAAATTAAGTTAGGGTTAAACACACCGTAACAACGAGTTAGACACCCCCTCAAGATGAATGTTGTAGACTGCGTCGTTCTCTAGTTATACCAACTTTAGTAATGACCGCACAATAGCAATACACAATAGTCTACGTCTCCACATGCAAACCTCAACCAAAACACCAATTTATAGACACAAATAATGCTCAGAACAGCACCTAACTTCATCGGCAGTAGATGTAAGGTCCCAGCCAAAGTACTAGCCATCAAACATCTTTTTAGCTTTGCCTGATTTTCTTTAGCAAAGAGACCAAACACAACACTCACTTTCTTCCAGCAGCTGCTTGTTTGTAGGGGAGCCCTGACAAGTTGATCACTGAGTGCAGCAAATCATTTTTATAAAGTAATAGTCATCATATCAATCACTTTGCACTGCAGATGCGGTAGTTCTTCAGCCGTAGCATCCAGGTCTGATTGCATTTCCATGAGGTAATAATCATAAATGTTCTTCCTTGAGCTGCAAAACTCTGCTGCACTCAGTGATCGACTCGTCAGGGCTCCCCCTCAAACAAGCAGCTGCGTGGGTGAGTGAGTTGTGTTTGGTCTCTTTGCTAAAGACACCAGGCAAAGCTAAAAAGATGATTGATGGCCAGTAGTATGGTTGGGACCCTACATGTACTGTTGATAAAGTTAGGTGCTGTTCTGAGCATTATTTGTGGCTATAGAGTGGTGTTTTGGTTGAGGTTCGCATGTGGAGACGTAGACCGCTGTGTATTGCTATCTAAAGTTGGTGTAACTGGAGAAGCAAGCAGTGGGCAACATTCATCTCTCGAGGGGGTGTCTAAAGGTGTTAACGGTAGACTCGGTGTTATGGTGTGTTTGACTGCAACTTATCTTCTTTTGGATCAAAACACAACTGAACCATTTTATAACATGCCATTTGTGTTTCTTCACATCTAGGTAGCCTGGCTGGGCCATCCAGCTGTGTGAATCACTTGCCGTTCTTTCCCACAACAGTCTGGACTTCGGCCAATTGGGAGCCCTAAAAGTGGGCGGGAGTACTTTCCTTGATAGACAGACTACTGTAACCAATCACCGTAACCAAACATCTGACGTCATCACAGTGCGCAACTGTGTTCCCTGCTGGGCTCTCAAGCATCAAGTAAAGGTTTGGTAATATTTCAACGTGTGCGAGCAAACAATGTCTTTTACGTCTTCTTCTGCGGATATAAACGACTTCTGCCAACTTTCTGCAGAATTTACGTCGTTCTGAATGAACGACGCTTTGAAAGTCCCGCAGCATGTGTTAGACATCACCATCTACACATGGACAAATCAGGGGCTGCCTTTCACTGTTGTCCGGGGAACAGTGGAGACAGTCACTAATTGGCCCGGTTATTTTCTGATTTCTAATAGACGCTCCCAGTTGGTCGAAGTCCAGACTGTCGTGGGAAGGAACGGCAAGTGATTCACGCAACTGGATGGCCCAGCCAGGCCAACATCTAGGTAGTAAAGTGTGAATTTATTTGTGGTTGAAATGCCAGGCAGCAGGATATGAACTTTTTAAACACTCTGACACCCACAACAATCATCATGCAATGGCTTTTCCAAAGTAATATTAGATACACATTTCACACAGAGCTTTGAGTTCATGTTTGGGGCATATTGTCCTTAACTCGAGTAAAACACAGTGAAGTCATGTGAATGTGGCACACAGACACAAACACACAAACACAGAGCAGATATTTCCAAATCACGAGGTCTCGTGTATCACTGATCCGATGTGAATGCACAACAGTATTTTCCCTATATGCAGCATGAAATCCCCTTTGGTTTTCACTTAATTCAGTTAAACATTTTTAGACATTTCCAGTTAAACTGTATAACTACTTTGCATTAACCTGTAATCAAAGACACCATTGAACATCTGCTGTGTGTGCCTTTGAGCTGGACAAGAAAGCCTGCTTCTTCAAAAATACTCTGCCTACATTAGAGCCAAAAGCCGTCTTTGTAATTTGGAGAGTCGATAAAAGCAGCAGAACTTTTACATAGACCGAGCTAGAGTAAACTTATAAACAACCACTGTAATTAAAGCTACTGTGGATCACCATGAACTTCTGATCTGATCTACCTGGTTTCTGAATCACAGCGTTGCAGGCATTGGCGATCTCCTCCCTCTTAGCCTCGTCAGGGTACTGGTTATCACTGAAGAAGCTGTGTGGAAACACAAGGGCATATATTCAACATTTTACTTTTTTTACCACTAAGGTAATCCTCACCACCACCTCAGCCCACTCACAGCTGACAAGGTGCTCCTCACCTTTCCATCACAGCCAGACACTCTTTCCTCCAGGTGAATCGGCTCCCTCTCCGTAGACGGAAGCCTCCAGGGGCGGGGCCAAATGTGGGTGGGGCTTGATGCCAATCTATCATGTCATCAAGAGCCAGCGGAGCAGCTCTCATGGCCAGAGTGGCACCTGAAGTCACAGAAGCCCAAAAGTGTAAACATGTTTTATTAAAACTGCAGTTCAGGGTTTGACTAATGTGAAATCAGAGTACACTGTCCATTTACCCTGTTCCCTATTCGTTTCGACCACAGTTGACCCTCATTCTGTAGAGGCATCTTGAAACTCTACTGACTGATTTCCAATGGTGTCAAAGCATTGAGCCAACAAATGAAAGTCAAAAGACTCTGATCAAAGGCTCTTTCTTTTCCCTCAAGGTCCAAAACAAGCTAAATTTGACTAGACTGTACTGATTGTTTCATACTGTACATTCCTCTATGAAGGTCTAAACTTAAGATAATGGAGTCTATCAAGTTACAGGAGCACAGCTCAGGGTCTGTATTTCTGAAACCAGGGACTTCCCATGGTGCTAACGCATGACCATGGCTTTGTTTTTATCACTTAAACTCTGATTGAAACCAACATCACAAAACATAAGAAAGGATGAACTGACAGACGTGAAGGCAGGTGTTGTTTAACATGTCAGACCATCAAGGAGGAGATCTGTGCTCCTAACACGATTGTAATGAATACCTGATATTGATGTGTGTTGCTTCATAGCTCCCAAATTTACCAGGTAGGTTTAAAACCCTCTTCATCATAGGAGCATTCATGAGGAAGTCTGCCAGAATACAGACATTCACGTATTTGGCACTCATTTCCTGGATGAGGACTCCTTAGTGCACACAGAAATTTTGTCGTCTCCTCAGTAATACCACAGGGAAGATGCGCCACTTGCCTGGCAATCTGCTTGTACACCTCGGCTGCCCCGAGCCAGCCTGGGTTTGCTTCCAGCCTGTTGCTCCCACATGTCACTACCTGCTCTCTCCCTCCAGTTTCCTATTCTGTCCTCTATCAATAAAGGTGAAATGCCAGAAAATAAAACCTCAATACAGACAGAGAGTCTATGTACTTACCTTGAAACAATTCTAAACACACATCACAATCCCTGATTTACACTGCTGAGTGCCGACCCAATATTTTGAGATGCCCTCCATAGCGGGATATGTTGTTGATTGTTTTTAACTTCAGGGTCTGCAGTGAACATCCAATCCCACATACCGATGACGCAAAGGGCAGGATATTTAGGAAAAGAAATCAGTCCCTGTATCCAGGCAATAGAGAGAAATAATTACTAGTCCATTTTGAAGAAAGTTATGGATGACCTTGAGAGATGAGCAGCACTCTCCTCCTCAAAGCCTGCCTGTGTAGCTGCAGTCAACATGAGTGTGCTTCCACACATAAGCTTTGTAACTTGATGCTCCCTTTTCCAACCCCAGCAGGGTTTTGGAAGAAACTCGGCTCAAAGCTTCAAAAGTGGAAAGGAACCTCGAATCAAATGGTTAACATTACAATGGGACGAACCCCAGGGTGGATGAGCTTGTCCAAACTCTTTAAGTTAAATGAATGACGTTTGTGCTGTGTCCCATGAAACAATGGTTTGATGCAGAAGTAGTTTCACCCTGGAGGATGCTAGGACAGAGGGTTCAAGATGTAGCTTTTTCTGGACTCAAACATGAGCAATGTTATTTTCAATTCGGTCCAATAGTATCATATGAATCTAAATGGCACAAACACCTATTCACCTATTTATTAACCTATTTGCCATAATGTCAATTTATTGACAGATGATGAAACATTCATTTCACAACTATGGGCTCAACACAAAATTTGGATATTGGGGAGTATCTCGGGCTAAAACTCAATTTTAGACTTTCCTGATCTAATGTCCCATTTTAGTATCGAGGAAACTCACAGTTCTTCTATTTTAGAGTAAGGTCAGCACTAAATTCACTCAAGGTTCCTCTAGGGGCTGAATTGAGGACTCACCCTTTGATATCACTGGTGGAGAAAACTCCCCTAAAGAAAACAGCCTCCAATATATATAACAATCTTTTGTTACACACTCCTGCAGAATCACCCGTATAACAGATCATGGGAGGTGGATGTACAGTAAATCCAGGAACAGAGAGCATTGATTGGGATACTGTGGAGGGCCGGGTTTTCTGTGTGTATTTGTGTTATTCTTGTTCCAAACTAATAAAAAGTTGATTACGACAACAACAACAAAAAAAACTTCAGGGTCTGTTTGACTTCTTTTGGCAGGTCCTGTACAAACTCCATATGAAATCAGTGCAGTTGACTTGTTAGAGAAAATATGACCTGATTTATTGAATAAGTATTGAAAGAAGTACGAGTACAGGTAGTCCTGGGGGAGATGTAGGCCTTATGTTACCTGGGCTGGTTTTCTCCAGCTGATACCAGCGGAAGAAGGCTCGTTTCTTCTGCTCGCTAAGGTCTGATCCCTGCTGCAGGAGCCAGTGTGAGATCCGGCTCTGACTGATCCCTGGGGGAAAACAAAGAGAAGAAAGAGGGGGAACAGAATAAGACCAGTTTGCCTGAAGGTCAACTCATGTGATGACTTGACCGGCTTGAAGGAAGTCCAAAGGAAGTTGATACTCACCTGTTACCTGAGCGACCACAGCCTGGGAGATCCGCCTGTTGGCTAGGAAGGACTTAATCTCCTCTTTTATCACAGCACTGTCCCTCCTGCAAGCAGAGAGCAGAGTCTGCTGTTTACACCAAATGATAATCACCTTGGAACTCACATTTTTCTCAGCCCATTCAGTCCAGGCTTCAGGTTTAGTCTGTTCTTGCTCAATTTTCTGCCTGTCAAAAGGAAAGGTTTCCTTGCAACTGTTGCCAGATATTGTCATGATGATTGCTCAACCCACACTCGATGGGTTAGGTGCAGCTTCATTCACAATGTAACTTGTTTCAATGCATGGCTTAGTGTGGACTTAAGTTGAAGGGATACTCTGGCGTAAAATTAATTTAGGGTCAAACACACTGTAACATCAAGTTAGACACCCCCTCGAGAGATGAATGTTGCCGACTCCTTGCTTCTCTAGTTATACCAACTGTAGTAACGAATGCAAGCTAGCAATACACAGCAGTCCATGCCTCCACGTGCGAACCTCAACCAAAAAGTCACTCTAGAACCACAAATAATGCTCAGAACAGCACCTAACTTCATCAATAGTACATATAGGGTCCCAGCCAAATTACTAGCCATTAAACATCTTTTTAACTTTGCCTGATTTCTTAAGCAAAGAGACTAAACACAACTCACCCACTCTCTTCCAGCAGCTGCTTGTTTGTAGGGGAGCCCTGACGAGTCAATCACATGGGAGAAGCAAGTAGTCGGCAACATTCATCTCTCATGGGGGTATCTAACTCGGTGTTACGGTGTGTGTGAGCCTAACTTAATTTTACACCGGAATATCCCTTAAACTTAATACTACTTAAGACTGGTGCAACAGCCCCTGGTCTCCTGAACTTTGGACAGTGAAAGATGACTTTATAGTTTGAAGGCACATGGTAATAATAAATATCATAGTAAATTTTGACAACTACACTCCAAAGACTTCAATCAAGACCTGTTTTTTTCTATTTTTGTCGTTGTTGTTCCCGGGCAACTTTTGTCATCGTTTGAGGCTATAAAACTGAATGATTCATGCAGCAGCTGTTGATTGGAGCTTAAAATGTGCAGGAATCAGAAGACAGATTGGGTTTTAACATTCTTCACTCCATTTCTGATTTGATTTCATTTTCACAAAACCCTCCAATCAATACCACTCTGATTGCTGCTGGCTGACTGCAGACTACAGATCTGAGTGTGTGAGTGATGTGTGTGTGCTTCTGAAGTGTGTGTGTGTGTGTGTTACAGAAATTAATCCTCGTTTTATGTTTATTGTGAGGTGAAGGCAAAGCTGTCTCCTATTGGGCCATCTGCATTAACACCATCTCTGCTGCAGAAATCTGATACTTACATTAGCAAGTTTGACTAATTATTAGGATAGATATAGCCACAAAAAAACACAGGCTGATCACTTTTTGTCCTCATGCTGTTTAGTGATGATGACCACAGTAAATACCTCAGTCTGATAAAACTGGGACTTGGGAAACCAAAATCTAGATATTGGTAGTTGAAAAAGCCAGATGACATTGTGGCTGGTGGTATCATCTATTTGAACAACAAACAACAACAGAAATTTTACACATGATGATGGGGGTCAGTGTTTCCTTCTTACACTAAAGCTATATTGCACACACGGGGGAGAAAGACCACTGGAGACAGAAAAGGATGGGGAGTAGACAGTGGGGGTAGACCAGAGTCAAAACTAGCAAACCAGCAACCACTGCAACTGTCCCCTCCATACATGGGGCACATGCTTGGATCACTAAGCCAACAGACACCTGGAGACACATCATAAGGACCCTCTTATCCCAGAAACTAGACCACTGGATGACTTCTTTTAAAAATGGGCTTTAAGTATTAACAGGTTAGTCATGATGTGATAAGGATCTGTAATAAATCAGTTTATTCTTTTAAAATCACAAACTTTATCACCATAGACAGGGGTTTTCTTGTATTTAAGAGAGTCAGCCTTCACTGTGGTCCTGCCCTTGGCCCTCATCATCACATTACATTACCATCACTAGAAGAATGAAGAGATTCACCATGAGAATCAGCACACTTTGAATCTTTTGTATTGTGAAATTCAGCGTACATGCAACAAGCTCCTCTCTGGCAGAGCAGTGCAGCATTTATTTGAATAATAAATCCCAAATCCCTTATAAAGACACTACAAAAATATTGCTTTACATGGTTAATGTAAACCTATTGTTTTAAAATAATATTGTTGTAGAAATGTGATTAAAATGTGATTGATCACAATCAACTCTAGAAGACCCTGCAATGAAGATTTTTAAGAATAAATCATGTGACAGCCCCAATTTTTATGCTTGCCAAACATCCGGTTCAGCTTGTCATCATCCAGTCTACTGGTTTTGCAGATGATAAAATTGATGTCTTGAAGTATTCATCACATCAAACTGATTTACTGAGGGGGCCTCTGTTAGCCTCTAGGTCTGTGCTCCAGAGATCACTGCGTGACATCACTGCTAAAAAATCTATTACGCTTAAATTTTTTATTTATTTATTTTTTTTACTGTGGCTGTGATTACTGATTTCAGTGTTGATTTTTTTAATGTCTTGGTTGTTCGGTCTGTTCCTGTTGTACAGCAATGCAAAACTAATTTCCACTTGAGGAACAATAACAAAACCGAACTGAACTGATTGAAATCCTATTAAGCCAAAGTTTCCAGTTTGAGGTTCCTTACTGTAGCCTCCTACTGAAATTTTGCGAGTACATGTTTAATAAGACAACAAAACACAGTGCAGCCCTCAGAATTACTGTCGGTTGTCGTCTTATAAGAAAAAAAGGAAGGACCTGTTGATGTATTGTGTGATAAAAACTGAACAATCAAAAATTGAATAAACAAAATAATTTCCTGCAGCATGCCCCTCTTTTCTCAGACAGCTGCTGATTGTTTCTTATTCAGAAGAAGGGTCAAATGACGTGATACAGCCTTCTTTCACGTGAGCTGATGAGGAAAATTCACAACCAGTTTTGTGATCTTAGACTAGAGCTTTTAACTTTATTGAGTCAGCTCATGGAAAGAAAGTTTCAAGCTAAGTAACTTTGATTCGTGGTATACCTCCTAGTCTCACCTCATCAAGTCCTCCACCTTGTCATCAACATCCATGTCCTCTTCACTGGTCTCAAACCCGTAACCAGGTGCTGTCACTCCACCACTAACCACACCCAAAGGAAACCGGGGCGGTGACAGCTTCCCATTGGTCACTGCAACTAACCCGTTCTGAGCTACTGCTGCCATGGCGACAGGTGAGGTTATTGGAATGGGAAGAAGTGGAGAGCTGTTGTCAAAGTTGTTGCTGGGGGACAGTGAGAGTCGGTTGTCAGGGAAACTTGTCTGTGTTGCTGTGGACATCGTAGAGGAAGAGGCGGCAGCTGTGCTTGAGGAAGATGAGGGAGGCAGGTAGGGGGGTTTGTGGGTCAACTTGTGTCCATGTTTGCGGTCCAGGTGGTCCAGCGTGTCAAGGGCGTGGAGGACCTCCACCTGTGTGATCCCCGTCCTCCTCAGCCTCTGGAGAAGGTCGATCTGCTCGATGGTGAAACGAGGCTCTTCACTTTGCTGGAACATCCTACAGGAGATCAGAGAAACAACATTAGTGTGAACAGAGGAACATTACACAGGTCAGAGCAGGAGCACAGGCTGGTTAAAAAATGGATCCCTTAACTTCTGTATATGATGTAGAACATTTAAGGTTCAACATTTGCTAAAGGCATTTCAGCAAAGTTTTGAGTTGGAGTTTGAAGGATTCAAAATTCTCCATTTTGACGGGAAGTTTCTCAATTTTACTGTCAATGCACATCAGTTTTTACAATTACTGATCAGTTTCATTAACTACTCAACAACTGGCCCTGAAACACAAATATCAGTCAACCCCTAAAGCAAAGTTTTGGAGCCCCACAGTTGCAGAAATGTTGCCTCGGCATAACTTTCAGATAACAAACAAGAGGCAGAGTTTATGAGTGTGTTCGGTATTTGTTAGATTTTTAATGTTGTTTTTGTGATTTTCATGCACCTTATAAGAGTTTGTGTTTAGAGAGTGCTCATGCTTACTTTTTTAAACAGCTGTTATGTGTCCACCTGTCAGCTGAGTCAACCTTTGTCATGGCCAAACATGTGTGACTTGAAGCCTTTAACATCTTTAATGAGTCAAAACTCAGTTTTGACTCTTCTGACCAAAACTGTTGTTTGTATAAGGCTGTAAACATGTTGTTTCTCAACAGGACACTTGAGGAACTGCGTTTTTTTGCACTCCAGCATTGGTTTTATTTTAGGTCATGGTGCACAGGCAGGTGTGGCTAACCTGGGGCCTATTCTACTAAGCAGGATTACTGCTTAGCGAGGTAACTTCGAGGGTAAGTTCGGGGTTTCCTGTTCTACGACGCGGCTTCACTTCTTAGCAAGGTGAGTCTCCATGGCAACGAACGCTGAACGGCTAACCTGCTCCGGGGCAGGTCAAGTTCCAGATTGAACTCACCGAGTATAAAAACCCTGCCCACTGACCAATGAGCTCTCTCAAAAAATGGCTTGTCCGTTCTTGGAGGATCCTATAGACCTTGGTGCTCGCATTGTCTGAGGAGCACTCTGGCACGCGAGAGTTTTCAGGGACCGCACGGACCCACTTACTTTTCCAGATGACCACCTTTATGAAAGGCTCATATGGCCTACATATCACACAAAAAATGTAAACACCATAGGAATGAACAAATGAATGAATTCATCTTGGAAATGAATTAGACATGTGTGCTGCATGTTAAAAGCGCATGTTGAACAGTGCTATTTCAGGGTGATAATGGCATCCAAGATTTTTTGTGCACTATATTTACGCATTGAGACTGTCGGCAATTTTCTGCCAGCATTCCTTTCATGCTTTTGCAGTGGCAACGGTGTTGCTTTTGAGGTTTATGATAGATTTAAATTCCTCATACTTTCTCATGATCGTCTCCTGCTCCTCGTTTGTAAAGTACGCGGTCCTTCGCTCTCCGGCCTGCTCTGATTGGTCAATTGGTCCGATGCGGCGGGCTCCGCCTTACATGCGTGCACGCGCTCATAGCAAAGCTGGATCCACATACAAGGTTGATAACCAGCGTCATAAGACTTTTTAGCGACACCGCTGGCTACCGCACTAAGTTGAGCTCCAAGGCTACCTCACTAGGTCGAACTTGCTTCGTAGAATAGGCCCCTGGACACATAAACTGCTGGACCAGGCTAGAAGAAATATGACGTGGATCCACCTTTCTGTCTCAACATTGTCACTTGTGGCTCCAAAAAACACCAACAAGGTGGCGCAAAAGTCTTGCACAACATCAGTCGACATAAGAACATGGTGAATCCTCTCATTTATGAACTCCTCACTGATTTGGGGACACTTGTGGACTCTAGTGGCAATAAAACACAAGCACCACAGTTTTTTTTTGAAGCACAAAATAAATCAACTACCTGAGGGAGAAACAAAGCTAAAATGATTCAGAGTCACTTGAGGTCGATTTCAGAAAGGAGATTAAAAAAAGCTGGTCCAACATGGCATTTCTGTTCTCCACAGTGCTCCCCGATATTGCATGAAAAGCTGGCATATAGTTGATTTTTATCTTTCTTATCATGTCTCCTATGCGCATGCAGTCTTTTCTGAACCCCCTCCCTCAACCATAAATGTGTAATATGAATGCCAGTGTTAAGCAAAATGTTGTGGAGAAAGGCAATTATAGAATGCAAATACCATAGAGAGGGTATTAAACTAAACAAAAATGGTCATAAACGGTGTTCGATATGAATCTACATTTTCCTCTTGAGAATAAGTGATACAGTTTTAGTTCATTAGTGACCTTTGTCCTCCTACTAAGCCTCAAATTCCAAGAAAAAAACAATAATGAGGCAATCTCAGAACAAAATGGAAGAACAGCCACATCTGTTAGCTTCCTGCCTGCAGATTTACAGCACACACACACACACACACACACACACACACACACACACACACACACACACACACACACACACACACACAGTAAGACATCAGAGCTCAGCAGCTGCTCTCCAGACATGAGGTGCATTCCTCCAGATTAAATAACCCTTGTATTACTGCATATACATTTACATGTAGCGTATGGTGTGTTTCCAAACCAGAAACATGCTCTCTTCAGTGCAGCTCAAATCCTGCTGAAGTGCCCTGTATTTTGCATGCGCTTTGATCGTGTGCCTTTTAAAAAAGAACAGTCACAAAAATAGTCCCCGCATTGAAGAGAGAGAAAGAGAAAAAAGGGCGATCAAGGGAGGGAGATAAACAGAGAATTGAGATAACACATCTGTCTTGAAGCTCTTCTGTCTGAAGCCAAGAGGAAAAACAGGCCACAGCCGTGTAGCAATCAAGACAACCCTGGATGTGAAACCCACACATTCCTCACAGGAAAGCTTCCTTATCTGGTCCCAGGAAACAGGATATAAATCTTTCCAGACGTGTTTGCACTTTCAGGTTAAATAAGTGACCCAACCGGAGGTTGACTAAACCTCTGACTCTTCAGGATTGGTCAGTTCGGCGAACAGAGACAGAGTTTTTATTACCTTTCAAACTGACTCCATTTGCTGACCATCTAAATAAACATTAACGTCTCAACCCAGATCTCCCATTTGAGATTTAGTGTCTTAAAGTGTGTGAACATACGGACCCCAGGATAAGGGGGGACACTGACCTCCAGACCTCGGTCGTAAAACCCTGCTTGACCATGCACTGATAAAGACTACATTCCTTTGGTGAAAGAATACAAATGACTGATCCTGACATCTTATGCATTCAGCAATGTACTAATCTGTCTAATCATGAAATTTGTGTTAAAATGAGATGTTTCCCGTTTTTCTATGTGCTTCAGAAGCCAAATTATCACTCCCGATATCTTTAGACCAACAGCTTTTCAGACTGTTTCATGAACTTTTAAGAGTTAAATTTATTGATTGTGACTCATAACTTAGCTCTAATTAACAGAAATGGTTTAGAAATGTTTGTTCTATATTTTAATCGTTTATTTAGTATTTTTAACCATTAGGTGGTTATAATGTCATTGAATAACCTGAATGTGAGTATTTAGAATCCATTATTAATCATGATGACGTTCATTCACATGTATTTACTCTTTTGTTGTTCACAGTTTCCATGTGTTACTATCTGTTTCATTTCAGAGTAATTTAGCATGTTCAATGTGATACTTTAAACATAATGAGAATGTTTGATGTGATCCTACACTTCATTCATATGTGTTTAGTGTCAAATTATTTGTCATGAAACCAAGCATTCAATGATATTAATCATAGTGAGTGAGTATCAGATCTGACTCTTTTACCAGCCAAAAGAATAAGTTAGATCAAATAATCAAAGACCACACGACCCTCCTCTGTCTCACACACACACGCCGGAGCCACTCCCAGTGTGAGAAGATAAAACCAGTGAAGTGGGGTTGCTCACTCTCTCTTACGCCTCTTATTCCTCTTATGCTTCTGCTCTTCTGCTGACTCTCTTGTCCCCGGCTCTTATGCCCCTTCTCTTCTGCCCACACCCTTCTGTGGTGCGTTTCTTTGTTTTCTCTTAGAACTTTTTCTTAGTCTTCTAAGTTTTACGCCACGTGTTGATTCACGTTGATTTTTCTTTAACATCGTCTTAGTTCAAGTTTTGAAACTTCAACTTTTTGTGCACATAGCAATTCAAGATTAAGCCTTTGATTGATTTTTCTTTAATTTCGCGAAGCCATTTTTGAAAGTTTTCTCTGCTCTTCGAGCCTCGTTTTTCTGAGTTTTCTGCGTGATTTCAAAGTCACCTCTGAACGCAACCCAGCAGGCCCAGGTCATCCTCTGTGCCAGAGTTTTTGAGTGAGACCAAAGAAGTACCCAAACGAGCATCCACAGGATCCACAGGCGCTGGCTTTGCTTCGGGCCCGAGTGCTGCAACTCCTGGCTCATCCTTCGGCTGACTTCAGTCGTCTTCTGAGCTGAACCGCTCGAACCGCCAGTAGCCCCGGACCTTCGGAACCTGCTCCATCTTCTCCAAGGACCAGTCTCACTTAAGTATGCAAACCTCCAGAGCTCCAGACAGGGCTGATGCTGTCTCACGCGTTCATAACTCAGATATCCACCTATTTCTGGTGATCTTAGATTCCTCCAAATCTACACCCGAGTTTATCTCGACACCAAAGTTAGTGTAGGTTAATATGTTAGCGCATATTCACTCACTATCATTAACTTTAGTGCTCCTAGCCTGACTCAGAATCTTTATTTATTCACCTATTATTATCTATCTTCATTATCTTATCATCATTTATTGCATGTGTGTTGTACCATCATTTATCCTGTAATAAACAGATCATTATTTTTCTAAGTTCCTGTCTGTTAGTGTTCTTCCAGAAGTGGAGTCCCTGAAATTAGAATTTCGACTTAAGATATGAGACTGATTAATTAAGACTGATTAATTAAGACTGATTAATTAAAACTGACTTGATGTTTGATTTCTGAATTAAACTTTTGTTTTCTTTATTTTCCCACCATTAAGGGTGGGTGGTGCCCCTTTCAACGAGTGCATAAATGTCATAATTTGAGATTATTAATCTTCAGACATTTATTATAAATTCCAATCGCCAAGTATTATTTTGGTGCGGCCTTGTGAGGCTCATTTCAAATCGCTACATATATTTTGGTGCGACCGTATGAGGCTCATTTCAAATCACTACATATATTTTGGAGCCCCTGCGTGAGGCGTTTCAAACAAAACTTCTGGATACTAACAGACAACCTAAAACTTAGCCTTCCAAATTGATGAGAGAAACTTATTTCCAGGCTATTTTAGACTTAATCACAATCAATGCTATGCTTGCTGAAGTTGCTTGACTAAGTTCTGATGTTTTCCTGATCTATGCATAAAACCTTTATGCTCTGTGTTTCACACACTTTTGTACTACATGCCTGTAGTCTGTGTTTGAGCTGGACAGCGTGAAATGTTGTTCTGAGTAGCAGTGAGACTGACTCTTCTGCTCTGTCTAGACTGTCCAATATTTAAGTGCACGATTGTTGCGTCGCCGTACGCTTGTATTTAAGGCCTTTGGCTGAACCCAGTGTTCGCGATGCTCCGAGCTGTGGTTTCAAGCCCCTGAAGTCTCTGTAGTCTGCTACGAGGTTCTAGTAACTATATGGGATTCAGATTTCCTCCTTTCCCCTGACAGATTAGCTACCTGTCACAGGAAACCACTGTAACAGTGGGAGGTTGTTGTTTGATTGAATTCAGACAAAATTTGTGTTCACAAATCGCCGCATTTGTGATTTTTTTAAAAGTCTGCAGTTGAATCTGCTGTTGAGGGATTTGTCACTTTGATTCTTGTCTCTATAGTCTGCTACGAAGTTCTAGTAACTATATGGGATTCAGATTTCCTCCTTTCCCCTGACAGATTAACTACCTGTCACAGGAAACCACTGTAACAGTGGGAGGTTGTTGTTTGATTGAATTCAGACAAAATTTGTGTTCACAAATCGCCGCATTTGTAATTTTAAGTTTGCAGTTGAATCTGCTGTTTAAGGATTTGTCACTTTGATTCTTGTTCCTGTAAATGATTTTATTGAACCAATCTGCCTGAGCAGATGGTGTAAAGTTCTATGTTTGAGGGTGCAGACGCAGCCTGCTGTGAAATGTTAACCCTTTGTTGTCAGTGGAGAGACTGACCATTAGGCCTTAAGCAGATAAGGCCCTTCAAGGAGGCAGAGCCTAAAGGCCCCTTCCTGCATACTTCCCAACTCCTCACAGCCACAAGAGGCTAGTTGGATGACTGTTTCCTCTTCTCTTCTTCTTCTCCACTTGTGTTGAGCTTGTGCAGTTACCCCAACTCCATACTGCCCCACATGGTTGTTTTTGGTATTGAGCTAACACTGCTATTATCTGCCTGCAGTATCAGCCAGCTGTACTGCCTCTCTGTAGTCAGTGTGTAACACTCTACAGACATAACTCAAGTGATTGACTTGGTTGATGAAGTTTGATGTGCTTATTCTAAATCATTGATCATTGATTTTTGATTTTTATCTTTGTTATAAGAGCCTACATAATGTATTGATAAAGTAACTCCTTGAATCAATCACCTGATCTTGTTGTTACTTATCACACCATTGAGCAGTTTTACTGTTCCCTATAATACATGAATGTATTAACCCTCCTCATAAGATTAATTAATTAATGAACAAATTAATTAATATTTGAAATTTATTTTAACACTCCAGATGGATTTGGTAGTTGAACCTTTGGATTCATTGCAATTTGTGAATTAATTTCAGAGTTAATTCCTTAAATTGACAATTTCATTGATTTTTCAAATTCATCCAACTGCATCAGGCAGTTTATTTAAGCTTTGCTGATCTCTGCAACACGGAGACAAACTGAACCCTTTATTCAATGGTTCTGTATCTGATGTTAAATTTAATTTAACATTATTTCACCTTTTTCTTTCAATTTTCATTGAAATGAATTTAACTTTATGTTATTTTTCTCTCCATTAGAGATCTACTCAGATAGGCTCTTCCTCTTTATCAAGCACTGATAAATTAAGTCGATTAACCCACTTAATTTGATATTTTGCTTCTTCCTTTCATTTTAAGTCAACTCAAACTCATCAACCAACCACCTGCACCTCTTTACCAAAACCAAACATGCCTAACACAAAAGAGTCCAGCCAGGGAGACCCCCTGAGGGACATACACCCAGTGTTGGCAAACTTGACTAGTCAGCTGATACCTCAGTACATGACTAAGATTCAAAAGGCCAAACCCTCCAATCCGGAGGATGAAATGGCTGACTTACTGGAAACAGCCTTAACCACGACACTTCGTGACAAAGAGCTCACTAGATGCATGTCTGTCATGATGTCTTCTCAGCTTGAGTATAAAGACTACTTGCTGGAATGCGCTTTAGCAAAGATAAAGGCGCAAAAAGACGAAAACAGCGCTCTGAAAAAGACGCTAGAAGAGACTAAGAAGTCTCTAAGTGTTTTAGAAAAACACAGTGCCAGATGTGAAGCGTCAAAGCTTCCCTCACTGATAAGTCATGAAGAAAATCTTGATCTTAAAGACAAGATTGAAAGACTTAATGAGACCCTTTACAAAAAGGAGAAAGAACTTGATGACACGAATAAGCAGCTTGCTAAGACCACAGAGGATCTGATACAGTCAGAATCCCTACTAGAGCAAGCAACAGGAGATGTAAAAGCTTTGAAAGCACTGGTCAAAGTGCGTGCTGAAGCTCTTGAAGTTAAGGAGAAGCAAACTTCTACCTTACAGCACCAGCTCCAGATAGCTCAAAGACAGTTAATTCTTTGTCAAGAACGGCAAGAAAAGACAGACAAAGAACTTGAAGATGCCCAAAGAGAGTTACAATGCTCCCTCCAGTCAGGTCGAGCCCAAAGAGAACGCATGGAGCAAACGTTTCTTGAAGAAATGATAGGTGATCAGCCTCCTGAGAGAGCGCCATCACTTCCTTCCAAACCAACTCTTAAGTATCTCTCTCAGCATCATGACAGGACCCTGCTTGACCCTGAGAGGTCATCCTTAAACCAAGAGTCCTACTCTCCTCCTCATGATGGCTTCTTACCATCTCCCTCAGACAGGGATCTTGACAAAATTGCTCGCAACATAGCACGCTTTGAACCTGAGCACCAAGGTGCTACTGACACCTGCACCTACTTGAAAGACATTGACTTTTACCTGAGGAAATTTCCAGGTGCAACCATTGATGACAAAATCTACCTTATTAAGGCAACGTCAAGTCGAGAGGTTAGCAGTTTCCTTGAACGACAGCCTTATCATGTCAGAAATAATTATGACTTGCTCTGCCAAGCATTAATTGAAGAGTTTTCTGACTATTTGACCCAGACAGGCCTCTCTGCTGCTCTGTCTATTAAACAAGGGAGATTAGAATCTCCCCAACAGTATTACAACCGCTTACGCGAAGCTTACTTTGGTTTCCGAAATGAACCAGAAATGGAGGAGGACTTGAACTTCAAAACGCTGTTCGTCCAGAACCTCCACCCTACCACCAGTCATCACCTTGGCGTCTTAGCTTGTCCAAACACTTTGACTAGCCGACAGCTTCGTGAACTTGCTGTAAAAGGTTTTGCCAAACAACGACAAACTTTGGCTAAGAAAGCAGAGCCTGTTACTCTCTTGGCTATGGAGACAAAATCACTGCCCATGGAGCTGAACGAAGCTTCAGATTGTGTATTTTCAGGCTTCGATAAGCCTCCAAACGAGTGGTTAACCAGGCCTCCAAAACCTTTTCGACCTCAACAAACTCACAAAGGTCAAAGTTACACACCAAGGCCCAGGTCTGACACAGACCAATGCCCGGTAAACTTTGAGACCAACTGTTGTTATTCAGACTCCCGTCACGATGGGTTTTGTCCCAGACAAAGGAAAAACCATCGACACCGCCAAAGGGGGGTGAATGACTGGCAGAATCAGAGTAAATCACACTCTCAGAAACGACGATCTTATTATCCACCTCAATCGGTTTCATCCACTTTGAAGGTGAATAAACATGACAACTCAGCTAACCACTGAGATTAACACTGTGGAGTCATGAAGGTGTGAGTCCTGCGAAAGCAGAAGTCACCTAGCCAAAGCTAAATGACTCCAATAAGATATCCAAATGCTGTGGTGATACATTGATGACTGCAATCCCAGTTGCTGCTTTCTTTGTTAGCATTTGTCTCTCCTCTGTCAATATGGTCAGCTTGTCAGCTGTCAAATATCCCATGAACAGATTAAAACCTGAAATTTCTGTCATTAAGACTCAGACTGACAAATTTCAGACTCAACAGCAGATAATTAGTCAAACCAATAAGAGCATCATCCCCAAGTTTAACAAAGTTTAAGAGAAACTCTGTGCAGTAAACATTTGATGTTTGTGATTCAGGTTGACTATGCTCATACACAGATGGTTAATATGTCTATAGCAGACATTTCTTTTCCACCTAAGTCTTAACCATTTTTGAAACTGAAATTGAACTTTCAGACTTCTCCAGCAAGCATGGAAAACAGCTATATCTTTAGATCCAGTTAGCATTCAGACTAAATAGTGCTTTCCTAAATCTCATTAATACTGAAAATTAGGAGATTTTCTTTCACATTAGTCTACCAATAGTTAACTGAGAAAAGTCTAACAACAAGACTATTTTATTTGATAGCTTAATGCATGCTTAATTTTATCTCAAAGCAGTACTAGTGATTCACATAGTGATGACGAGACGCATCAGTCCTATTTGCATACACCTGCTGCTGCTTCATGGTTGTCTACTCGTCGTCCCGATGCTCCATGGACAGGACCACCGTGACGAAGGGGGGACTGTAGCAATCAAGACAACCCTGGATGTGAAACCCACACATTCCTCACAGGAAAGCTTCCTTATCTGGTCCCAGGAAACAGGATATAAATCTTTCCAGACGTGTTTGCACTTTCAGGTTAAATAATGACCCAACCGGAGGTTGACTAAACCTCTGACTCTTCAGGATTGGTCAGTTCGGCGAACAGAGACAGAGTTTTTATTACCTTTCAAACTGACTCCATTTGCTGACCATCTAAATAAACATTAACGTCTCAACCCAGATCTCCCATTTGAGATTTAGTGTCTTAAAGTGTGTGAACATACGGACCCTAGGAAAAGGGGGGACACTGACCTCCAGACCTCGGTCGTAAAACCCTGCTCGACCATGCACTGATAAAGACTACATTCCTTTGGTGAAAGAATACAAATGACTGATCCTGACATCTTATGCATTCAGCAATGTACTAATCTGTCTAATCATGAAATTTGTGTTAAAATGAGATGTTTCCCGTTTTTCTATGTGCTTCAGAAGCCAAATTATCACTCCCGATATCTTTAGACCAACAGCTTTTCAGACTGTTTCATGAACTTTTAAGAGTTAAATTTATTGATTGTGACTCATAACTTAGCTCTAATTAACAGAAATGGTTTAGAAATGTTTGTTCTATATTTTAATCGTTTATTTAGTATTTTTAACCATTAGGTGGTTATAATGTCATTGAATAACCTGAATGTGAGTATTTAGAATCCATTATTAATCATGATGACGTTCATTCACATGTATTTACTCTTTTGTTGTTCACAGTTTCCATGTGTTACTATCTGTTTCATTTCAGAGTAATTTAGCATGTTCAATGTGATACTTTAAACATAATGAGAATGTTTGATGTGATCCTACACTTCATTCATATGTGTTTAGTGTCAAATTATTTGTCATGAAACCAAGCATTCAATGATATTAATCATAGTGAGTGAGTATCAGATCTGACTCTTTTACCAGCCAAAAGAATAAGTTAGATCAAATAATCAAAGACCACACGACCCTCCTCTGTCTCACACACACACGCCGGAGCCACTCCCAGTGTGAGAAGATAAAACCAGTGAAGTGGGGTTGCTCACTCTCTTACGCCTCTTATTCCTCTTATGCTTCTGCTCTTCTGCTGACTCTCTTGTCCCCGGCTCTTATGCCCCTTCTCTTCTGCCCACACCCTTCTGTGGTGCGTTTCTTTGTTTTCTCTTAGAACTTTTTCTTAGTCTTCTAAGTTTTACGCCACGTGTTGATTCACGTTGATTTTTCTTTAACATCGTCTTAGTTCAAGTTTTGAAACTTCAACTTTTTGTGCACATAGCAATTCAAGATTAAGCCTTTGATTGATTTTTCTTTAATTTCGCGAAGCCATTTTTGAAAGTTTTCTCTGCTCTTCGAGCCTCGTTTTTCTGAGTTTTCTGCGTGATTTCAAAGTCACCTCCGAACGCAACCCAACAGGCCCAGGTCATCCTCTGTGCCAGAGTTTTTGAGTGAGACCAAAGAAGTACCCAAACGAGCATCCACAGGATCCACAGGCGCTGGCTTTGCTTCGGGCCCGAGTGCTGCAACTCCTGGCTCATCCTTCGGCTGACTTCAGTCGTCTTCTGAGCTGAACCGCTCGAACCGCCAGTAGCCCCGGACCTTCGGAACCTGCTCCATCTTCTCCAAGGACCAGTCTCACTTAAGTATGCAAACCTCCAGAGCTCCAGACAGGGCTGATGCTGTCTCACGCGTTCATAACTCAGATATCCACCTATTTCTGGTGATCTTAGATTCCTCCAAATCTACACCCGAGTTTATCTCGACACCAAAGTTAGTGTAGGTTAATATGTTAGCGCATATTCACTCACTATCATTAACTTTAGTGCTCCTAGCCTGACTCAGAATCTTTATTTATTCACCTATTATTATCTATCTTCATTATCTTATCATCATTTATTGCATGTGTGTTGTACCATCATTTATCCTGTAATAAACAGATCATTATTTTTCTAAGTTCCTGTCTGTTAGTGTTCTTCCAGAAGTGGAGTCCCTGAAATTAGAATTTCGACTTAAGATATGAGACTGATTAATTAAGACTGATTAATTAAGACTGATTAATTAAAACTGACTTGATGTTTGATTTCTGAATTAAACTTTTGTTTTCTTTATTTTCCCACCATTAAGGGTGGGTGGTGCCCCTTTCAACGAGTGCATAAATGTCATAATTTGAGATTATTAATCTTCAGACATTTATTATAAATTCCAATCGCCAAGTATTATTTTGGTGCGGCCTTGTGAGGCTCATTTCAAATCGCTACATATATTTTGGTGCGACCGTATGAGGCTCATTTCAAATCACTACAGCCGAGACTCAAAGTCAGCAGACATGTCAACACTTCAACAGGGAGGGAGGGAGGGAGGGTGAGTGACTGTCTGTGTGTGTGTGTGTGTGTGTGTGTGTGTGTGTGTGTGTGTGTGTGTGTGTGTGTGTGTGTGTGTGTGTGTGTGTGTGTGTGTGTGCAAGCGTCTTGGGAAAAATGCCAAGAAAAATTTACATCACAAGCAGCCATGCTCTATACTTTCTGCTGCAGAGGATGAGTCATGCCGTTTAAAGCTAGACAGACACATCAGATAGACTCACAAATGAAAAGTTTGATTCAGTTCACAAAGATAAAAGTTGGAAATAAAGATTAAAAATAAAGTTTTTTTTCTAAGCTAAATGTGTGCATAGATCTAGGGTTCTTTTAATAGAAGGGAACATGAGCTTTGACCCTGAGGTAAAGAGTCGTCACTTTAAGGTGGAGGTTTCTGTTGGTTTATCACAGTGGTGTACTTTTGTTTGTCCTTGCACTGAGATATTAAAGGCATAGCATGTAGCATTTTATGGCATTTAGCAGATCCATTTAGAGATGGAGACAAGGATCCATTATTAAGTCTAAATAGATATATAATCACCTGAATACAAAATTAGTCTTTTTTATCAACTCAGAACGAACTCTTTATATCTACATAAGTGCAGGTCCCCTCTCAATGTAGGTCGCCATCTTGCTCAGCCACTGTGTCTACATTGGCACATAACAGACAGACTGGTGATACACAGGTCAGTGTATTTGGTGGGTGGCCGTCTGAAATGTACCAGTTGGAAAAAAATAAAAGGAGAAGACAGTGGCTTTCGTGTGCAAAAGAATTTGTCCTGAGACATTTCTAATAGAAAAACTGAACAAATGGAGGATCATACAGATTTCACATGAGTACTAGTAGGCCACGTGGAGCTTTACCTACACCAGAGGCAAGAGAGCATCTGAACTCAGAGTATGACCTCTAGATGTCACCAATCCAATTTCTGCTCACTGCACCTTTAATAAACAGTTTCACCTGCTGTGACCCAATGATGCAAAAGTCTTTTTCTGATGATTATAGTTTTTTAATAGCCGATGCCAATGCTGATCATGAGAAAGCAGGTCGAGTAATACATGATACCGATACCACTTTTGTTGGGGTTTTTTTTGCATTTAAAAATACAACAAATTAATGATACTAAAAATGAAAAACAAAATTGCTGATATAATTTAATCAAATCAATGTAGATGTAAAAATATTTGTGGTGATGTCTATCTGAACCAAAGGACTCAAATTTTTGTCCAGCCATCTGTTATCATTAGGAAATAATTTTAAGGTGAATATCTGCGTTAAAATAAAAAAAAAACAGTCATGTACAGATTCATTACTCCATGCACATTAAAATCTAATGTACATGGTGATCTTAGTCAGTAATATATATTTGATGGGTTTTGAATGAATCACAGATATTGGGTTATTGGGTTATACTACAGTTTGCCATGCCTTATTGGTTGCAGATCTGGGTTACAGCTTCAGCATGCCACAAGTGTAACAAAGACTCGTCTGAGAGGTATCAGGTATAGCTGTCCATGTTTTCAGACATTCTGCTGACACCTTTTTAATGACAGTACAGAGAGTCCATGTGGGGTGATAACAGAACACAACATATTTTGGGAGCTTGAGTGATGTTAAACAGGTGTAGAAAGTTCTCATTTAGGATGGTTTTCAGAGGCCCATGGCACCACTGGTAGGGCACCAAAATATCTGTGGTATTTCAGTTACACAGCTTCAACCACCCTAAATGCTGACATGACTGGCTAAAGAAAATCATCCTAACAATTGGTCATGGGGAAGATGTGTTATCTTTTAGAAAAGATGATAGTGACGTCGACTGTGAGGGATATGATACCAACTGTGTCAAAATGCCAATAATCTATCCAAGTAAATGGTTTGGCCCCATTGTTTTTCACCACTTTTTTTACTGCCACTAATCAATCTGAAAGTAGCCGATGGTTGACTTGAGCTTCACCTGAATATAATAATGAAGTGAAGATGCAACTGCTCATATAGGACCCTGGATGGACGTGTCTCTTTATCAGAGCTTAATAGATAAAAGGTACAAACTTGATCTACACCACAGACTGTTGAAATCTAGGGCCTGACTGATTTATCAGCAAGCCAATTAAATCGGCCAATTTTAGCCGGCTCGAGACTAATCAGTAATTGGCCAAAAGTCGCTGATTTTGTTGGGCAGAGAGTTGACGTTTCCCACGATGATTGATGGAAGAAAGGGTTTATATCGCCACTTCCTAGCATTCAGCTTTGCCTTCACCTTTGCACCAGCACGGTTACCACGATAACACCTCCTGATGTCCTCTGGAATTATATGTTTTCGCCCAGATTTGCTTTTCCTCAATGAAAGGAGCTCTTCTCTTGAGTAAACTCTTCGCCCAGCAGAAGTATCCATCAGCAGCCAACAAAAATATGAAAAAAATCTAGCATAAATTACAAAAATTACATATAATACAGAGAGACCAGACTTGCAACAACCTCTTGGTTCAAGCGCATCATTTGAATGATCATTTGAATTATAACTTCATACAAAATTTTAAAAATCGTCTGATTAATCGGTAATCAGACACCCCCCCCCCCCCTTATAATCGGCATCGGCATTGGCCCCAAAAAATCCATATCTACTGAAAACCTGCATGTAATCTCTGTGATGCTGTCCATTGGTTTCTGGAAAGAAGTCTGAAGCCCAGCAGTTGCAGAAATACTGAGTTGACCGAAATTTTCCTCATTCTCCACACAAGCAAGTCCGTTAAGCTGAGATGGGCTTTAAGCCTCCTGGCAAACAGCTACAAAACAATCACCTGTCCATCAACTAAACCGCACAAACAATGAAAGTTGCATACAGTTCTCTATACTGTTCACTGTACCACCTCTGAAAATGTCAGTTTCTGCTGCAAAGCTGGACATGCGCCTAGATGGAATAATGAGGCTTTAACAAAACACCCTCACAATGACATTCAAGGAGCTGAAGTTTTATTAACCTCCACACTGGCTTCATTTTTAGGCTCTTAAGGTTGCCCTTTGATCTGGCCTAGTTTCCTGATATTGTCAGACACTTGCAAATTCTACCCGTGCCTGGAGATGCAAAACACAAGGGCAAATCAGAAAACATAACAGCAAAAGAGAAAACTAAACACAAAAAGAGAAAACACAACAAATCTAAAAACACAACACAAAGAAAGAAAACACAACAAAAAAAGAAAAACAACACAAAAAGAGAAAACACAACCTCAAGTCAGAAAAAACAACAAAAAAGAGAAAACACAACACAGAAAGAGAAAACACAACAGCAAATCAAAAAACACAACTAGAAAACCCAATTCCAATAAAGTTGTATTTTTGTTCTGTGTTTTTTTTTGTGTTATGTTTTGTCTTTTTGTGTTGTTTTCGCTTTTTGTTTTGTGTTTTCCAATTTCCCATTGTGTTTTCTATTTTGTGTTGTGTTTTTGGATTTGCTGTTGTGTTTTCTTTTTTGTAATGTGTTTTCTCATTTTGTGTTGTTTTCTGATTTCGTTGTTTTCACTTTTTGTGTTGTGTTTTCTGATTTGCTGTTGTGTTTTCTCTTTTTGTGCTGTGTTTTGTCTTTTTGTGTTGTGTTTTCTGATCTGCCGTTGTGTTTCCTCTTTTTGTAGTGTGTTTTGTCATTTTGTGTTGTTTTCTGATTTGCGTTGTGTTTTGTCTTTTTGTGTTGCGTTTTCTGATTTCGTTGTGTTTTCTCTTTTTGTGTTGTGTTTTCTGATTTGCTGTTGTGTTTTCTCTTTTTGTGTTGTGTTTTCTGATTTGCGTTGTGTTTTCTCTTTTTGTGTTGCGTTTTCTGGTTTGCTGTCGTCTTTTGCTTCTCAGCGCCACCGTAATTTTCACATGTTACCATGAGCAATGTGGAAAAGCCTTAAAAGGCAAAACAAACACATTTTCATAATGTCATTATATTTACACTATTATTATTCAAAAACCAATATACAGTGAAATACAGATTGTTTTTCACCTTAAGTCTTGCTCTTTAACGCATTTGATGCCTTTTTGATAGCCAGCAGCGGACACACAAGCCGAAATAACAGCAGGAGAATGAGGGGGAAGAACACGGAACAATGGACTTTCACTAAATGCAAACTGTGGTTGTCATTCATGGTTGACCCGAGGTCAATCTAAGTTCAGTGACCAAAGGTTACAAGGCCATCCAACCAAACAAGTTTCTTAAACCTGCCTTTCTTTGAACACATATTTCCTAGGTCATTCATCCTGCTGTCTGAGTCCAGCAAAGGTGAAAACTCAAACAGGAGTCTCTGTCTTCAAGTAGCAAATAAGTTTAAAGATTTGTTCTGTAATTGCTGCTCTCATGCTTGTCGGCAGTTTTTTTTTTTAACATACCTTTCTTATTATATTAACACACTGAATTTCTCTGGGCATTTTTGATTCATACAAAGTTGCAGGCTGTCAAGAACATGAGCTCGAGCCATGCCTTATTTAAAAGGTACAGTATGCAGGTGTGGGAATATTGAGCCACATCTTGCAATCAGATTCTGGATAGAAAAGCCCCCCTGTTCACCTGATGGTGGCCTTCGAGCACAAGAAGCTCATGTGCAGCTCATGTACAGGATAAGTACAGTCCCCAAAGTTGTTCCATGAAAACACGAATCATGATCAAGTCTTTTGTGCACAATAACCATTCTCTTCTTCTTTCATTCAGTGAACATCAGACAGCCACTATGAATGAAATGCAAAAGAATATGACAATAAAATAATAAGTAAGTTTCTAGTTTGTCAGTGCAAGAAGGTGGCCTATGTGGAAAAGAACCCACTCCTTACAATCTCCACAGAAACAATAAAACATTTCCATATCTGGGTTATTTTTATCCTATCATTAAATATTCACTTCATTTCAACCACGATTTTCCCACTAATGCCTGCAAAACACTATGCACTGCACCTTTATCTTTAGTGAAGAGAAAAAGAGATGACAAAGATTGACCTGAACTTCTACCACAACATTTCCAACAAACCAACATGTAAAAAGTGAAACACCTTAAAGTTCCTGTGAGCAGTTTTTAACGAGTTGTAAAACTGACTGAACTAAATAGTGATGCCTCTTTATAAACTACAAAAGCAAACTTAACCATTTGTAACAAATTTGACAGTTTCTTTATCATTCGTTTAAAGTCTGAATTGCTGTTACAGGGTAGGTGTCAAAAGGAATGATTGCAAGCCATCCAAACTGCTTGTTCTTCCATTTTCCACAGCAAGGAAACCTGAAACCTGAAATGCTGACACATTTTTCTGTTTTCCCCCCAAAAAAAACATGAGCTAAAATTTAAAAACATTTGGTATAGAGATAAAGGGTCATGATTTTCTCAGGGGGTGCCAAAATTAAATGAAACTGAGGATTTGTCACAGGAAAAAAAAACAAAAAACAAAACAAAAGGGAGACTTCATTGAAACTAGTTAGTAATACATGGAGGTTTAGCTTGCAGTTTAGTGAGATAACTAAGCTCTGAAGGTGCATCTTTTGCAAAAAGATACAACTGCTTCCAGATGCACACCTCTCCAAAAGCGGAAAACTCGACTTCTGCTTTCTGCTCTTAGATAATAATCTGATGATTTATTTTGATAGCTGACAAGAAAATATGCATCGTTTCTTCATTGAACAAACATATCTTAGCAGCAGCCACACTCGTGCAGATAATGGTTCTTAAGCTCACCAAATCACAACTTCTAGGTTTATTGCCAAAATGTTTTTTAAAAACACTAAAGCTGCAGTTTAAACTGGTGTCAGAGGCTGTGATACTTATGGATGTGAACAGCATTTGATGGGTGTGTGTTTTGTGTTATAGCGTGTATGATTACGTGACAGTGCAGAAACCATGTGTGCAAGCAGTGATGGAGGAACTAGTAATCAAATAGTGCTGACTAGCACAGCTCAGAGATCTCTGCAGAGCAGCAACAGTGGGAAGACAAAGTATGAACACACATGTAAATACACACACACACACACACACACACACACACACACACACACACACACACACACAGGATAATACTGTCTGCCTCCAAAGAAATGTGCTCCTCCAGTTCACACAACCCTGAAGTGTCCTTGAGGCATACACTGATCACCTTAAGGCTTCAAATGCTGCTGTGAATCTAAACTTGACCCCTGACCTCTCCCTTGAGGATTACTCTGTAAAAACATCAACTGACAGCAGGCTGTGGCACTGTATCCAAGGTTGCTCCGTAACAAACCACTGGACTTCAGTGTCCCTTTATCCATCTGTTTTCCACACATCTTTCATGTTTTCTGCGCCTGATGGCTTGGTTCTAATAAAAGTTTAAATATAAATAGTGTTCACATCTCTGAACCCGGTGACCTCCCTATGATCCTAACCAGACGTCGTGGCATACACTGGAGCCTGCTGTTGACATGAGCCAGCAGAGCATACAGACAAAGTCCTTTAATTACAGTTGGCAACTTTTTAACTTCCTTGGAGGCTGAACTTCATAAAAAAAGAGGAGCTGTTCCTTCCACTTAAAGACTTTACTGCTGTAATCCAAAATGTAAGAACACCCGCCAAAGAGTTTGCCCTTACAAAAATGATCAAGGATCACGCCAAATCTTATTGGAAAAAAGTTAATTTCAACATTGTTTTGCTCCTATTAAGATTGACATGCAAGACAGGTGGTGTCCCGGGGGTGTTGCCGAACAAGGAGGGGGGGAAAATCCATTCGGCGTATATTTCATCAAAAATAACACTTATTACAACCAATAAAGAGTACATGTTGAACTGCTTTGCCTGTCGTTTACCCTAATTTCCACATTGTGCTAAAACATTGCGCTTCTCCGTTCAAACCAAAGTACACCGAGAAAAGTTGATGTTGTCTTACATTGAGTGTTTCTTAGTAGACCATGAACATGCCGAATCAAAGGCAGACTTTTCATTTATCGGATAAAAACGTCCACAACAGTTAAGCTACTGCTGGGCTTCACCGCCGGGTCTAACGACGCAGCATTGCCGAAAATTTTAAGGAGTTTTCAGATATCGCCGCACAGAAAAGGAAACGGGCTGGGAGAACCGTTTGAAGGCAGCAGTTGTTGCAGCTGCAGGACTAAACTTACCTTAATATTCCAGTCAACGAGCCTCCAATGATGTTTATTTGACCATATATCTTCAGCCTTGGACCACGGGGACACACAGACACTGACAGTTTTCCCAAAATGTCTCCTCTGTTTCTAATTGGGCTTCTATCCTCCGTCAGACAGATTCGCCTTTTGTCCGGCAGACGGGCGCCATGTTGACACAATGACGCAAGGAACGACGGGAGACGCAGTTTACAGAACTTACTGTACTTAAAGAAATGCCAGGATTCAGTGAATGTGAGCCAGTTAAAGTGGTGCACCCAGGGGCGTGTCCAAGCTTATGGGGTGGGGGTGGGGGGGCCGGGGTGCTGAGTTTGGCAGGAGTGACATGAATCAAATCACAAGGGAGGGAAGTTTGTATGACCCTTTCCTGTAATCATATCTAACTAACAACAAACATAGTCTATAAGTGTAAAAGTCCTCTGTGTATTTTTAACTTACATAAGCAACATGCCAACAAAGTTAGTCTATAAAACCTTCCAAACGTTATCTTTTAAGACTCAAAAAATAAAACCAAGGACAGAACAACAGCTTTCCCATGTGAAGCCACAGTGGGTAGGCCTATTTTGGTCAGCGTCAGGGGTTTAACCAATACCAGCCAGTCAGATCCCCTGAGATGCTTTGGCACAAAAATGTATCATTAGCCCAACATGTCAGTATGCTTCAAGACGACATTATCACTTTATATGTAACAAAGAAAGGTGAGGTGAAAGTCAATATTAATACACACTCTTTCCTTAATGCATTGAAACTGTTCTACTAAAGGGCATGGTGTTAGCAAACTGGTTTAGGTTATCCAATTGGAAAAATTAAGAACAAATACTTCAAAATTTGAACATAAATTTTGTACATAAAAGCAAAATGTACACAATTTGTGTCATCAGTGTTTTCATTGATCTTGTGCAGATTTCAGTAAATAATGTGCTAATGTATTCGGGTAGACTGACTAGGTTTATGCATTTGCTTCAGAGGGCAACAACTTGTGCTTGATATGTTCAAAAACAATGCATTGGTCTTTGAAATGATACTACATACAAAATGTAAATACAAACACAAAAACACATAAATAAAATAACAAAAAATGCCTTCGAAATTATTTAGGACTAACAGCTGTTGACTTTTGAAGCCCTGCATTGGTCCACTCTTTCTTTTCACTCGTTCAGCTGGAGGGGACGTGGCTGAGTGTTCAGTCTAAAGCACATTTAAGTACTTATTTCACTTTTCAGCTACTGTAAATATAATCATCTTGCTGTCACTAGGTTAGCTAGTTAATTAATTTCTCTGGCAAAAAAAAAAAAAATAGTTTGTGTAAGCAACAAGTGCTAATTTTGACAGCATTTGTATTCCTACATTTATTGTTTTTAGCTTACTTCCATTTTAGAAGATTTGAATGTGAATGGCATGTTATTTATCACATGTATGCTTTTGGGGGTTTAACACAATTAAAAATACTTTTTTTGTTGTTGTTTGGTTTACTGTCCCCTCATGCATGAGTGTGCTCGAGCAGTTGTATCTGAATGTTGTCTTAAATCTCCCGTAAGGATTTTTTAAATCTATTTTTTGCTTTTTCATTTATTTATTCAGTTAACCTTTATATAACCCAGAAGTCCCATTAAGATCACAAATCTCTTTTCCTGGCTTAAGTCTCAGCTGTTCAGTCACAAACACATACAAGCCATAACAAATTCAAAAACACATTTGGCTTTGAAGAAAAACACCACATGCCTCTGAAACCATATTCTTCATAATACTCTCAACTTTTTCATGACATCCAAGAGCAGACAAGACCAGCAACATGTGGGGTGGAAAGGGGAGATGAGCAAAGACCACTGTCCGATATAGGCACCAACACTGTTGAACAGAAATGTCAGGGTTTTGAATTTTATTTGGTTTTATAATGTCATAAAAATATCAGTTAAAAACAAAGAGTGAAGAAAATGCATTTGAGTTTTGGTTACTCCCTTTTGAGTTAAATGTGTTGGAAAAATACAAGATCTAAAGCTGTGAACTGTAAAATAAAAATGCCACTGTCTTCTTCGAAAAGCCCAGATTTTAAAGAGCTGCACAGCGCAGACATGGACTGAAGTGGACACAATATGATGCCACAGACTTTGAGTAATTTGTAATAGAGTTTTTTTTTTTGTTTTCATTCATTTTGTGTTGTGATAAACTTTTCAGACCCTTGAGAATGTTATGTTTGCAATCAGTGGTGTGCAAAGAATCAAGTAAGCAGCCAAGATCATTGTCCGTAACAGTTTAGAGCTTGACCTCAGCACCATAAAGTGATTTAAGGATATTTACACTGATAACTTAAATGCTGCCCCTGTGTCTTTAAAAAAAAGTTCCAAGACATTTTGTATAATGGTTGGAAACAAGTCCAGAAAATAAGGCAGTCATTTCCTTCCACAAGGCCATGTTAATTAAGTCCTTTTATTTGTGACAACATTTTTTTCCCCCTTTAGTGTCCCTGATGTGTCAGAAACAGAAGAAACTCAGGCATGGCTCTTCCATCAATCAGTGCTTCTTGTGTTCATTACACAGACTCCTGCTTGTTTGCCTTCCAGCAGACTAATCAGTGACTAATTAACACCAGAAGAAGCACGGGAATACAATTATCTACCTGATAGATTAGAAAACCTTCAGTATTGTCAGTCCTGATTACAGAGCTCCATAGCTGTATGAGGGGAAAATGGTTTAACTGCTAATGGGGCAGTATTTTGGTTTTTGCATGTCCTGAACCTGTTTCTTAAAGATGCACCCTCCTTTGGGTTAAATCCTTTTTCTTTTAGGAAAACTGAGTGCAGGATGATATTCAGGAAGAAAACACCTACTTCTGACTCAGCATATATAGAATAATGACAAAATCTGCTGTGCAAGGTCTTTGGATTTGCAGAAGTGGATCACTAGAGAATCCTGGATCTCATAAGAGGCTGAATCTGCTAGATTTAGCTGATCTGACTTCATGTTTTAGCACATTTAAGGATATTTAGTCTTTTACCTCTGATATTTCAGTAAAGCTAAAAGAAAAAAGTCTTATAAAAGAGGATGCAAAATATGATGTTGATTCCACTTTTATGTAGTTGTTCCTTCATTATTCTATTACTGTTTTGCACGATTGGATCTTTTTCATGTTTAACCCGAACTAATGAAGGGTGCCCTTTTGAGTTGAAATCCTGCTGCAAAATTTACAAGAAAAACAGACATCACAACTGAATACTAGTATTTTTAGCCAATTTATTAGTAGAAAACATGAGCTTACAGTTTGGTGTAAAATATAAAAATATATGCTACTGACAACTAACATCTAGACATATCACTGACAGCTACAAAACAGCAGGCTTTATGTAGTATAATAACAGGTGTGTGTGTGTGTGTGTGTGTGTGTGTGTGTGTGTGTGTGTGTGTGTGTGTGTGTGTGTGTGTGTGTGTGTGTGTGTGAGTGTGTTCAGGAGGGAACCCAGATGTTGCCGTGTGTGTCAGGAGCTTGGCTGTACGGTATGTTCCAGATCCAGGGCTGATCTGAGAATAAAGAAAGACAAGGAGAGGGTAAAATGAAACCTGACTTAACATATATAAACAGAGCATTACATAGGACACATGGACACATTTCTGTCTGCAGCAGAGTCATCTTAACCTCACAGAGTGGAAAAACATGCTGCAGTCACACATTCAGATGTCAGAGGTATCTCATGAACTAAATCTCTACCTAATTAAGTGTCTTGTCTTATTTAAGTAAAAAAAAAAAAAATCATATCCAACTTAGTTACAGCTATTTATTACATTACATTACAAGTACAAATGTATATCTTCGCTAAAGATTTTATGAGCAAAAAAAAGGCCTGAATTGCTATTACCTAAGTTTTGAATACAGAAATTAGGCTCTTTTTAGGAAGTGGACTTCTAATTTCAAAGAATGTGAAAGGAAATAGTTTTGTGCCCCAAAAACAGCTTCTTTTCGAATTCACGTCTTATTTTTGCTTTGTAATATCTTGAATGTTACTTGTATTCAAGTCTAATGAGACATTTTTGGTCAAGAAATAAGATAAAAACAGTCACTTCAGCCCATTATCCACAGCATCAATGTTAAATGCCTTTGTACTTTGTGGCGTCTCTGCTCCATTGGGCAGCACACTTCATAGCCTACAGGATCCGTGTTTAGGAGTGCAGCTGCTGGGCCATCAGTATAGAGGAAACAACATGCTCACAACAGGTTATTTTGCCTTTCTGTGGTCGATTTCCTACTAATTTGGATATAATTCAGTGGCTATTGAGCTTCTACTGTATGTGAAAAAGCAACGTGACTTAACAATTTCGATTTTTGCAGGTTTACTCGTGTTTAATAAAGTTAACTATGTTCCTTGATGCTGTGCTGTTACCTTCAGACAGAGTTAGCAGTTAAAAGTCCTGTTGAGGTCCACGTGAATCAGGGATTGACTACTGGATTGTTCTGTGTTACTGATAAATCTTTCTCATCTACAGTCGGGAGTTCGCATGTAGTGTTTTATTTTGAAATTTACCAGAAGAAGGTGTGTTTTCCATGCTTCACCTCCTGTCTAGAATAATCTTCCCTGTGTAGAGTGACGTGTGCTGGAAGCGTAAAGCAGAGAAAATCGACTGTGCGTAACTTTTTCAGAGCAGCGCATCCACACACTTCTGGGACAGAGAAAAGATGGAGCTGATGTGCATCCTGTATGTGATGCTGCACTGATAAGAATGGCAACCTATTTTCTGTGTGACACGCAGTGCTGACGGAATGCGCTCTGTGGAATATGGATTTTAGTTTTGGTTTCGGGGGTGTTTATGCTGTAAAATACCCCTCCAAAAAACACAAGATATCACTCTATCTGCACTAACACCAGCTGCAGGAAAAATTTACAAAGCAACAACTTCAGAATTGAAAAATGAGACCAGAGGTGTACTAAGGATGTTGAAGGGGTGTGGCTGGAAAAATTAAAAATCTGCCAAGAATACATTTACATTTAACACCAACTTGGACGATCACTGGGGCAGATTTCCAGTATTTGGATTATTATCTGCATCTGCCTTTAATTTTACCAAAGGCTGGTCAAGTTAATTAATCAAAAAGAGTGATAGCTGGTGTGTCTTTCCCTCCTAATGTCCCACCCACAATATATCTATTCTATCTCTAATGAACGCATAATAATCAGTATGGTATTAGCCCTGACAAACCAATACTGGTCGACCCATGCACCACAGGTAAACAAGAGTCAAATGCTGAAAACCAACTAATTTCATAAATGATCTATCTAAATACACACACACTTGTACCTTTAGGAGAGTAGCATGTAGGAGGCAAGTCAAAGGGCACAGGAAAACCAGAGCAGGAGGAGGAGGAGACCGGAAAGGGGTTTTTGTAAACAGTGAAAGTCTTCATGTTCTGGGGACAGAAACCATCACAACCACAACCCCTGCTGTCATGAGAGATTTGACTGTTTTTAAGCACATATGAAAACTTTCTATTACTTGTTTGGAACCACAAAAATGTTAAGAGATGCTCTTACAAAGGCAGAGGGCAGGTAGAGGACTCCCAGCTCGTATGAACGGACCATCACCTGACTGTTGTTCTTCTCCAGTGCCCCCCATGCTGCTTTAGACAGGTTGGCACTGAAACACAAAAGCTTTATTATTGAACTACAGCTGTGTGGATGAAAACTTTGGCAAGCAAAAATGTGAATAGATATTATCTGTTTTTTTTTTTTACTTTTTCATTGAAGTTTTTAATTGATGGGGGTTTAATCAGATTGATAGGGTAATATGTTCAAATCTGGTTTTTTGATCATGACGCCTGGCGTGGCTCCGTATAACTCTTGTTTTGTCAAATTTAAGCTGCAGTCTTAACTGCAGTGACACAGACTGATGACTGTCTCATAAACAAGTAGTATTGACTGATCATTTAATATTAGTAGCCCTATTTTTAAGCCACAATTTATGGTGGAAATATTTTTACAGTGCATCTGTATTCACAGAGCTACACTTTTTTCACATTTTCTTGTGTTACAGCCTTATTCCAAATTCATGTTTCGCCTTTAAATTCGACACACAATACCTCAAAATGACAAAGTGAAAAAAGTTTGTTTGAAACTTTTGCAAGTTTATGAAAAATAAAAAACTAAAATATAACATATACATAAGTATTTACAGCCTTTGCCATGACACTCATGTAACAGAGACGACCAGTTTCTCATCCCAACCCCCCAAAATAATATAAGTAATACATAAGTAATATAAATAGTAATAATATCTGCTCACCGGAGACAAGATGGTGTAAACCTTTAACACCAAATCACAATCCTTCTACAACCTCCTGTCCCTATACAAGATAACTAAAGAAGCCTTCCCAAAACACAAACTTTCTATCCTTTCTACTTCAAAGAGACAAAGACACTGTTTATGGCCAGCAGGAAAGAACTGCAGGGCCACTCGATCAGATAAACATCTGTCATCACACCTTGGCTGGGAAGCGTCAGGTTTATCAGCTCAACCATAAATCCTAACTTTGGTTGATCTTTCCCATTCTCTCTGTGAGTACAATCCAAAGAGAATAACTACAACTAGTCCAATTACAGGTTAGAGTGAATATTTGATCTGACTCCTTTACTGGCCAAAGTATAAGTTGGATCAAACAATCAGGGCTCTTAAAAGTCTCCTCTCTGTAAGCTGCAGCTGGGGATCAGGACCCCCTCCTTTCTCTCCTCACACCTCAGAGACACCCCCAGTTTGAAGAGTATAAAACCAGTAAAGCTGGGGTGCTCGCCCTCTCTTACGTCTCTCTTGTTTTTCTTCTCTCTTGCCTTTTGCTCTTCACACCCTTGTTTTTCCTTTTTTCTGCTAAGTTCCCTCTTAGCTTGTTTTTTCTTTGTCTTAATTTTTTCCTTAGTCTTTTAAGTTTTCCACCACGTGTTCATTCATGTTGATTTTTCTTTAACATCGTCTTAGTTCAAGTTGTGAAACTTTAACTTTTTGTGCACATAGCAATCCAAGATTAAGCCTTTAATTGATTTTTCTTTAATTTTGCAAAGCCATTTTTGAAATAGTTTCAACTGGTCATCGAGCCTCTTTTTCTTGGTTATCTGCGTGATTGACAAGTCACCTCTGAACGCCACCCAGCAGGCCCAAAGTCATCCTCTGAACCAGAGTATTGCAGTGAGACCACAGGAACCATAGGGCATTGTTTTTTGCATTCAGGCCTGTGTGCTGTGACTCCTGGCCTGTCCTTCGTCTGACTTTGGTCCTCTTCAGAGCTGAACCTCTCGAACCGGTAGCCTGGACCTTCGGAACCTGCTCTATCTTCTCCAAGGACCAGCCTCACTTAAGTATCCAAACCCCCAGAGCTCCAAACAGGGTTTATGCTGTCTAATGCATTCAATTCAGATAACCACATCCAAATTTATCTTGACACCAAAGTTAATGTAGGTTAATATGTTTGAGCATATTCACTCACTACTCACTGGTGCCCCTTTTAACGAGTGCATAAATGTCATAAATCAAGATTATTATCAAATAATAATCTTAAGAAATTTATTATAAATTCATATTGCTACACTCAGTATTGATCTCAGTTGCAACTCTCCTTAAAGTAATGAATAAGGTATTTGCATATAACCCTATCTGGCCAGTTGGACTCTTTCTGCGAGCTCCAGAGCCAAATGCTGGGCTTTTCAGTAAATCTACTGAAAGTTCACTAACCCCGAGTCAACAGTTTTCTTTCCTTGGGCTGGAATTGTGCTTGCTTTGGAGTCGAGCACTCCTGTCAGCGCAGAGGGTGCCTGCGTTTCACTGCTGCCTTGCCCAAACTGCATCTATGATCGCTGTAGTGCCGCTTGAGCTGATGAAGATGGGAACATTTAAATGCTGGACTTAAGCTCACAGACTGTGCATGCCACGTCACCGCCAGAGCAGGCTGATGATAACTCTGCTGTGCGTGCTGGCTCATCTCCCGTGGATGGAACCCAGTTTTCTACAACAAGGGTCCCCTATAGGGTGGGTGTCTTTTCACAAGGTTGTATCCACAGACGAATCTCTGAGGGGTTGGAGGGCTCTGTGCGAGGGCACAGCAGTGAGAGGGGTGTGGACGCCAGCACAATGCAGGCTCCACATCAACCACCTGGAGATATTAGCATTCTGTTCTGATAGACCAACATGTTCTAATCAGGACGGAAAACACGACGGTGGTCTGCCTCCAAATGTAGTGGCAACGAACCAGAGTGCAAGGGTATCATCTACTAGGCAGGGGTGGGCAATCATGTGCCATGGCGGGCCGAGAGGCTGCAGGTTTTCTTTCCAACCCAAAACTCCACCAGGTGGTTTCACTGATTAGTCCCTGCTCTCTGCTTGGAGGTAAGATAATCTGTGAAATCACCTGGTGGAGTTTTGGGTTGGAAAGAAAACCTGTAGCCTCTCGGCCCTCAATGGCACATGATTGCCCACCCCTGTACTAGAGGCTTATATGCCAACAAATGGCGGGCATTTGAGCAGTGGTGTCAGGACTGAAATGTACCCCCATTTCAGTGCTCTATTGTAGATGTTTTAACATTCCTTCAGGAGCTGCTGGATAAGCGTCCCTCTTTCTCAACAATTAGGGTCTTTTTGATGACTATATCTGCATGCTATCTTGGTTTGATGGAGTGATGCCAGGCAATCACCCTCCTGCTATACCCTTCCTGAAGGGAGTCAGCAGGCTGAGGTCTTTGTTTAAACCCAGCTTTCCCTCATGGGATTTAGTGTTGATGCTCGAGGCTCTTTGTAGACCCCCATTTGGGCCTTTTGAGTCTGCAGATATGATTTTTTTTTCATACTAGACTGCACTGCTGCTCTAACATTAGGGCCCAGTACCCTTTTCCCCTGCAGTGTGACCCTCTCAACATTGTACTCACCTTGTAATGAGGAACCAGGCGAGCTGAGTAAAATCTGGTGATGCTCTCATGTACGTCTTGATGTGTGGCATGGCATGACTCCTTCCTGTCGTATCTGCCTTCCAACGGCTGCATGAGCACAACGTTAAAAAAGTAAATACCTCAAACTTAGTAAACTTTAAATCTATGAAAAAGCCCCTTCTTACAGTATCTCAGAAACAAATACATCTAAGAACATTAACAGTGTGAACAGGTACATTTATTTATGGTAATAAATGAATACATTACTATTTACTGAATGGAAAAAATGAAGATAGACTGGGAAACTCCTGTGACTTAGTTAGTTGTTTTTATACAGTATTATGAGTATATCGAGGCCAAACTTGGATCAGTTAAAGAGTGAACTTACTGGAAGTAGGAGTGGAGCCAGAGTTGTTTCTGGGCCGTTTGGATGCTGTATGGAAGAGAGCCTCCCGCTGCAAAAAAAACAACATAGCAGTCACAGAAAAATCCACATCAATCACACACTAATGCTCCGGGGCATTATTAAACTACAAATGCCACACTATTCATACTGGGGACAAAATAAACCTTTATTCAGTACCTTTATTTGTTAGGAGAGGATGTTTTTGACTGTGAAATAAATGAAATTTTTACAAATGAATCCTTTACTCACCAGGGTAACCCTCTAAACTAGTCCTCACATCTTCAACTGATGGATACAGCTGCAACACATTCACACATAAGTGACATGCTTTAAAGGTTATCTTTTAGGTAACAGTATTAACTTATAAGAAAAACTACACTGATGTCAGACACTGAGAAGTTTTTGTTGCAGAGTTATACCAGGTGCATGGGAGGGTCAGGGCGAAAAGATGACTTCCCCAGTGTGGTCATGGTGCGCTGAAACTCCCCTGTCAACCATTTGGTCTTATCCACCCCCATTGAGCCAATACTAGAGAACTGACCAATCACAGGCCACCTCTCCGCATCCGGGACAGGATCTGTGTGGTCGAACAACAGCTGGTAAAAATAAGAGGTAGAGGAGAAACAGTTTAATACTTAAGTGCTGACTATCATTTCTTACAAATTTCTAAACTGCTGTAATTGTTGTACAGCATAAGAAATATAGTCTCTTATTCTTGTAAACGGAATCATAGCTTTTGACATGGCAGAGAGTTAACTTTGACCTTTCTCAACCTCAGGTGACCCCAGCGCTCCATGTCAGGACCCACATATCTCCCTGGTGTTGAGCCAACCAAATAAACCCTGATGATGAAAGGTACTGGTATTAGTTAGTTGTTAGCAAGCTGCATTCAGATTTTCTGTCTTTAATTGATGTTTTAACATTACAATTGTTATTGTATTTCCTTTTCTTTAGTATAGCTTCTCTTATCTGTAACCAGGTCAGTCTGTGTGAAATGATCCAGTATGTGCTCAAGTGCGTGTCTCATGTTTACCTGGTCTCTGAGAGGTCGTGCTCTTTGATGCGTTGGATCCACTCCTCCAGTTCTGGCGCTCTGTATGATGAAAGGTACTCCAGCAGGTCCCTCTTAAAAAAGGTAGGTGACTCACCTGCACTCACACTACTGCCTTTCGGTAACCGTGGAAACAGAGGGCTCATCCACATCCTGGTTTGAGTACAAAGTCATCACTATCTACTGGACATCTCTTCTTTGTTCGATGTGACTGCATGAACCTGTTCTCAGTTAAGTTAAAGTGATGTTACAGGACAGACAGACTCACCCCTGCGTTTTCTGGTACCAGTCAGCTCTGATGAGGTTAGAGGTCAGAATGACGACTCTGAAGCCTTCCTCATACCACAACAACATCATCTTCCTACAAGAGGGCAGCACACTCAGGGATTCACAGACTTTGATTTACTTGTCCTTTAAGTGTAGGAGTGCTTTGTGAATAAATAACATGTAGACAATAAAAAGACGCTTACGTGTGGTGAGTCCCAAAAGCAATATCCAGTTTAGCCTGGCAAGACAAAAAACACACACACACACACACCTGTGAGCCCAGGAAAATCCTCGAGTTTATGTCATCTGCAGATGACAAAAAGCAACTTGGAATAAAAGGTTGCTTCAACAACTGCAGCCTTTGTTGGCGAGTGTGTACCTGGCAGAATCGAATATGTGGGAAAGGCTGAGCCTGCTGCACCAGCCGGGCCTTGGCCTCCCTCTTATCTCCATGCACGATTAAAACTGGACAATCCCTTGAAACAAGACCAGAAAACAGAGGAGGATGATTATGCTGATTATTTGGGAGTTTAAAGTCTCATTGTGATTTGATATTGTCATGGGCTTCTGACCGATCAGGATCAAGGCTTTAGAATAAGAGGGTTAAACGGGTTCATAAAAATGACTTGAAACCAACATAACATTCTGGAAAGTATTGTTTTTTTTGTAGAACCATGATGAAAAGACAGAAGAGCTAGGAGAACATAATATTATGAGAAAAAAGGAGCTGTTACCTGTAAAACGCAGACTCCAACGAATCTGATTTGTTTGGAAGTTCATGATAAATAAATAGTAGGAAATAAGAGGCAGCACTCACCTAAACTCTGGTGGGTACTGCTTCACCATCCAGGCGATATCAAAGCAGTAGTTAAACTGTGAGGACAGAGAGTGCACTGGTGTCTGTGAGCCAGTCCCTGATGCTGAACTAAGATGAGAGGAAGTCAAACTATAGTGTTGCTTCTCTTTAGCTGCTAAACAGACATAAATAATGCTCACAATGAAAACTCTTGCATGCCTGTGCTTTAGCAGGGGAAATACTTCAGATGCCACAGAAAGCTCACAAGGTGACAGTTTGTTTTTTCAAGTGGGGTTATATGAGGTACTTGTCAAAAAACAGTTTATCACCCGCAGGTTTTCTGTTGGAGTTTTCATCGCTTTACTTTGCTGTCAGTAAGTTTATTTGTGTCCCATCCACAGGTGTGGCACATAGTTACATGCTCCTCCACCTGCAGCACACTGATCAGCTAATTGGGTCTGTGATGTACAAGTCCAAATTTAAAGGAACACATTTTTTCCACTGTTTGGCATTAGTTCATGCTTTAACTGCTGATACATTACACTTTGAACCAAAGTACTTAGCAGGACAACTAACTTATGGACCATGAATGCCAACACAAGAGTTGGGCTGCTGAAACTGAAAAAAAGATATCTTTACATACCTGAACAGACTCTTTCAGGGTCCCAAATAATGGAGAGAGAATATCTAAATAAAAGAAAAAGGTAAAGATGTATCAACAATTTACAGCATTCAGCAGAACAGACTAGGCACAAAACTGAGTACAATGTCCTTTGACATGTTCAACTACTGTATAATCACCTAAATATACAATTTTTTGTTTGTTTAACTTAAAATAATCATTATAGGAACAAATCTCCTTCATACAGGTCTCCATCCAGCACAGCCATGTTTCTTCAGTGAAATAGAATAGACAAACCAGTACCATACGCATTTTTGTATTCATTGAGTGGTCACATAAAATGCACCAGCTGGAGGAGGAGGAGTGGTTGTTGTTGTTCTGTGCAAAAGAACTTGAAGTGTCTGATGTTGAATATGATAAATATATAGAAGTTTCTGATGTTGAAACTTGAACGTTTACGTATCACATTTATCATAGAATACAGAAGCTTATTGGGGCCCAAGGCCACCATCACTGACAGGAGGGGTGTGCAAAGGAGTGCTTTAATCTGGAATCTGACCACCACACACCACCAAATGTTCACCTTTCTACACACTGTCTGTTTAAAGGATGCTGTGTTCAAAGCACAAAGGATGTTCAGAAACAGATTGACAATGACAGTGATGCACTTTTATGACTTGCACATTTACAAGAAAAGGTAAACAAACATGTAAGATACAAATTCCTGCTAATATTGAAACAAACAGACATTTGCTCACAGGAGCTTTATGTTTTAATGGATACACAGCCACACTTTAGTGCAAATGGAATAGTTAATTCAACCATATTTATGACACAAATTGAATAGACAACATCCTTTTGCTCTTACAGGATTACACACCTGAGCTCAGCAGAGATCATTAATATCTCAGCTCTAACAGCAGAGGTGACGTTTACAGAAACCCCTGATTGAGCTCTTATGAGAAGAAAAACAAGGTCAGATAATCAGGGCTCTGCTCTGACTCCCCCTGCTGCTCAAATAAAGAACAAATGAATAGATAAATATACATCTGCATCATATGTAACTTTATTTAACTGCCCTCACCTCTGATGTGCAGCGCTCCAGTGTTGTACTTTCTGTCCAGGCCTGTCACTTTATTGAGGTAGAACCTATAGGGGTCATTGAAACAAGGAATACTGGATTCAAAGAAGTCCTCAGGCTCATCAATGTAGTATACCCGGCCATGAGGACTTGGTGGACGTTCGCTCTCCACCTTCGCTTTCTTTGATTTTGGGCTAGGAGCTTCTTTTTTTGGCGGGTTAATGGGACTCTTCCTCTTCACATTTTCCTCATCATCACTGTCTGACAGTGCCCAGCCCGAGCCCTCGGACACCTCTTTCTTCCTCTTACCAGCTAATGATGGACTTTTTTCATATTTCATTGGCTTTAACTGGTTCACTGCTGCAGACTGCCTGGCCTCTGAGCCAATAACAGGTGAGGTCACGGGGGTGTTATCTGGCTCGGGTTTTAACTCTACGGAGGCACTTTCGGGCTCCAGTTTGGGACGAGGAGGAGGATCAGGCTGAAAGGAGTTATTACTCTGGACAGGAGGGTTGGGCTTGGAGGATGAAGTCCCAGAGGGGGGAAGGGCATCATCATCATCATCGTCGCTGCTGGAGACGGTCCACTTGCCATGTTGACTGTCCTGAGACATGCCTGACCACAGATACAGAGAAGTCAAACATCAGTCATGTCTGTACTGATAGAGTAACAGAAATTTAAAGGCAAAGACAACCATCATTTGTGGAGCTGAAACTCTGCACTGTACTGACTTTCCTGCTCTGGCACTCCAATCTGTCAGTTAAGAGTGTTATTCCAGACACAGCAACTGAGCTTGCAGAATACTTACTCATTCAGCCAACTTTATACTCATGTCTGTTGGGGATCAATACTGTTTATGGAGGTTAATGAAAGTATCAGTAGCAGCAGGTTAATGTACAGCAACACAGAAAACAGCAACATGTCTATAAAGCTTAGAGCAGGTCGGATAATTTTCTGCAGAGCAATTAAGTAAGGTATCCCCAGACTTTAAGCCAGAATAAAATAGATGGATGCACTCCTACTGCTGCAGATGACACATGAAGATTGGCTGCATTTTGCCTCTGACTTTTTTAAAATAATGATGAAATAATGTATGCATAGTTTTACTGTTGTGTTCATTTCTTTGTGTGGTCTTGAATCCTAAAGTTAATGACCACAGGTATTTGGGTGCAGTTTGCAAGATCAGCAGCAAACAAAATCATTCACACAGGGTGGGGAGGCTTTCATGGCTAAATATAAAATGCACAAACCTCTAACATGCATGCATGCAAAATGACAGCAAGGCTTGCTCTGATCAAACAGGGGAAAATATTTAAAGTTTTACGGCTGTAGATTTGAGTAAAACTAGCGGAAACGGGCAAAACGGACCATAAAAGTTCATAGCATGAAAGAGACCACATCTACTGTTATCGTAAACTATGTATTAAACGACAAGGACGCTGTAGTTACCGAGTCAAATAAATGTGAAGCTGCACACCGATGTTATTTAATATTGGCTATGTTCAATGTGGTCCAGCAGGATAAAATCGATCACAAACACTTCCATCAGAGGAATCGCCAGTGCATGGGTTGCAAGAGGAATACAAGTCCGGGTGGGAACTAAATTTCCTGGTTCATCTCTTGTAGTTCCGCCAGCGCGGCTCAAAATAAATAAAAATAAACATAATGGTGGCAGCAGATCCTTAAAAATCTTGCAAGTTGTGAGACTGAATTTTTATGAATTGCACGTGGTTTTCCAGAACCTTCCACTGATACTTTACTTCATTGAAATTTTGGGAATTTGGAGTTAAAGTCAAGACTTTTAAGATCCCCAGGGTACTTTCTTCTATTATTCACCTGCCTTAGGTATGGGAGACCGGGGCTTGTTGTCACACTTTTTACACTCATATTTTATAAGTTGTCTAACCATATGGGATAACATGTCACAGTGGATTTTGCAGCTAATAAAGCAAAGACAACATTATTGTTGTTCTCATTTACTTAAAAGTGAACATCAAAGTCAGGCACAGAAAATGTTTATCATTGAGCTAGAAAAAGTCATTAAACAAATGTGAACACAAAATATTATGCAACATGCTCTGGAGTTTGGAGAGCTGTCTGACTCTGTATTTCGGCTGGGGTGAATGTTTTGCACATGGACTGTAAATACTATGGACAACTTGGTTCCGCCTACCGCCTGTTTACGGATTTGAAGCCAAATAGCTCTCTGTATTTTCGGGATTTTTCTTCATTCAGCGTATTCCCCCGGGAGAGCTATGCAATCCCTGAACGCCCATAGGCTGTATCAGGTGTCAATCATAGCAAACATGAACCCCCCCTAATAACTTTTAAAAATGGAGCTTCACAGAAAAAAAGAGGACTTGAGCACAAACCAGTCTTACTGTAACTACATGTCAACATCACAAGCAGGGGGGAGAAAAATTTATGTTCTGTGTAATAAATTTCTAAAGTTTGTCCACAGCTCCATAAACTTTGCTGGCGGAGGCGGGATTTATGACCTATACTGCAGCCCATCAACAGAGGGTGCTGTTCTCGGAGTGGCTTCACCCAGCGAGGAGGCAGACTCTGTCCATTCTATATACAGTCTATGGTTTTGCAGTACCGAGCCAAGGTATGGTAGTTGACATTAAAGTCCTTCATTGTACTCCAGATTGATTTATTAGCTAGGGTCACCTGCCTGACTGCCCTCAGCATCAGGTCAGGCACTGCGCTATTTTTCTTTTGCAATTCCTGACCATGTCTTCTCACTTTCTCCTCTTCTTTAAACTGCTATTTTCTCTGCAAAAATAAAGTTAAATGTTAATTTTTATCTAGATTACATCTGTTCTCATCTTTTTGATAACTTCTGCAAGAAAAATACATATATATACACATATAGATAATCTGAGGTGGAACAGTCACAGATAAATTAGTGTTTTTATTCAAATTTTCTCTTCTCTTACTTTTATTTTATTGTTACTTGTTGACTCTCTCTCTCTCTCTGTGTGTGTGTGTGTGTGTGTGTGTTGCTTTAACAACCAAATTTCTCCTCTGAGGATCGACCAAATCTTATCATAGCTTATCATGTCAATTCTGCACATTTTAAAACAGTAGACCCCAAAAGATCTGCAGGGTTTTTTTTTTTTTGGTTTTCAAGTCTGCTCAAATCATTGTAGTCGTCCATTTTTCTGACTTCCAGCACTTCAACTTTAACTTCAAAGTGTTCACTTGCTGTCTCAAACTGTGTTATTGTAAAGCGCTGGGCTGCTCCAGCCGAAGATGGGCAGTAAGCCGAATCTATCTGTTATAAAGCCCCCCACTGGGTTACGTGGCACAGTGAACTCATAGAACCTCAACAAGACGAGTGCATTATAAAGTTTTACTCAAACCGAGTAACTGTTGTTTGTATGAAAGCAGTGATTCTGTTTCACATGACTTTTCTTCAAACCGTGAACATTGTGCTGCAGATTTTCCACTCTCTGAACTCTTGGTGGCAGTATTACCCAGAAGTGTCGTTCTTCGGCAGGGATACAAACAGAAGAAGTTCTCTCCTGTGGCTTCACGCTGCTGCTACTCTGCTCTCGCCGGCTTGCTCAGTCTGGACTGTCGTCTTGGTTGTTGTGGCACTGTGTGTTAACAGAGTGAAAAAAACTTCACTTGCTGCGGGGAACAAGGATTTCGCATTATGGCCCTAAACTTTACCATCAACTCGAGCAATCCTCCCCTGGGTAAGGAGCAGCCAAAAGTTTCGCCAGTGAATTGTGTGCATGTCCAAAGTGACAGCTGACAGGTTAACCTCAGCTGTTTTTCGTGTCATCCTGATGAGTAACACATATCGTTTGAGAGAGAGATTTCTGATGCATCTGTGTCTGGTTTAATGGTTTAATGCCAGTAGTGTGGCGTTTGATCCTGTGGTAACAAGCGAATTTGATGCTGAATTCAAATCGGTTCCCAGTTGCTTTAGTCTGCGTGTGAGAAACGTCTGTAACTTGACCAACATATTATTTTCGATGTACATGGTGTTATGTGAAAATGGGCGTGTATTAGACGTTAGCATTGTCGTTACAAGCCAGCTAATCCGTGAGGGTACAACTCCGGTGTTCTAACGAATAGTGCTACCAATCAAGATGTGCTACTGAACAGATATGCGCACGCGCAAGGCTTCAATTTGAGGTACTTGCAACTCCTTGTAATCACTAAAATGAACAAATGCCTACTTTTAAAATCTTAAATGAGAATTTAAAGCATTTAAAAACAAACATCATATTTCCATATGGTGTTAACACAGAGGAGGAAAAAACGAGAGGTGCTAGTCTACTGGGTAACGTTACTCCTCAAATCCTTGGTATTTTTTTGTAATCAGATCATGAAGACGTGATCCCCATACGCTTACAAAGCAAATCTGGCGCATTGTCATTTAATATTTAGCAATTACGAAATACTGAAATGAATTACTGAAAGATTAGCTCGCGCATGATATTAATAGCCTAGCTGTCCTTGGTTCGCGGTACGATAGCAGTATTTTTGAAAAGCGGCACAAGTCCACAGAACACCGGCTACAACCAGCTAACGTTAGCGAGCCTGCCGTCGTGGCAGTGGACCACAACATGTGCAATTGACGGAGGCTAACACAGATTAGCTTGGTTTGGGGGGGGGCTCAGACTATAACTTGATGCAATAATATATAAGAACCTGGTGTATTGTGTAAGCAATGTTTATGACAGTTACCAAGGATTAGCACATCAGGGGTTTTTTAATCAAGGGAATACAATTGATCAGCTATGACACTGGCTAAGCAGCCCACGGCTGTGCTACAACAGGCTGATGCAAGCTTGCTGGAACTAAATGCTGGTTGTGGACTGCACTTTCTTGCTGTGGACGATTATTTCTGTTCCATTTCATCAGCACTTGTTTCCTTTAGTATTTAGCCATTGTTATTTTAAGGGTTGGATTACAACCATATCCCCGTGTTTTCCCCTTACAGTGATAAACCTCCTGAAAGTGAAAGCACCTTTGCAGCTCCCCAATCAAAATACTGAGAAAGAAAAACCTGTCAGCATTACAAGCTCAGAGCCCGATTTACATTGTCAGTTAATTTTGTGCTATAGGCTTTATTTTTTGAACTGGTTTGAGTTTTGCGACTTTTTCTGTTTTGTGTAAATCTTGTCTTTGTTTAAATGTATTTTCCCTCACATAACCAATTTTGGGATTTAAGATTCTCTTATAGCTGTTGCAGACTTGTGACCTTTCTGTTGACTATAGAGATGTTAGGGCTGCTTGATATTAAGATATTGTAATATCTTTTAACTAAGGGATATACTTAAAGATATAAAAAAAAACAGAATTTTACCAAATGCATTGCCGAAAGCATCTTTTTCTTTTCTTTTTTTTTAAGACTGTTTATACCAGAAATTAATGTGCAGCTATGTTGCGCAGTGTTGTAGTTTCAATACAAAGTGTGAAATACAAACTTCTATGAAACTGTGTATACTAGCTCAATTAAGAATTTCTATGTCTGTCTTTTTTGTAGCATGTCACTCCTGAAATCCCACAAACCCCTCAATTAGCATCAAGTGGTCTGAAGGTAGCTAACAGCTATGTAGAGTTTCATTGGGCTGCACTGGACAAGACAAAAGATTCTACTGTAAATTTATTCTTAATCAAAAATGCACTAATGTTTCTGGTGTCTGTTTACAATACCACAAAAATGCTTCCATATGTCAGTCGTGTAAGGAATGTATTCCATGCAAACGTGTTTGCACATGAAAGCCGTCTTGGCATGCACATATCTAACATTTTGGTAAGTAACAATATTAGCTGATAATTATTAGATAAATTAATCTATGCAGATACACACAATGACTTTTTAAGCTATTATTTGAAGATATTAATACTATGCAGATTACATAAGGCATCCCTAATATTTATGCAAAGTTAACACCTGCTCACACTAACACTGACTATGTGAACAAACTATATGAGCCAAACAGTGCTTCTACAAACAGTACACAGCTGTTGAGGCAGGTCGTCTTCAAAGCTGCATATTAGGAAGAGTGTACAGGTTTGACATTCCAGGGCCAGTTCAGCAGGTTTTCTAGCAAACACGCCTGTAAAGATGACTAATTATTGAGGTCATGGTCGTTAAAAACATCAACATACACATACATACATGTATTTATGAATCCAAGTAAGAGCAATATCCAAGAAGGTTAAGACTTGTGGATTCTCTGGTTAAGATTTACTAAGGTTTTGTGCTGCCAAAGCAAGTTTTCCACTTACATAAACCAACAATCTTCTTTGTCTTGAAGGAGCGCTCCTGGCAGCCGAGCATGTGAAAGGCAGTGTGCAGGTATCAGTGGAGGAAGGCAAAGACACCCGGCTTCATGTCTCAGAGTATGTGTTTGTGATTGACCTGTCTTACTGAAAGAGTTTGTCTGAAGGTGCAGAAAACCATCTCATTCTGCCTCCTCTCTCTTTCCCCCAGTGCAGTCCAGTTCAGTGATGCTAACTCCATCAGTCGGTACTTGGCTCGGGTGGCTCCCGCTCTGGGTCTCTATGGATCCAACATGATGGAGCAGACTGAGGTGTGTTTCTGTCAGTGTTAAAAAGTCCTCTTTTACAGATTGCTGTTCTTTCTCCTGATGTCAAATACTGCCTGGTATCTGCAGGTCGACCACTGGTTGGAGTTTAGTGCTCGGCGCTTGTGTGGTCAGCCTGGTTTGGCTGCAGCTCTGGCTGAACTGGATAAGGCTCTCTCCCTGCGGACCTTCCTGGTTGGACATACGGTCACCCTTGCTGACCTCTCTGTCTGGGCTGCTCTCAAAGGTCGGTACTAACAGGGTGTAGGAACAGAATGGAGTCATTCTGCTTAATGTGTCAGTGTTATTATCAGCCAATGGTTTGTACAGCAAATATGCCAGTACCAATCCAAAACCATCACTTAGAGTTATGAACAAACCACAACAGTATTATAGCTCTAATCAGTGCTTTTCCTATTTAGTTAATCTGATGCTGGAATCAGGAAGTCTAATGTCATGGTGTCATGGTGTTATGTCTGAAGTTAAACAGGTTGTGGTTGTTTCTCTGCAGGTCATAGTGAGTGGCCAGACCAAGGGAAATCCTTCTCCCATGTCACTCGCTGGTTTTCTTTCCTGAGCTCTCAGGTTCCCTTCACATCTGTGGGGAACAAGTACGCCAGGAAGAATCCCCCAATGAGCAAATCAAATGTATGTCTAATTTCAGATGCTAGTAGTTGAGTTTTAGTTTAAGGGGCTATTTAAGTATTTTTGAAGTGGAGATGTGTGAGTTATTTGTCACTAGTTGGTGTATTAGCAACAGTAGATGCGGTTCAGTTTTGCCCCTTTAATGAGAAACTGACAGTAGAACCAACAAGCTGCTCAGCTGTATTTTTTACAGACCGCGCCATACCTTTTTTTTACTCAGGTCAGAGCGATGGTTCATGCTGGAAGTTTTGTGATAAACATGTCATTTTTAAAAATGGTGTCCCCTGTTGTTTTCTGACAGTTTATCTCTGTGATTAACAGTCAGATGAAAAGAAGCAGGATGTTGGCAAGTTTGTGGATTTACCAGGAGCTGAGATGGGCAAGGTGGTGGTTCGATTCCCTCCTGAGGCCAGTGGGTAAGGCCTTAATCAGAGTTTAGGAAAAGTTCACGCATTTTATAGTCATGAGGTTCATCTTTGTGTTTGGAAAGATGTACAGCGTCCTCAACGGGGACTGTTTCTTATGTCTTAATTTGACCAGATACTTGCACATCGGCCATGCAAAGGCTGCTTTGCTGAACCAGCACTACCAGGTGACATTCAAAGGCAAGCTCATCATGCGCTTTGACGATACCAACCCTGAGAAGGAAAAGGAGGACTTTGAGAAGGTAAAACACTGATATGACAGAGCAAATGAGAAAGCAGTCCTGTCCGATGAAAATAGACAATCAAAGCGATTTCTGTTCAGGTGATTCTGGAAGATGTCGCCATGCTCCAGATCCATCCAGACCAGTTCACCTACACCAGCGACCATTTTCCCACCATCATGAAATTTGCTGAGCAGCTGCTTGCTGAGGGCAGAGCCTACATCGATAACACTCCACCTGAGCAGATGAAGCAGGAGAGGGACCAGCGCACAGAGTCCAAATGCAGAAATAACAGTAAGCCTGCGGAAACACGAAATGACTTTCAAACACAGCGGCTGTTGAAGCCACATCATGACAATGTCTCATTTTTTCACTCCTCCCTCTCTCTTCTGTAGCGGTGGAGCAGAACATGAAGATGTGGTCTGAGATGAAAAGTGGGACAGAGTTTGGTCAGACCTGCTGTATGAGAGCAAAGATTGACATGAACTCTAACAACGGCTGCATGAGAGACCCCACCCTCTACCGCTGCAAAAACACCCCCCACCCCCGCACAGGAAGCACTTACAGGTACTTGAGTCTGACATGTTTCTTGATAAAAAAGCCCTTTTTTTCTCGTCAATATAATTTAAAAAAGAGAAGTCTTAAAACGTACACTCTAACGTTACCCTCTTCTTCCTCCCAGAGTCTACCCAACATATGATTTTGCCTGTCCCATCGTGGACAGTTTAGAGGGAGTTACTCATGCTCTGAGGACCACCGAGTACCACGATCGTGATGAGCAGTTCTACTGGATCATTGACGCCCTGCACCTCAGGAAGCCCTACATCTGGGAGTATGCCAGACTCAACCTCAACAACACAGTGCTGTCAAAGAGGAAGCTCACCTGGTTTGTTGACCAGGGCTACGTGGACGGATGGTGGGTTTGGTTAGATGTGTCTCGTAATCAATGTTTACCAATGTGAATATCAGGAACATAGTGTTTGACAACTTTGTAGCCTCATTTCCCACTTTTTTTTTTTTCACTATCTCTGTCATATGTTTTCTTCTAACTTTTCTCATTTTGTTTTCCAGGGATGATCCTCGTTTCCCCACTGTCAGAGGAGTCTTGAGGAGAGGCATGACAGTCGAGGGCTTGAAACAGTTCATAGCAGCCCAGGTACATCTGCCATAGCATATGGCTTTTTAAGAATAAAATAGTAAAACTGATGACCAAAGGCATTAAAATGATAAGGTTTACTTTTCTTACATCTTTAGCCTCTTTCACACATGTCATTTTCAGTAGCTCTGCTTCTTAGGTACTCCAAAGTTTCAAGTTTTCTTCAAAATATTCTCCTCCTTCAGCCTCAGATGTTTTTAGAGATGAGATGAGATGAGATTTATTGTCCCAGAGAGGGGATTTGTCTTAGGCCATAGTGCAGAAGAAGCATACAGAATTTAACATAAAAATAAACAAAATAACACACAGGATGGCAAATATAAAATGCAGGTAGAGTACTAGACTTTATAAGTTAGCCTGTTAAAGTGTGACTCTACCAGGTTTGTCCTGGTCATGTGATCTTAAAGTCACCCCCTCTATCTCCTTAATGTTTTTTGCTGTGTTCACACTTCTGCTCACCCTGACTCCTTCGTGCTAAAATTTTACTCAGTGGTCTAGCAGGAAAATTTCAGGTTAAAGTCCTGAAAATTTGTGTCCACACATGCAGCTTAGTCAGAAAATATTGTTAGGTTTTCAGGAGTTTTGGGCATGTGGGAAAACTGCTTCAGGAGCATTTAAAGAAACCAGAGTTTAGGCATCAAATTCTCAAATACTGATCTTTTTAGAGGTGTACCTTGTTTAGTAGTCTTCTTTCCACTGTCTGGGAGTCCAACAACTCTGATGTCAAAATCAAGACACTACAGCTTCTCTGTTACCTCCATGAGATGCAGACAGACCATTGATTCTTCCTAATATGTGTATTTCTCTCTGTGGCCTCCAGGGTGGATCCAGATCAGTGGTAAACATGGAGTGGGACAAGATCTGGGCCTTCAACAAGAAGGTAAATGTTACTCCTTTGTCACTTTAACAGATTGCTGTGGTGCTGAAATAGTTGAGCTGTATACCAACAATGTAAAAAAGTGATTCTGACTTTTTTCCACTATTAGGATGACTGAATGGTTGAAAATATTCTCAAGTATTTTTCTGTAGACTGACGGCTGTGTCAGTCTTCAAGGCCCTAATGTAACCCCACCTTGTATGAAGGACACTTGATGGGGGGGCATCAATCCAACTTTTAAAGGGATAGTTTCCTTTTTTTAATGAGGCTGTAATAAGTGTGTTATAGCTGACATGAAAGCAAGACTATTTACCACTACTTTTCTGTCAGCCCATTTGTTATAGCACTTTTTGCCAGACCCCCCCCCCATCCTGCAGCACCTCCACTAAAATATCAAACTATCCCTTTAAGTCTGCATACAAACCTGGTTTGGGGCTATCAGCAGACTTAAAGTATCATGCTCAATGATAACAATATGAGAGACTGGGATTGTTCATTTGTGTGCAAAGCTACGTACATCAGACTGCTTAGATTTTGCTGCTTTTTTACCTTGTTACACCAAATGTACCAGCCTCCTGAGATCTGACCCATTGTTACAACACTTGATGCCGTCACTGGCCTAGGATCATATGTGATATCTGGACCTTTATCTGACTGGTGCATAGCTACTCAGAGTTGTATCTACCAGGATACAACTGCAGTCAGTTCTGGTGTGCTGATGTGTTAAATGTTGTTTTAGAAGGATGAAGACATATTTTAGATCCATGAAGTATGTCAGAGAGAAAGGGGGGATAATATGACACACAAAGACCTCACAGGTTTCAGCCTGTACCTGACAGAGGTGCGGAGAACTGCCTGTGGGTTCCCTGCTGGCATGGCTTCTTCCTGCTTTGCTCTTCCCATTCTGTTTAACACTTCCATTGACCTCTCTTTTTTTCTTCTCCCACCCTGCCCTTGCCTTCCATTTTACATCCCAATAACTCTAAAGCCTCCAGAAACCAAACCAGCCGCCTCATTTCATGTCACAGATGTGTTTGTGTTGGTGTTGTTTTACCCTTTTCCATCTGTCTTGACTGTAGTGTTGCTTCCTCTGTGTGGTTTTTCTCGCTGGCATTTGCTGCTTCATCCCCAGGTCAGACAGACAGTGTCAAACTCACAGATGAAATCTCTCACTAGTTAATCACAGCATACAGTCTGAATTCCAAATAGGTTGGGATCCTCTGTAAAACAGTGATAAAAACAGCATCTGTTGGTTTGTTAATCATTCAATCCTCATATTTTATTCAAAACAGTTTGATGACAAACATATGTTGAAACCAAAAAAAGTGATTTGTTTTGTTAAACTGTTATTTTGAATGTCATGCAGGCAGCATGTTTCAAAATGGTTGGGACAAGGACATGTTTACCATCGGTAACATTCATTTTCTCTAAAGACACTCTCTAAACTCCTCTATATCAGGCAGGAACTGAGGAGATCTTGGGATCTCCTTTGTTTCAGTTTTGTTTCATCAGATGATTTCTATGGGTAACAAATGGGCAGTCCATGCTTTTGTAATTCGTGCCAAATGAAGTCGGTGTCTTCTTGTTGTATTATGCGGGATCTTACCTGAATAAGGCATCATTGAAATTGCATCATGTTCTGCTGCAGAACAGGTATCTTTTAGCATCAATAGTGTCTTCTCAGATGTGTAAGGTACCCATACTATGAGCACTTCTGCACCCCCATACTGTCACACATGCTTGCTTTTGAACTGTGTGCTGATGAAGAGACAGTTTCTCCCTCCCCTTCTCTAGAGTTGAGAATACAGTATCCATGATTTTCCTCAAAAAGTAGATATTATTTTAGACCTCAGTAAAGTTTTCCACACCTCTGTTCATCTTCAACAAAATGCTCGTGTTCCTATATAATTTGAATGTATGTTATGGTTTTCTCTTTGCATGGTTCAGTTTTCACCTGAATTTAGGGATTTAGTCACAAACAGACAGGGATTCTTTAAGGTCAGAGTCATGTCTGTTTTTAATTCAGTGCTGTCAGAGAGCCTGACTATCACAACCATACAGTATTAGTTTTTGTCTGTCATCTCTCATCTTAACCACTGAGAGACTCAGCCTCTCTAGCTTACCCTCTAAATATCCAGTTATGTTATTTATCTCTTAACCTAATCAGTTGGGAGGCTTTCATTACACAACTTATTCAGTGTTTTGTCGTCCTTGTCCCAGTGTTTTTGAACTTTGCTTCATCTTTGCACTATTTTAAATAAAATACATGATTTAAATGATTTGCAAATGTTGTTTTATCAACATTTTATGCTGTCCCAAGCTTTTTCAGAATCAGGGTTGAACATTTAAAGTTAAGACTAGAATGGTGAGCAATGAGAGTCTCAGAGTTATTATTTTTTTTAAATGAAAAAAGATCATTTGCTCTTGTAAGAAACAAACATTCAGGAACAAACAATCCCCTCTGTTAATGCAAAGAGCTTCATGTGCATGATTTACTAACCCATCCTACCTGCCCTCTTCAGACAGTTTGAAGTCCCCAAGGCTCCTTTACTTAAACTTGGAGGTATTTAACTTGCTGAAGTAGTTCATTTCTAAATGTGGTCATATTCTTTTGTGTGTGTGTGTGTGTGTTTTAGCTAGTCTAACATCAGACTCAAGCCTTTAAATCCAGTGAACAGCAGGTTCACATGATGTTGTTGAAACAACAACAAAAACTAGGGCCCCGTTGGGGCACTGGCGGGCCCGAGCCGTGTCGCGCCCCCCCCCCCAACGCGCTGCCTCCCCGTCCCATTCGCGTCCTCTGGCCATCGCCCTCTCTGGTAACGCCCATCACTACAAAGACCCTTTTCCTTCATCGGCGTTTGCTGTTCTTCCTGCCAGTGCGTGTTGCTTTCACTTACACTTGCCACAGCCAGCCTCGTGAGTGCCTAGCCTATTGGATATCACTGTCACCTACACAGGACAGTCATTACCTTTCTATTAATACTTTGTTTTTTAATTTCACATTAATTTCCATATTGTATAAACGACTGGAAAAAACTTGAGCCCCTGCCCCTGTATAATCATGTACACGTCCCTGTTCTAGCTCCAAGGTGAATCTTCACTGCTCATGTTCTCCTCAGAAGCAGTCACCTCACTCCCCTCAGGTTACTGTACACATGCACCAACTGCCTGCTTCAGGTTTGGATGGAGCTTCATGGTTGTCTTTTGGAGAAATGAGCAGTCAAGTTGTGTTTGAAATTTGATTTTTTTTCAGGGGCAAAAGGAAGCCTCTGCATTCTTGTCAAATATGTAAATAGCATGTTTTTGCAGGTGCTAAAAACCAGACTCTGAGTGTGCGTGTGTGTGTGTGTCTGTGTGTGTGTGTGTGTGTGTGTGTGTGTGTGTGTGCGTTCAAGTCACATGACATATTTAACCGGATGTAGCTGCAAGACGGTGTGTGTGTGCGTGTGTGTGTGTGTCTGTGTGTGTGTGTGTGTGTGTGTGTGTGTGTGTGTGCGTTCAAGTCACATGACATATTTAACCGGATGTAGCTGCAAGACGGAGCCTCGTTGACTCTCCGTTTCAACTTATCTCAAAAGTGAGGACCTCAACCTATATACCAGTTTTTAAATTGTGTTGATAGGCCAAATAAAACCAGAGTTATGATAAATTATGTCCGCGATACTTTTTTTCTGCTTATTTTGATCACGTTCGGCGCTCGATCGCGCTGTATGAGACAGGAAAACATAGCATGCAGACATTAGCGACAGGTCTTACAGGCGGAAAAGGCTTGCCAAAGGAAAAGAAAAAAACACACCACAACATCTCTCCTATTGGTGGAAAACTTCACCACAACAACCAATCCAAAATTATATGGTGACTGATTGACAAGGGGCGGGCGCTTACGTTCTTCCTGCAATATGAGAAGGGAGGGAGGGACTCTCAGCAGGGATGCAGTCTGGGACACGTAGTTGCAAACCTAGCGACTTTGTTGTTAGATTCAATGACTTTTCAGACCCCCTAACGACTTTTTTTTTAGAAAGAAAGTGACTTTTATCGACTTCTGGAGTTTAGAGACTCTGACATGAAGCAGGCTTTCCTTACTGAGGAGTTAGCAACGCTGCTAAGGGTGCAGAGCCACACATGCGCTCCGAGCTCTGCATGGGAGACTGAAGCTGACAGAGCTGCAGCAGTTAGCAGGTTTCACCCTCAGAGACCACCAGGGGTTCATGTTGAGGCATTTTCAGTTTTTTTTTTTTTTTGCCACAGACACTGTCAGCACAATCTGCAGTTACACTAACAAAAATGCTGCAAAAAACAAAGAATTATGGAAAAATTACACATGGACTAACATAGAGGAGGATCTACACAAGTTTTTTACATCATGTTTTACATCATGCATCATTTACATCATGTTTTTTTGTAGTGGCATAAATAAAAAGTGACATTTGTGAGACTATACAGTGTTTTGTAAATAATTTTACAAAGAACGCCTGGGCCATTGCCTGCATTTTGATGTCAATAGAGGTAAATTACTATGTTCTTTGTTAAAAATTTGCATATGTTTTGAAGTTTACAATTTTTATTTGAAGTTTAAGTTTTAAAAACAGTTCATCACACATATTTGTGGTTTTCACAGTAAAAACGTTACTTTTTTCCACTCGGATTTTATGTTTTGTGTGTGAATTTGGGTCCAATGTGTAAATATAGTATGTCAAAATGATAAAATAACTGTAAATTGACACAGGTGAGGTTGTGCTGAAAAAAATGATACCAGGCAAGGCAAGGTAAAAATTTTGTAAGAGGAAATATAAAGGTAAAATCTAAAGTAGTCAAAAACGGCCAATAGTGACTCACAGACTCCACAGACAAGTCCCTTTGGCGCCACTCAGTGGGCAAAACTACTTTGTCTACTGTAATGTATATTTGGGTCATCTTTGGCGCCCCCTAAAACGTAAACCGTGGGGTGCAGCGTCATGATTTTTACAACTTTGAATGGCCATGGAGTGTAGATTGGCCTGAGCAAATTTGGTGTCAGTGGGACGAAAGCCTTAGGAGGAGTTAGCGAAATTCCAATGTGTGCGAATCGGCAAAAAATGCAAAATAGCCCTTTTACCGTACATTATACAGATACGCGCTCTTTGACTTTTTCGTAGATCTAATTGAGATACACATGATTGTCAATTTTTGTGTCATTTTGCCAAAGCGTACAGGCGTGACAGTCAACAATGTGTATTTTCACCTTAGGGGACAAGAAAAAATGGACTTTTTTCTCCTGCCATGGGGGGCGCTCTTTTAGGGATCAAAAATTCCTTCACAAATGTGTTGATGGCTGGACATTGCATCATCCTAGAAAACTTGGAGGCCAGTGAGGACAAAAATAAAAAGTTATAAGACTTTTAAAAATGTGGATTTTTGGGTTATCTTTGGCGCCCCCTAGAACGTAAACCGTGGGATGCAGCGTCATGATTTGAATAACTTTTAATGGCCATGGGGTGTAATTTGGCCTGAGCAAATGTGGTGCCGGTGGAACGAAAGCCTTCGGAGGAGTTAGCGAAATTCCAATGTGTGCGAATCGGCAAAAAATGCGGAATAACCCTTTAACCGTACATTAGACAGATACGCGCGCATTGACTTTTTTGTAGATCTTATTGAGATACATGTGTGTGTCAATTTTTGTGTCATTTTGACAAAGCGTACAGGCGTGACACTCAACAATGTGTATTTTCACCTTAGGGGACAAGAAAAAATGGACTTTTTTCTCCTGCCATGGGGGGCGCTCTTTTGGGGAGTAAAAATTCCTTCACAAATGTGTTGATGGCTGGACATTGCATCATCCTAGAAAACTTGGAGGCCAGTGAGGGCAAAAATAAAAAGTTATAAGACTTTTAAAAATGTGGATTTTAGGGTTATCTTTGGCGCCCCCTAGAACCTAAACCGTGGGGTGCAGCGTCATGATTTGAATAACTTTTAATGGCCATGGGGTGTAGATTGGCCTGAGCAAATGTGGTGCCGGTGGAACGAAAGCCTTCGGAGGAGTTAGCGAAATTCCAATGTGTGCGGATCGGCAAAAAATGCAAAATAACCCTTTAACCGTACATTTGACAGATACGCCCGCACTGACTTTTTTGTAGATCTTATTGAGATACATGTGTGTGTCAATTTTTGTGTCATTTTGACAAAGCGTACAGGCGTGACAGTCAATAGTGTGAATTTTCACCTTAGGGGGCGCTATGGAGCCATTTTGCATTTTCTTGTTTGGGCGACTTCGGAATATCAAATTTTTCACCAGGCCCGGTCGTCCTGCCAAATTTCCTGAGTTTTCGCCAGTGGGAAGTGGGCCATTTTCCAGTTCAAAGGGGAGGAAAAAGAAAAAAGAAACAAAGAAAAACCACTTGGGGAATAATAGGGCTCTCGCAGCTGCTTAGCATCTACGCTCGGGCCCTAAAAATTCTGGAGTAAGGACAGACATTGTTTTCTCCACTAGTGGCTCCAGGGAAACAGATCCCAGATGTATTATCAGTCATGGGACATTTTTACATTTCAAGTTTAAACAGCTGTGTACCTGTGACTCACCTGGCCACCTTTCTTGACTGAAATCTCACATTATCTTTGATCTATAGCTTTACAAACAATTCATGAAATAAACTGCCTCAGGCATATGAAGTGACATTTTCTGCTGAAAAAGTAATGAAAAGTTTTACCAACTTCAGATGGAGTCTATCAGAGTGAAACATCTATAAGAATACTCAAAAACAGGCAGACATTGGGGCTTAGCTAGAGATAAAAAATCAATATCAGAGTCAAGTGAAAAACTCTGGAGGTGAAACAGCCATATCAAGAAAAAAGCTTTGAGGGTAACTTTTGTAAATTTTCCATTCTCTGTAAATGTGTCTCTCTACCTCTCTTTTCTCTCTCTCCCTCCCTCTTTGTATCTGACATTAAAACAACATCTCACTCCTCTGTTTCCAAGCTGCCAATTAGCTGTCTGAAGGTACTCCTCCTCCTCCTCCACTACCTCCTCTTCCTCCACCCTCTGTAGCTCCTTTTCACCCACTCCTTTCCTGCTTTCATCGAAAGTTTTGAAGTCCACAGACAGTGTTCACTATTTTAGCATCCGAACTGTTTTTCAGTTCGTAAATGTAGACCATTAAAGAAACATAGTTTGACTGAAGTGTTGAGAAGTGAGAGGGGGAGCTGGGGTGTGTTGTAACAGGTAGAAAATGGAGTCTTTAAAGAATGTAAAAAAACAGTAAAGTTGTTTCCTGACATCACCTGTTGTAGCCCTCTGATGGTCCTATGTTGGAAGCGGAGCTCTGCTAACTTTCTTTTAACCCCAGGAAAGGACACAGAGGTGAAGTTGAGGCTAGTTGACTCAGCTGTACCCCTCATTATCCAAATTCATATGTAACTGATCCTGTCTCTCTTTTTTACGGATGTGCTTTAACAAAATCTTAGAAAATATAGCTTAATACTTTGTGCCTTTGAAGTGTTTTAAAGCAGACTGCAAAAATAGTGAATTGGGCTCTAGAGTCATGCACTTCAACATGGGACCTGGTGTGGATGCTGTGGCTTTCACAGCCAGCCTCAGGGTGACACTTGAGGGATGGGATTTTTTCTGCTCATTGGCCTTTGCTACAACTTTCAGCACAGTCTACAGCTGACTTTGAATCTGGGTTTTCAGAGTGCTACACAGAACAGGGTACATGTCCATTACACATCAATCATTAATGACCAATCGAGTTATCTGACTTGACTTGTGCCAACCACATATCACTTGAATAGGATTATTGACATTATTGCATGCTGTACTGTAAGCCATGGAGAGAAGAGCATTTGTAAAAGATGTTACAGCTTTTTAAGGCTAATCGACATCAGACAGACCTGCATAGCAGAGATTATTGCAGCAATGAAGGCGTACCAGGTTTATCACAGCTGATAGGTTTACCCGAGAAAGGAGGAAGGAAGGATCCAAACTCTGCTCTTACACGATAGAATGACATTGCAGATAGATTGAGCGAGAGCCCACAGCCTCTGTTCATTGGAGGAGTCTGTGGATCTTCAAAAATCTCCAGTATTAATTTATTTTATGTTTTTGGATTCAACCTTTCCTGGACTTGGATCATTGGGACTCTTAATGTTGCAGCAGGGAGAGAGGGGGTCAGTCTTTCCGACTTTCAACACATCACAGTTAACTTCAGTTTTGAACAGAATAAAATACATCATATGTGAGCGAAATAAATGTCTTTGTGGCAGTTTAACACGCCCACCTCCTGCTAGTGCAAGGTTGAATTTAAGCTCCTGTGTGGAACTTTACAGTTTATGCTGTTTCTGGTATGGGAAGGTTTCCATGGCAAGCCTATATGCTGACAGCTAGGAGGAGTGACAAAGAGTACAAAGCAGAGAAAAAGTCAACACTACATGAAAGATCTCATCGCTCTGTCTGCACACCTGCTGACAGTAAATGTGTAAAAGTCTGGATGAAGAATTCATTTCCATTTGTGTTCACTCCTGCAGTTTCAGTGCAGTGACTGATGAGGGTTCTGGTTACTTCAACACAGAACCAGTTACAAGAGTGAACTGGACAACATGAGAGGAAGCCTAACCATCTGAGCTTGACTTTTAGAGCAGTGCCCTTCAAGCAGTTCAAGACTCAAGGGGGTCATATATTTTATAAGAGGCTTGCACTTAAAAATCTCTGCAGAACAGTCTGATCCCATTAAACACTAAATTAGAAATCTTTCAGCAGAGATAGTATCAAATCAAATCAGTCAGGTTCATTCACTTTCTGACACGCATATCTCATATCCAGAGGAACATCATTATTCATGATTTAGTCCATTACAGCGCTTAAATGAGCACTGAAGACGTTCTCTCTTCATTTATTCTTTCTGCTCAATGAAACCATTGCTTGTAAGATGACAGAGTGATTCACATTTCCCCAAATTAAATTCCTTTAACTTCACTTTACTGCCGAGGGCAAAGCTCATGGTCAGTTTCTTAAATCAGAGCGTCATGTCTGAAGATGGCAAACCTGAAAAGACCACCTTAAAGTGTGTGTATGAATATGCTCCTTTAGGAGGGGCACAGTGTGGGATCAGTAAAAAAAAAAAAACACCTCTGCACATAAGCAACATGATAAAAATTATTACAACAAAAAATTCTTGAAAACTTGCACATGAGGGAGGGGGGCAGACTTGTTATAAAACAGGCTGAAAATAACAGTGAAAATAACATGGTGCATCTTTTATCAGAGAACACTTACACACGTGCAGGATGAGTACAAATGTAGGAACTTCACCTTATGTCCACAGAGGGAGCCAAAATTGGCACTATGAGAAAGTGCCTCGTATGAACTTAAAGATAGGACCGTAGATAGAGCTTGACACTATGTGGGTAATGACCATGCGTCATCATCCAGTCTTGAGAAATGAAGCTGATGTGAAAGTGCCAATTACTGGACTTGTTGAGCACCCACTTGAGGCTGGTTACCAAAGCCGTGGAAACTTTATATATGCTAATTCAAAAAAAGTTCATATTTAGAACAAAAATGAAAAAAGTTTAAATCCTGGTTCAATAAACAGTTATGGTCTGGTTGCTCTGAAAAGATCCTCTCTATGGGCAGTGAACTCTTTTTTTGGTAATGGGTTTGTTTTAAAGATATAAAGGTTACAAGATTGGTGAATCAGAGACATGACTGACTCCAGCCACAGACAGATACTCTGTAGATGTTTACACTGAGGCTACAGGCTGACCTGTCATAGGTCGACTGAAAGTTAGGTTGAGTCAGCATTGCCAGTGTTGTGACTGACGCTAATAGACTTCAGAGACCCACCTTGGAAACAAATGAGTGATGACACGAGACTTGTCCATGTTTTCTACAGTTTATAATCCAGTCTTACAGTTCAGCCGCTCTGGTCCAAAAAAAAGGCCTCATGGTGCTCATGTTGTTTGGGGTCCTAAACAGTGATGCAGGCTGATAAAGTAGTGACCGCTGTGGTGGCTGAAAAAACAGCTTTTGAGGAGCTTCTTTCCTTCATTTCTCTCATTCATATAAATCACACCCAAAACAGCTTTTCTTCCTCCACTCATCATTTTTCCTTAGTCTTTTTTGTTTTCAGTGATGCTGCTCTGAGCTGGGCTGTTTAGTTTGATTTTAAACAAAGAAAACCGTTTTTGATTTAATTTGCATCATTTGCTGCTTTTTCCTAACATTACTCAGCATTTTGTCTGTCTAGACTGGTGTGAAACACCTGTGTCTCCTTCCTGTATGGATCACTTTATGTCTTGTGTGTGTGTGTGTGTGTGTGTGTGTGTGTGTTAGGTTATTGACCCCGTGGCTCCCCGGTACACAGCCCTGTCCAGCTCCTACGTGGTTCCTGTTTCAGTGGCAGAAGCTACAGAGGAGATGAAGGAAGTGGCTAAACACCCAAAGGTAGGAGTGTTGTGTCTCTTCTGTCTTCTCTCTATTTTTAACCTTTGTGATGATTTCTGTTGTTCAAAAGAACCTTTTTTTAAATCACAGCTATGATTCAACCACTGAAAATGATCTCTCTTTCTTTTTTAGAACACAGAGGTGGGCATGAAGGAGGTCTGGTATGGACCTCGTGTTCTGGTTGAGGGAGCAGATGCTGAGACGTTTTCAGAGGGAGAGATGGTCACCTTCATCAACTGGGGAAACCTTATTATCACCAAAATCAACAAGTATGCACAGTGACCACCCAAGTCATCATGACAGTTTATGATCAAATGCTAAGGTGGCAAAATTACCGACATTCACTCCAGTCATAGTTAGGGGTTAGAGTTCAATGACTTGGTGTTTATTTCTTGGTGCAACAGTTTATCCACTGCTGTAAATCAGTTCAGTTCAGAGCTTTTGTCCATCAAAGGAAATTTGAGCAGCAGTTGATTGTATGAAATGGTTAGAAACACACCATCAAAAGTAACAAGGGGCCCTGAAGAAGGAAATGTCTTAACCCAGATAGCAAAATAGGGTTGAATCAACGTTGAAAGATAGTTAGGCAGAATGAATTAATCTACGTTGAAACCTAACGTTGAAACTGTACAGAAAGTGCAAAGGAATTCCATCTTGATTCAACGTTGGGTTTTCAACCACTAACTGACACTATATCAACATTGATTCAACCATCATCTAAATGGTAATCTGCCTGCACATTTTAGTTGATTTTATATTGAATCAACATCAGGAATCAACACTGATTCAACCATCATCTAAATGGAAACCTACATGTATATAAATTGATTTATTGAATCATGTTAGAATTCAATATTGATCCTGATCATCCAACAATCTAATGGTAATCTGCATGTACATGTTAAATTATGCGTATGCTGATATACTTTAGGACTACATCTTAATAGCTTGTTCAAAATTACCTTTTCCTAAAATGTGAAAATAAATATTAAAAATGAATTAAAAAATAAAGACAGACAACATGATTTTAAACTTAAAATTTATTGAACATCAAGGCAATGACAATTGCCGATAACATAGCCTAAAGAAAAAGTCCAGCGTAGTCCAGAGTAGTAGAAAATCCAGAGTAGTAGAAATATAGGAAATTAGTAGAAAATGTCATTTGCCACATGCATCGGGACTTCTTGGGACAGCTCCCTGCTGCTCCGGAACATTTCTTGGGATGCCTCCCTGTCGGCTTGGTGCAAAATGCAGCCAAGACTTGACCGTAACCTCGCAGTGCTTCTGGCTCATTTTGTGATCAAACTGTCGAGCAGCAGCTGAAAGACAAAATAACAAGAATACTGTTCATGACCATAACATCAAACAAGTCTCCTCCTATAAGTACCTGGGAGTGCTGATCAATAAGGATTTCAACTGGCACACACATGTTACAACTATGTGTTCAACGATACATCAGTGTCTATTCCCAAAGACTACAAACATGTCCGTTTGGCGCCATTCTCCGCTACACTGTAAAAGCTTCAAATCCGCTGTGGTCACAAAATTTAAATGTCCAGATTTCATACCAACACAGATTAAAATGACATTAACGGTAACGTTTGCACTAAAACAGACACCCGACCACCTTTTGTGAACATTCGAGTCTAAACTTTGATCGAGAATTGAAGGTAAAAACCGCCGTCAAGATTCAGTGCATTTTTTTCAAAAACACCAATATGATCACATTTGATTGGCTGACCTGGTGACGCCATTCAGTTACAATGAACACAATTGGTCGATTCATGGTCTTGGTGCGAACAGACTGGTTCCCGTAAGGAAAACATTTCGAACATAAAGAAATATTAATTAATATTTCTTTATGTTCGAAATGTTTTTAAATAATGTATTGGTTATAGGTCTGAGAACAGACCCAGAACAGTTACCCGTGTACAGTACACTAACAAAAGGACCGCAACGTCCGTCTAATCTACATATATATTTAGCTTGATAAGTCAACGTACATATTACAGTAAACGTATACAAACACAGGACATCATAGCCTGGCTGGGCCATCCTGTTGCGTGAATCACTTGCCGTTCCTTCACACAACAGTCTGGACTTCGGCCAATTGGTAGCGTGTATTCCCGATAACCAGAAAATAACCGGGCCAATCAGTGACTGTGTTTCCACTGTTCCCCCGACAACAGGGAAAGGCAGCCCCTGATTGGTCCATGTGTAGACAGTGACGTCTAACACATGCTGTTCTAACAAAGCGTCATTCATTCAGAACGCCATTAATTCTGCAGTTGACTTTGGAGAGTCGGCAGAAATCGTTTATATCCGACGTCTTCTGCGGATATAAACGATTTCTGCCGACTTTGCAAAGTCAACTGCTGAATTAATGGCGTTCTGAATGAACACAGTCTCTGATTGGCCTGGTCATTTTCTGATCGGGAATACACGCTCCCAATGGGCCGAAGTACCGACTGTTGCGAGAAGGAACGGCAAGTGATTCACTCAACAGGATGACCCAGCCAGGCTAAGGACATCAAGCATAAGCACAAAACAAAGCTTGTTTGCTTCACTGAAAACAGTTAAGATAAAAGAAACATGTCAAACTTACTGTGCAAGACAGGCAGAGAAGGTCGGAGGAGTGATCAATGCAGTCGGTCCGGTGTTATGCCGTAGAATGCACCCCCTGCCTCCAATCCACTCATTCGCTTCTTAAACTGGAAGAAAATGATCTCATATTTTTTTAAAAATGTGACACACTTTCGTCACACTTTGAGATGTTTCAAACATGAATTGCAATATAAATAAAATGTAAATTATTATTGTTATTGTAATTATTATTATTATTATTGGGATTGTCCTGCTGACAATGATTTGAATCAATGTTGGCATTTCAATCATTAAGTAGGAGAAGAAAAAAAAGCAAAGAAAAAGGCAAACAACATGGATAAAACATTGAATCAATGTTGTCATTTCAATCATTAAATGGGAGGAAGGGGGGTGTGAATTGAATCTCTATATTTTCTATCAGCAAAGCAAACACAAACTGGTTTATTGAGAAGGTATCTCCTTTTCTAACAACAAACAGACCCTGAAAAGCACAAGTTTGTCAAAGACACAAACATCTAGCTTTATCAAACTATGATGTCGAGCTTTGTCTTATCTATGCATGACTGTTCTTTTGGGTTCGAAAGGATTGTTGATGGAAAACAAGGAGCAAAGAAGCACATTTTTCAAAGTGGATTATCCTATCTGGAGTAGAAATGAGGTAGATGATTGTTTTAGAGGGTAAAAGTTTTCAGAATAATATAGATTAGAGGTGATATTTGAAAACTTCCTGTAGGAAATAATCCAAATATTGACAATCAATGACCAACCTCCTCAGACAATGTGGTGTAAAGTAACCGTGTACTGCTCCAGTTCTCTACATTCCCATATTTTCTCTTTGCTCAGAGGGTCTGATGGGAAGGTTGTGTCCATGGAGGCTCGCCTGAACCTGGAAAACAAAGACTTCAAGAAGACCACGAAGATCACATGGCTGGCTGAGACTAACAGCGCCCCCTTGTTGCCCACCATCTGCATCAACTACCAGCCACTCATCTCCAAACCCGTCATCACCAAAGACGACGACTTTAAAGAGTACATTAACAAAAACAGCAAGGTCAGCTCTGCCACATGTCATTTCTCATGAGAATCCCGTGTCAGAGGTGATGTGCTCCAGTTTTCTTTTGTTAACTGTCTTATTGTCTCTCTCTTAGCTGGAGGAGAAGATGCTCGGAGATCCCTGTCTGAAGAGTCTGAAGAAAGGAGACATCATCCAGCTCCAGAGACGAGGCTTCTACATCTGTGACCAGCCCTACGAGCCAGTCAGGTGAGAGGAAAGACTGATTGTTTGACTGTGAATGTCGTGTCACAGTTCTCTGCAGATCAACCATAGACTGTATTAGAGAAGCAGACATAGCCTCTCTGTTTCCGATGTAAAGACAGAGCAGGAATGCCATGATTAAGATTCTGTCTAATGACTCACAGAAGATTTTTCATATCAGTCACTCTCAGAAGGATTTAAAGATGAGATTGAATGTGGAGCTAATTTACAAACTCCATCATCTGGTTCTTCTACCTTACAAATCCGGCTATCCCTCCCAACATTTCCACATGGCAGACCAGTCACTGATTTTCCTCCCGTGGGCAGTGCCAGTGACATGTTGGTCTCTTAAACCATGTCTTTGAAAATCCAAACCCCTGTGGGTTTGCAGTGTTGTGTAGATATCAGGAAGTATTGTTTCATGTTTATCAACTGGGCAGAGGTCCGTATGAAGTTATCATTTCATGGTCATAACAGTTTTAGACACATCTGACATTTGATCTCTGGTCTCAGCTCTTCTTTAGCTGAGGATGGTGTTCATTTTTACTGACCAACTGTAGTTGAATTTTTTCTTCCGAAGCCATAGAGGTGTAGAACTTAATAACCATCCTTTCATACAGATATGGTCTTTTTAAAGGGCTAATATGCTGATTTAATAACAGTAATGTGCCTTTGGGTTGGCTCAGTCGCTTCTGATATACTGCCTGTGTATAAAGATGTCATCTATCACACTGTCTGACTTTGTTCATGCCCACAGTCCTAACAGCTGTAAGGAGAGTCCGTGTGTCCTGCTCTACATCCCTGATGGACACGTCAAAGAGATGCCAACTGCAGGATCCAAGGACAAGAGCAGGAGCCAGGCCTCCAATAACACGGTGAGTGGTTCTCAGGAAAACCATCTGAATGTTTTCAGGCCTCTGTCTTAGTCACAGCTAAAGAAGGGTACAGACAGGTCCGTCCTGTAGTTGTAAATACTCAAAGTGAAAGAAAAAGTAAAAGTAGTTGAGATACTGATCTCTCTATGCTCTGGCCTATAGTGCAAAGGTTTGCTAAATGAAACAGTCGTAGCATAGGCAGACTTTAAGCTGCACCATTTATCATTAACATTTATAAGAAGAGACAGCGTTTCAGGGAAGAGTCATGATGAGCCTTCAGGTCTCTCTTCTGGGCTGATACTTGGTGCTAATTTCCTTCTCTTCATTGTGTCTGATCTCCTCTCGTCTTAGTCTGCTGCTCCCTCAAAGGCTGCCCCGTCCTCCACCCCAGTGCCTGCCTCCACATCAGCCTCAGCAGGAGACTTATTCTCTAGCATTGCAGCACAAGGTGAAGCTGTGCGCCAGCTGAAGGCCGCCAAGGCTCCCAAAGAAGAGGTGGACAAAGCAGTTCAGCAGCTGCTTTCTCTGAAGGTACGTCCCCTTTCATTTATGGCTGCTCCCGACTCACAGCCCCTGAACAGGATCAAGTTTGAGTTTCCGTACAAAGGTTTGTCTTTTTCTTTTCTTTCGGTTCATTGAAATCACAAACATTTATGCACATCAATTAGCCAGAGACCTCAATATCTTTCTAAATGTTTCCCATCATACTTAAATACTCATTTACTTAAAATTACTGTAGTGACCCAAATGTAATGTTTTTACCCCTGAAGTATATCCAAAAAAACGGCTTTTCTTATGTTCAGAGACCAAACTTTTAAATGTCGGTATGTGTTCATAACAGAGAAAGGATATATCTGTTAAGAGTGTGTGGCCTGTGACTAAGGCCTGATGTGACTGAAAAGTAGAGTGTCATAGGGGATAATAGACAGAGGGACACACTGATGGTCAGGACTATTAGAGTCAAAAGTAGGCCAGCATCAGAGGCTTATTTTAAGCTGAAGGGTGTCAATGTTCAAGAGACATGAAACAACTTTCCCTGAGCTGAAATATGGTGTCAGGGAGTGTCATGATCAAAGATGGCATACTGTTTAAAATCTAAACCCCTAAAACCCTAAAAAGAACTTCTCATTAGAAAGGTCCTGTTTATGGATTGTTTTCTGTTTTGAACTTAACTGCGTAAAATTTCATTGGAACAAGGAATTTAAGTCGACCTGATCCAACATGATCAAGCTCAGCTCACGGTTCCCAAGGTCCAGAAAACAACAGATTCTTTTATTTTGAAATGGTCATTACTGGTAAGAGTTTATCCCAGACTGAATCACTGGGCCTGTCATTTAAGACAGGAAGAATGTTTTTGGCTTACCTTTAAAAAAGATGAACACTAGTGACGTGCTGGTGACGACTCAGTTTATAGCTTTTCTTTCTGAAGTCCTGCACTCAGTAATGCTTATCAGAGGAACACTGATTTACCGATTTCTATCAATGTGCATGTTTGCTTTGAAGAGAGAAAGCCTCAGAGGATAATTAACTCCTGTTACAAAAACAAATTAACTTTAAAAGCCCACTTAGAGTCTTGGTGTGTTCAGTTTATAGTCTGTTATTGCTCCTCTGTCCCTTTGTGCCTTTGTCACTCTGGGCTTATGATTCATAGATGCGTTTTCTGGAGGCCATCTTTAATTAAATAAAGAATATAATTAATATGAACGTCAATCTCTGTTTTCCCCTTTTCTTTTTCTGCAGGCTCAGTTTAAGCAGGAGACCGGGGTTGACTACAAGCCTGGCATGGCTCCTCCCACCTCAGCTCCAGCCCCACCCACCACAGCGTCAGACCCTGCTGCCTGTCCATACACCCGTGTTTCCCAGCAGGGAGAGCTGGTCAGGAAACTAAAAACAGAGCAAGCACCTAAGGTACCTGAGAATTTATCCATTTAAACCACATTCATCCATATTAACCATGTTTATTCATATTAACCCCACTCTTGTGTCTGTTCAATCATCACTCTTCTCCCACACCATATATCTCTTCACCAAACTCACACCAACCTATCATTTCTAGTATCCTCATTCGTGTCTTTTTTTAACATCCAAACTAGTGTATCTGGTCTTGTGTTGCTCAATTTTCAAAGTAATTTTGTCCAGTCATCACTCGTGTGTATGTTATTTGCATGCGAAGTTCAGTTTAAACTGTCCTGCAACATAAAGCTGGTTTATTCACGATACCAGGACCAGATTGACATAGCAGTGAAGCAGCTACTGGCTTTAAAGGCGGAGTTTAAGAAGCTGACTGGTCAGGATTACAAACCAGGGATGGCCCCCTCCAATCCTGCCTCCTCTGCTCCTTCTCCTGCAACCAACTCCTCCTCTTCTTCCTCCTCCTCTTCTGCTTCTTCCTCTTCTGCTTCTCCGGGCTTGTATGAGCGCGTTGCGCAGCAGGGAGAAGTTGTGAGGAAACTGAAGTCTGAGAAAGCCCCCAAGGTATTCAGATAGAAATGAGTAATGAGAAAAAGAGTTCAAGGATTCACTCATGTTTTCATAAGGCATGTATATCCTGATTAGTTAAATTAAAGTCTACAGTTTTATTAATGCCTGCATTGTGTTTGAAAAGAGCGCCACTGAAAAGTCTGAAGTCCCTTAAACACTTTTGATTTACTTCTCACTCTTATTGAAATGAGCTTGAAGTTTTCTGCTGATGCTGACGTAGTTACTGTTAATGACCATGAGATTTTTTCTGTCTGCGTACCTCTCTCTGGTGCTAAGCAGTAGGAAAAGACATCATGTTCTTTTGTGAACGAATTCTATTAACCAGAAATACACTGTCCAAGATTCCCCTATGAACTTTTGTTTGTGTAAGTCTATGTCTAAGCGAGTGCTGAGAACAGAGTTTACTGAAAGAGCCACACCTCTGCACAGAAACAATTTTAGTCTCCAAGCAAGACCGCATTTCAAACTTGTATTGGGAGCAACTTATATTCTTGGCTTAGTGGTAGATCAGACATTAAGAGGCATTTACCTACAAAGAGGTTTTCACAGTAACTTTTTGATTCGTCCTCCCCCTCCTGTGTCATTTTTCAGTAGTTTGAGAATCATTTTAAGTCTGACAACTGATCTGCTTCAGCCTTTATAGTCTATATTTTACACAAAGTTATGCTTGTTGTCTTTTATTCTGAAATTATATGCAGAAGATGTGTCTCAGTCAGACACATAAGAAAAGGAACCCTTAAAAAGGGTTTGTGGGGGTGAATTAACAACAATGATGCCAAAAGAAAAGTGAGACAGCCAAATTAAAGTGTAACAACTCACCTTTAAAAAAATGCTTGCTTAGCATAGCAGGATTGCAGCATAGCAGCAATGTCTTGGACTTGTAAGTAAATGAACATCATATCTTTGTTTCCTCTGTTCCAGGACCAGGTTGACGCTGCAGTGAAACAGCTGCTTGCTTTTAAGGCAGAGTACAAACAGATCACAGGTCAGGAGTACAAGCCTGGAGCTGCCCCTGCTCAGAAAGGCCCCAGTCCTGCTTCTGCCTCTGCTCCTGCTCCTGCCTCTGGGGGCCTCTATGAGAAGGTGACTGGACAGGGAGAAGTGGTGAGGAAACTCAAGGCTGAAAAAGCCCCCAAGGTGAGACCGCATACTTGATTCAAAGATAGTTCAACTGTCCAGACTCCAGTCCAGTTTAAAGCTCCTGTGAGTGTTTTTTGATGTTTGTGAGAGAGACTAAAATTCATACTGATACTAATGCTTGTTTTATGCAAAATCAAACAAGACCATCAGCAATATGATAAAGGTCATAGTATAATTTTGAATGCCTGTAAACTGGTGCAAGGGGGTAGGTGTCAGCTAAGCAACTGAAGAAACAGTCCTGTTTTTACAATCTCCACCTTCAATACTCACAATCAATGAAACATTGAACCAGGTCAGCAGGATGTGAGACTGTGAAAGCATGTTAAGAACAGAAGACCTTTAAACATCAACAAACGTGTGCAACAACACTACATACTATATTGTTGAGCCACTCTGAATCACTGCACAGCAGCTCTGGCCAACAATGAGGTCTTGAGTATTTATGGGGGATGTTTGGGTCATCCTGAAACTTTTAGTGCTGCTGCTGTGATTTCAAGTTTCTCTGCTTTGCTGGTGCTCACCAGGATCAGGTGGATGCTGCAGTGAAGCAGCTGTTGGCTCTCAAAGCAGAGTACAAACAGCAGACTGGACTGGATTACAAACCAGGATCACAAGCCCCAACAAGCCCTGCTCAGACCCAGTCCAGCTCTCCACCAGCCCAGTCTAACTCATACCCACAGGCCCAGGAGCTGTTCTCCCAGGTGGCCCAACAGGGGGAACTAGTGAGGAAGTTAAAGTCTGAGAAAGCCCCGAAGGTAAGAAACCAACCACGATGAGGAATTAAACACAACTAACAAGGACATCTGATCATCAGCTGATCTCTCATTTCAGGACCAGGTGGATGAAGCCGTAAAAACCCTTCTGGCCCTGAAGAGCCAGTACAAGACGCTCACTGGAGAGGACTACAAACCAGTGGCTGCTGCTGGAGCCAGTGGAGCAGAGGACAAAAACCGTAAAGAGAGGGAGAACAAGTCTGAGAAACAGGGAGGAGGAGGCGGTGCAGGAGGAGGAAAGAAGGGGAAAGGAGACAAAGGCGGCAACCAGGGCAAGGAGGCGTCAGGAGGAGCAGGAGGCGGAGAGGGTCAGGGACCCAAGAAGCAAACACGGTGAGAGACTGGAGAGGAGAAAAAAAATGTTTGAAATGTTTTCCGTAGACCCCATGAAGGCAAGTGTACCTGACTTTAAATAAAAGATCAGTGTTACCCCCAAATCTCTGAAAATCATTGTTCAAATATCAAGAGGCTGGTTCTTGTTTTACTTTTTGCATCTGAAGAGACTTCTCTACTTCGATTTCTGTAATGCAGTCTGTGATCTTGTGTTCAGGTTGAACCTCACCTCATGATTTGCAGCTTTTTTTCTGTTTTCTATCATATTCACCTGATTTTCATGTAAAGATAGGCTCTGCAGACTCTCTTCAAAGGAATCCAGATGGAGAGATGTGAGAGAAGATCATAAGGCAGAGATGTCAGTGAAGCTGCAAAGAGCTGAGGCAGAGTCAAAACATTTGATGAATTCCAGGAACAGTATGCTACTTTTTACAGATCGAGTTAGTCTGTCATAGTATTTTAATTCATAGCTTGTTTTTGGCCTTGTAAGTCTTCACATTGGGAGGAAAGAGAAAGTGGAGACAAACACACAGTGAAAGGCTGCTTGCTTCGAGGACTACAGCCTTTGATCATGAGGTGCAGGATTTAGCCTCTAAGCCAAACATCCACCTCTCTCTGGTCATGTTTAGATACTTCTTCAATAAGATGCAAAATTTCCTGTGGTGGTTAAAATAGAGGATGTTACATTCAACAACTGGCAGTGGATTGAAAGCTTCACTCAAACAAGACCTTAAGTTTTAGATTTTTTTGTTAATCAAATATTGGAGCATTGCGGGGACTTGGATTTGTTGCTTGGTCTCTGAAGATGGATCATCTGTACACCCCAATCCTCTGCCCCTGTTAGTCAAACAGCAGGAGAGTTTTGTTTTAGAGTTGGTGAGTCTGAAAGGGTTGATGTGTTTTTCCATCTGCTTGATCATTCTTTGTGGCCTTGCTGTCAGCTTTGAGGATGACATGTGGTCACTCTCTGAAAGTGCTGCATCACTAATGTATGTTAAGAACTATTTTGCATGTTTCAGCAAATACAGGAAATTAGCATGGGGTTGTACCCTTTACCTCGAGGTCCTGCTGAAGTTGACAATAAGTCAAAGCATTTGATAAAAGATGCAAAAAGTAAAACAAAAACTTCTCGATTCCTCGTCATTTCTGGAGGATCAGATTTTGATCTCAAACCCATTTGTTCTGCCATCATGGTGCAGCAGGATGTCTCTGTTTTGTCAGTCATCAGTAGGACACTGGTTTGCTGGCTGTCTTTGGAGATGAGCTTTGAGTTGCATGATTGGCTCAGCTGAAAACTGCTGTGTGTGAGGAGTGAAAACTGTTTGGGTGAACTCTGCAGTGACTCTGTTTCTAATCGGTAAAATGTCAGTGTTCGTGCTCTCGTTTGCCAGATCACACTGTTGTATCTGTCTGTGTCTTTGGCCACCACTAGACTATTGAACATTTGATTCAAGAATTCTGTGAATCGGATGAACAGACAAACTTTGGCTACAAAAAAAGAACAAATTTCACAAAATATTAATTCTAAGAAAAAAAAAAGAAAACTACAAAAAATTTTTGGGTGAACATAATCAGACTGACACTGCACGCTTTTGCACAATATGTGACAGGTGATCTCAGGTGTGCATCACAATGACTTTGTTTTATGTCTCCTGACAGATTGGGCTTAGAGGCCAAGAAAGAGGAGAACCTGGCTGACTGGTACTCTCAGGTGAGTCCGATGCAAACAAACAATACCATTCTCAACCTACAGAGAAGCTATTTTAAAACACCCAACACTTCAGAAATTTTCATAAGACAATAATCAAATGCTTCTCCTCTCCTACAGGTCATCACTAAAGCAGAGATGATTGAGTATTATGATGTCAGTGGCTGTTATGTGCTGCGGCCCTGGTCCTACTCCATCTGGGAATCCATCAAAGAGTTCTTTGACCGGGAGATTAGGAAACTCGGTGTGGAAAACTGCTACTTCCCCATGTTTGTGTCCCAGGCTGCTCTGGAGAAGGAAAAGTCTCACATTGAGGACTTTGCTCCGGAGGTAAAAAGACCATTTTTTCTCAGCGTAATAATATTTAGAACCTCAAAGGGCGGAAAACTGAACTGCACCATCCAGTAAAATTGTGAAATGCATAAAAAAACTCGATTGATCTAACAGGACAGTAAACGTAGAAACACATGACTGCAGGATTAAAAAAAAAACATGAAATGATAATGAAGTCATGACGTTATTTGGTGAGTTTTAGGGTTGCACATTTTCTGTAGTAATATCTAAATTTGAAGTGCGATATCAGTTTTACAGCAACCAGTGCCAATAATTACAGAGCAGGTTGGCTAATGGCTGATATCTAACGCCGCTAACATATTGTTGGTTTTTGCATTTAATAAAATATGACTATTGAATTACAACAAATGAGAAAGGACTGTGCTGAGCTTAAATTGATCATTTTTTGTTTACCCTGGATTTGGCCCAGGAAAATATTACCATCAGACTGGATTTCTGTTCAGTTAGCATTGATCATTATTGATAATATCAAAGTAAAAGCAAAGAGTTAAAAGCTGTCATGAATAATTCAGTAATGATATGAAAAATACAGTCGAATATACATGCTTATGTTAGTCAGTGACATGTTAAATATAGATTTTTAATAAACTCATGAAATGAAAGATAATTGTGGTTATGCCTCAGATTTCAGAGCATGGCTAATGTTTTTTTTCAGAGGCAATATTGATCTGTATTATTGATACAGTACATTAACAGAATTTATATTAGAAACTTTCCTGTAACTGTTTTTAGATTTGATCCTCTGTCATTTAAGATGGGAAACAAATCTTTATTCAAATTACCCTCATCAATGTGAACATCAGCCATTTATTTGAAAATGCAATAATCAGCTGGATTACTCAGAACAATGATAAACTGGTGAACCTCCTTTACAAATGTATTATTCAATCTTTTCCACATGGGAAAAACCACACCTGCCATCGTCACGTTTCATGTTTCTTTTGGAGTGTAAATTTATGTATACCAGTGTGCCCCCCTCGTCCAAAGGGGTAAAAAATATAATGTGGTGATGTCATTTTGTCAGGTTGCCTGGGTGACGCGGTCAGGAAAGACTGAGCTGGCAGAGCCCATTGCTGTGAGACCCACCAGTGAGACTGGTCTGTACCACAGGAAGTCTAGGCTTGATGCAAACATATTGACATGTCTTTGCTATATTAGCATGAACGTGGCTGTTGTGGTGGTTTCCTGTGACCTTGTGGCCTGTGTTGTTTTCCTTCAGTGATGTACCCTGCTTACGCTAAGTGGGTCCAGTCCCACAGAGACCTGCCAATCAAACTGAACCAGTGGTGTAATGTTGTGGTCAGTATCTTCTCATATGTGCTCTCCATCCACAAACAGCTCCACCTTGCTGTTATGAACTTGTTGATGAAAACTTGTAGGCAGTGGACAGCTGTCCTCATATCATTTCTTCTCCCCTCTCCCTCTCCCACATTTTCTTCCAGAGATGGGAGTTCAAACATCCACAGCCTTTCCTCAGGACCAGGGAGTTTTTGTGGCAGGAGGGACATACAGCCTTTGCCACCAAAGAGGAGGCAGCAGAGGAGGTAACAGACGTGGAAATGCTGCTTCTTTACTACCACACAGTCACTCTTTTATAAAATATATTTTATTGTGCTGTTCTAAAGAAACAAACAATATACTTTAAAGCAGTTATGTTACTTTAAAATTAGTGTTTCTTGTTCTGAATGTGAAAAAAAACAGTAAGTCACTGTGTGTTTAATAGGTGCTTCAAATCCTGGATCTATACGCCAGAGTGTATGAGGAGCTGATGGCTATCCCTGTAGTGAAGGGGAGGAAGACGGAGAAGGAGAAGTTTGCAGGAGGAGATTACACCACCACTGTGGAGGCTTTCATCTCTGCCAGCGGCCGAGCCATTCAGGTACTGTAGCTCACCAAATTGGCCTGTTGTCTACACTCTGTTTTCCAAATATACAGAGTGCTGGTGCAAAAAAAGTCCCTGAATTATTACCAACATTTGACTGTAAATGAAAGGCTAAATGAGTATTATTGTCCTAAAGATTTAAACAAAGTATGCCCTCTTTACCGTAGTTCAACAGAAGTGTGGGCTCTCTGTATCTGCTGAGACTGTATCCTCTATCTCCACTTAATCTGTATCTTCTTCTTATGGACACTGTCTTGATGTCAATCATTGTGCAGTGGTTTGAAGTCTTTTCAGCTGACAGCCTGCAGGAAGGGACTAAAGGAAAATTTGTAGCAGCCACGTGGCAGCTTTATTCAATTTGATTTGGTTCATTTGGATCTTTATTGTCTCGAACACATCCAAAAAATGTTGATAGGAAAGAAGATACTAAATTGTCTTCATAGCTAATACATCCAATATTTGATACAAGATAAAAACACAATGTTGATCTGTTCAAGACTGGGCAGAACAGTTTAGAATTTAGTTCTGTCACTACCTTAGAGTATTTGTTTATTCCCAAATTTACCGTAAACTGAGATTTTTATGTTTTAAGTCACATGATATTAAAAGTATTGAAAATAATGACAACATTCATCATGATACTAAATCACCTGAGGTCCAGTGGAGATGAACATTTTCTCAGTATTGTAATTTGACTCTTTTCCTCCCTCTCTCCTCATGCACTTTGCTCTGAAAGTTCATCTCCTGTAATTTACAAAGTTTTCATTGTTGGCCCTTTTTTGTTTTTGCTTCCTCAGGGTGCTACATCGCATCATCTGGGACAAAACTTCTCCAAGATGTTTGAGATCGTGTTTGAGGATCCAAAGAGGCCAGGAGAGAAGCAGCTGGCTTACCAGAACTCTTGGGGAATCACAACCAGGACCATTGGTGTCCTCACCATGGTGCATGGGGACAACATGGGGCTAGTCTTGCCTCCCAGGGTGGCCTGTCTGCAGGTACAGACGCACCAAGATGCTATCATGCCATCTTAGTTTGTTTTTTTTCCTCTAAAATTTACCTAAAACATCAACTACCTACCCGCCCAATCCATAGGAGAAAAAAAGACAATCTTGTTCAATCTCTGTCTGCATCCTTAGGTTGTCATCATCCCCTGTGGTATCACTGCCTCGCTGTCAGAGCAGGATAAGGAGGCTCTGTTGGCCCAGTGCTCTAAATACCAGAGCAGGCTGCTGGATGCTGGGGTCAGGGTGAAGTCTGACCTCAGAGACAACTACTCTCCAGGGTGGAAGTTCAACCACTGGGAGCTCAAGGTCAGTGATAAAATGAATATTATACCTGTATGCCCACATTTCACCACAAAAATCATGATAAAAGATGAAAAGGGACAAGTTTCCACAGCCAAGGTTGTTTTGAGGACAAAGATTACTCTAGATGTCCCATCTGTCTCTCTCTGTTGGAGTGACCAACTTATTGATTTTTGGCAAGGGTTGCAGGAGGACACCATGAAGTAAACATTAACAGCAACATAAAACCATACCACTACAACAGGTTAAATAAACAAGATGACAACAGTGGTGCATCGATTAGCTAGGTGACTGTCCACTCATCTCAATGTAGCTGATCCTCTGCTGATATCTGATTTACGCACACACAGGCTGCATGTTTATTCCTCACACACGGTGCCACAAACACATACCTAAAAGTCACACACTTACACAGTCTCATAGGTACTTGGTGTGCAGTACTACTGCAACAGTCTGAAACAGCGTGGGTCTCATATACCAGACCACTGTGCAGAAGGTCAATCACAGAGGAGGAGGAACTGGAGGAGTAGCAATATTCATCTGTTGTTTCTTTCTCTGTGTGACACTTGTTCAGGGTGTACCGATCCGTCTGGAGGTCGGTCCTAAAGACATGCAGCAGCGTCAGTGTGTTGCTGTGAGGAGAGACACCGGAGCGAAGGTGACAATTCCAGAGGCCGAGGTGGAGAAAAACCTGGTCGCCATGCTGGAAGATATCCAGAACAACCTGTTTAGAAAGTAAGAGACACACAACACCTCAGGGCCAGACTCACTCTGCATGGCTTTTAAATAACTGAACATGGCATGCTTGGTTGTTGGTGAGGTGTAAGCTCTCAAAAAGTCTTTTTCCAGCAAGGGCAGACCTCTACTGTCACACATTCAGATTTAAAATCCAACTGTGGTGTGTGATGGGATGATAAAAACAAGACCCAGCTTTTTGTAAATGAACCTTTGACTGTATACATAGATGGATGGCTGATCCTCATCTCTATCCGTTGTAAAAACAGAGAAAGGAAAAAGAGAAAAAAAACATTTTAATGCCCCTATGATTGGCACTAACATCTTGGACCACAGATTTTTATAAGCCTGAGTTTGTGTTGTAGGGATTTGCTTTTGGAGAGACTGGGGACTTTCACAGTGAAAAAAATCATAAATAAAGCATGTTTATCGTCAAGTGAATTGAGCGTTAGCAGAGCTACATTCAGTGGTAATTAATGAGAATTGCTGTATTCACAGTCGCTCTCCTTGATCATGCAGCAGACAGCCTACTTTTCATTATCCTGGACTTAACACAACAGAGTTATCAGTTGAAATGCACTCTGGTAAATCAAAGATTTAAATTATGTTGTAGTTATGCAAAGTTTTTGTTCACAACCATGACTAGATCTCATATGTGTGTGAGTACAAAACCTGAAACAAGTGTGAAGACAGGTGATGATGGGATTGTATAATCCTTGATCTGGAAACTGGTGACAGTCCCTGTGGTAGGCCCTGATATCTTGAGCTTGTGATGGTCCTTTGGGCCACAGTCTGCATTCTTAGAGTCTATTCTTAGAGCAACAGCAAAAACCTCCATAGCGTCTGTAAACCAAGACATCTTCAGTAGGGGGCGGCATTGTGATAGAAATGGTACTCTGTAAGGGGGCAGTGATAATGGTCTCACAGAATCTATAAGAATATAAGAGCAAAAGTCAAAGTTTGTTGTGTTTGTGTTTTTTAGGGCTTCAGAGGACCTGAAGAAAAATATGGTGGCTGCAGACTCGATGGAACAGTTCCAGAAAGAGTTGGACCAGGGCAAGGTGAGAACCCTACTCATGCTCAGAGCACAACATTTCAGAATCTGTTCTCACCCACTGATGTCATTTTTTTTTTGCTGTATAGATCGTCCAGATCCCATTCTGTGGAGAGATTGCATGTGAGGATTGGATCAAGAAAATCACTGCCAAGTATGTCTGACAGTGATGCTGTCTTACATTACACTAGAATAGAGCTGTCACAGTATTAGGTTTTCACCTCACAGTTATCGTGGGCTGAAAGTTTCATGAAAACCATATTATGACCCATAATATCAGCAACCTCTGGATGGACGCATCCATAAAGAAGAGATTGTTTTGTAACATGATTATTTTTTTAATTTGATGCTTTAATTTTGATGCTTTACTGTCTTGGGTTTTGGTTTTTTTTTTGTCCTGTTTTGTACAAACATGCTTTTATTTTGAAATGAAGTAGACACTTCTTTAGCTAGTCATGGTACTGAATGAAAAAGCTGAAAAATTGGTTTGAAAGAATAAATGAACATATCCTGATTTATTCAATTATGACACAGTTTCATAACCCTCAGTTAGAGGTTTTGCTGTGTGGGGGTTGAAAAAGGTCAGAGGTGACAAGTTTCTGAACTGTTTGAACTGAAATTTAAGTTCCCACCAGTCTGAAAATGAAAACTGAAAAACCTCAAATAATTAGTCTAAACAGAGCAGTTTAGCTCATTATGTGCTTGGAGTCAGCAGTTAAACGAATTTGTTGAATATGACTAACATTTGCAGAGCCATTACCACCAGCCTCCAGCCTAATTTCTGCCAGTAAAGACTGTTTTATTTTTTGTTCCACTTTAGGGACCAGGACCTGGAGCCCGGTGCTCCATCCATGGGAGCAAAGAGTCTCTGTATCCCCTTCTCCCCCCTGAAGACGCTGCAGCCCGGTCAGATGTGTGTCAGTGGAAAGGAAGCTGCCAAGTACTACACCCTGTTTGGACGCAGCTACTAAAGAGCTGTTCAGCTGGAGCACAAGGATGACTGTGGTTGTCATAAAGGGCTCTCCTTCATTTCCACTTTTAGTCTCTAATCCTGTGAGTGTATGTAGGCTGGACTGTGGGACTCAGATCTGGGGTGTTGTTGTTTGTGTTTGTTTAGTTTTTTATTTACATATGATTTCATTCTTATCATAACTTGTCTGACAGAAACTGAGGTGAGAGAAAACATTTGTAGTGTTGCTGCTTTACCACATGGCTGTTTGCTCTGTCAATGCTGACTGTCGTCTAGTGCTTTGTGTTGGGATGGGGTTACCACCAGTCAGCAGGCTGATATAGCATATCATAAGTCATCTTATGCAGTTCTTTATAACATGGCAGTTGTAAAGGCAATAATAGCTGGAAGCCACTTCTGAATTGATTTTTTTATATTTACTTAACACTTTAAATAAAATAAAAAATCTGGCTTTGTTTCTGTTAAAGTTGCTTATTTATGTATGGAGGGAGTTTAGCTCTTGTTAAATCATGACAAATTCCCGAAAGCTGTGGCGTCTCCTGGGTAAAATTTACTGTTTGTCTGCCAGTAATCTCATCTCATGCAGCCATACTGTCTCAGGACCTCTGCAGATACTCAGGCTTGTTGTTGTCTAATTGTTCCCACAGCCCTCATCCATTTGTACAAATGGTTACAGTAAGTGGCTCATCATTCACAGCTAATACTAATACCTCAGAGCGACATGGTGACGCTCTAAATAGCTGTATGTGTTTAAAATCTTCATATAAAGCCCTCTGTCTCTACTCTTCTGTTTTAAGACTCTAAATCTTGTCAAAAATAAAGTAATTTTTGTGGCAAACTGTCCTGTGTTGTTTTGATTAAGCTTGAATGATGATGGGTGGAGAAGACAGTTTGTGGCCTGTTAATGGGTCATTTATTATTTATGCAGGACTAATGTGCAAAATAACAATGTGACAGAAAAAAAGCTTGATTACATCAGGATTTAGGAGTATCATGTGCTTGCTTAGAGTGTAAGAATTAAAAATTCTCATTTTGATAAAGTCTTAATTTTGCAGCATGATTGTGTACAGTTTGCAGTCAAGTATTTTATTGAGTATTTTACTGTATACTGTGCAGACTTACATAATCAACAGTGCAAATGTGGAGATGTTTAGGTTAATAGGATGGACTGCAGTTAACTGCGAGCCTCCCTGGTTATATAATAGCGTGGCTTGTCTAGCGGGCAAATAAAGAGCAGCACTTCCTGTTTAATTTCAAAATAAAACCATTGGCACATTGAGGCTATGTAATTTGCTTTCCACTTAGTGACTCAAAGGAAACATGAAAATCGTTTATGGCTATAGGTCCAGTGTACTGACAAATGGGTAGAGTAAATGGGTAAAGACTGAACCCTGTCTTTTTTCCCTGTGTTCGCTATAAGACAACTAGGGGCGTGGCTAAGTTGATTGACAGGTTGGCATGAGGCAACTTTTTGCCAGAGGGTTAGTACCAGGCCAGCAACCAACCATCATTGGGATGGCTACCTTTGATTTTAGGGGTCTTTAGCGGTTAGAAGCAGGCACGTTTGTGTGCTTTTGAACAAGACTAAGATATATGCCATCTGTTGGTTTTACAAGCAGGGTTTTGAAGCCAATTGAGGGTGGATGACTTATTGTAAAAGCTGATTAAACCAAACTCTCAACTAAAAAACAGATGAAGATACAGGTTGTAAGCTTCCTAGCCTACACTTATGATGCCTGCCAGTGACATCAGAGAAAAAGGACGAAAAAATTTTACAGATGGCTTTCTATGATTTGCAAAAACAATGAGACCATTAGCAGCAAGAATCACCACTTTATTGTGAGGTTTTTTTCCTGAAAGCAATAAAAGGTATTAAGCTTAGGCTGAGCAGCTGAAGTAACAGGCTGTTACTACATTTTCCCTGATAGAATATTCACAATAAATTTTATATTTAACTGCAGAATGGTGTTTATGGGATGTCCTGTGTTTTTGCAGCTAAGTGGACACTGGAGGAACTGCCTTTTTTCTCACAGTTTTAGTGTCATATTTCAACTAGAGGGAAGAATATCTACACCTCAGTGTTGATACTGTGAGGCTAACAAAGGTTCACACTTCAAGGTAAACTATATTTATTCATGTGTAATTTGTTTGCAGCCAGCAGTAAGAAAACAAGAGCAACAAAACATTAAGATCCAAAATAACAAGAGCATCTGTTCATATACGACAATTAAGAAAATAAGAGTGGGGTCTTTTAAATAGTTTAAGAAAGCAATTCTCATAGGCTGTATCCCCCGCATTGGGACACTGCTACAGGACCATTCCTACCAGAGCCAGTGCCCCTGCTGAGCCAAAGGTCAATAAAGTTTGGTCTGCCCTTGCTGAAGAGATTTTGAAGTCTGTCCTATGATAAACACATTTGGTGGTGTCATTGCGACTTTTATTTTGGAGGCGGGTACCGGAAACGATTCCTGACATCTTAAACCTCTCTGTTACTCCGCCGAGCTGCGGTCCAGCATTGTGCAGTCTGTTAGCAAAAATGAGCGATAAAGGTCTGTCAGACGAGGCGGTGGCTGCAGCTTGTAAAGATGGAGACCCAATAACCAAGGTACAGTAACTGTTCAACTTTTAAAGATATGATAAAATTCTTGAAACTGTCCAAACTTGCTAACGGAACAGGCTAGCGACCCACTCATAGGTTAACCTGCTAAACATGATGTGTCCATTATCGGACAGGTGTATGTTTTACACTGTATGTAATTTAATAAAACTATGACAAGTGAACGAATCATGATCAAATGACTTCTACTTCCTACTCATTACAAACTTTATGAAGTAGCAGAAACACAGTGTTCAAGTCTGCTGGAGCAAGTAGAAAAGTTGGTATTAAGGCGCGGCCAGACCTGAATTCACGGCACAACACATGCTGAGTCAAAATGCAGGTGGGACTGGAAACAGCCAAAGTTGGCAGTCTTAACAGCATTTTTTTGCTTGAGCTTGTATACTAAGCTGGTTAACTTAAGCTGTTGCAAGCTCAAAGCTGTGCACGTTATTATTTTCACTTCCTGACAGGTAACTTGTCCCCTGCTGCTCCGCCTGCATTCATTCACTGAATCATACAGACTGACCTGTGCTGAAGTTCAACTCTGATTTCTCTTGTTTGACGATCATGTGAAGTCCTGTGCAAGAGTGAAAATGAACCTTTTGGATCATGAGCCGGTTTTTCATCAGTGTGACTTTGCTTGAACAAATGACTCAGAGTTGAGAGTTTTTCTCTAGTTTCAGTCTATTAAATTAACATGTCAGACAGGCAAAACCAGGCAAAACCTTCACCAACCCTTCCAAAAAGACAGGATGCCAAAGGTTTCCTTTGTCCCCAGGCTTTGTCCAGAGCTGTGATATCTAAGGTTGATTTTAGGCTTTCTTTACAGGCATTTGGCTGAGCAGATGAGAATTGCACTGTTGCTTAAAATATGATGTTTATGGCCTAAATGATAATTTTAAGACATTTCATTTTTCTAGATCATTATAGTCTCAAAAATTATGATAAAAATAATGAAAAGTGATCAATAATTTTTCCTTAGTTTGTTCACTGCTGTATAGCTAACCTTTCATCCAGACTTTTCAAGCCGTCATCTAAATGATTAGATCAGGGTTTTGAAAGTCTCCCCCTTGGCTCCCATCGTTTACGCCCCTACCCCTCTCTTCTTGTTCACTTCCTGCAGAGACAAACACGACAACAACAACAACATGGCTGCTTGCATGAGCATTTACTGTTACCACTGAAGAGTTTATTACAGAAAAGGCTTTGGCGAGTCAGTTGTTTGGAACTGGTTTTGTTTTACATAGTCAGACCTTGAGCAAACCACAGTGTTTAGAGTTATGTCTTTTGTCATTTGTAGTTTCTTTTGAAGAGAAATATATATATTTTTTTTTAATTAAAATTGTTTTTGCAAAATAATATTTTTAGCCCTGATAGTTATTTCATTTTACCCCTCTGCTTTACTTACACACACAGCTATGTTGCTCTCTTTGTGTGTGCTACATAGGCTGCAGGACAGTTTCTAAAGCACTGTCACAACATATTAAAGACACAACAGTTCCCTCTGGACACAATTTGTTGCATCCACAACCAGGGACATCCCGATCTCAACTATAGGATCTCACCTCGCCTTAAACACAAGTAACTTTGAGTTACAGTGGACTGTAGGTTCGCCTAAGTGTATGTACTTAACTAGAGAATAATGAACCTGTGTCATGGTATGTTGTCAGCACAGTTTGTAACAACAATAATGATTAAAAACCTGCAATTGTAGGGTGTTTATAGCCTCATATATAGAGCCTGTAGTCCTTGTTGCAGTGGTCACTGCCTTGACCCTGTGGTGCATGTCTCCCCCCACATTTCTGGTCTCTGGTCAGCTGTCTAATACTTAATAAATGCCCCAAAACAAACCTTAATAAATGAAGTTAGCTCTGACCTTTGTCCCATCTCGCTGCTGAAGGTCCCTGCACATTGGCTTGATTCCTCCTTTGTTGAGTGTCCACATGCAGTTTGACATGCACATACAGCGGACAGAGCATGTTAAACAGATCATGGCTTTACTACAATACTAACTGGACTAAGTTACGTGAAATAAACTACTGAGAAACTTCAGTTTGACTTCAGGAACATGAGAACAGTGTGCAGCTTTGTTATCTGCACATCTGTCTGTTTTGTCCAACTTCCTGCAGCTCAACCAGGACTAAACAGAGGTTGTAGTTATTGGTCCTGAAGGCCTGAGAGAGACACTTTTACCAAAACTACAAGATTTTAAAGTATCAACATCTGTAAAAAACCTGGGCGTAGTTTTCGACTCTGAGCTCAGTTTTATTCCACACATCAGAAACATAGCAAAGGTAGGTTTTTACCACCTTAAGAATATAGCCAGACTCCGCCTGTTTCTCTCTGAGGCCAGCACAGAAGTGCTGATGCATGCTTTTATCTCCTCTCGTTTAGGTTATTGTAATGCCCTGCTCTCTGGCCTCCCAAAGAAGAACTTACATACACTTCAGCTATTACAGAATTCAGCTGCAAGAGTGCTGACGAGAGTCAGAGGGCGGGAGCATATAACGCCAGTTTTAGCATCACTGCATTGGCTCCCCCGTCCGTTTCAGGATTGATTTTAAGGTTCTTTTATTCGTTTTTAGATGTATTAATGGTCTTGGCCCTTCCTGATTTATTTTTACCATATCAACCCTCGCAGACCCTGAGGTCCTCCGGCACAGGCCTTTTAACCTTACCCAAATTTAAAACAAAAACACACGGGGAGGCTGCTTTCAGTTTTTATGGTCCCCGGTTGTGGAACAGCCTGCCGGAGAGCCTCAGGGCCGCAGAGACTGTTGATATTTTTAAGAAGAGGCTCAAGACTCACTTTTTTAACCAGGCTTTTTACTAATTGCCATTTTAGATTTCTCTTATTGCAAATGTTCATTTTAATCAAGGTTCTTAATGTTTATTTTATGTCATTCTATTCATTATCTCTGTTCTTAGCCTTTTTTAATTTTCCTGTCACAGGTTTTTACTTCTTTTACTCCTTTTATTTATTTGTTCATTTAATATTATTATTTTCTTATTTTAGTCCATCAGGTTTTACTCTTTTCACAATTTTTATCTTTATTTTTATCTCCAGTGTTTCCTAAAGGTAGCTCGTTCCTCATGTAATGCGTCGGTGTCAGGCCATGTCTCTTTAAAATTTTATCTTAAATTCTCACACTGTGTGCGGTTGTGTGTATGTGTGGTTGGGTGAGTGAGGGTGGGTGTGTGTCTCTGTGTGCGTGTGGGTCCATGGGTGTGTGTGTTGGTGGAAGGGTTGGGTTTTTGTCTTTATTGTTGTTTTTAGCCTCTGTGAGGCACTTTGAATTGCATCTCCTTTTGTATGAAAAGTGCCATATAAATAAAGTTGAATTGAAACTGAATTGAATCTTGGCAAATTCAAGTGTCAGATCAGGACTTGTTATGGGCAAATTCTCATTTTAAAAAAGTCAGCTCAGGACTGGGGGCCAAAAAAGCACATCAGGAAAACTTTTCTATCACTTATTATGATACCACTTCAGTAAGTTGACACTTTGATACTCTCAATCCTCTCCTCCTTTTGCTGTTTGTGTGCCTGAGAGTTAACCACATCATAGATCCACTACAACATAGCTGACCCAGCTTCGATGTGAGGTCTGAATAGAAGGGAATTCAACTAATTATGTCATTTTTTTCTTCATTCATTCAATTTAAAGTACCCTAGGAAGCCTGATAATATTCTAATACACAACCTACAGATTTGACATTCTTAGTTTCACTTCTCTGGAAATGGGATCGTCCACTGAGGCTCTGACAGATGTAGTAAATTAAGTTTGACACGTTTGAGCCATAGTGAGCTTCAGAGAAACCGGATGTGCGGCAACATTGTGTTAGTGGTTTCTGTGGACATGTTGGTACATTTTTACGCGAAGAGCTTGACACCCTCAGAGGAAGGGTTCAGGAAAGGGTAGCAGGCGCTTGCTGAAGAGATAACGCTCTTTTGTGGAAAACTCAGAGGAAAACTAAGGTCAAAATTAGGAACTGGTGGAGGAAACCAGGGCCAAGGAGAGGTCTTTATTTGTTCTTAAGTTAGATTATACGGGTACTAAATAAAATGTACACTACATATCCAAACCAAGCATGGGGTGAGGGGTCCTTGCACATCCCTTAAAGATACCTGCAATCTAGGGCAACTAATGAATGATTATTCTGGTGAAAAGACCCCGTAAGACTAAAGCAAATGCATGTATGTAAAGCATCAAACATGTCTTTGCACAGAAAAGTAGGGAGTACAGGGAACAAATCCAAGCAGGCCTGAGTTTGGCACTGCTGTAACGCTGACCTGAAAACTTCTCACAGGTTAGTGATGATCACGGAGTTTAAGACGCTTGGTTTCACAGCCATGCACTCTGGCTAAAACATTTTTTCACAAGTGAGTGCCAGCGTACACGTTTTCTCTTGCTGGAATTCACACTCAGAAAAAAAAGAGAGAAGATCCGTCCTGACCTTAAAATTGATCAAAGCTCCTTAGAGGTAAAGTCATGCTAAAAAAATACAGTTTCATATTCATTTAAAAGGCTCAGCAAATCAAAGGACTGATTAGTCTGAAGATAAAACATCTTGTAGCTTTATAAGTGTTTTTTTTTTTGCACTTGTGGAATCCTGTTTTTGCCACAGTTATCTGTCAAGAATCTGACTTTTTTGTCCTGCATTTGAAAGAAAAAATAGACCACTGTCCAGTCATATTTGTAATTTATTAGTTGATTTTTTTAAATAGGGTATAATGATACACTTAGTCCACAGTATGATGGATCACTAATTTTAATGCTGGATTGATGGTATGGCTTGTTTAATGCTTTATTAAAGGTTGTAAGGAACTCATTTTTTTAAGCATTTAAAGCAGTGGTCTTTGTTAATTGTTATTGGTGATGATTTTATTTTTACTGTGTGTTACACCTTGGCTACTTTATCCCCTGTCCAAATAACATGTGCTTTTATTTTGAAAGGATATAAAAGGTACTTTCATTTCACTTAGCTTTACTCATCAAGCTAAGCTTTGCTGAGTGTGTTAACGCCTCCTACAGATGCATTAGCTCTGACTATGTTGTAGTGGTGTCTGCTCTGCCTCTCTCTCTCTTTCTGCTACCTGTAGAGAAGGTGTGGAGGCACTACTCATTGCACATATAAGGGAGTAGAAAGAGCGATTACTCGTGTTAATAAACAGCAGAGTATCTGCCTTTATGGAGGGAACGGTTAAGTTTTTGTCCACTTGCTCAGGTATCATCTCTATGTGCAAGACACTGACTGTGGGTCTACTAAATCCTCCTGTGCAGCTGCTGCGTCGGTAGCTCTCAATTATCACACATCACATTAAACAAGGCAGGTCTCAGGTGAATCACACCCACTACTGTCACAACCTTGGCTTGTGTATTTACTGTTCTGTTTTGGTTTGTCTGTCTCAGGACTACATGATGCAGCAAACGATGCTGCGGGTTAAAGATCCAGTGAAATCCTTGGAGTTTTACACCAAAATCCTTGGCATGACGTAAGTAGTCCCGTCCTTTAGGTCAGTGACCCCCAAATAAAAGTTAGTGTATCTGTTTATCTGTGTGTGGAGACTTGTTCTCAATCATAAATGTGACATTATGACCAAAGTGGACTTTTCTCTCTGGTGTGCTAAATCTCCCAGGCTCCTACAAAAGTTCGACTTCCCCTCCATGCGCTTTTCTCTCTTCTTTTTGGGATATGAAGACAAAAAGGAGATACCTACAGACGTGAAGGAACAGACAGCCTGGACTTTCTCTAGGAGAGCCACCATTGAGCTGACACAGTAAGGCTTAAGATCCAGAGACCCCTGCGCACACACAGACTAAAGGCAATAGAAAGAAAGACCTGAGACTGTGCATAGCTGTTGTGGATTTGCTAGTCTGCGATAATGTATTGCATCCACTCAAAAAAATAAAAACAAAACAGTTTTTTTTTTTTGAGTAATTTTTTTTCTTTGCTGTTTTTCGGACTAATTTTGTTTCTTCTGTTTTTTGTACTAATATTTTTTTCTCCCTCTTTCTGTTTTTCGGACTAATTATTATTATAGATTTTTTGTGGCGAGTTTTAGCCTTTATTGATAGGACAGGTTGGAAGTAGGGATGTAACGATATGAAAATTTAACATCACGATTATTGTGACCAAAATTATCACGGTTATCGATATTATCACGGTATTTTTGAAATATGTTCAAAATGTTTAAAAAGTACTTATACATGCCCTGAAATAATTTCACAACATTTTATTTTGGAAAAAACAATCAAAATAACACGCAGAATGAACTTTTCTTTTACCTTAAATAACAGGAACGATAAGCTTAAAAAATTAAAGATGGGGCCTGAAAAGAGCCAGAGGTAATCAACACTAGTACTAGTAATAGCAAAGTACAAAGTAATGTGCCAGTGGCATAAACATTAACATAATAACAAATAAACAGAATCTTAATAAAATGACATTCCTTATCGTGCAAATTGTAAGAATCTTCAGTGCTCGAAAAGATCTACTCTTACAAATATGTAACAGAGCAACACTACCATATGAAACAATACAACCACATGTAAACAAATGTGTAGTGCAAGTGTTTAAAATAACATAACATATGTAAATAAATCAAATCAACTACCTTGACCTGACTTAAAGAAAAGAGTATCTCCCAGTGTCTCAAACCCAAAAGAAAATAAAACGTGATTAAATTAAACAAGTGGACCATGTTTGCTTCCAATAAATCGAGCAGAGGGTTTCATGATTCCAGAGAATAGGAAAAACAATAAGTCTGAAAAACAAAACAAGAAATATAGTCCGAAGAATAGAAGAGAAAAAAAATCCTCTGAAAACAGAGTTTGTTTGTTTTTTCTTTTAGGGTGAATGCAATACGCTTCCATGTTAGTCAGTTCTATGTATAGCAACAATCCAGATATGCTTGTTTCACCTGGCTAAGCTGACCTCATTTTTCTCCTTTATTTCAAAGCTATTCTTCACTTGTATTAACAAACAGACTTGTGTAAAAGACTTGAACATTTCCCCCAGTGGGATAAATAAAGGAAAGATATCTTCTCTTAAAACACTCTGAAAATGATCAAAATATTCATGGCTCATCCAACACTGCCTAGCACAGCACCACAGGGTCTGCAATGAATAAATGTCAAATTGGTCTGCCAAGTGTGGCTATCATTAGCAGCAGCACCACCAGCCTTCGGTCCTCCTTGCAAGATAACACCCACATGCTGCTTACACATTGCTCTGCTTAAGTGGTTATGTGCCAGTTGAACTTGCTACAGGCTCAATACAGTGTTATCTCCATTTTCTAGATCAAAATGCTGACTAGCACCACACTACAAGATGACATCTGTTATCTAGACAGTAGAACAATATCTCATGGCAGCACTCAGTAACTGAAGCTAAGGCCTCAGCTTAGACAATGTTTGATTTGCATTTCAGGCCTGCGAAAACAAAAACTGTAAATAATTTGTTTAACTAACTAGTAGTTCTGGTTTTGACAGGCAAATATGATGACACCCAAACATATAAATCATATCATCACACACTTCCCCTGTAAAAACCAGCCAAAGAAAACACACTTTGAACTCTGAGACATAAAAGGTGTGCGGTTCAGGTTTCTTGGTTTTCTTGTCTTGCAGTAACTGGGGCTCTGAGGTTGACGAGAGTCAGTCTTATCACAATGGAAACTCAGATCCACGAGGTTTTGGTACGTTTGTTTCCCTGCTTTCATTCACTGACTTTACAGGCAGAAAAAGTTTTATTCAAGTTAGATAGATTCTCCGTTGTCTCATCAGAAAAGTTTCTCTTCTGCTAAGATAAACTTATACAAATACGATCATTTGGACTTTGTGTCCAGAGAGTTTGGTTCAACACTTTGACAAGCTGTGCTTAAATATTGAGCAGTTGTCTAAGAAGCTTATAAGGGCATTTTGTACTTAGTTTTTTTTTTTAACTTTCCTGAACCACCAGCACTGTGTTTGCATGTTTTTGGATGTACATGTTTTCTTCCTGTGCCTGTTGACTAAAAACCACCTCTAAATGTGTCACCTAAGTGTGCATTGATGGTGAACAACAGCCTCTCTTTGTCTCTTTGACATTTGCCAGGACACATTGGAATTGCAGTTCCTGATGTCTATGCAGCGTGCAAACTGTTTGAAGAGCAAGGAGTCACATTTGTCAAGAAGCCAGACGATGGTAAGAAGTGGCACTGGTCAATACAAGGGTCGAAACCAGAAGTTTACATACACTATATAAAAAGGCACATAACCTTTTTATTCCTCACTGTCTAAAATTAAATCAGATTAAACTTTTCCTGTTTTTGGTCAATTAGGATTACCAATTTTTTTTTATTTGTTAAATGTCAGAATAATGAGAGAGAGAATTTTTTAGACAATTTTTATTACTTTCTAGAGAGTCAAAAGTTGTCATACACTTAGATGACTATGCCTTTAAACAATTTGGGAAAGTCCAGATGATAGGTTTAGATGGTGAGAAAAAAAAGGTTAGGTGCTTTTTTATATAGTGTATGTAAACTTCTGGTTTCAACTGTATACTGTGTGTGTGTGTGTGTGTGTGTGTGTGTGTGTGTGTGTGTGTGTGTGTGTGTATTTCAAATAGAATGACTTCAAAAATATATGAAGCTTGATTTGCTTTGTTTTGAACACTTTTACTCTAACACAGAGGAATTAAATTATAAATAAAGTTAATTCAGGGATACATAAAGATACCCCAGTGATGAACTGACCCTAGAAGGTGTAGAATGAATCAGCAGCTGTTTATACTTTTCTCCTTTTACATAACATCCTCTGGAATCAGGCATAGCATTACAATCCTCTGGCTGATACTGCCTTTTTCATCAGGTCATGGCCAATACAGCCCTGACTTGTCAAAATATGGACTCCACTAGACCTCTGGAGGTGTGCTGTGGTATCTGGCACCAACACGTTAGCAGGAGATCCTTTTAAGTCCTGTAGGTTGTGAGCTGAGGTCTCCATGGATCAGACTTATTTATTCAGCACATCCCACAGGTGCTTGATGGGATTGAGGTCTGGAGAATTGTTGGACCAAGTTGACACCTTAAACTTGAGATGAAAATAGAGTCCTAAGACTAACCTTATCCGTTGCACCATGGTCCATTTCTGGTGCTCATGAATCCATTGGTAGCTTTGTTGGTGGTGGACAAGGGCACCCTGAGAAGAAGAATGTTATTGATCTCCGTAGGGAAATTCAGTGTCTATCAGTCTAACAAACTGTGTATTTTGACACCTTTGTGCCAGAACAACCATCGACTGTCTGAGTAATTTATGCTCCAGTAGGTCTTCAACCTACACCAATACATATATTTACAGATCTATTTATGCATGTATTTATACTGTATATATTACATATTTTTAAGTTATGTTTGTGTTAATTTTTTGCCTATATTAAATTGAGCAGCCGATGAGAGACATGAAATGTGGGGAGCAGAGAGTGAGAGAAGACATGCAGCAAAGGGTCGAGACTGGGAGTCAAACCAGCACTGGCCTCTATGCAAGGCCTGTTTAAACTGCTAGGCTGTCAGTGCCCTGATGGCCCATATTTAGTGCAGATTCCACTTTGTTGTTGTTGTTGTTGTGCTTTCTTCATTTCATAAAATATGACAATTTAATAAAAATAAAGCTGTAGTTCTATTTATATCAACACCCACTTCTCAAGGTTATCTGGGCCACAAACATGTCAATGTGTATTAATTTAGGAAAGGAAACCAAACTATGTTGTGCTATGCTTGAGATGTTGGAAGATGACGTATGAATGGCAGAAACGATAATAAACTCGGTTGTTCTTGAAACTGTAATACTCGTCAGTGACCATTAGATTTGATCTGCAGTCATTGTATGTGTCACTGTTTAAGGGGATGTTGATGTTGCTCTACTGCAGCTACATTGGCGAGCCTTCCTGCCGTGTCTGCAGATGGGATTTGTTTATTTTATTTGTTCATAAGCCTTGTTATCTGCCGATGCTGATTATTTAAAAATGTCATTAATCTCTTCTGCCAACCACCTCTTCATGAAGTGCACCCCTCAACCCTGCATAGCAGAAGACACTTGCACTGCACATGCACACAGGATACCAGTCCCAGTGTGACACTCTTAAGATTATAAACCATAATTAAGTCAAATACTGACACATATATTTAAGGACAAATGATGGCAATAGATGGCAAGGGGGCTCATTGCCTCTGCTATATTTGCACAGATTAATGATGTGTGTGCTCAAATACGATGGACATTCTCCAGGACTTGTGGGGCTCTTGACATTAATGCACACAGTACTGACATTTTGCCTCCTCTCCACTCTTATTTCTTCCCAGGTAAAATGAAAGGCTTGGCCTTTATTCAGGACCCTGATGGTTACTGGATCGAGATCCTGAGTCCCAATAACATGGTCTCCATTACCTCCTAAAGACTGTGACAACATGCTGCCTGCTGCTTTGGCTTCACCAGGAGAGCACAAAGTCGAGATTTAGTGTAACAAATTTAGCAACATGAACCTGAGAGCCCGCAAAGAAGAGCAGAGAGAGAGAGAGAAAGAGAACACTGGTGTGTCCAGGCATGTGCTGGACTGTTATTGGACAGTTGACGAGCAAATAGATTAGAAACCGGAGATGTTTCCACCATTGTGGCTACTGAGTTTGGCATCATTGTTGGTTTGCTTGTCTGAAAAAATGTAAGCTAAAGTAAAGCGATATGGCTCTGAAATAAAGTGGAAGCCACCAGTAAAAGACAAAAAAATCCTTTTTGTTTCAATCCGGATGGATAAAGTAAAAATGTACTAATTTTTTAAAAATTGATGAAGGTCAATAAACCACAGTTACCATTAAAAACAAAGAAACAAAAAGCTGCATGTTTTCCTCCTTCATGTTGTAGCTGAAAAAAAGAGGTTTTTGAAGTGTAGTTAATAACCCACATTTTTCATTAACAAGACAGCTTTCTCCATTTTTACATACAGAACTGGTGTGTTGTTTGTCAGGGTCATTAGCTGTTTCAGCCCCTGGTGTCTGAAGCTGTTTACATACAGTTGGCATACATAAAGTTATCCATTTGTCACCATTTTTTGTGACTGAATTCAGGTGTGGTTCAGCTGATTGCCTGAGGAGTTTCTGACTGTTTGATACATAAAAGCCGGTTAATTGTACTGATCAAGGCATATGAGAATGTCAGCAGCACAACTTCTATCTTCGTCATGATTTTTAATGCCTGTAATCCCTGTCAGGGGTAGGTGAATGAATTCTTGGCAAAATGAAATAAAACTCTGCCTTGGGGGCTCTAGTGTGGCGGAGGGTGGCGGAACCCGCGCAGTGGTATTTTTGTCTACCACTATACCAGCTGTGCTCCGCCTGCGCTGAAAGTGGACCAGGTTTGAATTGGCGAGCTTTCAGCGCACTTTACCCACCAAGGGTGAGCACGAAAATGTCACTGCGCCAGCAGATTCTGTCGACACCTCCCCCTGCCACGCCACCACGCCCAGCTTGGCGGACTTCGGTGCGCCTCAGTCTTTGAAAATACCACTGCGCGAGGTCTGCTCCCCTCCGCCGCGGACACGAAAATAGAGCTCCAAGTGAAAGAGTGATACTTTTTATTGATAAGACAGCAGGATGATAAAAAGGAAAAAAACATTTAGTGGTAAGTGATTAAACCAAAATGAACAGAGGATGTCCTTAATATTCAATGCAAGGAGAAGCTTTTACAGAACAATTTAAACTTCTTTTGGTCAGAGAAGATAAATGTATTTTTTTACTTTTGCATTTCTCACATGCGTGTAAGAACCTTTTATAAGTGTATTTTCATGTCCCTGTTTTTCCCTTTTGAGATTTCTCTTTGCTTTGAAGAAGCTTAAGTGATGAAACCCCTTTCGTAAACTACAGCTGCCACTTTCTATCAGCTTCTACAGCCATTCCCTCTGCTGGGAGATAATTGTTTTTGACACATAAAATTTGAATAAGATACAATTCATAAAAGATGCCCAAAATAACCGTACTATAACCGTACTTAACCCCACATTTGACTGACGCTGCAGTAATAAACTGTGACCTCTGTCTCCTGAGAGTATCTTAAAGCAGTCTCATCACTATTGCAGTGTTCTGGTCATGATCCCCCTCAGCTTAAGAATATACTGCAGATCTCAATTAGGTCAAAGCTGATTCTGAACCAATTTTATTGTGCAGCACAGCCAAAACCTGGACAGAAAAACATCCGGCTTGGCCTTTTGGCTATAGCCGGATTATGACTACTGTCTGAGTAAACTGTGTGTAGTCCCAGAGATGGAAGACAACGGCCAACAAGGGTTGGCTCTCTAAATGAATCCAGGCAGGCTGAAAATATCACGACAGGCTGTTTTAAATCACATGATTCAGCTCAGCTTTCTGTCCCTGTTGCACAGTTCTTAGAGTTCTGCCATAAAAGGGTTTGTTTGGGAGTAAGGTGATACTATTAATTATAAATGCTCAGCTCTGAGCTCTATCTCCATCCCAGGAGCAATCAACATAATTAGACTGTTTTTTTAATGCAACACAGAGTGGAAAGAGTTTACTGAGGAGGGAACATTCGTCAGGACAAATAAATTTGCAGCTTTGTTCATCCCAGTCTTTGAGAGCAAGGTGATCACCATACCATAACATACCATACCATACTATGTATTGTATCACATTTATTTAAATGATTGTCCTGCCTCAGCCATTGTTAGTGAATTGATCTTTGTGACAGGTGCTTTTCTGAGTAACTCAATGTTTCTTCTCTTGTCACTTCTAAATTCATCATCTCTAACTGCAACATTTTCCCATATGACAAAGTCTCCTGCTGTAAAGCTAGAATCACATCCCCACCTTACCGAGATTAGAATGTAAAATGTCTTACTCTCAATATCATACGTTAACCACTGCTCAAGTGTTGTTCAAGTTCTGTTAAAAAATCTGTCATTTCCAGTCTTGCAGCTCAAAGACTGCGGCAGATGATGGTTGGTACATGTGTGACTGTGTAGTTCAGTGCTCTTTGCCTCGAAGTATCATCGTTCTATGCAAATCAGTTTGGAGAATTGGTCCTTTTGACCACATGACCTTAGTAAGGCAGTGTATTAGATTGCTTAGCTGGTTAATAGACACATCTTTATTCTCCTACTTTGCTTGAAGCACAGAAACTTTAACACTGAAAGATCCAAAGAGGAGCTCGAGAAAAACAGTCTCTGCAATGTACGACAAAGTGCAAGAGTCACGTTAAAGAAACACTTTTAATAAAGTCTTTAGATCATGCCATAATAAAACAAGGAAAGAGTCATAATTTTACCAGAATCAAATTGTGGTCAATTCATTTTCTTACATGAATGCAGTTGTAGTCTAATCATGTTCTCACAAGAATGAGGCTTTAGTCAGTTCATTTCAATCAAAAAATAAAGTCATAGATCATTTTCAGGGAGATTTAGCTGGAAGTGAAACACAGAGATTTCCTTGTACTTTTCATTTTGGTACAGACAGCTGTCTGCTCACCGTGTGACTGCGCCCCAGTCAGACCATTCATTTTTTCATACAGAGTTTTATTTCATAGCCACAACAGTAACTGCATTTTTCAACATCGAAATAAGAGCTGACTCTATCCAGTATCAGGGGCTTGTCTTGGGCCTCAGGTGCATAATGTCCCCACTCTTACTCTCAAAGAGGTCAGTATGAAGAGTTCGGCCTGGATGATGGACAGCTGAGAACAACCTTTTTGCCACGTGTTGGAGAAAGTAACGTTATTGGCGACCTATTTTGAAGAAGGGCCACTGTGGGTATTTTTAGCAATACAGTCCATTGGGAATAAGTCATGTGCTCTTTACCCTCGACTGCCCATCAGACACTACAAGTCTGTGAAACTGCAGTTTATCTGACCAGTCCATCCTCCTGTTAGGGAAATTTTTATTATTTTTTTGGGGGGGGACATCTTTGGAAAACTTTGATGTGCAATATCTCTGTTTTAATAACATGTGTCCTCTGGTATCAAAATACACGTTATTAGTTGAACAAATTGGAATAAATGTTTTTAAAAAGCTTGTTTTTTTTAGATTTATAACTAGAGGGCCCAAAGGTAACTCATCTACCCATTAAAAAAACATCTAGATTAACTGATCAACAAAGAGCCTTTGTATAAAAGGATAAGAGCACTATTATCAACGAACAATCCACAATGCACCAGATCTGAGTTTAATATTTGTTCTGTCGATCAGTGGAGGAGCTTCAATCAAACATATATAAATACTCAAGAAACAGATGGCTCATCAATTACAGTTAAAAAGAGTTAAAGAGATATTTTAACTTCCAGTGCTGTCAGAGGTTTTGCTCTACGTTGTAACAGAACCATTAGTTGATCATTTAGAGTCCAATCAGCTTTTATACTCTGAGCAGTTCGTTTTAGACATAAATGCTCCACAGAAACAGAAACGTGTTATTTGTAGGTGTGATGTCAATGTGTCTTGACCTTGAGAAGGTTTTCAACACTCTTGGCCATGACAACCTTTTGTGTAGGTTGTCTAAATTTAACTTTGAGTTGGTTTGCTTCACATCTACAGTCAGGAGAGCAATGTGTTAAGACTGACTCACAAAAGTCTGCTCCTTAACAAATTTAAATTGGTATCCTCCAAGGTTCAATGTTAGGCCCAAAGAGCCTTTTTATCAATGATTTGCCTGAAAGCTGTGCAAGGACTGCTTGTCGGCTTTGTGCTGATGATAGTGTCTGATATGCTTAAGCAAAGACATGAGATTATCATCATATACACCCGGGGTATGGAAGTGTCTTCATGAAAATAAGCTCACTTTGAATATGAAAAAGACTGTAATTATGTGCTTTCCACCCAAAAATGCAATACAATCAGAGAAAGACAACATGAGTTTAAACATTTTTTAATTGAAATTCTTCACTTAAAACTCAGATTTGACAAACATGTGAAAAAGGTTATAAAGACTGTAAAAAGAAGTTTGGTTATAAAGACCGTAAAAAGAAGTTTGAGTTGCATTCGATGGATTAGGTATCATTTTCCAATCAAAGCAGTGCAGCTGTTTGTGTTCACAATGACTTTTTCAAAATATTGTGTTACAGAGATGGCATCTCTGTCAGATACTCACAGCATGATTTGCTCAGTTTTTGGTACTTTTTAAAAACTCACAAACCTGAAGAGGATTTTTAAATCAGATTGAATCAATTTAAATCAGTCTTATGCAACAAAAAACCTCCTTTAGGCAGTCAGCTTCTTCAGCGCCAGCTGAGATAAAGTTAACACTAGAAGTTAAGATATTCAACAAAAGTGTTTCAGACAGGAGCAAGTGTTAGGGACAGAAGTTAACTAGCAACAGTGATAATCTCTTTTTGCAAAACATCAGTTACTACAGCTCACTTGTAACAGACATAAGTTGTACCATGTAATTTGCAGTGTCCCTATGAACTATAAATGAATAAGTAATAAATCAATAAAAAGAGCTGAATGACCCCAGAGCGATCTTTGTGTAATTCTTGTCCCGGTAACACTGCAAAAATAAGAGATCAGATAGATCTGAGGTCAACAGAGTAGATCTGCAGCATCTCAAACCCAAGGCTTAGCCTAAGTATCATGGGTCAGCTCTACCATTCATCCCTTCAGTGTGAAGATATTGCAGCCTTAAGTAGATTATTTCACAGCAATTTCACTCTCAGTATCTTAAACCACCCTAGCTCAGCCTAAAGTAAAAGTTTAGTTTTCCTTTAGAGGTTGAATGGAACATAATTGGATAACACCGTTTGATTCAGGTGACCTTCACTCCAGGAGTGGCTCATCCACAGATAAAGAAATGCTGAGTCACTGGTGTTTACTCGCTGGATCAGGACGGGCTTTAGCATTTATGAAGGTTAACAATGACTTTGCCAGTCTCAGGGATAAACTGAGTCTGCAAATACAAAATGTTCATGAATCTAAGAGCTGTAGTTTCATTCAGCCTGGGTGCTAGAAGTGGTAATTTGGTCATGTCAAATGCAATCAGATCAGCACTGATCTTATCACCTATATACTTGAAATACTCAGCATGTACGATGCAGTATGAGCACATATATGTTCCTGTGATAAAGCTTCATCAGTTCGCCACACTGCTGACTCTCCTGCCAGGAGCTTTTACTCTGTTCAATCCTATCATATAGGTCAGTTTCACTGAGATTTACTGAATTATAGACACATACACTAAGAACCCATTTGAAGATTAAAAACAAACAAGATATACAGTTTGGGAATACCCTATACACAACCTTTTCATTATGAAATTTTATAATCTCAACTCTCCATCTACTGCTGCCATCAAGATCAAGAAAGCTTATCTGCCCCAGACATTCTCACACAAACACTCTGGGGCATAAACAGAGTCACTTTTCATGATTTGCAGCTCAAAAAATCCTCTTTATTTACCTTAAGCCTGTGTCTCAGAGAACCTTGGATCAGCACTACTCAGCCTCCGCCTGAAATACTTTGTGGTTTCTTATCCAGTGATAAAAAGTTTGACACAGCTCGTGGGTGTTACTTTTCATCCTTGGAAAGAGAAAACAGCTGTGATGTTTTTCTTACCCTAGCAACCAAAATGCATAGCGGAGTAAAAAAAACAGAGTGGTCTTTTTTTCAATCCCAATATTTACCTCGGTTTTCTTCTGTCTTCATAAAAAATAGCTGGAGTCCAAAAGTCCATTGTGACCATATTTCATAGAGATGTGAACCGTCTCATCTAAATTTATCAAATGAAATGTTTACTAAAGTTCAGCAATTCTTTCTCATTTGTTTGTATTGGTGGGTTTGTATTTTGTCAAATGCAGAAAAAAACAGGGTGATATTGGCGTTATATATCAGGCATCTGCAGGCTGACCTGCTCTCTTTGCATTAGCCAACAATCTATCACAAGTTTTATCACTTTGCTCAGGTTTAGTACTAGACATCCAACTTTGAATATTTTTGTACAGTTAATTTTGCACCAAATAGTTAGTATACTGAGCTTAACACACCAGCCTTATTTGTTTGTCCAGTCTGTAGTATACATTATTTATTTCTTAGCCAGTGTGTGGGTGTCAGAAATCCTGCGTATGGTCCTGACAATAAGACCAGTTATTTAAAATTGCAAGGTATGTGTTGTTCACCCCCACCCCCTCGCTTGACATTTAGCTCTGTTAGCTTCTGCAGTCTGATAACTAAAGTGCTCCACCTCAAATGAGATCTCACCCAGGGGGAAAACACAAGGTAAGAAACTCATTTACCAGTCAATAAATCAGCCACGAGCGTTGACTGTTTGGCTTTAATAGCTTAGCATTTGCTGACCTCTCCAGCTCCAGCCTGATGGCCAAACATCACCACAAAGCAACATGGTAGACAGAAATTTAACCGATTACATGGTTTTGTTAATGACTAAGACAGTCCGGGGTTTATATGATGGGTTTAGAAACTCAAATTTGAATTTATAAATGAATTTAAGACAAATAAAGTAACAAGGCAATGGTACAAATCACGGAGAACAAACTATTACAAGCAAACAAGAGCATGGCTAATTCAAAAAGATTCATTCATTCATTCAGTCATCCATTCATTCTTTTATTCATTCAAATGTTTATTCAGAATAAGCCACAGAGGTTCAATATTCCTTTTCCAACAAGAACCATATACAATAAGTTATTCTTGCTTTAGAATAGATAACATTTCCACGCTAAATCACATTTATTATTCTGAAACCATGACTTACATGATTCTGTATTACTTATTAAAATAGAGAAAATCTGTATTTATGATTTATTGCTATTTGCATTAATAATAAGAACCACAGGTTTCTAGTTACTGATATGTAAGACATACGGAACGTGAATGTGATAACACTTCTGGAGAGTAAATAGTGCTGCATGTGACCATCATAATGATTATACAGAGAACTAATAAATACAACGAAGAAGAACATCTGTTTGTGTGGCCTACTTTACGTCCTCTACTGAAGCTTCCAGTTGTTGGAAACAGCAGCTGAGCTAGGAGCATTCACCCAAGAGACTGCTTCCATTATTTCCATGTTCCAGCACTGCTGCAAATGTAATTGACCATATTCCCATGGCGGGCATTGTCTTTTGACATCACGCTGTCATGCATTCTTGTTGAGTTAAGGGTCAGAAGTCATATATAACTCGATAATCTGACTGATGTGGTTATGATACAACTCTCTTTAGGCTAAGCAGCATCAAAAACTGTAAATTTTACGATATCATTTAGCAGATGCTTTTATCCAAAGTGATGTATAGATGTGAGATCAGGAGAATCTGTGCCTAGTGTGGGTTAAAAAATCTGTATACGTATTTGACAGCTAACATCTAAATAAGTAGCATTCAGTCACTTCCTGGTCAACAGTTATGTTTATCAATCAAGGATCTGACTGGACAGGAGAAAAGATTTATGAAGCTGAGAGAGTATTTTATTATTTCATAAATACCATGGAATACCAGTTTGGAGGACTCTCAAACTGTAGAGTAATACACAAGTTGTGTTGAAAAGTGTTTAAAAAAGACAGATTCATTGAAATTGAAATTATCGTTGCTGTGTTGGTGATGGTGTTCAAGTGACTTGACACTAGCTATACAACTGCGTTAGCCAGGCTGCAGCCTGTTTGTAGACAACAAAAGCAGCTCAATGCGACATCATTGTCATGGCAGACGGGCGTTGCAGCCAGCCTCTGGTGGACACTAGGGGAACTGCAGTTTTTAGCACCTCTGCATTGGCTTCATTTCCAGAGGACCAGAGGCTGCCACTCTGACAATAGGATGTACTGCACTGTTTAGGCAGACTTTGGTGTTACTGTAATAAGTGCCCCTTGAAAGTGAGGGCTTTTTGCCTATTACTATGACAACAGCTGTAAGTCACTAGTATACAGGGACACTTTTAAAACAGTGGGGGTACTACCCTCCCCCATCAGAAGCCTCTGATAAGAAGCAAGATAAGAAATCATACTTTTTCAGTCATTTCCTTCAAACAAATCAACAAATGAAAAATCTTGTAAATAAGATTTAAAGAAAAAAGTATATAAAAATAGATTGACTAGATTGAATAAATATCCCTGACATAAACAGTAAGACTCTGTATCCTATTGTTGGCTGAGTCCTGATGTAAAAATATACAGTACCATAAATATAACATTCGCTAAGTAGCCATTTTTGAAATGATTATTTTGCCTTTTGTCTTTCTCATTAAATGTTATTTTCATTAAGCTGCAAACTAGGCTGCAAACGAGCATGAAGAGAAGTATGCAGAGCAGCACTGTCTCTGCCCATGACTCAGTGGTGAACTGCTAATGAGCTACTGAAGCTCTGCAGAAGAAAAGTGCTTGAAAATGACACAGGTAACGCAATTTTTGGTAAAAACTTCATAATTGCAATTTGAAGAACACTGAAAACACTTTAAATGGTAAAAAAAAAAAAAAAAAGATCTGAGTTGTGATTTTAAGGAACAACCACAGGGTAAATTCAGTAGCATCTCTCTGCCATAATGTCACTTTTATAATTGACCAAATTCTCTAACTTGGAAAGTTTTCTTTTTTCAACATTTCAAGAAAATCCGGAACTTAAGCAAACCTGACTCAGCCTTACCCTACAGATATGATTAATACAGCTAACAAAAGCAGATTTTGTGTTTTACGAAAAACAAAAGAAATCGTTAATGGAGGCTGCAGGCATGTATTACATTCAGTCTGGTGGGTTTAAAATGAGAAACTTCACTGTAGCTCAGAGTTCACTGAACTGTCACTGCTTAGATGCAAAGATGCTCTTAACTCCGCCCACACATACACACATGGATGTGCACACACTATATTTACACAGACTGAGGCTGGCACACTAAGTGCAGACGCTGGAAGCTGAAACAGACCCATCATGAGGAAACCGGCAGGGAGACATAACAGCAGCAGAATCCAGGACTTTCATAAAGAGGATTTTCACTTTAATGACTGTCTGATGAAGGAGATACATTGCTTCAAGATATTATGGACATAAATGTAAGTTTACTATTTAAAAACTACTCTTTAATACTGCTGCTGGTTACAAAAATGAGGAAAGCACTCAGTAAAAGTGAAAAAAAAAAACACATTAGAAAATTTAAAACCACTGTTAAGGTTTCTGATTTTAACTTAATGCAATTTTCTGCTGTTGAACTTGTGTTGCTTCATGTTGCAAGGGTGGAGAGTATGCAAAAAAATACCAGGCTGAGGTCTATATTTATTCAGAAAATAACAGAAGTGATAGGATTTTGGTAGAGTTTAACATCTTTTGTTGGTGTAAAATAGCTTAGCTGTTTTTTTGTTGTTGGTGATGCCACAAATCAAAAAGTCCTGACACCACATTGTGAGGTTATACCTCTTTTTTGCATCAGTAAGCTTTAAAAGAGAAGAGCTTTACTCAGCAGACTGCTTCCTCTCTGTCAGAAAATGTTACACTGACAGAACTAGCTTTTGTTTCAATGTGCATCCACTTCATGCATGGGGCTCATGTAGATACTTTTTCCTGTTTCTGTTTGGTGACACATGCAGCTTCACATGATGTGACCCCACAGTGAGGCTCAGACAATGAATGCCTCCTTCTGCTGTGATCCTCCTGTCGTCATGTATCAGCTCAGCTCAGGGTCTGACCTCGATGCCAGCTGTGACCAGCTGCCTCCTCACTGTAACTGGACATCAGTGGACAGAGCGCTACAGCTACCGACCTTCTCCACAGCAGCCAAAATCAGAGTCATCATCACCTTCATCCTCTGTGGGGTCTCCACTTTTTGTAACCTGGCTGTGCTGTGGGCAGTAAGTGGCAACAAACGCAAATCCCATGTTCAAGTTCTGATAATCAACCTGACTGCAGCTGATCTCTTGGTCACCTTCATCGTGATGCCTGTGGATGCCGTGTGGAACATCACAGTGCAGTGGCTGGCAGGCGACCTGGCCTGTAGGTTACTGATGTTCCTCAAACTGCAGGCCATGTACTCCTGCGCCTTCATCACTGTGGTGATCAGCCTTGACAGACAGTCTGCGATTCTCAATCCTCTTGCCATCAACATGGCTCGCCACAAGAACAGGATCATGCTGATGGTGGCGTGGACGATGAGCGCTTTGTTTTCAATTCCTCAGGTAAGGTCAGTTGTCACTGTTTCTGCAAAACATGTTATGACAGATGGTGTGGTTGGATGAAGAGATAAAAATCAATTAAAGTTATTCACATAAAGACATCTCTACTATATAATCCTTAAGCTAATATGGTCAACTGGCTGTTTGCATTTAGACTTGGCAAAACAGGATTTATACATATGGCACATGGGCACAGTCTGTCTTATCTCCCTTTAGCAGAACCAGCTTTTATGTGGCTGGGTAAAAATGCTGCATCTAAGCCTCAGAGCAGTATTAGACTGTATGAAAACACAAATGACAGAGGGCATTAAAATTCAGCTTTACATCTGCTAGAAATACATTTTTTCATTTTCATCTGCTTCTTCAATAAGGTTGTAAATCACGATATATATACATACATAAATTGTATAAAATCTCTGGGGGCTCTGCAGCAGGAATACTGGCTGCATGATTTGGGGGGGACACAAGGTGGTGGGAAAGGATTAACCCTCTATTAAAATACACACATATTAGAATCCATAATCCTAGTAGAACCTATAAATGCCTCAATGAAAACGGAGATGCATATGACAGCTCAGCAGGGTTGATCATGTTATGACTCCAAAAGGCATGAGTGTTGAGGTGTAATGTAGTGTTGAAATGGTCAATATTAAAGGATTTTTCAAAAAAAATGAATGTGTGCTCTTATGGCAAGACTAGGAAATGATCAGAAGAAGTTTTTTAGGTTTGATTTCCAGAGGCAGGTTCAGTATTTGAGCTATAATGCTAATGATCAATTACTTGTTTAACAAACATATCAATCTCCAATTATTTCTCTGATGCCCTTTTGACCTAATTGTTTCAGTCAAATAATTCAAGTTGGTGTATTTGCTAACCCCCCCTACACCTGTACGCACTTCATCTGTAAGAAAATGTACTGAGTAATTTTGACTTTTTATTCACCATTCAGACCTAACAGATATTACAGAAAACAAATGATAGCACAAATAATATGGAATTATTGCTGAACTCAGTATTTTCAAGGTGCTTCTTCATGATCTACCTACAGCTCCTCGAATGTTGTTATTTTAGAGTAAAAAGCTAACATGCCATATTTTAGCCCCCCTTACTGCTCTGTACTAGTTTTCAGATGGTTGGCTATCTTGTTTCATCTCATCCAATGTAAAGATGAATAAAAGCGGAGCTCATAGAGACATTGCACCATATTCTGAGCTAAGAAACACATTAGGTAGCCCACTAGCTACACTAATATAGCAGTCAATGTTAGCATCTACCCTTTAGCTAGAAAATAAATGATCACATAACTTCAAGTCTCAAACAGCTTTAGCATTTCAGTACTTTTCTCAGTTTGAACTCCCAACCTCACAGCAGATGGAAATGGCAGCAATGTGAGATTGGTCAATCATGTCTATCAAGTTTTTAGCAGCTGTTTACATCAGATTAATAAAAATTGAGGCAGAACAACATACCAGAGCTCTTTGACATCTTAAAAGGCAGATTTGATTTTAATCAAGGCAAAAAGTCTCTGCGCTCTCATCTCCAGTCAGTTGAAATAACCCTCCAGCATAGCTAATGAAGCTAACATTTGCTGCTGGAGTTTGTTGAAAAAGCTTCCCTAGGCCGACTTTTAAATGTTTCCAGTTGGCTTGTTTTAAAATATGGTTCAAGAATGTTTTAATTTGTCATTTTTTTTATATCAAATGCAGCAAATAAGTACAAAGTGGATAGCTGGAAGTTAAAAATGCACTGGAGGAAAAAAAAATCTTCTCTGTGGGATGATTAAGGCAAAAAACAGCATTGGGGTTGCAGTTACATCCTGATAACACAGGAATCTTGACAAGTAATAGATCTAAAAATCAAAGCAACAGACTAAATCTTTAAGGAAGAATTGCAGTTAGCTGCTATGGACTGTAAGCTTCCAAGTGAAACCTGAGTGGCAGCAAGTCTGTTTTAAATGAATTCAGCAAAAATAACAATAGCACCACATATGCATAATCTCCAACTCCACCATGATCCACACACATTCAGTTGCTATTGTTGAAATACACAGAGATTCTGAGAAAGTGTAACACCTGTAACGTAAAGCCCACATGAATTTCTACGAAAGGCTGAAATAATTGTAAAGCAACTTCAGTCCAGGCTTTGCATAATCCAGTGCATTGAATATTGAGCTGAGTGAATGATGTAAGCATAATTTGTGAATATATATATATATATATATATATATATATGTATATGTGTGTGTTTGTGTGTGTGTGTGTGTGTGTGTGTAAACATGAGTGCGATACCATTGAAAGCCAAAACGGCTGAGACGTCGCCCAGGTTAACAAGGTCTGCATCACATGCTGAGGAACCAGAGCATTGTTATGACAAATGGGCTACTGGACCAACAAAGAGAAGGCAATGAACATGAGATGAGAACAAGGCTCTGTTAGAATGCTACTACTCCAGTAACCCTAACCAGCTGGGTTACATGAACAGGCTGAGGGATATACTGTTGCTTCGATACCCACAGTCAATGCTAACACCGAAACAGCTAGTAGCTCAGTGTTCCAACATCCACTAATGGCAGCTGCTATCACAACTAGAGATTGAGGATATACAACACACAAATGCTACGGCAAGGGGGAGCCAGGACGCCAGGTCAGATGGGGGAGTTAACACGGAGAGAAGTCAGAACTCCAGAATGGTGCATCCAGAAAAGAGGTACCTAAGAGGTACAGACAGATGCCCATACCTGAGGCATTGGAAACTGCCAAACAAAGACTCCAAGCCTTGGCCACCTGACTGAAGAGGTACACAAGAGAGACAGAGGCCAAGCAAATAAACCAGTTGTTCCCCACTGAACCAGCCAAAGTGTACCCTCAGTGGCAGGGTAATAACACTTGAGCAAACCCACCAAGGCTGGAACAATACTGGAAAGGCATATGGGAGAAAGAAGCATCACATAACAACAATGCACAGTGGCTAACCATTCTGAGAGCAGACCACATCAATCTCCCTGAACAACATGCCATGACCATCACAGTAGTAGACATCCAAGAAAAGGTCTCAGGTATGAAGAACTGGACAGCACCAGGCCTGGATATGATTCACACCTACTGGCTAAAGAGGCTGACATCATTCCATGACCGCCTGGCAGCACAAATGAACCAACTGCTGAGAGATGGGACCCACCCAGAATGGCTGACCCAAGGCAGGACAATCCTGATCCACAAAGATCCACAGGAGGAAACAGTCCCATCCAACTATTGGCCTATCACCTGCCTCTCCACTACATGGAAACTCCTGTCAGGCATCATTGCGGCTAAGATAAGTGGGCACATGGATCATTACATGACAGAGACACAGAAAGGCAGTGGTAACAACACCAGAGAAGCAAAACACCAGCTACTGGTAGACAGGACAGTCACTCGAGACTGTAGAACCAGACAGACCAATCTGTGCACTGCCTGGATTGATTACAAGAAAGCCTAAACCTGATGCCACACACAGCCTGAAGCTGTACAAGGTCAGCAAGACTCTAAGGGCCTTCATTGCAAACTCAATAAGGCAATAAGGCAAGTCTCCATCAAATCTGGTATAAATCAAGGAGATGCTCTGTCCCTGCTGCTGTTCTGCATAGGCTTGAATCCCCTCAGCCAATAATTAACAAGACTGGCTACGGATACCAACTCTGAAATGGGGTCCCCATCAGCCACCGCCTCTACATGGATGACATCAAGCTGTATGCTAAGAGCGAGACATCAACTCACTGATCCACACCACCAGGATCTACAGCGGTAACATCGGAATGTCGTTCCGACTGGAGAAGTGTGGCCATATAGTGACAAACAGAGGAAAGGTAATCCATTCAGAGGGAACTACACTCCCAGAGGGCAGAATAGCGGCTGTGGAGGAGAGCTACAAATACCTTGGCATACCACAGGCAAATGGCAACCGTGACGAAGCCACAAGGAATGCAGCAACGGCCAGGTACCTGAAGCGAGTAAGGCAGGTCCTAAAGAGTCAGCTCAATGGCAGAAACAAAGTTCAGGCAATTAATAGCTATGGCCTGCCAGTGATCAGATACCCTGCTGGAATAATAAGCTGGCCAAAGGAGGAAATTCAGGCCACAGATGTTAAAACTCAGAATTTGCTCACCCTGCACGGGGGGTTCCACCCCAAGTCCAGTATCCAGAGGCAATACACTAAGTGCAAAGAAGGAGGCAGAGGATTAGTGAGCATCAGAGCCACTTTCCAAGATGAAACATCCAAGCTCCATGACTGTGTCAGGAAGATGGCCCACAGAGATGGAGCGCTTAGTAAGTGTCTCAGACAATTGAAACTGACAGGTAAGGAGGAACCGGAGGAACTGTCGTGGGAGGAAAAACCTCTGCATGGGATGTACTACTGACAGATAGCTGAAGTGGCTGATATGAGCAAATCCTACCAGTGGCTGGAGAGGGCTGGACTGAAGGACAGCACAGAGGCAGTCATCATGGTGGCACAAGGACAGGCCTTGAGCACCAGAGCAATAGAGGCCCAGATCTATCATACCAGGCAAGATCCCAGGTGCAGGCTGTGCAAAGAGGGCCCTGAAACAGTCCAACACCTAACAGCAGGATGTAAGATGCTGGCAGGAAGAGCATACATGGAACGCCATAACCAAGTAGCTGGTATAGTGTACAGGAACATGTGTGCAGAATATGGACTGGAAACCCTGAGGTCAAAATGGGAAGCACTTCCCAAGGTGATGGAGAATGACTGAGCCAAGATCCTGTGGGACTTCCAGATACAGACCGACAAAATGGTAATGGCCAACCAACTGGACATTGTAATCGTAGACAAACAGCAGAGGAAAGTCGTTGTGGTAGATGTCGCCATCTGAAGTGATACCAACATCAAAAAGAAGGAACACAAGAAACTAAAGAAGTACCAAGGGCTGAAAGAGGAGCTAAAGAAAGCCTGAAAGGTGAAAGGCAACAGTAGTGCCTGTGGTCATCGGGGCACTCGGGGCTGTAACAGCCACACTGGAGAAGTGGCTCCAACAGATCCCTGGGGAAACATCAGACATCTCACTCCAGAGGAGTGCTGTCCTAGGAACAGCAAGGATACTGCGCAGGACCCTCAAGCTCCCAGGCCTCTGGTAGAGGACCCGAGCTTAAAGAGACACAAGAAGAGTTTTAGTATATATATATACATATATATATATATATATATATATATATATATATATATACATATATACAGTGCATCCAGAAAGTATTCATACCACTTGACTTTTTTCACATTTTATGTTACAGCCGTATTCCAAAATGGATTAAATTCCCTTTTTCCCTCAAAAATTCTACACAAAATACCCCATAATGACATAGCGAAAAACTTTTTGGTAGAACATTTTGCAAATTTGTTCAAAATAAGAACACTCAAATGTTGCATATACATAAGTATCCACACCCTTTACTCAATACTTGGTCGAAGCACCTTTGGCAGCGAATACAGCCTCCAGTCTTCTTGTGTATGATGCAACAAGCTTAGCACACCTGGATTTGGAGAGTTTTTCCCATTCTTCCTTGCACATCCTCTCAAGCTCAGTGAGGTTGGTTGGGCAGCGTCAGTGCACAGCTATTTTCAGGTCTTTCCAAAGATGTTCAATTGGGTTCAAGTCTGGGCTCTGGCTGGGCCACTCAAGGACATTCAGAGAATTGTCCTGAAGCCGCTCCTTTGTCTTCTTGGCCGTGTGCTTAGGGTCATTGTCATGCTGGAAGATGAAGTGTCGCCCCAGTTGAAGGTCTCGAGCGCTCTGGAGCAGGTTTTCATCAAGGATTTTGATGTACTTAGCTGCATTCATTTTTCCCTCGATCCTGACAAGTCTCCCAGTTCCTGCCACTGAAAAACATCCCCACAGCGTGAAGCTGCCACCACCATGCTTCACTGTAAGGATGGTATTGGCGAGGTGGTGAGCGGTGCCTGGTTTCCTCTAGACATGGCGCTTGGCATTCAGGCCAAAGAGTTCGATCTTTGTTTCATCAGACCAGAGAATTTTGTTTCTCCTGGTCTGTGAGTCCTTCAGGTGCCTTCTAGCAAAGTCCAAGCGGGCTGTCATGTGCTTTTTACTGAGGAGTGGCTTCTGTCTGGCCACTCTACCATAAATGCCTGACTGGTGGAGTGCTGCAGAGATGGTGGTCCTTCTGTAGGGTTCTCCCATCTCCTCAGAGGAACGCTGGAGCTCTGTCAGAGTGACCATCAGGTTCTTGGTCACCTCCCTGACCAAGGCCCTTCTCCCCCGCTTGCTCATTTTGGCCAGCTCTAGGAAGAGTCCTGGTGGTTCCAAATGTCTTCCATTTCTTAATGATGGAGACCACTGTGCTTTTTGGGATCTTCAATGCAGCAGAGATTTTTCTGTAACCTTCCCCAGATCTGTGCGCCGATACAACCCTGTTTCGGAGGTCTACAGACAATTCTTTCGACTTCATGGCTTGGTTTGTGCTCTGACGTGCTCTGTCAGCTGTGGGATCTTGTATAGACAGGTGTGGCTTTCCAAATCATGTCCAATCAGCTGAATTTGCTACAGGTGGACTGCAATCAAGTTGGAGGAACATTTCAAGGCTGATCAGTGGAAACAAGATGCACCTGAGCTCAATTTTAAGTTTTGAAGCAAAGGGTGTGAATACTTATGTATATGCAACATTTGCGTGTCTTATTTTTAATAAATTTGCAAAATGTTCTAAAAAAAAAAAAAAAAGTTTTTCACTTTGTCATTATGGGATATTTTGTGTAGAATTTTTGAGGGGAAAAAAAGGAATTTAATCCATTTTGGAATAAGCCTGTAACATAACAAAATGTGGGAAAAGTGAAGTGGTATGAATACTTTCCGGATGCACTGTATGTATATATATATATATATATATATATATATATAAAACGAGTATGGGCTACTGTTGCGCCATGATGATGTACGATGTTGTTTTCAATCCAGTCTGGGTAGTTATCATTTACATGTGCTGTTAAAGAAAAACATTCATTTTAATCATCGTATCTAGTAGGCTATCATGGTATCATGGTATCATGGTATCATAATCATGCTGCATTCAGGATACTCTGTCATTTCATTGAACCTACAAGACCCACATGCTTAACCTCCTCCCTTCTACCAAATAAACAGGCTTATGAAAATACTGCTGCCTCTAATGCATCGTTAACACTGTTTTATTTTAATCCCACAGATGTTCATTTTCCACAATGTGACCATCACCGACCCAGCAAACTTTACCCAGTGCACCACCAGGGGGAGCTTTGTAACACACTGGCAGGAAACAGCCTACAACATGTTCACCTTCTCTTGCCTCTTCCTGTTGCCTCTTGTGATAATGATCATCTGCTACACCAGGATCTTCATCCAGATGACAAAAAAAGGAAGTAAGTTCACCGCTGTGAGCTTAAAACTGATCTATTTAAAATAAATTAACAAGAAAGAGAGAAGAGATAACGGATTTACTGACAAAGGAATCATTTCTTTTATTGGCCAGCAGGAGGTGACTCCACTGGTTGTGAAATCAGTCTGATGGCAGCAATAACCCTATTTCTCACAAAATTCACAGTAGAGTCTAAAGGCAGCTTTCATTTTTTGTTGTCGTTTTTAATAGAAGCTGAAAATAACAAGATGTAACTTTTCACCTGCATGTTTTCTGAACTAGATCATGTAACCCAAGCCCTCATTGTGTACTGTTATATGGTTATCTGGTGTCTGTTTTTTCTTTCCAATTTGATAGATGTCTCTTTTTCTCATTCCTTGCTAGTCTGCATGCTAACTTGTCTTTTCCTCGGCATTCTCCAAACTAATTGACGGTAGTATTAAAAATGACCTCTGTTTCTTTTTTTTTTTTTTATTGCAGACATTTAACAAGACATGCAAAAGAGTGAAGTGCAATATGAATAATAATAGAAACAAGGAATAACAAGAAATTTAAAAAACAACACCAATGAAGACAATTACAAGAGACAAAAACAAATCAAAAACAACAACAAATGATAATGGTACATCAGAAAAAAGGCAAGCAGAGCAAAAACACATGTGAGACAAATGAGGAGTAGGGAGTATCAGTCACAACTGTTCAAAATGTATAGTAAGGAATATTGTCACTTGATTGTGTGGATAAGTACAATCTATGTGGTTTGGGAGCAGATGTTATGTAAAATAATAATAATAATAATAATAATAATAATAATAATAATAACTAGGACCCCGTTGGGGCACTGGCGGGCCCGAGCTGTGTCGCGCCCCCCCCCCCCCCAACGCGCTGCCTCCCCGTCCCATTTGTGTCCTCTGGCCATCGCCCTCTCTGGTAACGCCCATCACTGCAAAGACCCTTTTCCTTCATCGGCGTTTGCTGTTCTTCCTGCCAGTGCGTGTTGCTTTCACTTACACTTGCCACAGCCAGCCTCGTGAGTGCCTAGCCTATTGGATATTACTGTCACCTACACAGGACAGTCATTACCTTTCTATTAATACTTTGTTTTTTAATTTCACATTAATTTCCATATTGTATAAACAACTGGAAAAAACTTGAGCCCCTGCCCCTGTATAATCATGTGCACGTCTCTGTTCTAGCTCTAAGGTGAATCTTCACTGCTCATGTTCTCCTCAGAAGCAGTCACCTCACTCCCCTCAGGTTACTGTACACATGCACCAACTGCCTGCTTCAGGTTTGGATGGAGCTTCATGGTTGTCTTTTGGAGAAATGACCAGTCAAGTTGTGTTTGAAATTTGATTTTTTTCAGGGGCAAAAGGAGCCTCTGCATTCTTGTCAAATATGTAAATAGCATGTTTTTGCAGGTGCTAAAAACCAGACTCTGAGTGTGTGTGTGTGCGTGTGTGTGTGTGTGTGCGTGTGTGTGTGTCTATGTGTGCGTTCAAGTCACATGACATATTTAACCGGATGTAGCTGCAAGACGGAGCCTCGTTGACTCTCCGTTTCAACTTATCTCAAAAGTGAGGACCTCAACCTATATACCAGTTTTTAAATTGTGTTGATAGGCCAAATAAAACCAGAGTTATGATAAATTATGTCCGCGATACTTTTTTTCTGCCTATTTTGATCACGTTCGGCGCTCGATCGCGCTGTATGAGACAGGAAAACATAGCATGCAGACATTAGCGACAGGTCTTACAGGCGGAAAAGGCTTGCCAAAAGAAAAAAAAAACACACCACAACATCTCTCCTATTGGTGGAAAACTTCACCACAACAACCAATCCAAAATTATATGGTGACTGATTGACAAGGGGCGGGCGCTTACGTTCTTCCTGCAACATGAGAAGGGAGGGAGGGACTCTCAGCAGGGATGCAGTCTGGGACACGTAGTTGCAAACCTAGCGACTTTGTTGTTAGATTCAATGACTTTTCAGACCCCCTAACGACTTTTTTTTAGAAAGAAAGGGACTTTTATCGACTTCTTCTGGAGTTTAGAGACTCTGACATGAAGCAGGCTTTCCTTACTGAGGAGTTAGCAACGCTGCTAAGGGTGCAGAGCCACACATGCGCTCAGAGCTCTGCATGGGAGACTGAAGCTGACAGAGCTGCAGCAGTTAGCAGGTTTCACCCTCAGAGACCACCAGGGGTTCATGTTGAGGCATTTTAATTTTTTTTTTTTTTTGTGCCATAGACACTGTCAGCACAATCTGCAGTTACACTAACAAAAATGCTGCAAAAAACAAAGAATTATGGAAAAATTACACATGGACTGACATAGAGGAGGATCTACACAAGTTTTTTACATCATGTTTTACATCATGCATCATTTACATCATGTTTTTTTGTAGTGGCATAAATAAAAAGTGACATTTGTGAGACTATACAGTGTTTTGTAAATAATTTTACAAAGAACGCCTGGGCCATTGCCTGCATTTTGATGTAAATAGAGGTAAATTACTATATTCTTTGTTAAAAAGTTGCATATGTTTTGAAGTTTACAATTTTTATTTGAAGTTTAAGTTTTAAAAACAGTTCATCACACATATTTGTGGTTTAATTTCACATTAATTTCCATATTGTATAAATGACTGGAAAAAACTTGAGCCCCTGCCCCTGTATAATCATGTGCACGTCCCTGTTCTAGCTCCAAGGTGAATCTTCACTGCTCATGTTCTCCTCAGAAATAGTCACCTCACTCCCCTCAGGTTACTGTACACATGCACCAACTATCTGCTTCAGGTTTGAAATGGAGCTTCATGGTTGTCTTTTGGAGAAATGAACAGTCAAGTTGTGTTTGAAATTTGATTTTTTTCAGGGGCAAAAGGAAGCCTCTGCATTCTTGTCAAATATGTAAACAGCATGTTTTTGCAGGTGCTAAAAAACAGACTCTGAGTATGTGTGTGTGTCTGTGTGTGTGTGTGTGTGTGTGTGTGTGTGTGTGTGTGTGTGTGTTGGCGTGTGTGTATATGTGTGTGTATCCTGCAGTACTCTGTACTCCTGCAGTGGCCAAAAAGACTTTTAAGAATGTGGATTTTTGGTTCATCTTTGGCGCCCCCTAGAACTGCAGTACTCTGTACTCCTGCAGTGGCCAAAATGACTTTTAAGAATGTGGATTTTTGGGTCATCTTTGGCGCCCCCTAGAACGTAAACCGTGGGGTGCAGCATCATGATTTTTACAACTTTGAATGGGCATGGGGTGTAGATTGCCCTGAGCAAATTTGGTATCGGTGGGACGAAAGCCTTAGGAGGAGATAGCCACATTCCAATGTGTGCGAATCGGCAAAAAATGCAAAATAGCCCTTTAACCGTACATTATACAGATACGCGCTCTTTGACTTTTTCGTAGATCTAATTGAGATACACATGATTGTCAATTTTTGTGTCAATATGACAAAGCGTTCAGGCGTGACACTCAACAATGTGTATTTTTATGTAAGGGGACAAGAAAAAATTGACTTTTTTCTCCTACCATGGGGGGGCGCTCTTTTGGGGAGTAAAAATTCCTTCACAAATGTGTTGATGGCTGGACATTGCATCATCCTAGAAAACTTGGAGGCCAGTGAGGACAAAAATAAAAAGTTATAAGACTTTTAAATATGTGGATTTTAGTGTTATCTTTGGCGCCCCCTAGAACCTAAACCTTGGGGTGCAGCGTCATGATTTTGATAACTTTTAATGGCCACGGGGTGTAGATTGGCCTGAGCAAATGTGGTGCCGGTGGAACGAAAGCCTTCGGAGGAGTTAGCGAAATTCCAATGTGTGCAGATCGGCAAAAAATGCGAAATAACCCTTTAACCGTAATTTTGACAGATACGGCCGCACTGACTTTTTTGTAGATCTTATTGAGATACATATGTGTGTCAATTTTTGTGTCAATATGACAAAGCGTACAGGCGTGACAGTCAATAGTGTGAATTTCCACCTTAGGGGGCGCTATGGAGCCATTTTGCATTTTATTGTTTGGGCGACTTCAGAATATCGAATTTTTCACCAGGCCCGGTCGTCCTGCCAAATTTCATGAGTTTTCGCCAGTGGGAAGTGGGCCATTTTCCAGTTCAAAGGGGAGGAAAAAGAAGAACTAGGGCCCCGTTGGGGCACTGGCGGGCCCGAGCCGCGTTGCGCCGCCCCCAGTGCGACCGCCTCCCCCTCCCGATCGTGTCACACTCAAGGTCCAAAGATGGTGTGCGCACTTGTCTGTGGTCATTTACCATTATAATGAATGGGAGGCGCAGTTTCTACCAAAACGCTCGCTGCAGACAAACTCCATGTCCTTTTTGAAAAAAGTCTGGACCATGAGTGAGGGCACAAACACAGCTAGTATATATCCAAATGGCAAGTTGCTCCTCCTTTCGGTTTTGCCGAGAGAGCGATGCGTTTGAGCCATTGAGCGATGGGCAGGAAAAACTTGACTTTTTCTCCTGCCATGGGGGGGCGCTCTTTTGGGGAGTAAAAATTCCTTCACAAATGTGTTGATGGCTGGACATTGCATCATCCTAGAGAACTTGGAGGCCAGTGAGGACAAAAATAAAAAGTTATAAGACTTTTAAGACTGTGGATTTTTGGGTTATCTTTGGCGCCCCCTAGAACCTAAACCGTGGGGTGCAGCGTCATGATTTGTACAACTTTGAATGGACATGGGGTGTAGATTGACCTGAGCAAATTTGAAGCCGATGGGACAAAAGCTTTAGGAGGAGTTAGCCACATTCCAATGTGTGCGAATCGGCAAAAAATGCGAAATAGCCCTTTAACCGTACATTGAACAGATACGCTCGCATTGACTTTTTCGTAGATCTTATTGAGATACATGTGTGTGTCAAATTTTGTGTCATTTTGACAAAGCGTAAAGGCGTGACAGTCAACAATGTGTATTTTCGCCTTAGGAGACAAGAAAAAATGGACTTTTTTCTCCTGCCATGGGGGGGCGCTCTTTTGGCGAGTAAAAATTCCTTCACAAATGTGTTGATGGCTGGACATTGCATCATCCTAGAGAACTTGGAGGCCAGTGAGGACAAAAATAAAAAGTTATAAGACTTTTAAAACTGTGGATATTTGGGTTATCTTTGGCGCCCCCTAGAACGTAAACCGTGGGGTGCAGCATCATGATTTGTACAACTTTTAATGGCCATGGGGTGTAGATTGGCCTGAGCAAATTTGGTGCCGGTGGAACGAAAGCCTTCGGAGGAGTTAGCGAAATTCCAATGTGTGCGGATCGGCAAAAAATGCGAAATAACCCTTTAACCGTACATTTGACAGATGCGCCCGCACTGACTTTTTTGTAGATCTTATTGAGATACATGTGTGTGTCAAATTTTGTGTCATTTTGACAAAGCGTAAAGGTGTGACAGTCAATAGTGTGAATTTTCGCCTTAGGAGACAAGAAAAAATGGACTTTTTTCTCCTGCCATGGGGGGGCGCTCTTTTGGCGAGTAAAAATTCCTTCACAAATGTGTTGATGGCTGGACATTGCATCATCCTAGAAAACTTGGAGGCCAGTGAGGACAGAAATAAAAAGTTAAGACTTGTAAGAATGTGGATTTTTGGGTTATCTTTGGCGCCCCCTACAACGTAAACCGTGGGGTGCAGCGTAATGATTTGTACAACTTTGAATGGCCATGGGGTGTAGATTGGCCTGAGCAAATTTGGTGCCGGTGGAACCAAAGCTTTAGGAGGAGTTAGCCACATTCCAATGTGTGTGAATCAACCAAAAATGCGAAATAGCCCTTTAACCGTACATTTTGCAGACACGTGCGCATTGACTTTTTCGTAGATCTTATTGAGATACACGTGATTATCAAATTTTGTTTCAATATGACAAAGCGTACAGGCATGACACTCAACAATGTGTATTTTCACCTTATAGGACAAGAAAAAATGGCCTTTTTTCTCCTGCCATGGGGGGGCGCTCTTTTGGGGAGTAAAAATTCCTTCACAAATGTGTTGATGGCTGGACATTGCATCATCCTAGAAAACTTGGAGGCCAGTGAGGACAGAAATAAAAAGTTATAAGACTTGTAAGAATGTGGATTTTTGGGTTATCTTTGGCGCCCCCTACAACGTAAACCGTGGGGTGCAGCGTCATGATTTGTACAACTTTGAATGGCCATGGGGTGTAGATTGGCCTGAGCAAATTTGGTGCCGGTGGAACGAAAGCCTTCGGAGGAGTTAGCGAAATTCCAATGTGTGCGGATCGGCAAAAAATGCGAAATAGCCCTTTAAACGTACATTTGACAGATACGCCCGCACTGACTTTTTTGTAGATCTTATTGAGATACACGTGTGTGTCAAATTTTGCGTCATTTTGACAAAGCGTACAGGCGTGACACTCAATCATGTGAATTTTTCACCTTAGGGGGCGCTATGGAGCCATTTTGCATTTGATTGTTTGGGTGACTTCAGAATATCGAATTTTTCACCAGGCCCAGTCGTCCTGCCAAATTTCATGAGTTTTCACCAGTGGGAAGTGGGCCATTTTCCAGTTCAAAGGGGCAGAAAAATAATAATAAGAAGAAGAAGAACTAGGGCCCCGTTGGGGCACTGGCGGGCCCGAGCCGTGTCGCGCCACCCCCAGCGCGACCGCCTATCCTTCCCGATTGCGTCACACTAAAGGTCCAAAGATGGTGTGCGCACTTGTCTGTGGTCATTTACCATTATAATGAATGGGAGGCGCAGTTTCTACCAAAACGCTCGCTGCAGACAAACTCCATGTCCTTTTTGAAAAAAGTCTGGACCATGAGTGAGGGCACAAACACAGCTAGTATATATCCAAATGGCAAGTTGCTCCTCCTTTCGGTTTTGCAGAGAGAGCGATGCGTTTGAGCCATTGAGCGATGGGCAGGAAAAACTTGACTTTTTCTCCTGCCATGGGGGGGCGCTCTTTTGGGGAGTAAAAATTCCTTCACAAATGTGTTGATGGCTGGACATTGCATCATCCTAGAGAACTTGGAGGCCAGTGAGGACAAAAATAAAAAGTTATAAGACTTTTAAAAATGTGGATTTTTGGGTTATCTTTGGCGCCCCCTAGAACGTAAACCGTGGGGTGCAGCGTCATGATTTGTACAACTTTGAATGGACATGGGGTGTAGATTGACCTGAGCAAATTTGAAGCCGATGGGACAAAAGCTTTAGGAGGAGTTAGCCACATTCCAATGTGTGCGAATCGGCAAAAAATGCGAAATAGCCCTTTAACCGTACATTGAACAGATACGCTCGCATTGACTTTTTCGTAGATCTTATTGAGATACATGTGTGTGTCAAATTTTGTGTCATTTTGACAAAGCGTAAAGGCGTGACAGTCAACAATGTGTATTTTCGCCTTAGGAGACAAGAAAAAATGGACTTTTTTCTCCTGCCATGGGGGGGCGCTCTTTTGGCGAGTAAAAATTCCTTCACAAATGTGTTGATGGCTGGACATTGCATCATCCTAGAGAACTTGGAGGCCAGTGAGGACAAAAATAAAAAGTTATAAGACTTTTAAGACTGTGGATATTTGGGTTATCTTTGGCGCCCCCTAGAACGTAAACCGTGGGGTGCAGCATCATGATTTGTACAACTTTTAATGGCCATGGGGTGTAGATTGGCCTGAGCAAATGTGGTGCCGGTGGAACGAAAGCCTTCGGAGGAGTTAGCGAAATTCCAATGTGTGCGGATCGGCAAAAAATGCGAAATAACCCTTTAACCGTACATTTGACAGATACGCCCGCACTGACTTTTTTGTAGATCTTATTGAGATACATGTGTGTGTCAAATTTTGTGTCATTTTGACAACGGTAAAGGTGTGACAGTCAATAGTGTGAATTTTCGCCTTAGGAGACAAGAAAAAATGGACTTTTTTCTCCTGCCATGGGGGGGCGCTCTTTTGGCGAGTAAAAATTCCTTCACAAATGTGTTGATGGCTGGACATTGCATCATCCTAGAAAACTTGGAGGCCAGTGAGGACAGAAATAAAAAGTTAAGACTTGTAAGAATGTGGATTTTTGGGTTATCTTTGGCGCCCCCTAGAACGTAAACCGTGGGGTGCAGCGTCATGATTTGTACAACTTTGAATGGCCATGGGGTGTAGATTGGCCTGAGCAAATTTGGTGCCGGTGGAACGAAAGCTTTAGGAGGAGTTAGCCACATTCCAATGTGTGCGAATCAACCAAAAATGCGAAATAGCCCTTTAACCGTACATTTTGCAGACACGTGCGCATTGACTTTTTCGTAGATCTTATTGAGATACACGTGATTATCAAATTTTGTTTCAATATGACAAAGCGTACAGGCGTGACACTCAACAATGTGTATTTTCACCTTATAGGACAAGAAAAAATGGCCTTTTTTCTCCTGCCATGGGGGGGCGCTCTTTTGGGGAGTAAAAATTCCTTCACAAATGTGTTGATGGCTGGACATTGCATCATCCTAGAAAACTTGGAGGCCAGTGAGGACAGAAATAAAAAGTTATAAGACTTGTAAGAATGTGGATTTTTGGGTTATCTTTGGCGCCCCCTACAACGTAAACCGTGGGGTGCAGCGTCATGATTTGTACAACTTTGAATGGCCATGGGGTGTAGATTGGCCTGAGCAAATTTGGTGCCGGTGGAACGAAAGCCTTCGGAGGAGTTAGCGAAATTCCAATGCGTGCGGATCGGCAAAAAATGCGAAATAGCCCTTTAAACGTACATTTGACAGATACGCCCGCACTGACTTTTTTGTAGATCTTATTGAGATACACGTGTGTGTCAAATTTTGTGTCATTTTGACAAAGCGTACAGGCGTGACACTCAATCATGTGAATTTTTCACCTTAGGGGGCGCTATGGAGCCATTTTGCATTTGATTGTTTGGGTGACTTCAGAATATCGAATTTTTCACCAGGCCCAGTCGTCCTGCCAAATTTCATGAGTTTTCACCAGTGGGAAGTGGGCCATTTTCCAGTTCAAAGGGGCAGAAAAATAATAAGAAGACTAGGGCCCCGTTGGGGCACTGGCGGGCCCGAGCCGTGTCACGCCCCCCCCCCCCCCCCCCAACGCGCTGCCTCCCCGTCCCATTCGCGTCCTCTGGCCATCGCCCTCTCTGGTAACGCCCATCACTGCAAGGACCCTTTTCCTTCATCGGCGTTTGCTGTTCTTCCTGCCAGTGCGTGTTGCTTTCACTTACACTTGCCACAGCCAGCCTCGTGAGTGCCTAGCCTATTGGATATCACTGTCATCTAAACAGGACAGTCATTACCTTTCTATTAATACTTTGTTTTTTAATTTCACATTAATTTCCATTTTGTATAAAGAACTGGAAAAGACTTGAGCCCCTGCCCCTCTATAATCATGTGCACGTCCCTGTTCTGGCTCTAAGGTGAATCTTCACTGCTCATGTTCTCCTCAGAAGCAGTCACCTCACTCCCCTCAGGTTACTGTACACATGCAGCAACTGCATGCTTCAGGTTTAGATAGCGCTTCATGGTTGTCTTTTGGAGAAATGACCAGCCAATTTGCGTTTGACATTTGATTTTTTCAGGGGCAAGCCTCTGCATTCCTGTCTAATATGTAAATAGCATGTTTTTGCAGGTGCTAAAAAACAGACTCTGTGTGTGTGTGTGTGTGTGTGTGTGTGTGTCTGTGTGTGTGTATCCTAAACACTAAACACTTCCACTACACAATTAACCCTTTCACGTATAACGGTCACTGCAGTGGACAAATCTTCACAGGACATTTTCTATTATAAAAATAGGGGTTTGATTTTACAAATACATGTTAGCAACAACAATAGACCCTGGAAAATGAGTCCAACACTGGCACCCTGTGGCCATGTGATGCAACTGCAGAAAACACACGTCAACATTTAAGGTGGCTGCCTCTGCTGAAAAAGACAAATGTATGATGTCACTAAAAATCATTGTCACTAAAAATGATTATATTATTACACACATGCACACTCTTTGATGATCTGTGAAGCAGCTCTGAAGAGACAGTAGGAGCAGCAGAACAAAGTGTATTTGTAGAAAAGCCGTAAGAGCTATTGAAACGCTGTTTTTGCAGGTTGAAAGGTTCACGTCTCCACCAAAGGTCAGAGGTCAAATAACATTTGAATGTCATACTGTGACGTCACAGTCGAGGTCCAAAGATAGTGTGCACACCTGTCTTTGGTCATTTCCCATTATAATGAATGGGAGGCGCAGTTTCTACCGAAACGCTGGCTGCAGACAAACTACATGTCCTATTTGAAAAAAGTCTGGACCACGAGTGAGGGCACAAACACAGCTAGGAAATATCCAAATGGCAAATTGCTTCTCCTTTCGCTTTTGCCGAGAGAGCGATGTGTTTGAGCCATTGAACGATGAACAGGAAAAACTTGACTTTATTCTCCTGCCATGGGGGGGGGGGGGGGGGGGCGCTCTTTTAACGAGAAAAAAGTCCTTCACAAATGTGTTGATGGCTGGACATTGCATCATCCTAGAAAACTTGGAGGCTAGTGAGGACAAAAATAAAATGTTTTAACACTTTAAAGAATATGGATATTTGGGTCATCTTTGGCGCCCCCTAAAACGTAAACCGTGGGGTGCAGCGTCATGATTTTTACAACTTTGAATGGCCATGGGGTATAGATTGGCCTGACAAAAATTTGGTGTCAGTGGGACGAAAGCCTTAGGAGGAGTTAGCTACATTCCGATGCGTGCGAATCGGCAAAAAAATGCGAAATAGCCCTTTAACCGTACATTTTACAGATACGTGCCCATTAACTTTTTCGTAGATCTTATTGAGATACACGTGTGTGTCAAATTTTGTGTCATTTTGACAAAGCATACAGGCGTGAATCTCAACAATGTGTATTTTCACCTTAGGGGACAAGAAAAAATTGATTTTTTGTCCTGCCATGGGGGGGCGCTCTTTTGGGGAGTAAAAATTCCTTTACAAATGTGTTGATGGCTGGACATTGCATCATCCTAGAAAACTTGGAGGCCAGTGAGGACAAAAAAAAAAAGTTATAAAACTTTTAAGAATGTGGATTTTTGGGTTATTTTTGGCGCCCCCTAGAACCTAAACCATGGAGTGCAGCATCATGATTTGTACAACTTTGAATGGCCATGGAGTGTAGATTGGCCTGAGCAAATGTGGTGCCGGTGGAACGAAAGCCTTCGGAGGAGTTAGCGAAATTCCAATGTGTGCGGATCTGCAAAAAATGCGAAATAACCCTTTAACCGTACATTTGACAGATACGCCCGCACTGACTTTTTTGTAGATCTTATTGAGATACATGTGTGTGTCAATTTTTGTGTCAATATGACAAAGCGTACAGGCGTGACAGTCAATAGTGTGAATTTTCGCCTTAGGGGGCGCTATGGAGCCATTTTGCATTTTATTGTTTGGGCGACTTCAGAATATCGAATTTTTCACCAGGCCCGGTCGTCCTGCCAAATTTCCTGAGTTTTCGCCAGTGGGAAGTGGGCCATTTTCCCCTTCAAAGGGGAGGAAAAATAAGAAGAAAGAAAGAAAGAAAGAAGAAAGAAAAACCTATACAGGAATAATAGGGCTCTACGCCCGGCTGCTCTGCAGCTGGCTCGGGCCCTAAAGAAGAAGAAAGAAGAATCCATCAGGAATAATAGGGCTCTCGCAGCTGCTTAGCAGCTACGCTCGGGCCCTAAAGAAGAATCCATCAGGAATAATAGGGCTCTCGCAGCTGCTTAGCAGCTACGCTCGGGCCCTAAAGAAAGAACTAGGACCCCGTTGGGGCACTGGCGGGCCCGAGCCGTGTCGCGTCCCCCCCCCCCAACGTGCTGCCTCCCCGTCCCATTTGTGTCCTCTGGCCATCGCCCTCTCTGGTAACGCCCATCACTGCAAAGACCCTTTTCCTTCATCGGCGTTTGCTGTTCTTCCTGCCAGTGCGTGTTGCTTTCACTTACACTTGCCACAGCCAGCCTCGTGAGTGCCTAGCCTATTGGATATCACTGTCACCTACACAGGACAGTCATTACCTTTTTATTAATACTTTGTGTTTTAATTTCACATTAATTTCCATATTGTATAAACGACTGGAAAAAACTTGAGCCCCTGCCCCTGTATAATCATGTGCATGTCTCTGTTCTAGCTCCAAGGTGAATCTTCACTGCTCATGTTCTCCTCAGAAGCACTCACCTCACTCCCCTCAGGTTACTGTACACATGCACCAACTGCCTGCTTCAGGTTTGGATGGAGCTTCATGGTTGTCTTTTGGAGAAATGACCAGTCAAGTTGTGTTTGAAATTTGATTTTTTTCAGGGGCAAAAGGAGCCTCTGCATTCTTGTCAAATATGTAAATAGCATGTTTTTGCAGGTGCTAAAAACCAGACTCTGAGTGTGTGTGTGTGTGTGTGTGTGTGTGTGTGTGTGTGTGTGTGTGTGTGTGTGTGTGTGTGCGTGTGTGTGTGTCTATGTGTGCGTTCAAGTCACATGACATATTTAACCTGATGTAGCTGCAAGACGGAGCCTCGTTGACTCTCCGTTTCAACTTATCTCAAAAGTGAGGACCTCAACCTATATACCAGTTTTTAAATTGTGTTGATAGGCCAAATAAAACCAGAGTTATGATAAATTATGTCCGCGATACTTTTTTTCTGCTTATTTTGATCACGTTCTGCGCTCGATTGCGCTGTATGAGACAGGAAAACATAGCATGCAGACATTAGCGACAGGTCTTACAGGCGGAAAAGGCTTGCCAAAAGAAAAAAAAAACACACCACAACATCTCTCCTATTGGTGGAAAACTTCACCACAACAACCAATCCAAAATTATATGGTGACTGATTGACAAGGGGCGGGCGCTTACGTTCTTCCTGCAACATGAGAAGGGAGGGAGGGACTCTCAGCAGGGATGCAGTCTGGGACACGTAGTTGCAAACCTAGCGACTTTGTTGTTAGATTCAATGACTTTTCAGACACCCTAACGACTTTTTTTTAGAAAGAAAGGGACTTTTATCGACTTCTTCTGGAGTTTAGAGACTCTGACATGAAGCAGGCTTTCCTTACTGAGGAGTTAGCAACGCTGCTAAGGGTGCAGAGCCACACATGCGCTCAGAGCTCTGCATGGGAGACTGAAGCTGACAGAGCTGCAGCAGTTAGCAGGTTTCACCCTCAGAGACCACCAGGGGTTCATGTTGAGGCATTTTAATTTTTTTTTTTTTTGTGCCATAGACACTGTCAGCAAAATCTGCAGTTACACTAACAAAAATGCTGCAAAAAACAAAGAATTATGGAAAAATTACACATGGACTGACATAGAGGAGGATCTACACAAGTTTTTTACATCATGTTTTACATCATGCATCATTTACATCATGTTTTTTTGTAGTGGCATAAATAAAAAGTGACATTTGTGAGACTATACAGTGTTTTGTAAATAATTTTACAAAGAACGCCTTGGCCATTGCCTGCATTTTGATGTAAATAGAGGTAAATTACTATGTTCTTTGTTAAAAATTTGCATATGTTTTGAAGTTTACAATTTTTATTTGAAGTTTAAGTTTTAAAAACTGTTCATCACACATATTTGTGGTTTAATTTCACATTAATTTCCATATTGTATAAATGACTGGAAAAAACTTGAGCCCCTGCCCCTGTATAATCATGTGCACGTCCCTGTTCTAGCTCCAAGGTGAATCTTCACTGCTCATGTTCTCCTCAGAAATAGTCACCTCACTCCCCTCAGGTTACTGTACACATGCACCAACTATCTGCTTCAGGTTTGAAATGGAGCTTCATGGTTGTCTTTTGGAGAAATGAACAGTCAAGTTGTGTTTGAAATTTGATTTTTTTCAGGGGCAAAAGGAAGCCTCTGCATTCTTGTCAAATATGTAAACAGCATGTTTTTGCAGGTGCTAAAAAACAGACTCTGAGTGTGTGTGTGTGTCTGTGTGTGTGTGTGTGTGTGTGTGTGTGTGTGTATGTTGGCGTGTGTGTATATGTGTGTGTATCCTGCAGTACTCTGTACTCCTGCAGTGGCCAAAAAGACTTTTAAGAATGTGGATTTTTGGGTCATCTTTGGCGCCCCCTAGAACTGCAGTACTCTGTACTCCTGCAGTGGCCAAAATGACTTTTAAGAATGTGGATTTTTGGGTCATCTTTGGCGCCCCCTAGAACGTAAACCGTGGGGTGCAGCGTCATGATTTTTACAACTTTGAATGGGCATGGGGTGTAGATTGCCCTGAGCAAATTTGGTATCGGTGGGACGAAAGCCTTAGGAGGAGATAGCCACATTCCAATGTGTGCGAATCGGCAAAAAATGCAAAATAGCCCTTTAACCGTACATTATACAGATACGCGCTCTTTGACTTTTTCGTAGATCTAATTGAGATACACATGATTGTCAATTTTTGTGTCAATATGACAAAGCGTTCAGGCGTGACACTCAACAATGTGTATTTTTATGTAAGGGGACAAGAAAAAATTGACTTTTTTCTCCTACCATGGGGGGGCGCTCTTTTGGGGAGTAAAAATTCCTTCACAAATGTGTTGATGGCTGGACATTGCATCATCCTAGTAAACTTGGAGGCCAGTGAGGACAAAAATAAAAAGTTATAAAACATTTAAGAATGTGGATTTTTGGGTTATTTTTGGCGCCCCCTAGAACCTAAACCATGGGGTGCAGCATCATGATTTGAATAACTTTTAATGGCCATGGGGTGTAGATTGGCCTGAGCAAATGTGGTGCTGGTGGAACGAAAGCCTTCGGAGGAGTTAGCGAAATTCCAATGTGTGCGTATCGGCAAAAAATGCGGAATAACCCTTTAACTGTACATTTGACAGATACGCGCGCATGGACTTTTTTGTAGATCTTATTGAGTTACATGTGTGTGTCAATTTTTGTGTCATTTTGACAAAGCGTATAGGCGTGACACTCAACAATGTGTATTTTCACCTTAGGGGACAAGAAAAAATGGACTTTTTTCTCCTGCCATGGGGGGGCGCTCTTTTGGGGAGTAAAAATTCCTTCACAAATGTGTTGATGGCTGGACATTGCATCATCCTAGAAAACTTGGAGGCCAGTGAGGACAAAAATAAAAAGTTATAAGACTTTTAAATATGTGGATTTTAGTGTTATCTTTGGCGCCCCCTAGAACCTAAACCTTGGGGTGCAGCGTCATGATTTTGATAACTTTTAATGGCCACGGGGTGTAGATTGGCCTGAGCAAATGTGGTGCCGGTGGAACGAAAGCCTTCGGAGGAGTTAGCGAAATTCCAATGTGTGCGGATCGGCAAAAAATGCGAAATAACCCTTTAACCGTAATTTTGACAGATACGGCCGCACTGACTTTTTTGTAGATCTTATTGAGATACATATGTGTGTCAATTTTTGTGTCAATATGACAAAGCGTACAGGCGTGACAGTCAATAGTGTGAATTTTCACCTTAGGGGGCGCTATGGAGCCATTTTGCATTTTATTGTTTGGGCGACTTCAGAATATCGAATTTTTCACCAGGCCCGGTCGTCCTGCCAAATTTCATGAGTTTTCGCCAGTGGGAAGTGGGCCATTTTCCAGTTCAAAGGGGAGGAAAAAGAAGAAAGAAAGAAAGAACTAGGGCCCCGTTGGGGCACTGGCGGGCCCGAGCCGTGTCGCGCCACCCCCAGCGCGACCGCCTACCCCTCCCGATTGCGTCACACTCAAGGTCCAAAGATGGTGTGCGCACTTGTCTGTGGTCATTTACCATTATAATGAATGGGAGGCGCAGTTTCTACCAAAACGCTCGCTGCAGACAAACTCCATGTCCTTTTTGAAAAAAGTCTGGACCATGAGTGAGGGCACAAACACAGCTAGTATATATCCAAATGGCAAGTTGCTCCTCCTTTCGGTTTTGCCGAGAGAGCGATGCGTTTGAGCCATTGAGCGATGGGCAGGAAAAACTTGACTTTTTCTCCTGCCATGGGGGGGGCGCTCTTTTGGGGAGTAAAAATTCCTTCACAAATGTGTTGATGGCTGGACATTGCATCATCCTAGAGAACTTGGAGGCCAGTGAGGACAAAAATAAAAAGTTATAAGACTTTTAAGACTGTGGATTTTTGGGTTATCTTTGGCGCCCCCTAGAACGTAAACCGTGGGGTGCAGCGTCATGATTTGTACAACTTTGAATGGACATGGGGTGTAGATTGACCTGAGCAAATTTGAAGCCAATGGGACAAAAGCTTTAGGAGGAGTTAGCCACATTCCAATGTGTGCGAATCGGCAAAAAATGCAAAATAGCCCTTTAACCGTACATTGAACAGATACGCTCGCATTGACTTTTTCGTAGATCTTATTGAGATACATGTGTGTGTCAAATTTTGTGTCATTTTGACAAAGCGTTAAGGCGTGACAGTCAACAATGTGTATTTTCGCCTTAGGAGACAAGAAAAAATGGACTTTTTTCTCCTGCCATGGGGGGGCGCTCTTTTGGCGAGTAAAAATTCCTTCACAAATGTGTTGATGGCTGGACATTGCATCATCCTAGAGAACTTGGAGGCCAGTGAGGACAAAAATAAAAAGTTATAAGACTTTTAAGACTGTGGATATTTGGGTTATCTTTGGCGCCCCCTAGAACGTAAACCGTGGGGTGCAGCATCATGATTTGTACAACTTTTAATGGCCATGGGGTGTAGATTGGCCTGAGCAAATGTGGTGCCGGTGGAACGAAAGCCTTCGGAGGAGTTAGCGAAATTCCAATGTGTGCGGATCGGCAAAAAATGCGAAATAACCCTTTAACCGTACATTTGACAGATACGCCCGCACTGACTTTTTTGTAGATCTTATTGAGATACATGTGTGTGTCAAATTTTGTGTCATTTTGACAAAGCGTAAAGGTGTGACAGTCAATAGTGTGAATTTTTGCCTTAGGAGACAAGAAAAAATGGACTTTTTTCTCCTGCCATGGGGGGGCGCTCTTTTGGCGAGTAAAAATTCCTTCACAAATGTGTTGATGGCTGGACATTGCATCATCCTAGAAAACTTGGAGGCCAGTGAGGACAGAAATAAAAAGTTAAGACTTGTAAGAATGTGGATTTTTGGGTTATCTTTGGCGCCCCCTACAACGTAAACCGTGGGGTGCAGCGTCATGATTTGTACAACTTTGAATGGCCATGGGGTGTAGATTGGCCTGAGCAAATTTGGTGCCGGTGGAACGAAAGCTTTGGGAGGAGTTAGCCACATTCCAATGTGTGCGAATCAACCAAAAATGCGAAATAGCCCTTTAACCGTACATTTTGCAGACACGTGCGCATTGACTTTTTCGTAGATCTTATTGAGATACACGTGATTATCAAATTTTGTTTCAATATGACAAAGCGTACAGGCGTGACACTCAACAATGTGTATTTTCACCTTATAGGACAAGAAAAAATGGCCTTTTTTCTCCTGCCATGGGGGGGCGCTCTTTTGGGGAGTAAAAATTCCTTCACAAATGTGTTGATGGCTGGACATTGCATCATCCTAGAAAACTTGGAGGCCAGTGAGGACAAAAATAAAAAGTTATAAGACTTGTAAGAATGTGGATTTTTGGGTTATCTTTGGCGCCCCCTACAACGTAAACCGTGGGGTGCAGCGTCATGATTTGTACAACTTTGAATGGCCATGGGGTGTAGATTGGCCTGAGCAAATTTGGTGCCGGTGGAACGAAAGCCTTCGGAGGAGTTAGCGAAATTCCAATGTGTGCGGATCGGCAAAAAATGCGAAATAGCCCTTTAAACGTACATTTGACAGATACGCCCGCACTGACTTTTTTGTAGATCTTATTGAGATACATGTGTGTGTCAAATTTTGTGTCATTTTGACAAAGCGTACAGGCGTGACACTCAATCATGTGAATTTTTCACCTTAGGGGGCGCTATGGAGCCATTTTGCATTTGATTGTTTGGGTGACTTCAGAATATCGAATTTTTCACCAGGCCCAGTCGTCCTGCCAAATTTCATGAGTTTTCACCAGTGGGAAGTGGGCCATTTTCCAGTTCAAAGGGGCAGAAAAATAACTAGGACCCCGTTGGGGCACTGGCGGGCCCGAGCCGTGTCGCGTCCCCCCCCCCAACGTGCTGCCTCCCCGTCCCATTTGTGTCCTCTGGCCATCGCCCTCTCTGGTAACGCCCATCACTGCAAAGACCCTTTTCCTTCATCGGCGTTTGCTGTTCTTCCTGCCAGTGCGTGTTGCTTTCACTTACACTTGCCACAGCCAGCCTCGTGAGTGCCTAGCCTATTGGATATCACTGTCACCTACACAGGACAGTCATTACCTTTCTATTAATACTTTGTGTTTTAATTTCACATTAATTTCCATATTGTATAAACGACTGGAAAAAACTTGAGCCCCTGCCCCTGTATAATCATGTGCATGTCTCTGTTCTAGCTCCAAGGTGAATCTTCACTGCTCATGTTCTCCTCAGAAGCACTCACCTCACTCCCCTCAGGTTACTGTACACATGCACCAACTGCCTGCTTCAGGTTTGGATGGAGCTTCATGGTTGTCTTTTGGAGAAATGAGCAGTCAAGTTGTGTTTGAAATTTGATTTTTTTCAGGGGCAAAAGGAGCCTCTGCATTCTTGTCAAATATGTAAATAGCATGTTTTTGCAGGTGCTAAAAACCAGACTCTGAGTGTGTGTGTGTGTGTGTGTGTGTGCGTGTCTGTGTGTGCGTTCAAGTCACATGACATATTTAACCGGATGTAGCTGCAAGACGGAGCCTTGTTGACTCTCCGTTTCAACTTATCTCAAAAGTGAGGACCTCAACCTATATACCAGTTTTTAAATTGTGTTGATAGGCCAAATAAAACCAGAGTTATGATAAATTATGTCCGCGATACTTGTTTTCTGCTTATTTTGATCACGTTCGGCGCTCGATCGCGCTGTATGAGACAGGAAAACATAGCATGCAGACATTAGCGACAGGTCTTACAGGCGGAAAAGGCTTGCCAAAAGAAAAAAAAACACACCACAACATCTCTCCTATTGGTGGAAAACTTCACCACAACAACCAATCCAAAATTATATGGTGACTGATTGACAAGGGGCGGGCGCTTACGTTCTTCCTGCAACATGAGAAGGGAGGGAGGGACTCTCAGCAGGGATGCAGTCTGGGACACGTAGTTGCAAACCTAGCGACTTTGTTGTTAGATTCAATGACTTTTCAGACCCCCTAACGACTTTTTTTTAGAAAGAAAGGGACTTTTATCGACTTCTTCTGGAGTTTAGAGACTCTGACATGAAGCAGGCTTTCCTTACTGAGGAGTTAGCAACGCTGCTAAGGGTGCAGAGCCACACATGCGCTCAGAGCTCTGCATGGGAGACTGAAGCTGACAGAGCTGCAGCAGTTAGCAGGTTTCACCCTCAGAGACCACCAGGGGTTCATGTTGAGGCATTTTAATTTTTTTTTTTTTGTGCCATAGACACTGTCAGCACAATCTGCAGTTACACTAACAAAAATGCTGCAAAAAACAAAGAATTATGGAAAAATTACACATGGACTGACATACAGGAGGATCTACACAAGTTTTTTACATCATGTTTTACATCATGCATCATTTACATCATGTTTTTTTGTAGTGGCATAAATAAAAAGTGACATTTGTGAGACTATACAGTGTTTTGTAAATAATTTTACAAAGAACGCCTGGGCCATTGCCTGCATTTTGATGTAAATAGAGGTAAATCACTATGTTCTTTGTTAAAAATTTGCATATGTTTTGAAGTTTACAATTTTTATTTGAAGTTTAAGTTTTAAAAACAGTTCATCACACATATTTGTGGTTTTCACAGTAAAAATGTTACTTTTTTCCACTCGGATTTTATGTTTTGTGTGTGAATTTGGGTCCATTGTGTAAATTCAGTATGTCAACATGATGAAATAACTGTAAATTCGCACAGGTGAGGTTGTGCTGAAAAAAATGATACCAGGCAAGGCACGTGATTGTCAAATTTTGTGTCAATATGACAAAGCGTATAGGCGTGAATCTCAACAATATGTATTTTCACCTTAGGGGACAAGAAAAAATGGACTTTTTTCTCCTGCCATGGGGGGGCGCTCTTTTGGGGAGTAAAAATTCCTTCACAAATGTGTTGATGGCTGGACATTGCATCATCCTAGAAAACTTGGAGGCCAGTGAGGACAAAAATAAAAAGTTATAAGACTTTTAAATATGTGGATTTTAGGGTTATCTTTGGCGCCCCCTAGAACCTAAACCGTGGGGTGCAGCGTCATGATTTTGATAACTTTTAATGGCCATGGGGTGTAGATTGGCCTGAGCAAATGTGGTGCCGGTGGAACGAAAGCCTTAGGAGGAGTTAGCCACATTCCAATGTGTGCGGATCGGCAAAAAATGCGGAATAACCCTTTAACCGTACATTTGACAGATACGCGCGCATTGACTTTTTCGTAGATCTTATTGAGTTACATGTGTGTGTCAATTTTTGTGTCATTTTGACAAAGCGTATAGGCGTGACACTCAACAATGTGTATTTTCACCTTAGGGGACAAGAAAAAATGGACTTTTTTCTCCTGCCATGGGGGGGCGCTCTTTTGGGGAGTAAAAATTCCTTCACAAATGTGTTGATGGCTGGACATTGCATCATCCTAGAAAACTTGGAGGCCAGTGAGGACAAAAATAAAAAGTTATAAGACTTTTAAATATGTGGATTTTAGTGTTATCTTTGGCGCCCCCTAGAACCTAAACCTTGGGGTGCAGCGTCATGATTTTGATAACTTTTAATGGCCACGGGGTGTAGATTGGCCTGAGCAAATGTGGTGCCGGTGGAACGAAAGCCTTCGGAGGAGTTAGCGAAATTCCAATGTGTGCAGATCAGCAAAAAATGCGAAATAACCCTTTAACCGTAATTTTGACAGATACGGCCGCACTGACTTTTTTGTAGATCTTATTGAGATACATGTGTGTGTCAATTTTTGTGTCATTTTGACAAAGCGTACAGTCGTGACAGTGAATAGTGTGAATTTTCACCTTAGGGGGCGCTATGGAGCCATTTTGCATTTTATTGTTTTGGCGACTTCAGAATATCAAATTTTTCACCAGGCCCGGTCGTCCTGCCAAATTTCATGAGTTTTCGCCAGTGGGAAGTGGGCCATTTTCCAGTTCAAAGGGGAGGAAAAAGAAAAAAGAAAGAAAGAAACAAAGAAAAACCACTTGGGGAATAATAGGGCCTACGCCCGGCTGCTCTGCAGCTGGCTCGGGCCCTAATAATAAGAAGAAGAAGAAGAAAGAAGAATCCATCAGGAATAATAGGGCTCTCGCAGCTGCTTAGCAGCTACGCTCGGGCCCTAACTAGGACCCCGTTGGGGCACTGGCGGGCCCGAGCTGTGTCGCGTCCCCCCCCCCAAAGCGCTGCCTCCCCGTCCCATTTGTGTCCTCTGGCCATCGCCCTCTCTGGTAACGCCCATCACTGCAAAGACCCTTTTCCTTCATCGGCGTTTGCTGTTCTTCCTGCCAGTGCGTGTTGCTTTCACTTACACTTGCCACAGCCAGCCTCTTGAGTGCCTAGCCTATTGGATATCACTGTCACCTACTCAGGACAGTCATTACCTTTCTATTAATACTTTGTTTTTTAATTTCACATTAATTTCCATATTGTATAAACAACTGGAAAAAACTTGAGCCCCTGCCCCTGTATAATCATGTGCACGTCTCTGTTCTAGCTCTAAGGTGAATCTTCACTGCTCATGTTCTCCTCAGAAGCAGTCACCTCACTCCCCTCAGGTTACTGTACACATGCACCAACTGCCTGCTTCAGGTTTGGATGGAGCTTCATGGTTGTCTTTTGGAGAAATGACCAGTCAAGTTGTGTTTGAAATTTGATTTTTTTCAGGGGCAAAAGGAGCCTCTGCATTCTTGTCAAATATGTAAATAGCATGTTTTTGCAGGTGGTAAAAACCAGACTCTGAGTGTGTGTGTGTGCGTGTGTGTGTGTGTCTGTGTGTGTGTGTGTGTGTGTGTGTGTGTGTGTGCGTTCAAGTCACATGACATATTTAACCGGATGTAGCTGCAAGACGGAGCCTCGTTGACTCCGTTTCAACTTATCTCAAAAGTGAGGACCTCAACCTATATACCAGTTTTTAAATTGTGTTGATAGGCCAAATAAAACCAGAGTTATGATAAATTATGTCCGCGATACTTGTTTTCTGCTTATTTTGATCACGTTCGGCGCTCGATCGCGCTGTATGAGACAGGAAAACATAGCATGCAGACATTAGCGACAGGTCTTACAGGCGGAAAAGGCTTGCCAAAGAAAAAAAAAAACACACCACAACATCTCTCCTATTGGTGGAAAACTTCACCACAACAACCAATCCAAAATTATATGGTGACTGATTGACAAGGGGCGGGCGCTTACGTTCTTCCTGCAATATGAGAAGGGAGGGACTCTCAGCAGGGATGCAGTCTGGGACACGTAGTTGCAAACCTAGCGACTTTGTTGTTAGATTCAATGACTTTTCAGACCCCCTAACGACTTTTTTTTTAGAAAGAAAGTGACTTTTATCGACTTCTTCTGGAGTTTAGAGACTCTGACATGAAGCAGGCTTTCCTTACTGAGGAGTTAGCAACGCTGCTAAGGGTGCAGAGCCACACATGCGCTCAGAGCTCTGCATGGGAGACTGAAGCTGACAGAGCTGCAGCAGTTAGCAGGTTTCACCCTCAGAGACCACCAGGGGTTCATGTTGAGGCATTTTCAGTTTTTTTTTTTTTTTTGCCATAGACACTGTCAGCACAATCTGCAGTTACACTAACAAAAAAGCTGCAAAAAACAAAGAATTATGGAAAAATTACACATGGACTAACATAGAGGAGGATCTACACAAGTTTTTTACATCATGTTTTACATCATGCATCATTTACATCATGTTTTTTGTAGTGGCATAAATAAAAAGTGACATTTGTGAGACTATACAGTGTTTTGTAAATAATTTTACAAAGAACACCTGGGCCATTGCCTGCATTTTGATGTAAATAGAGGTAAATTACTATGTTCTTTGTTAAAAATTTGCATATGTTTTGAAGTTTACAATTTTTATTTGAAGTTTAAGTTTTAAAAACAGTTCATCACACATATTTGTTGTTTTCACAGTAAAAACGTTACTTTTTTCCACTCGGATTTTATGTTTTGTGTGTGAATTTGGGTCCAATGTGTAAATATAGTATGTCAAAATGATAAAATAACTGTAAATTGACACAGGTGAGGTTGTGCTGAAAAAAATGATACCAGGCAAGGCAAGGTAAAAATTTTGTAAGAGGAAATATAAAGGTAAAATCTAAAGTAGTCAAAAACGGCCAATAGTGACTCACAGACTCCACAGACAAGTCCCTTTGGCGCCACTCAGTGGGCAAAACTACTTTGTCTACTGTAATGTATATTTGGGTCATCTTTGGCGCCCCCTAAAACGTAAACCGTGGGGTGCAGCGTCATGATTTTTACAACTTTGAATGGCCATGGAGTGTAGATTGGCCTGAGCAAATTTGGTGTCAGTGGGACGAAAGCCTTAGGAGGAGTTAGCGAAATTCCAATGTGTGCGAATCGGCAAAAAATGCAAAATAGCCCTTTTACCGTACATTATACAGATACGCGCTCTTTGACTTTTTCGTAGATCTAATTGAGATACACATGATTATCAATTTTTGTGTCATTTTGCCAAAGCGTACAGGCGTGACAGTCAACAATGTGTATTTTCACCTTAGGGGACAAGAAAAAATGGACTTTTTTCTCCTGCCATGGGGGGCGCTCTTTTAGGGAGTAAAAATTCCTTCACAAATGTGTTGATGGCTGGACATTGCATCATCCTAGAAAACTTGGAGGCCAGTGAGGACAAAAATAAAAAGTTATAAGACTTTTAAAAATGTGGATTTTTGGGTTATCTTTGGCGCCCCCTAGAACGTAAACCGTGGGGTGCAGCGTCATGATTTGAACAACTTTTAATGGCCATGGGGTGTAGATTGGCCTGAGCAAATGTGGTGCCGGTGGAACGAAAGCCTTCGGAGAAGTTAGCGAAATTCCAATGTGTGCGAATCGGCAAAAAATGCGGAATAACCCTTTAACCGTACATTTGACAGATACGCGCGCATGGACTTTTTTGTAGATCTTATTGAGATACATGTGTGTGTAAATTTTTGTGTCATTTTGACAAAGCGTACAGGCGTGACACTCAACAATGTGTATTTTCACCTTAGGGGACAAGAAAAAATGGACTTTTTTCTCCTGCCATGGGGGGCGCTCTTTTGGGGAGTAAAAATTCCTTCACAAATGTGTTGATGGCTGGACATTGCATCATCCTAGAAAACTTGGAGGCCAGTGAGGACAAAAATAAAAAGTTATAAGACTTTTAAAAATGTGGATTTTAGGGTTATCTTTGGCGCCCCCTAGAACCTAAACCGTGGGGTGCAGCGTCATGATTTGAATAACTTTTAATGGCCATGGGGTGTAGATTGGCCTGAGCAAATGTGGTGCCGGTGGAACGAAAGCCTTCGGAGGAGTTAGCGAAATTCCAATGTGTGCGGATCGGCAAAAAATGCGCAATAACCCTTTAACCGTACATTTGACAGATACGCCCGCACTGACTTTTTTGTAGATCTTATTGAGATACATGTGTGTGTCAATTTTTGTGTCATTTTGACAAAGCGTACAGGCGTGACAGTCAATAGTGTGAATTTTCACCTTAGGGGGCGCTATGGAGCCATTTTGCATTTTCTTGTTTGGGCGACTTCGGAATATCAAATTTTTCACCAGGCCCGGTCGTCCTGCCAAATTTCATGAGTTTTCGCCAGTGGGAAGTGGGCCATTTTCCAGTTCAAAGGGGAGGAAAAAGAAGAAAGAAAGAAAGAACTAGGGCCCCGTTGGGGCACTGGCGGGCCCGAGCCGTGTCACGCCGCCCCCAGCACTACCGCCTCCCCCACCCGATCGCGTCACAATCAAGGTCCAAAGATGGTGTGCGCACTTGTTTGTGGTCATTTACCATTATAATGAACGGGAGGCGCAGTTTCTACCAAAACGCTCGCTGCAGAAAAACTCCATGTCCTATTTGAAAAAAGTCTGGACCATGAGTGAGGGCACAAACACAGCTAAGATATATCCAAATGGCAAGTTGCTCCTCCTTTCGCTTTTGCCGAGAGAGCAGTGCGTTTGAGCCATTGAATGATGAACAGGAAAAACTTGACTTTATTCTCCTGCCATGGGGGGGCGCTCTTTTAACGAGAAAAAACTCCTTCACAAATGTGTTGATGGCTGGACATTGCATCATCCTAGAAAACATGGAGGCCAGTGAGGACAAAAATAAAAAGTTATAAGACTTTTAAATATGTGGATTTTAGGGTTTTCTTTGGCGCCCCCTAGAACCTAAACCGTGGGGTGCAGCGTCATGATTTGAATAACTTTTAATGGCCATGGGGTGAAGATTGGCCTGAGCAAATGTGGTGCCGGTGGAACGAAAGCCTTTGGAGGAGTTAGCGAAATTCCAATGTGTGCGAATCTGCAAAAAATGCGAAATAACCCTTTAACCGTACATTTTACAGATACGTGGCCATTGACTTTTTCGAAGATCTTATTGAAAGACACGTGTATGTAAAATTTTGTGTCAATATGACAAAACATACAGGCGTAGCACTCAACAATGTGTATTTTCACCTTAGTGGACAAGAAAAAATGGACTTTTTTCTCCTGCCATGGGGGGGCGCTCTTTTGGCGAGTAAAAATTCCTTCACAAATGTGTTGATGGCTGGACATTGCATCATCCTAGAAAACTTGGAGGCCAGTGGGGACAAAAATAAAAAGTTATAAGACTTTTAAATATGTGGATTTTAGTGTTATCTTTGGCGCCCCCTAGAACCTAAACCGTGGGGTGCAGCGTCATGATTTGAATAACTTTTAATGGCCATGGGGTGTAGATTGGCCTGAGAAAATGTGGTGCCGGTGGAACGAAAGCCTTCGGAGGAGTTAGCGAAATTCCAATGTGTGCGGATCGGCAAAAAATGCGGAATAACCCTTTAACCGTACATTTGACAGATACGTGCGCATTGACTTTTTCGTAGATCTTATTGAGATACATGTGTGTCTCAATTTTGGTGTCATTTTGCCAAAGCGTACAGGTGTTACACTCAACAATGTGTATTTTCACCTTAGGGGACAAGAAAAAATGGACTTTTTTCTCCTGCCATGGGGGGGCGCTCTTTTGGGGAGTAAAAATTCCTTCACAAATGTGTTGATGGCTGGACATTGCATCATCCTAGAAAACTTGGAGGCCAGTGAGGGCAAAAATAAAAAGTTATAAGACTTTTAAATATGTGGATCTTAGGGTTATCTTTGGCGCCCCCTAGAACCTAAACCGTGGGGTGCAGCGTCATGATTTGAATAACTTTTTATGGCCATGGGGTGTAGATTGTCCTGAGCAAATGTGGTGCCGGTGGAACGAAAGCCTTCGGAGGAGTTAGCGAAATTCCAATGTGTGCGGATCGGCAAAAAATGCGAAATAACCCTTTAACCGTACATTTGACAGATACGCCCGCACTGACTTTTTTGTAGATCTTATTGAGATACATGTGTGTGTCAATTTTTGTGTCATTTTGACAAAGCGTACAGGCGTGACAGTCAATAGTGTGAATTTTCACCTTAGGGGGCGCTATGGAGCCATTTTGCATTTTCTTGTTTGGGCGACTTCGGAATATCAAATTTTTCACCAGGCCCGGTCGTCCTGCCAAATTTCTGGAGTTTTCGCCAGTGGGAAGTGGGCCATTTTCCAGTTCAAAGGGGAGGAAAAATAATAATAATAATAACAAAAGAAGGAAACATGCAGGAACAAGAGGGCTCTCGCAGCTGCTTAGCAGCTACGCTCGGGCCCTAAAGAAACAAAGAAAAACCACTTGGGGAATAATAGGGCCTACGCCCGGCTGCTCTGCAGCTGGCTCGGGCCCTAAAAAGAAGGAAACATGCAGGAACAAGAGGGCTCTCGCAGCTGCTTAGCAGCTACGCTCGGGCCCTAAAGAAAGAAACAAAGAAAAACCTCTTGGGGAATAATAGGGCCTACGCCCGGCTGCTCTGCAGCTGGCTCGGGCCCTAAAGAAGAATCCATCAGGAACAAGAGGGCTCTCGCAGCTGCTTAGCAGCTACGCTCGGGCCCTAAAGAAAGAAACAAAGAAAAACCACTTGGGGAATAATAGGGCCTACGCCCGGCTGCTCTGCAGCTGGCTCGGGCCCTAAAAAGAAACAAAGAAAAACCACTTGGGGAATAATAGGGCTCTCGCAGCTGCTTAGCAGCTACGCTCGGGCCCTAATAATAATAATAATAATAAAGAAAAACGAATAATCAATTGAACACTAAAGAAAATAAGATAAAATAATAATTAGAAGTAGTAGTAATAATAATAGTTATTATAATGCTTTTGCGACATTACCTGTGAGGTTGGGGGTCCGGGCTCACAAGCAATAAGGTAAAGGCTCCGAGGAGATCTCTGTGTCTTCTAATGCTATTTGAAAGTATCATTTTTGCCACAGTGTCAACAGTAGGCTGATTAACTTTTAGTGTGGACTGAACTTTTCTCATTCATTGATTTGGGATGATGTTACCCTTGCTGTTCACAATTGATAACCATTATTGAGGGGTTTTGAGCATCAGAAACATGTATTTAACACAGATGGGTGATTATGAAGAAACCTGAATGATAAAACCAGCCTTGTTGATTTCTTTTATAAAGTCTGTGGTGGAAAACTGTGAAGATATTTTTTCATGCCTATGTCCTCCTCAACTCTTCTTCCTTTCCCCAGTGTCATCAAATGAACCACATCTGCGCTGCTCAAAGAACAACATCCCCAAAGCCAGAATGAGGACTCTAAAAATGAGTATTGTCATTGTGATCTGCTTCATAGGCTGCTGGACTCCATACTACCTACTGGGTTTATGGTACTGGTTCTTCCCAGATGATATAGAGGGGAAAGTCTCCCACTCTCTTACCCACATCCTGTTCATCTTTGGGCTATTCAACACCTGCCTGGACCCGGTCATCTATGGCCTGTTCACTGTTCGCTTTCGTAAGAGCTGCAACAGCAAAGCTCCAGTAAGGTCAAATCTGCAAACAAACAGTGTGGTAATAGAGTCTCTGAAATGTACTCAAACTGCTTTGCATGCTAAAAAAGAGGTGACTGCTGCTGGAAAAGACAGCATCTGTGCAGAGACTTAGGCAAACCCCTTGGACCTTAAACCTCTGACTGTGCTGAAGCGAGGAGGAGAAAAGTCTGAACTTTTCAGCCCTGAAAGCAAAGCATGATAGAAAAGTATGATTTTCCAGTTTTACAATGTTACTTCAACTGTCTGGATTGTCAAGCATCTGAAGAACAAGATGTCTGAGTGTGTCCACCTTAACTCAAGCTTATCATCCTTATCTCCTTACCATATGGTTTAACAAAAAGATAACATCTCCACTGCCTTAAGGGATTTTACTTCCCAGGTTATACAACAGCTTTATGAACACGGTAAACATGTTTAGAGCTGTTTGTGTGTTGTGTAACTGGCTCTCATTTTAAGGTGAGTCTGCAATCTGCAACATGAATTCAAAAAAGCTTTAGGACTTCAGGAAAAAAGAGGGTTGAGATCTCTTTCATAGTTTTGACTCGATGCTAGATTCAGTTTTCTCTCGGTTCATTTGAGCTTTGTAAACTGACTTTTTTTCAGTGGGGTTGCATGAGGCATTTGTCAACAGTTAGTGTATTTTGGTATCCTCGTCTGCTCAGCCCATTTGATGAGAAATTGGGAAATGAAACTGACATGGGAACTAGGCAATCAACTACTGCAGACCAGGTCAACTCTATCAAATAATTAAACCGATTTGTAAAAAAAAAAAGAAACTCCATCAAAAAAATAAACTAAGTGCTTACAACAGTCTAAAATTCTCAGGGCTTTGCTCTGCAGCTAAGATATCACTCATACCTCCTTAGTCAACATTTTGATTACTTTAACTGGTTGTAATTAGGCTTTTTAACATTTTGGTAATAAAAAGTATCTTCATTAAAAAGTATATGACATAGTTGAATTTTCTGGGTCTGTGGGTGAAGACAAAAAATCTTGAATTGAATGTGATCCTTTTTATTTACAACAAAACAGAATATAGAAAGCACAAGTAAACATGTAAAGTTAACAACAGAGGTAACTAATTTAACACATTCAATACCAGCCTGGCATTGACAGAGTGATTCACTTTGGTGAATGGGTCTGAAACCAGCTCCATCTGTTTTTCAGAGGAGCATTAGAAACACTTGTTGTTTGTTCTTGTTAGGACCACAGGGCAAATGCACCAAGACACAGTTGATAAACTGTGGATTTTTCTCATTCCTCTTCCAGCCAAATTTTAATTCTCTTCTAATCCTACAGCATGAGGAGCTGTAGGCCAAATTATATATCAAAATGTGTGTTTTGATCAGGAGCGGTGTGTTATTACTAATCTCTATTGTGTAGAACTTTTTTGCGACATAAGTTGTGGAAAACTGTGGAAAAATTTTGCTCTGAAATCAATGAGACAAGCCCCTCAAAAAGAGAGGAATCATTGGAGTTTTTTTTTAAACATCTACTGCTCTGGCTCGTTTTTTTAATCAATAAATAAATAATTGAAAAAGGAATGTTTGTTGTCAGTGAGCTCCTTGTATGTAATATCACAATGCTACTAGTATTGAATATTTGAAATATCTGAAGAATCTCAGCACAACATACACACCCTGGCAGAAGACCCTGTGATCCTTAAAGATTTCCCCAGAGTGAAATTTCTAGTTTTCAGTATGTCATCTGGTATGTTTGCAAAAACAACCAAAACAGATTTAAATGACCTTATAGTGCCAGAGGCTGCCATCTTGGTTGTTTACAACTGTGCTGAAGCAGTGCTCCTGCGTTGTCATCTTAGATGACTATGATTGGTTGGCTATATCTGTGCTTAATGCTTAGATTGGCAGCAGCTCCAGACTCAGAGCTGGCTGATTGGGCTGGCAAGGCAAAGTTGATATACTTTTTCTACGACTAAAAGTAGAAATAGTGTGGCGCTTTGATTTTGTTGTCCCAAGTTGGTGCACAAAGGTTTGTCCAAAAAATGGGCTTCCTTATCTCTGTAACCAGGCTCCATCTGCTTTAGGATTGGTTGTAGCTGTAGCTGACAGATTAGCATCCCTTGAGCAGCCAATGATAAATTAAACAATCGAAGTGCAGCTGTTTCTCTCTGTTTACTCCCATGCTGCTCTGTCCTCCATGTGCACAGCTCAACAAAATATGAAATGGACCTACATAGTGCGCTAGCCTACTGTGACCAGAAAGGTAACAGCTGCTGGGCTAACTGTTAAATCAGCTTATGGTTTCTCTCCTATATGTGTGATTACTATCAAACTCAAGACTGACTGGCTTTCACAAGCCTGACTGTTGGCTCTCAGCTAATAAGCTGATATATTAGGCTAGTTTTTTGGGCCACAACTTTTGACTTAAAAATGAATCACTGCTGACATTTGTTTTAAATTGTTTGTATTACTTCCCAGCTGGAGGGTAAAACATATTCACTGCTCACCGATGCTTCTCAGTCCTGTCCTTTCCAGTTATGTTCCTAAAGTGAGAGGTCGGCACATTGTTTTATGACCGTATCACCACATAGACCTCCTATCAACATTTATCTGAGTCCAGCTGCTCGAGAAACAGATGTACACACCTATGGCTGACTCAAGGTCAGCTGAGAAAGACTCAGTGTGCTTTGGGTTTCCTTGGGGAGCTACGTGTCAAAGTACATAAAAAAATGAAGGACACAGATGTAGCCACATGGGTGGAGGCACATGACTGGACGCTGTTGGGTTGCTGTTGGCTTTTACTCATTCCGAGAAGAAGAAGAAGAAGAAGAAGAAGAAGAAGAAGAAGAAGAAGAAGAAGAAGAAGAAGAAGAAGAAGAAGAAAAGGTAAAAGATAATGTGTGGTTCTTAAAAGAGACTCAAAACTGTCTCACTCCTTACTGATTGCTCTCCCGTTTGATATGTGTGAGCAGGCTTTGTGTTCACTGACATCAATAAATGCTTTTAGCTGGATCTTTCTGGAGCCAGAGTCTGCATGCTGGGGATCAACTCACATTACTACAGTATTGACGTCTTACAGTCTCATCCAGAAAACAAACAAATAAATGACCAACAAAATGACAAATATCAGTCCGGTCTACATTGTAAAAGCATCTTGTGTTGGTTATAATAGTTCTAATAGTTCTGGAAAATTAAAAGACTCTGCGTCAGTGTTTGATATGTTTCTCCTTGACACTGTAAATCTATGCAGACTGAACTGCATGTATCGACAGAGCTGTCAACCATGGTATTATACATGTTAAGGACCAAAAAAATGAAACTGAACTGGACCAAATTATCAAAGAATTTACAGAGTTCTATTTTCTCCATTTTTCTCCTCTTAATGTTGTCAATAAGCTGCAAATCTGGCAGCCTTAAAGTGCCTGAAAACTTTTCCAACTTGCAGATCAAGACAGAATAAAAGATATTTTGGTTGTCTAGTGGAATACCTTTGCAAAATGGCTTCAAAGCACTTCACAGTAGAATTTTAAGCGAGAGCTGTTTGGACCAAAACCTGTTTTTTTTAACTAGGCTGTAAACATGTTTATTATCTATTACGTATTATGTAGTTTTCAGTACTTTCGCAGTCAGCCTCAAGTGGACACACGGGAAACAATGGTTTTTTGTACTTCTGCATCAGCTCTATTTCTAAAGACCAAAGGTTGCCGCTTGGTTGCTATCAGAGACCTAAAGATCTATCAAAAAACAAACAAAACAAACAAACAAACAAACAAACAAACAAACAAACAACAACAAAAAAAAAAGGCACCAGCACACATATTAAAAACTTAAAGTCTATCATTTTGGTTTATATGGCTGTTTTACATGTGTCCATAAACACAGTGTCACACAAAGTAATAACTGCAGACAGAGATCACTCAGACTACTTTAAAAGGGGCCAGTGTGGTCCACATTTAATGTGTATCACCATTATGTATCTGGTGTCATCTAACATGCATGGAAACTTTAGATTGACTTCAGCACAGACCAGTGCTCCCGTCTGTAAACAAAGGCACAAAGACATGTTTCATTGCCTCTGATGGCTTTGACTAAAACCTATTGTTCCTATTGGACTGGACCCATAATTATACAGTACAATGATTGATAGTATTTTCTCTGTTGTTTGTCTTATCATCATTATTATTATTATTACTGACTTACAGGTTTTTTTGTTTTTTTTTTACCAGAAAAAAAAAAAAACAAACTCTCTGTGGAACCAAATCTGTTCGATTTTTAAAGGTCAGTTTAAGGTCGTGGCAGATTGGTTAGGTTGAACACTTGGTGCAATTGAACCACTGCTGTGCATAATGAAATTTCTTTGTTGAACATCAGAGCAGATAAAGTGCAGAGATAGCTGAAACTTATTTAAACCACATTAAAAGTCTAGACCTGATTGTTAAGACGCCTGGAGCTACATTCATTGATGAATGGCTTTGTCTTGTCAAATTGACATTTCACACATCTTTGGTGACCTTTACAAATATGTCAGCACTATCGGGAACCTGATTGCGCTTTCAGTTTAGCTGCAGAGTAAACCTGCAGATAAGTCCACTACTCTGAACTAATGTTGTGCATGTACATTTGAATTCAGGAGCCATTCCTCACCATGAAAGTAGTATGAAATTAATAGGGACAAATGTGTAGGGACAAAAAAGTCACATAAAGAGAAGAAAGTCATATTTTTTGTCATAAAGAAAGGCTGACAAATACATTTTCTTGTAACTTGTCATTAATTGCAGGGCTTTTCAACATTTTTCATGTATATTTGACTCTTATTACTCTTGCCCTCCATTCTATTAAACAAACCTTATCTTTACCAGGATGAAGTCTTAACCAACTTCTTTCAATATTAAGAGCAGCTCCTGAATCAAGCAAATCCACAGACAAACAAAGATGAAGCATTAAGTATGGAGACTCACCATTTTGTGATTTATTTCTGTCTGACCAAGAAGCTCCCTCTTACAGGTCACTGATGGTAGTACAGCACCCTCTCCTGGGCCCCTGCATATTTGAGGCGTACCACCTGAGCATTGATGCCAATGGGTGGACTTGTGGCAAGCTAAAACTTGTCAAAATAGAATAGTTTTTCTTCTTAAAAATACTTTAAATTCTTAGGACATCTTTGAGAAAATATCTGTTTATGATACCCAGCACGCTTGCAATGGCGTTGCCTTGATGTGGTGTGACTTTAAGTTCGTTTCATTGTAATATTTTGCAAGATAAAATGATATTTTTTTTTTCTCCATTATGTAGCCTGCTAACGGTCAAACACATCAATGTCTCTTCTCTACATTATACAGATACGCGCTTTTTGACTTTTTCGTAGATCTAATTGAGATACACATGATTGTCAATTTTTGTGTCAATATGACAAAGCGTTCAGGCATGACACTCAACAATGTGTATTTTCATGTAAGGGGACAAGAAAAAATGGACTTTTTTCTCCTGCCATGGGGGGGCGCTCTTTTGGGGAGTAAAAATTCCTTCACAAATGTGTTGATGGCTGGACATTGCATCATCCTAGAAAACTTGGAGGGCAGTGAGGACAAAAATAAAAAGTTATAAGACTTTTAAGAATGTGGATTTTGGGTTATCTTTGGCGCCCCCTAGAACGTAAACCGTGGGGTGCAGCGTCATGATTTGTACAACTTTTAATGGCCATGGGGGGTAGATTGGCCTGCGCAAATGTGGTGCCGGTCGAACGAAAGCCTTCGGAGGAGTTAGCGAAATTCCAATGTGTGCAGATCTGCAAAAAATGCAAAATAACCCATTAACCGTACATTTGACAGATACGCCCGCACTGACTTTTTTGTAGATCTTATTGAGATACATGTGTGTGTCAATTTTTGTGTCAATATGACAAAGCGTACAGCCGTCATGTGAATTTTCACCTTAGGGGGCGCTATGGAGCCATTTTGCATTTTATTGTTTGGGCGACTTCAGAATATCGAATTTTTCACCAGGCCCGGTCGTCCTGCCAAATTTCCTGAGTTTTCGCCAGTGGGAAGTGGGCCATTTTCCAGTTTAAAGCGGAGGAAAAATAATAACGAAAGAAGGAAACATGCAGGAACAAGAGGGCTCTCGCAGCTGCTTAGCAGCTACGCTCGGGCCCTAAAGAACTAGGGCCCCGTTGGGGCACTGGCGGGCCCGAGCCGTGTCACGCCCCCCCCCCCCCCCCCCCCCCCAACGCGCTGCCTCCCCGTCCCATTCGCGTCCTCTGGCCATCGCCCTCTCTGGTAACGCCCATCACTGCAAGGACCCTTTTCCTTCATCGGCGTTTGCTGTTCTTCCTGCCAGTGCGTGTTGCTTTCACTTACACTTGCCACAGCCAGCCTCGTGAGTGCCTAGCCTATTGGATATCACTGTCATCTAAACAGGACAGTCATTACCTTTCTATTAATACTTTGTTTTTTAATTTCACATTAATTTCCATTTTGTATAAAGAACTGGAAAAGACTTGAGCCCCTGCCCCTCTATAATCATGTGCACGTCCCTGTTCTGGCTCTAAGGTGAATCTTCACTGCTCATGTTCTCCTCAGAAGCAGTCACCTCACTCCCCTCAGGTTACTGTACACATGCAGCAACTGCATGCTTCAGGTTTAGATAGCGCTTCATGGTTGTCTTTTGGAGAAATGACCAGCCAATTTGCGTTTGACATTTGATTTTTTCAGGGGCAAGCCTCTGCATTCCTGTCTAATATGTAAATAGCATGTTTTTGCAGGTGCTAAAAAACAGACTCTGTGTGTGTGTGTGTGTGTGTGTGTGTGTGTCTGTGTGTGTGTATCCTAAACACTAAACACTTCCACTACACAATTAACCCTTTCACGTATAACGGTCACTGCAGTGGACAAATCTTCACAGGACATTTTCTATTATAAAAATAGGGGTTTGATTTTACAAATACATGTTAGCAACAACAATAGACCCTGGAAAATGAGTCCAACACTGGCACCCTGTGGCCATGTGATGCAACTGCAGAAAACACACGTCAACATTTAAGGTGGCTGCCTCTGCTGAAAAAAACAAATGTATGATGTCACTAAAAATCATTGTCACTAAAAATGATTATATTATTACACACATGCACACTCTTTGATGATCTGTGAAGCAGCTCTGAAGAGACAGTAGGAGCAGCAGAACAAAGTGTATTTGTAGAAAAGCCGTAAGAGCTATTGAAACGCTGTTTTTGCAGGTTGAAAGGTTCACGTCTCCACCAAAGGTCAGAGGTCAAATAACATTTGAATGTCATACTGTGACGTCACAGTCGAGGTCCAAAGATAGTGTGCACACCTGTCTTTGGTCATTTCCCATTATAATGAATGGGAGGCGCAGTTTCTACCGAAACGCTGGCTGCAGACAAACTACATGTCCTATTTGAAAAAAGTCTGGACCACGAGTGAGGGCACAAACACAGCTAGGAAATATCCAAATGGCAAATTGCTTCTCCTTTCGCTTTTGCCGAGAGAGCGATGTGTTTGAGCCATTGAACGATGAACAGGAAAAACTTGACTTTATTCTCCTGCCATGGGGGGGGGGGGGGGCGCTCTTTTAACGAGAAAAAAGTCCTTCACAAATGTGTTGATGGCTGGACATTGCATCATCCTAGAAAACTTGGAGGCTAGTGAGGACAAAAATAAAATGTTTTAACACTTTAAAGAATATGGATATTTGGGTCATCTTTGGCGCCCCCTAAAACGTAAACCGTGGGGTGCAGCGTCATGATTTTTACAACTTTGAATGGCCATGGGGTATAGATTGGCCTGACAAAAATTTGGTGTCAGTGGGACGAAAGCCTTAGGAGGAGTTAGCTACATTCCGATGCGTGCGAATCGGCAAAAAAATGCGAAATAGCCCTTTAACCGTACATTTTACAGATACGTGCCCATTAACTTTTTCGTAGATCTTATTGAGATACACGTGTGTGTCAAATTTTGTGTCATTTTGACAAAGCATACAGGCGTGAATCTCAACAATGTGTATTTTCACCTTAGGGGACAAGAAAAAATTGATTTTTTGTCCTGCCATGGGGGGGCGCTCTTTTGGGGAGTAAAAATTCCTTTACAAATGTGTTGAT